TAGCTTTAGAAATTTATAATATAATTAATGGCTTTAATATAGCTATAATATTAACGGCTATTTTACGCTAAATTATTATATATTGAAGCATTATAATAATTCCTTTTATAATATACATTAATTTATACTTTTTATATAAGTATTTAGTTAAGCTTAGCATAATAAAAGAAAAGCGCTTTATAATTAATGTTATAATTCTTTAGTAGTTATATAAGAAGCGTAAGATTTTTAAGATTTATTAAATCGCTGGAAATTGCAACCTAGTTAACGCCTTTATAAAGAATGCCCTTAATGGCACTCTTTAGCGCTTTATAAGTATAAATAATATTATAATTAAGGTATAAGGTTATATAGATTATGGTTAAGAAGATAAGGTAATTATTTAAATATAATAAAAAGTTAAGAAAATTATAATGCATTAAGGCTTAAACTTAAATTGCTAAAGTATAATTTAATAATTTATTAATAAACCGCGTTAATATAACTTTAAATGTTATTATTATATTATATATTATAGGGTTATTATATTAATATTAACGTAATTAACTTAAATATATATATTATATAATTATAAAAATAAAAAGATTATTAAAGGTTTTTAATAAGGGATAATAAAATAACTTCTTTAATTAAAGGTAATATATAATAAAAGTGCAAAAGTTTAATTTATATTTATTAATTACTTATAAATTACCTTATAATATAATATAATTAACTAACTTTAAATTATATCTTTTTTAAGCGCAAACTTTATATTTAAGATTTTTATAATAATGCTTATATATTAAGGGTTTAAGTAATAAGGGTTATTATTATCTTATAAATACTTAAGTTATTAATTTATATTTAATAAGCATCCTTAGTTAAATTTCGTAATTTAATACTTATATATTAAAATTAAAAGTATTGCTATTTATTAACTTAATTAATAATCTTTATTTTATACTTTACTTTTTCTTTATTTAAATACCTTATTTATTAATCTTTATAACTTATTAACTTTATTTACTTAACCCTTATTTTAATAACCCATTTTTTAATCACACTTCTTAATTTCTTTATTTAATAAACAGCATTAAATATAGCAAAGCTTAAGCTAAGCTAAATTAAGAAATTTTAATTATTTAAAGATTAAATAATTATATTAACAGTTTAAGGGTTTGGTTTAGTTTTTATTTAACTTAAGCGCTATAAGTAATAAAAGCATAAGTTTATAAAATGCATTGCAAATAAAACGTTTATATAGCAATTATAACCTTTTAAGCTTTTTAATTTTATATAATTAAAATATTTTAATATATATATATACTTAATTAACTTCTTCTTATTAATTACATATTTTAATAAACTAATTAACCTTTAACCCCTTAATAACAACCCAAGCCTTTTTATATACCTGCCTTTTATAATAATATAGCGTAGTAAAATAATAGCATACTTGCAATTTAACTTATATATATAATTAATTAATTACTTCTTAATCTTAAGTTTAATTTAACTTAATACTTTTCTTTTTTTTACACTTTTTAAAAGTAGTATATACTTATAAAATAAAGATTGCTAATGTAGAAATAATAAGTATTGTTTATATAAAGGACTATTTAGAATTAAGTAGCTTTAACCCATTAAGATGCCCGATAGGTAGCAGCCTTAGCGCTGCATATTAAATAGCTAGCATAATCAGGCCTTCTGCCTTCCTCCCTTTCATAGTTAAGAATAATCAACCATTACACTAACTAAACGTCGTATTGCAATATGTGACCCAGCCAATAATAATTAAAATAAAAGCAAAAAAAGCAATATTAATAAAAAAAAAAGAGTATAGCAATAAGATTATTTATAATAAGTTTTTTAATAATAAGTAAGTTAATAAAAAAAAGTGTTATTTAAATAATTAAAAGGGATAAATAATAATTTATTATAAGAAATATACTTAATTTTCTTAATTAACTTTTTAACCGCTTAAATAAAGCCTTTTTTTTATATATAATTACTTTAATTACCTTTTTATTAATTATATTACCCTTTTTTTTATAAATAATAATAATTAAGCCTTTAAAACTTATTAAAAAACGCCTTAAACTTACTCTTTATTATTAATATATTATTAATTAATGTTAAAGGGCTTTTCGCTTATTTAAAATTATAATTATTATTTTGCGCTAGCGCTAATAATAATAGCAGCTCTTCTTCTTTATTATTGCTCTTAAAAAGCTTAAAAAAGTCTTCTTTTTCCTTTAAATATAGCTTTATAAGCCTTTTAATTAATTTAATATTATTTAAGCCCTTTTTATTAAACTAAATATCTTCCTTTAAGTATAAGTCTTAAAAATTAATGCCCTTATGCTTTATTACCTTTTATAACTTTATTAATTACTTTTTCTTTATTAATATATAAAAATGCTTTTATAAGGCCTTAAATATAAAATCTTTATTAAGGGCCTTTTAATTACTAAGTATTTATAATAATAATAATAAAAGCATAAGTAATTAATAATAATATATAAGGTTGCTTAAGTAAAAAGCTTTTATTATTAATAATGCTAGCAGCCTTTTAAAGCTTATTAATAAATATATTAATAAAGATATTAATAATAGCAATAATAATATTGCTAAGTACTTATATATAAAGCTAAGGGTATAAAGATTAATTAATGAATTAATTATTATATTAATGCTACTTTCCCTTTGCTTATTATCCTTTTTAAGCTTTTTTCGCTTATATATAAGGTTAATATTATTTTTACTAAGTTTCTTATTACTTTTATTAACTTTAATAATATTTATTTATTTAATAAAAAGCTTTTTTAAAGGCGCTTAAATAATAGCCTTATTATTAATTATTGCTTATATTTATATTATTAAATTAATATTAATAATATTTATATATATATATTATCCTTTTTAATATAACATTATTATTATAAAGAGTTCCCCTTATTATAATAATAATAATTAACCTTATAATAAGTACCCTTAAAGCATTATTATATTTATATTAACTTTTTATAAGCCTTAAAGCTAAGTAATTAATTATCATTCCTTGTTATTATTATATAAATAGTAATTAATCCTTCTTAAGGGCCTTTAAATAATAATAACCTTTTTATTAAAGGAATACTTGCTAAGCGTTTAACTATTAATAAATTATTTACTAAGCTAAGCATTAACCTTGCTAATAAAAAAGGCCTAAAAACCTTAATACTTAATTATTACCTTAGCATTATAATACTTTAAAACGTTATTTACATTATTAAAAGTATTACCTTATAAGTATATATAATTATAAAATAATAAAAACCCTTGCTTAAAGAAAGCATTCTTATAATTTAATTATTAAAAAGTTTTCCCTTTAAATGCCTTTTAATCCTTTTTATTATACTTAACTAAATTAAAAATGTTTTTATTTATAGCTAATAACTTACCTTAAATAAAACTTATAATAGCTTAATTATTATATTCTTTATATTAATAAGCTTAGCCTTAATTTAATTCTTTATCTTTAAGAGAAAATTATTTAGCAAAAGATTAATATTAAAAGCTTTATATTTATTATTAATAAACTTAAAGCTATATTGCTTTATTAATAATATAAAAATAAGTTATATATTAATAACTTTTATTTATAATATAAGAAATGCTTTCTTAAGTAACTTTCTTAGCAAGGAATAGCTTTTTAACTTCTTAATATCGCTACCTTTAACATTACTAGCTAATAATAATAGTTTAAGTATACTTAATATTTTTTAATTAGCATTATTACCCTTAGCTTTATTTAGGCTAATTAAAGCGTTATTTTCATTAAGGATAGCTTTAAAAATAACCTTTTTAGCATTTTTAATAATATATTAAGCAGTATATTAAGTAGCTATTTATTTATCTCCAAAGGTTTTTAATTAAGCTATTAGCTTTTTTTTTATAATAATAGCAGCTTTTACCTTTATTATTAGCTTTTTTATACGTAATAACGCTATTAATTAATTAATATAATGCTTATTAATAAAGTAAATAATTTAGCATTATAAATAAGTATATAATTGCAATAACTAGGCTTTTGCTTCTTAAGGGCTATTAAAATAAGTTTGCTGTTAATTTAAGTGCATTATAATTATCTTAAGCTAAGGTTAATAAAGCGTATGTTTTCTTATGTAATAAGCTTAAATTAATTGCATTACTCTTAATTATTTTAAAGATATATATAAAATAAGGTCTTAATAACCTCTCTTTTGTTAAATTAGGTATATAGTGATGGCGAGAAGGTTGTTCTTGAGAATATTGGTATGTATTCCGCGTTCATAGCAAACTTTTGATGCGGGGGGGGACAGCTGACCAAAGAGACAGGGGGGGCTGCGTTTCGTTTGGGACAGACAGTGGCACTTACATACTCTCATATGCAATCAAACGTATTAAAATGGCGCTAGTGGTCTGCATTTAACACCTCGCACCTTTTTTATACGCACTTTTTAATTTAGCTTTAATCTATTTAAAATGTATATAAGAAGAAAGCTGGAATTCCTTTCATTTTATGTCTACCCAAACGATGTCTCTTCATTTCATTCACTGTTCATGTCCAGTACTCGATAACTCTAGACCGTCGAGGCCGAACTTCACTACATCACTTTCGCGAAGAGAGCCACGGAGGGCGAACGACGAGGTTGTTTCTAATGTCTCCGAACCTGCGGTGGTGGCTCATGGTTCGGCCCGAACAGGTCTTGGCACTAAGGCGTGTAAGTCCTCACTCGATCGTAAGCCCGAATTGACTGGCTACTTTCTCACCGGCCCGATCTGGCTGTCTGGATTCTGCTGAATTATGGAAAATTGGTCTAATTTCTCAAGAATGATTTATAATGAATGGGCAGACAGGTGTAGACTCGTGACAGCCTCGAAGAACGTGCCCTAGAAAATCCACCTCTGGCGCTGCCTCTGCTCTGCATGATCCACCGTTTCCTTTTCCTTTTTGGTAACCATTAATTCGGCCAACCTTTACGAAGTCATTCATCATGGACCGCCTTGGTGCTCTTGAGCTTGCGGCCTTGACTGGAGAATCTAAGCAGCTATACGAGGACATAAAAAACTATTTCGAAGGCAATGTCAAGTATGGAATGCCCTCCCTCGGAAGAGTCACTACTGACACCCCGATAGCTACACATACAGACTATGCAATGGACAAATGGTTGGACCAGTAAGTCTTTTGTCTGGAGCTCGGGCACAGCCCAACTCTGACTCGAGTCTCCCAGTTCGGCATTGAATTACATACACCAGGGGCTGGATACGCCTGGCTCAAGATGACCAAGTCCCTGGCCGAGATCACAGAGCTTCCGCCACTGGCCCGTGAGGTCGCCATCCTTCGTAACTGGGAACCACGAAGCGGCTGCCTACGAAATCTATGCCCATTCGGCGGTGTCCAAGCTTAGTTCCGAGGACTTGAAGACTATCTCTGATGGTCGATGCCCGGACCACCTCGATGAAAAATGCCGCGCCGCGTTCGATCTCGCCACGGAGCTTTGCAAGCCCGGGCGTCTGTCTGATAAGGCGTGGGAGAAAGCTATTGGCTCACTGGGGAAAATGGCGGCAGTTGCTGTTGTGCACTATGTTGGGTTTTATAAGTATGTTGCAACCATACTAAACGGGTTTGATGCAAAGGTTCCGGAGGATCCTTGATTTGGCGTCGTAAAGTGTTCTTAGATCAACGAAAACTTTATGTTTCACAATTTGATGTTTCTCTGCACTTCTGCTATGAAGTCTTAGTAAGCATGTAATAGCAAATCTTAAAAGATAAAAGAAAACAAGCTGATCTGAGCGTTGGTGACAAGGAAATTGGTTTCTCTCTCATCAGACACGGAGGATGGGAATATGACGCGCCCGCCTCGTTCGGATCAGAAGAAGAAGAAAATTGAGCGAATGTGAACTTGAACACTTTGGGGGATTTTGTTCGGCTCGCGAAGTTGGTCATTCAGCGAACGCCAAGTTCGAATCTCTAAAGCCCACTGTCTAATGAGAACAGAAACCGGCTGATACGGGCGAATATCTCCTCTCGCGTCCGCGGGAAGATCCGTGGCATTTCGCATCGGCCCGAACGAGACAGACTAGGTCAAGCACCACCATGATTCGTTAGTTCCCGTGTGTTCGGCGCGATGCTTACTAGTCGAAGTGCCTAGGCTAAACCTTGGGAGGTTGATCGTCGACTGGATCCAACGGTCACGCACTTTGCTTCATCGGCCCGAACGCAGTATCTCGCGCTTGGTCAGCTCGAGCAGCCGAACAACACCAACCTCGCGAGTCGGACTTCGCATCAATACCATCAACGTGCTGTCAAACATTATGAAAATGGACACGCTAGGTGGATATGAGGAGCCAGAGATGGCCACCTCTCTGGAATACTCACATCATCATTCACCACAGAAAACAAAGAACAACCTCGGACAGCGCAAGCTTCTTGACTCAAGAAGACCAGCCTCATTGAGTCAACTCATAATTTTATAAATTACACCGCAGCAATCTCTAAGTCCCGTATCAGTTTGTCATCATGCCGGAGACATACGCCCCAACAACCCTGGGCCTCTTCTCCCTGTCCCAAGACCCCAACTTCCACTATGAGACTCTCCGCTCGATCGGCCTGGCCCGCTACATGGGCGGCGACATTGGCGAGCAGCTCAACCTGATCCCTAAGATTAAGCCTGGAGACCTCGAGTCCTGGTACCGCGAGTGGCGCGCCCTCGCGGGCCGGGTGCTGGCCCAGATCGACGAGGACAACCTCGATAAGCACTCTAGCGTCACCATCCGGGACGTCTACTTCCGCGCCAGCCACTCCGTCTTCGTGTCTGACTTCTTCCTGCACGGCAACGTCGAGGACCCGCGCCTCAGGGAGAACTACAGCCTTTGGAGGAAATACTACGATCTTGCCAATGCCCGCCTCGACATCCCCGGCGAGCACGTCCTGCTCGACACCCCCTCCGGCTTCAAGGTCCCGCTGATCATCTACCGCGCCGCCAGGGCCTCCGCCGATACGCCCAGGCCGACCCTGCTCGTCGGGGGCGGCTTCGACAGCAACTACGAGGAGTGCATGCACTGCTTCGGGGTTCCGGCTTTGGAGAGAGGATACAACGTGATCCTGTACGAGGGCCCGGGTCAGCCCACACTCCTCCACACCCAGAAGGTCGGCTTCATTCATGACTGGGAGAAGGTCGTCACCCCGATCATGGACTACCTCTTCGAGCACCAGAAGGATACCACCGCATTCATCGATCCCAACAAGGTCGGCCTGATCGGCTTGAGTCTCGGCGGATTCCTGAGTCTTCGCGCGGCAGCCTTCGAGCCCCGCCTCGCCGCCGTGATCGCCATCGACGGCGTGTACAGCTTCCTCGAGTGCGGCCTCGGCGCGGCGCCCGACCTCGCCGGTCCGTGGGAAAAGGGTGACGCCGAAGCCTTCAACGCCGCCTTCGAGACCCTCGGCCCTGACGTCTCCACTAACCGCCGCTGGTTCCACGACCACGTGAAGTTTTCGTTCCAGGAGAAGGACCCGTGGACGCTGTTCCAGACCGTCGCCAAGATGGACCTGGCCGGTGGCGTCGCGCAGAAGATCAAGATGCCTGCCTTCATCGGCGAGGCAGAGGGCGACCTCTTCTTCGGCGACCAGCCCCAGCGCGTGGCCAGGGAAATCGGGCCCAACGCGACACTGGTCAAGTTCGGCAACGACCAGGCGGCCTCTGCGCATGTGCAAAGTGGCGCAAATGCGTATCTCAACGCGAAGATTGGAGATTGGTTTGCGGGCATCGTTGGGTTCTGAGGGCGGGGATTGTCTTGCTCATATCGTGTTCATAATATCGCCTAGTGCTGCGTTTTGGTCGAATATATCGAGGTGCCAGTTCCAATTTGTCCAGTCTCCACTCACCGTGTTCGCGAAAACCGATGGACCCAGATTCGAGAAGTCGAAACCCTCAGCGCTGAGAAAGTCACCTCCCAGGTCATTGGGGAAACCGAAGTCTGCTGCCTGGGATGCTGCCAGCTGCGGCTGTACAGTTTCGGACGGCGGGAAGGACTGCGGAGATGGCAGGTGGCTGTGAGGAGTGTTGTCGTTCGTGCTCTGCATTATTGAGCTCTGAAGGTCCGACATCGAAGGTGACGCTCCCTCGGTGCGGACAGTCCTGCGCAGTCCGTTGAGACTATAGAGAAGTACCGAGTCTTGCAATGGCTCTGACAGGCCTCCGTCATCTCTCCTGACTGCAGAAAGATCATCAATATCGTTACGTTACTGGTATTTCCGTTGCTTGCATTAGTAGCCGCTGTTGGCGCAGAGGCTTTCATATGCCGTAATTGCGTTTGATACAGAAGGATTATTCTTGCCCACTGCATGTTGTTTAGTGAACACTTCTCTTCACATGTATATTTCAAGGCCTACCAGCTTGTCAAGGTGCTTCCAGCACAGTTTCATCTGTTCAAGGATCTTCAATACCGACACCAGACCAGACCTTGCTGTCGCCGCCAATGCTTCATCTTTCGAAGAGATGAAGGCGATCAGAATAGACGCCGACACATACATACAATACCCTGTGAACGGGGCCAGCCGGGCGGCATCGATGTTCAGAGTGCTCAGATCTGCAGCCATCTCGCTCATGAGTTTCGCGCCTTCAAGCGCTGTTCGTGCGCTAGTTCTGACGGCGGCGCGAGGGACAGCGTGCTGTGGCGGAATTCCGCTGAAATGAGGAACCATGGTCGAGTGGAGAACGATCTTGCTCTGATGATATATCGTATGCATAGCGACAAACCATGGATCCTGTTTCGGGTTACAGAATTCGTGCAAGTTTTCTCTGGTGTAAGTCATTGACGCAGGCAAGTCTGAATACCATTCTGTGAGTTGCTGATCGAGAGCGAATAGCTGTGCCATGGCTTCGTTCACGGCCAAGCTTTTCCTGGCCTCGAGGTAATCACAAACTTTGGTCCTATTGCTGGAGTTAGCTTGTGGTTGACCGAGATATTTCTGCCGTCGACTTTGCTCACCATCGAAATACTGCTCTTATGCTCTCGAGAATAAGATTGACCTGCCGAGACTGGTTTGCCCCTCCGACATCAGGGGCCAGGTCCTCGACGCCGGCCAGCGTAGCTCGTGCTCGGCGCCTGGTATCAACAGGCGCTCCCTCTGCGAGTGGCAACGGTACCTTGATCCTCCGGACGCCCAAGGATGAGCCGACGACATAATTGTCAGCATTGATACAATTGGTGATCCAACCGGCCCAGAAACATCTACATAGAGTCTCTGTCTCTGCTTGGTCGGCCGCGCCGTCCGTTGATCGAGAGGCTTCCTGCTCGTCAAGCAGAGTCCTTACAGCTCTCCACGCGATGCCTGGTCCCGCGATCAGCGATAATGGACATAGAGAATTAAAGTCATATCGAACCTGTGAACATAGAGTGCCTCTGCGCTTCTCCAACAGCAAACCAGAAGAAGCCGAGCACCTGACACACTTGGATAACCTCCAGGGTTGGCTGGTCGGCTTTTGGGAGGCTCTGATCGCCGGCTTGAAGAGCCCATTGCCGGCCTACGGATCTGGGATCGTCGCCTAATTCTTCCAGCAGTACCCCATTCTGCTGGAGCAAGGTGGAGGAAGGATGCAGAAACCTTGAACACGATCAGCAAGTCTCCTCTCCAACACGGATAGTCGAGCATACGCTGTAGCCATGGCACATGTCGCCAGCAACACCGGTTCCGAAAGTCGGTCCTCTGTCCAGTCGCGGATGACAGACGTTCGGTCAAACATAAGCGTCGAGTTGAAAGTGTAAGAGAAGTACACATCTAGCAGATCTCGCTGAACACCACGAGGAGGCAGCTGAACAGCAGATCTACGGTGTACCGCGTCCGGGCGAGGGCTGGAATGACCACCGGGTTCACGGGTGGAGTCATCGGGATGCTGCTCATGCTCCGTGGCGCGCTTACGCTTCGTCACGCGGGCGGCAGCCAGTTGCTTGCGGTCCGGCGGAGGGGGATAGCCACACTGGGCGTCGAGACGGATACATCTCGCACACCTAGGGAGCTCCCGAGAGCATCTGAGCTGTGTAGTGTCAGATGGAATTCATGATTTTGGGTGCAAAGATATGCTCACCTTCTGTTCGCGACATCGACGGCAAGCCGTCGTGGCTTCGGCGTCATCACCCATGCTCTCGTTTCTGTAGATCGCAGCGCAGAGTGAGCGTGAGAGCCCAAGCCATGTCGTGTGAAAGATGAGCGGAAGTTGAGGTTGCTCGCCGCGAGGTGAGACCAATACCCCAACTGTGTCGACGTCATTAGCTCCCTTCCAGCGTCTAAGAGAACATTTCTTACAATCATTCAAACATGAGGCTGATGTTTCTCATGCAACGTCGATCTTCCATTTGAAGGGTCTTGTAAAAGCACATGTAGAGTAGTACCAAGATCTACTCACAATCTTACAACGTGCAAACGTACGCCCGCTTGGTCATGACCATCTAAGAAGTCGGTCTTGGTGTAATTGTTTGGAATATTGTTTCTATGCGCACATTGATCCACAAATCGCCCAGACGCCTCTGCGCGTTTCCTAAACGCCATGCTCTAACCCTGTTCCCATGTTACTGAAATACATACACCACCCCCGACCGGTCAACAGACACAGTCATCGTATACGGGCTCTCCAGCAGCGCGAGGTCCAGTATGGAGTCCAGGTGCGCCTTCAGCAACTGCTGCTGCTGCACCGAGATGACGGTCGACCTCGTCGGCCTGCTGCTGGCCCCCCGGTCGGCCCCGTGGGCCCGGCGGCCCCGCCTGTCCTCGGCGTTGTTCGCAGACGCGCCGCTTCCCTGGCCACGGGGCAGCCTCTCCGTGTTGAGCGTCATGGCCGTGGTGGGGTGGCTCGCCGAGTAGGTCGGGTTGCCCTCGTCCACCTGCAGCCCGCTGAACACGGTTGAGTTCTCGATCCTCGTCAGGTCCCAGTAGCGGAGCTTCTTGTCCGAGCCGCCTGTGAGCAGGAACGCGTGCCTCACGTCGCGCTGCTCGCCGCCCTCGAGGGACCCGCTCCCCACGACCATGGCCCTCACTCCCCTGTCCGCGTTGCCCGTGGCGCTTGGCTCGATGTTCGTCGCGAAACGACCCAGCATCCCCTCCGGCCTGTCCTCGTCCACCTCCCAGGCATCGTAGCCCTTAGGCCCCTCTTTGTTCCCACCGACGCGGTAGATTTCTCGGCAGAGGGTCTTCTCCAGGTCCCAGACAGTTACTTCGCCTTGGCCAGTGCCGCCCGAGACGCATACCCACTTACCGCGACCCTTGATAGGATGTATGCTGAGGCGATAAATGGCAGATTTTCCTGGTACGCCCCAGCCCTTGAGCCGCATTTTGAAGCGGAGATCCCAAAGATCCAGAACGCCGTGTGAGGTACCGAGACAAAGCCAGTTCTTTTTCCTATCGATGCAGAAGCACGTGGGCGTGCCATGATGGACCGGGTTCTCGAGGACATATAGGAGAGACATGGTTCTCAGGTCGATTCCAAGAACGCGTGACCGGTTCGTGGCTATGACCATCACACTACTGGTCTCCTGCTTAAAATGCTCGCACCAGACAGCAAACTCGTCATCCGGCAACTGGTACTCCCTCAGAAGCCTCAACTTGCCGTATCGCGTTGCGGTACCGGCATAGGCGGTTTCGACCTTGACCACGTGGACGCTCCCGTCGCTGGCGCAGCTGATGAAGCAATGCGTGTTCTCGATAAAGCACAGGGCCAGCACCTTTGCTCCTGGCGCATGCCGATGTGTCTGCCTCGATTTGTGAGCAATGTTGCGCTCCAGTCTCGCAGTGTCCCACACCTTCACAGCACCATCGTCTCCGCCCGTGACGAAGAAGACGTGGTCAGGGGAAGCCACAACACGGTTAACGGCTCCAACATGCTCGGAAAAGGTCGCCATCATCTTGCCCGTCGGTTTCCAGCCCTCAGAAAATTGTCCGTTCGCGTTTTTGCTGACCTTTCGGCGGTTGATCGGCGTGACCAGAGGTCCGAACTCTGCAATATCGTGCGGATAATTGTCCACGTACATAGAGTCCAGCATTTTCAGAACATGAGGATCGTTGCCAGGGTAGTTGTGACTGAAATGCAGGTGGGTTCGAGAATTGTCCTCGCCATCTCCGATGGACAGCTTGGAAGGTGTGGCGGGTGAGAAAAGACCTTCCACGCGCCCGGTGGCGTTCGCGTCAGTCATGCCGGTCTCTGCTGTGGCCTTGGTGCTGTCCCTTCTGTCCTTTCTATTGAGCAGGTTGATCGCGCTTGAAGTATGCCGCAGCGTCCTTTTGGCGGCCCCTGTGGTCTCTTCAGCTCCATCGATTGGACGGAAAGAAGTAGCTCGATTTTGGTCTCTGGATGATTCGCCGTTTGGGGAGGGAGGCCCACCTTCAAGGGGCTGGCGGCCATCTGGGCCAGGAGAGAGGTTCATCTGGCTACTCAGCCTGACCCGGTGCGTATTGATGGCAGCGCGCTTTCGCTTCCCTATTGGATCATCGATGCTCATAGATGCGTCCATCAGTGCGTCGGTAATCGTCCTCGGTGCGTTCGCGTCCACGTCCACGTCGCCACCGCCCATTTGTTTCTTGGGGGCTTCCTCGTCGAACATGACAGTCTGTACAGTGACGCCTAGAGTGCGCAGGTTTATGATGTCGTTCAGCTCGGTTATCATCATGTTCGCAGACGAATCCCTTGCTTTGATCTGGCTAAGGCGCCAAATAAACTCGCGGAGGGCCAGCAGTTTGAACTCGTCATTCGGCGATAGACCCAAATTTCGAAGTCTACCAAGCCACTGTTCGTCCTCCTCGTTCTTCGCGACCTTGCTGAGGCTTTTCGGATGCAGCTCTTTGGATGCTCGATTCGAAATTGCGGCAGCTGAGGTACCGAAAGATAGCCTGCGCAAGTTGCGCATCGTCTTCCAAAAAAGACCTCTATCGGATTGCACCGCCCACAGTAGAGCTTGGTCAAACACAGACCGAGACAGAGGCTTCTTCAGCGCATCAAGCAATGCCAACTCAGTAAAATTGTTCGGCATGACCATAGTCTTCAAGAAAGGAGACACGAGTGGCTGCAGGGTGCATTTTATATCTGCTGGGGGCAGGTGTTTCGCGGCGGCAGGGATGAAGTTGGCCGCTGATTCTCGGATCCAGATATTCGGATGCATCGAAAATCGAGCGACAACATCAGTGAGCTCCCACAGCCGCGGCTTTGACAACAGCCCAAGGCCGGCAAGTTCTGCCAACGAGTGCAAAGCGCCTTGGACTACGTGTTCTTCCGTGTCGGTAAGGGCCTGGATCATGAGGGGCAAAATGAACTCCTCAAGGCTGACGCTGCCCATAAACGCAGCAATTCCAACGATTGTCTCAAAGAACGCGCATTTCAGGATCCAGTCGCGGTCGTTGAGATACGTGTTGAGGTGGGTGAGGATAATGTCGTTGGATTCCGCGGTCCCAAAAAACAGACACAGTTCAGGAACAGAGCTTAGGAATGCCCGGCGAACGTGGGGATCAGCATCCTCGATGAGGCTCTTGGTGTGCGACTCGAACAGATCGATCAGCTCTTGTTGAGCTTCATCAAATAAGCCGTCGAAATTCGCATCGGGTTGGCTTCCCGATTCAACGTCTGGATCGGCAGCTGCTATCGTCCCCGCAGCCTTGAGTGTTGACGACATCTGTAAAAATCGTTTGGCCGTTGTCGCCAGACTGCCAATGCAAGATGCATATGTCGCTCTCACCAGCGGACTGGGGAGAGTACTAGTCCCGTAGAGCGTTATCTGCATGCGCGGCAGTATGTATTCGAGGAAAACGTGTGCATTGACAGGGTTCACTGACTTCACAAGAGCCAGAAGTTGTGTGATCGTCCTTGTTGAGGTGATCGCGACGATATCGGCCTTATCAGTAAGTAGTGAGATGAGGTATGGGAGGACTCGATCGAGCTTTGCCTCGTCCGTCAGCCGCTCCGCAAATGCCAGGAGAACATCACAGGCTCGAACTTTGGACGCCGCTCGCGCTGTGTTCCGCAATGATGATACAACGAGGGTCAGGAAGATCAAGGTCCCATCGTCAGAAGCCGGTTGAACATCGCCAGAAACGGCATATTCGTTGTTCGGGATGTTGAGCCGCACGGGGAAATGTCCCAGTCCAAGTCGTGGCAACAGCTGGACCGATTCTGTTCCTCGGGAGTCGTTTTCGTATCCCAGAAAGTACGAAATCTTATCGAAATCATAGAAAACTCGATCGATGCGCTCATCTGCCTCGCCTAGGTTCCTCGTTGCGCCCGAGACGGGATACTGTCCAGAGGAAGGATCCGTAATCACCTCCATGTACTGGTGTAGGAACGTGTAGAAGTAATCAGGGAAGGCTTTCTTGCGCCAGAACTCCAGATACTGTTCGGCAGAATACCTCTGCTGCGGATCCAGCTGGATCATGGACGCCACCAGCTCACGTATGTCCTTGTCCGGAATGCGACTCAGATGTGAGATGCCGGGGTCGTATTCGCCCTTGCGGTATTTGTACAGCTGGCTGAGGCTGAATATGGGCGACTCGAGAAACAACTCTGCGATCACACACCCGGCACTGAATATGTCCATGGCCCAGGTCAAGCTGGCATTGGTGTTCGCATTTCCGCCTGGCGGCACGAATCGCTCCGGGGCGATATAGCACGTTCGCCGGCTAGATGTGTCGAAAAAGTAGGAGAAATCGGTCGGGTTGTCGTCGGGGAGCGTCACCGGCTTGAAAGAGGAGGAGAAATCGGTGAGGTACAGCCAGTTCCAAGAGGTCACCAGCGTGTTCTCGGCCTTGATGTCACCGTGGTATATGTCCCTCGCATGGCAGTCGCGCAGAGCGCAGAGAAGCTGGAAAGATATCCATTTCTTTTCTATGTCTTCGAGGAAGGGCCTCGTGCTCAAGCGATCGTACAGAGAGTTGTAGAGGTATTGGCGGACAAGATAGCCGTTGGTCTCGGTCTCGACGACTCTTTGGTATCCGAGCGCATTCGGGATGTCGGCGAGAAGCTTGCGCTCACCTGTGTGCAGGTTCGGTCTTTTAGCCAACGCTTCTTCAGGGACGAGGTCGAAGATGAGAGGGGCTTACGGATTATCTCTTGCCTGAAGCGGCTCAGCGACATGGGCGTGTAGGGCTTGATAAACACCTTGACCAGAACGACGCCGTCATGATGCCGGGCGCGGATAGTCTTCATGAACCGTGCGGACCCAAGCGTCTTCTCGTAGACAAGATCCGCCAGTTCTGGGACCTCGATTCCCGCCGCGCCGGCCGCAGGCGTTGTCACGGAGAAGCCCTGCCCCATCGTGGCAATGAACGACGCGGTGCCGCTCGAAGATGGGAGGGGTTCTTAGCAGACAAGAGCTATCGCAACTTGTAATGCGAGTAGGAGTCGTGGATTCGGGGTCATGTTGGTCGCCCTGGCTCCTGCGAGACACCATGAAACCTGACAAGCGGGCCCTATCGTTGTCTGCTGGTCAGGAATCCAGCGCGAGAGTTCAACGGCGTTGGGAAAGCTTCCAAGTTACCTAATGAGCAAGAGGTGGGCGACTTGCTGAGAAGCTACCAACCTAGCAATGGGTACCCCCGCGGTCCAAGCCCAGTACCTAGGTACCTAGGTAGCTAAGTACCGAGCTCTTGCCTGCCGCTCGGTGCATAATTGGGTACTTTGTCCACCGTTCCTGAGCCATTAACAATGGTCCGGCCAAAAGTGACAGGTACGTCACCGTGTACAAGTAATCTCAGCACTCGTAACAAAAAAAGAAAGACAGAAAAAGATGAGAAAAAAGAAATAAAAACAACCATGGAACTGCAGACACAAACAACTGAGGTAGCCAAGGCCTTACTGCTCCACTCGTCTCACGGTGTTCGGTGAGCATCATCACCTTGTCCTTGTGGTGCCGTCTGTCTTGACGCGGTCCTCATTTCCATCTCAAGTCACAGAATCACTTGTATCTCGCCAAAGATTGGCTTTGGAAGGTCTTCCATTTTGCTTGTCACGTCGGATCGCTACTATGGACACAAGGTCTGCAGCAAACAAGCTGAATTCAAGGTTTGTCACATACTTCAAGACCTGGGCATGAGAACACACCATATCAAGGCACTTGTGCAAGTTGGGTTGCCTGTAGAAATGTTGAGTGTATTGCCGATCATGGCAAGGTTTTAAGTCGTTCGACTCGATATCTCCCGTCTTACGCATAACGCATCGTATCACCGACGTCCTTCCTTAGCTCATATCGTCTCCTCTTTCCTGAATAGTAGGCAAAAATTACATGATTTTGGGCCCCCTCCCCTCGAGTCCTCCACCACCAACAAACACCTGATCGCAAACCTGGGTATATTTAGACCAAAACAATGAAATGAACGGGGAGGCCGCAGGATAAACGAAGATATTAGGTCGTCTAAGGTAAAGGGCGTTAAGCGTGTCGTAGCAATGGTGAAACTGCCTCTATGTTTCCTGGTCACCCTTCGAGAACGTCATCGGGCACAATTTGTACATGCTTGCCGCGTGACTGGCTGGGCTGTGGTCCGAGACGTCTCGAACCAAATATGCTTCATCTGGCTCCTCTGCTCGTGAAAAATGGTATCGAACGCCTGCAATGCAAGACTCTGGCTGGGCCAAGACGCGATACGGGGCAAGAAAGTCGTATAATCATGAAATTAGTTGTGACGAATGTACACATCAGCGCTGGTGAGCGCTGGACGCGGCTTCGGTCGAGGTGTCGCTGTCGATGGTCTTTCTCCAGTGCTCGGGAAGACAGACACAAACCAGCGGGAAGGCTTTGATCTCGCCGCTGGCGGGTGGTGATAGATCACGGCCACGACCGGATGTGTTCGAGACACCGCTGTCTCGTTGCTGTTGGCGCCTAGCCTCCCATTCCTCGGCTCGCTCGTCCACCATAACGCCGGTCGCCCAGCCATCATCCCAGATGCCGACAACCTTGAGCATATCACCACGTTCGAGGACGAACTCGTCGGCAGCGCGCGGCTGGTAAGCCCAAAGCACGGCCACGCGGTCGCCAGGATGAATCTCGTCTTGGGAGTAGTAGTCCTTGAAGTATGGCAACTGCTCTGATTGCTGACTGGCAACTGCTTGGGGCGAAGACATCCCATTGCTTGCAGCATCCTCGCCGGCAAGAAGCACGGAGCCGCTCGACAGTGAGCCCGTCCTCTTCAGCATCGACGCTGGTGGTGGTCGCAAGACACCTGCTCGGGGTTCCGACTGCGGACTGTCTCCGAATTCACTCGAGGAGGAGTGGTTTTCGACGCGTCTGCTTCTAACAGCGCCCACTGCCGCGGCACTTTCGGAATGGCGAGAAGGCGCATCTCCTGAGTGGCCCTCAAGAGCCGACATCCTAGCGATCCTACCGCCAGGCAAGGCTTCGTATCCGTGCGGTGTCGTGTTAGGGGGCCCAGCTTGAGACATGGGGCCTCTCCGCGCGGGCGACGGCTGATTGAATATGCTTCCATGCTGACTGCCTCGCTTGCGCCGTCTGATGAAGATGCAGCACAGGACTATCAGGCCTATTATTAGCGCAGCACCGGCGATACTCCCGATGACGATCCCCGCGATCGCACCGCCGCTGAGGCCGCTTCTGCCGGCGGATGCGGTGCTGGAGGGAGAGGGGCTGGACGTGGAGGTTGGAAGCGTTATGGTGGATGTGATGGAAGGCAGTGTCACGCCTGCACAGCGTTCCTCGGCATTTGAGTTGTAGCAACATGTGTCGGTCGAGTTAGTGCCGCCAGATGCGCAGTACGAGCAGAGACCAATGGTGCTGTTGCCGTATCCACAGTTGTCCGGCTCGTTTTCGATGCCATCGATGCAGTTATCCGAGGACAGCGAGTCTGCAGGCAGAGCGCAATTCGTAAAATCCGCCCTGATTTGTGTAGTAGCCCCACTGCTGGGATTTGAGCATAATTGGTTATCAGACACGTAGTACGCCTCGGCCTGTGCAAATTGTGCCTTGGGGATGATCAGTAAGATAAGTACACCATCAACGGGCAGAGTGGCTTACACATGTGTCGGCGCAAAGAGGTTGCGATTGTGAGGATTGCAATCCGCAGGGGTTGATCGAGTTCTGCACGATGGCATTACATATTACAGAAGTCGTGAAGCGTGCGTAGAGGTTGGAAGTGTTCGTCAGCTCGATATTACCACAGCCAAATAATGTCTGATATCTAGGTGTTTGTCAGCAGGCGATGTGGCAGGGAGATCAGAGCGCGTAGTGAACTGACTTGTCCTGCACGTATGTCGTCTGGACGTAAGACTCGAGCTGTGCATCAAAAGACGCGCGGTCCGATACGTATTGGAGGAACGAACTATGACGAGAGGTTAGACTGCAATGCTTTCTATGCACGGAGAATTCATGAAGTACGCACAAGAAGCCCACGAGCGTAGAATCTGTTGATATGGACGCGGACTGAAACGATGGACATGCCGTTGAGCCCTGGAGGGAGATGCATTGTTCGGCCATGGCGCCGGCGGTCAAAAGGGACACGCCGTTTGGGTCGTGACCTCACCCTCGCCTATTTCCTGACACCGAAACGGCACTCGAGGTCCTTTTTCTGGGGTCGACAGCTGCCGTCTGGGTGAAGGGCCCGGGTCTGCTTGCGACGAAGCGAGAGATACGGGGTCTTGGTGGATTTTTGTATCACGCCAGAAAATAATTCATCGTCGTACGAAAGCTCAACATGCGATCCAAGTAGAGTAGTCGTGAGTGACGAGACGCTCAAGCGGGAGGGCTTGAGAAACTGGCCGGTCTCAATCGAAGTTCCTGGCGGTGCTGTGTGTCGCTCGATGGGGCGACGCTGCCGTGCTGAGACCAAGCCTCTCTCGACGAGATTGAGGGTACGCGCGAGGTTGGCCGGAGCCAGTCAGGTCGCGCAGCCGTGGAGCTTGTCGCTTGGGAGGTGGGTCGGTGGTAGTAATTGTGTTTTTTCCGGGTTGAGAAGCTGTGCCAGCTGCGGGCAGGAAAAGGAAGCGTCTTTAGGGAAATGAACGACAGCAGCTGGACGCAGAGACACAGAGGCTGCACACGCGGGTGAGGAAGGTACGAGGAGCCCCGGGACTAGGGACCGAAGGAGGAGCTTCGGACGCGGTTGTTCTTGCCGTGATAGGTTGGGCCAATGCAGGGACGGGAGGAACGATGTGGTGTTTATCATGCGCCTGCTGCAGAAGCGCCAACAAGCTGAGGTGGGGGGGGGGGGATCCGTGGTGAGTGCTGTCGGTCTAATGCAAGGCAACACTGAGAGGGACGGGTGTGGTGGCAGCAATGCCGTGAGCAGGACGACCGCAGGGCCGGAGGAGGAGGAAGGGTGGTGGTGTGGTGAGGTGTGGAGAGCGAGGCGGAAGGGGAGAATTATTAATTAGTGAGGGCTGTGTGTATGTACGTATGAACGAACGAGTGTATGTAGGGACCATGTGCTGCGACAGCAGGTCAAACAGAAACAAAAGAGGGCGCGGTAGTTGGGATCTGGACGCAATTGGGCAAATGAGTGGCAGTCAAGAGACCTGAGACGGCAGCAGCACGAAGCAGAACCAATCTCTGCTCTCCGACAAGAGTGTTGTGATTGCAGTCGACGTCTGCCGTGTCCGGTGTGCTGTGTGTGCTGTGTGAGAGACTTACAACGCCGGGACCCGGGCTATTGCACCTCGTTCCCCCTCAACGGCCAGTCGAAGTATGTACGTACGCACTCACTCGACAGCAGGCAGGACTTTATCAGGAGTGTGCTGCGGGAGGGGGAGATCCACGACGACGGCAGATTGTGGTGGTGAGGAGGAACAAAAACAGCAAAGCCCGCACGCAAACACCAGCAACAGGCGAGGCAAGGCGAGGCAGGCCCGTCCGAATGAGTGATTGCGAAAGGGGAGCACCCTCCACCGCAGACGAGAGCTTCGTCCCAATTTGGGGATGTAGCCGAGATGGGCTAGCCGATCAGGAACAGGGTCCGGGGCTGAGCAGGCGGGCAGGGGAGGGGGATGGCATCGTTTTGCCTTTTTTTGCGCGCGAGAGAGCAGGGCCTGAAATGAGAAGGCCTCTGACATGCCCACCATTGGATCACGACGCTGTGGTATCCGTGCTACTGCGTCGCACTGCTTAGGCGTCGCACCCGCCAGAATTGCTATTGATAGGGCACCCCCAGGGCCCTCGCATGACGGCGACGCCCTCCGCGCCTGTTCACCTTCATGCTGGCCCTACAAGAGCTCTCAGCTGTTTGATTGCGATGAACAGGGCGCGGGTCCTGCCTTGCCTCCTGTCTCCTGCCTGTCATACGCATTGACAGCTGCAACCGGAAGCCTGGCGGTCTCGCCAACAAGGCCGTGGAGGACACGGACAGTTCGGCCCAGCATAATTTCACAGCTCGTACATGGTCAGTGCCAGTCGACGCGGGAGGATCACTTGGTGATTTATGCTAGCAAGATGAGGGACGGGGATCCCAAGCCATCTGGGAAATTCCCCGCCGGCCGCCCAGACACTTTCACAGCTGTCGTCCCTGTCCAGTCGCGGGCCGACTACCTCCCACCCTCCCACTGGGTGCAGCTTACAGGGATCCCAAGGGTTTGCCAGATTAGGTGCTCGAAAATACCATCAGGAAAAAGGGACAGGAAAGATGGGTGGGTGGATGGGTGTTTATTACGTGCCCAATCGTACATAGCCGGTCGGCAAGCAATATGACGGGGCAGTTGCACGAGAGAGGTCACTGGTCAAGTTACACGCGGGCGTCTGGGGGACTCAGCAGCAGGCACACCAGAAACAAGAGTCGAGGAGCACGAGTGTCCGACGTCCCGTGGGCTCGAGTCAAGTCGAGGAATGGAAAGACGACGAGCCGCTGTTCTAGGGCATTGCGGAGGAGCTAGTGCCTGGGTGGACGCGCGGGAAAAAGCCACTTGGGTTGTTTGAGACAAGTTCTGAGACTGGCCGTACCGGACTGGCCTCGAGCCTCGTCAGTGTTGCAGTCGAATCAGTCAGCCAGCAGTCAAGCCGTCCGAGGAGATTGGAAGGGACGAAGATTCAGAGTCGGATTGAATCGAATAGCTAGTCCTCGCCCGTGTTGGTGTCGCTGTTGCAGTTGCATTTGCAGCTGCAGTTGCAGTCGGCTGGCTTGGGATGGCCACCTCCGCCCTACCGCTGGCTTTCTTTTCTTTCTTGTTTCCCCTGGTCCCAACAAGCGCGTCTTCGTATCGCTAGAGTAAACAAAAAAGCAGAGACTGAGAGAGTGCGCATGCTTGTGCCTCGATGGATTGACTCCTGGTGACTGGACGACTGCACCAGTCAGCTCACAACCAGCGAGCAAGGACCAGAGGCCAAGAAGCTCTTGAAAGATTGAAGCCTGTTTAGGCAGTCGATTCGAAGAGGCCGGTCACCTCTGGCCCTGGCATGAGATCAGTATTGCCGTTCTGGGACGGATACACGTCCTCGATCACCATCCTGCCAGGTGGTTATTCCAAGGAAGTTGCTGCTCCATGCCTGCGCCCGCGGGGTTTCGTGAGCAAGCGAGAGATCATACCCGGGGCCTGTGACGCTCAGCCCCCATGGATCCAAGGGGCGGGCGAGCTCGAGAGTTGAGACGACATCTTCAGATGAAATCTTGTCGTGAGGGCGGCAGAGGCCCCTTCCCCGCACCGCGTGCGCACATGTTGATCTGGCAGGCCTCTTGACACACGTATGCCTGGGTTGTCTGGAGCCCGCTCGCTCTCTCTCTCTCTCTCCCTCCCTCTCGGTCCCTCAACGGTGCTGTCGCCGATGCACGCGTGATCACATCCGCTTCTGGAGTGGTTCGCCCGGTTTGATCTCATTGAATGGCGAGGACGTGATTGCTGCACGCACGCGGGGTTCGTCCTTTCCACCACTTCGAGCAACAATACCGGCGAGAGGTTATATGCCACCCCCGCCTCGCTGAGCCGCGCTGAAGGGCTGAAAGGCAGCCAAGGCCAATCTACCCGCAACATCGCGATCATCTGGCGGTCTAGTGACTATTCAGGCATACCCATGAGACATACCTGTTAACTCTCCGGCCTGAGGGGAGTCCCGTGGGCGGACTGCCGAGGTGGTAGACGAGGCCGCCTTGCGCAATCCATGCAGCCCATCCCGCCAGTCCGATGACCAGGCCATTGGTGTCGTGGCAAGGTTGCCCGGCGGCAGCTACGGCGGTCGTCCTCTCAAGGCTTGCCGGTCAGTCGGCCGATTGGCAGTGCTGATCTTGAGGCTCCGCCGCTCCATGTCGTGAGCCATGGTTGAGCGAGGAAAGCGGCCGATGCAGCCGGTCGGCATAATGTACTAGTCGCCTGTGGGGTGACCACACCGGGCTGGCCCAGCCTCGTTGGGAGACGCGAGGCTGATCACCACCGCATTCATTCCTCCGATCCCTGGCCACATGCAGCCACAATTGCAGGGAAACAAAGCTTCGACCTCACATGATCAGCCTAATATCCAGCGACGTGGACAGTTCACATCGATATGCCGACATGTGTTGCTGAGGTCGCCGGCGCAGTACGCTTCTATTTGCGGCAAGACGCGTTCCAAGCTAGCTCACGCTTTGATGTCAAGCACAGAGTCAAGGCACAGACTACTGTGGCATTCTAGAGGTCTCTCGAAAGGCCAGTCAAGGCTAGCATAGCGGTAGGATGGGTCGCACTCCCACGGCAGCAGAGATCGTCAAAGACCCCAAGTGGTTGCAATCGGATGTAGCCGAAGCTGCTGCGAGTTGGTGCAAGATTGGCTTCCGCACAGACTGGGACAATCGCCAGTCCCTCGGGGCTGGCCTCCTTTGTTTTGTGGTCCCCCGCCGCATCACACGAGACATGAGACGGTTCGTTTGGAAACAGTAATCAAGTCCAGCCAGAAGTTGCAACGCTGACAAAAGGACGGCCAGGTCGGCGTTGATGCTGCAATTGTTTGGTGCCAGGAACTGAGTGCCTCGCTCTCTCAGGTGGGCGGAGGACGGAGGACGGAGGTTCGCGCTCCAGTTTTCCAGACCTCGACCCGAGCATTCGGCCACCACACGCCCGGCCTGCTGACATCATTCCACGGCGCGCCAGTCTGACCCCGCCGACATCCAGAGCGACTCGCCCATTCGCTTTCACCGATCATGTCGCATTCCCTCGCTAGCCATTATAGCTGGGCCGCCACACTCCAGAGGGCGACACCAATCAACCAAGCGGGTGTCTGGTGATCCGGCGAGCCGGTAGGTTGCCGAGAGTAATGATGGATACGTAGGTCGGTCCTTTCTCCGTCATGAGTCAAATGTCTGTATATAAGAGCCGTGGGGACCGGGCTCAGATCGCATGTCCTTGGTTTCACGAGGCCTCGTGTTGTCTTACACCAGATTCGTGCCACAAGAAATCCCCAAGTTCGGACGAACCCTGTGGTTCATCTTTGTTCGAAGCTATCCCCGAGGCAACTACCGCGAACGGCCCTTGGCCGCCCTAGCGCCCCATTGGGACGTCATCAACCCGCCAACAGCCATCAATATTAATACAGCCACCCCGACAACAATTCTCGTCACTTCCGAGATATTCACAAGGCCACCTGTCTGTCGCGTTTATTGTACCATAATTTAGGTGCCATAAACTGGCAACACCAGCCCCCACAATGGCATCAACGGGCGGACAAGGTCCCCAGGCGATGGTGGGCAGCATACCCTCTCCCTTCATGTCCCACACTCATTACTGACCCAGATTCTGACCTAGGCACCACAATCTGGGCCTCCCTATGCTCCCACAACAGCCCTCCTGGGCGGACACCCCACCGTCTCCCTCGATGATCCCATCTGCGCGTGCCTGCTACTCCTGTTCATCGCAGGCGCAGTCACGCACCTGACCATATTCAGGATCAACCACAAGCGGGACCACAAGTTTGTCTTCTCAGCCCTGCTGTTCGGCTTCTGCATGGCTCGAATAACGACACTCGTCTTGCGCATCGTCTGGGCCTCCAGGCCACGCAGTGTGAACATCGCCATTGCGGCAAACATCTTCGTCCAGGCGGGTGTGCTACTCCTCTTCATCGTCAACCTCATCTTCGCACAGCGAATCGTCAGGTCGTATCACCCGCGCCTCGGGTGGTCGCGCGGGCTGAGCTTGGCCTTCAAGTTCCTGTACTTCTGCGTCGCCGCGAACCTCATAATGGTCATCACCGCCACGGTCGACTCCTTCTTCACCCTGAACCAGCAAACTCGCCGCATCGATCGAGACATCCAGCTCTTCGCGGGGACCTTCCTCGCTCTCCTCGCCTTCCTCCCTATCCCCATCACGCTTATCGCCGTCGCCGCTCCCCGCGCCAACCACCGCCCGGAGAAGTTCGGCCAGGGCCGCCAGCGCACCAAGATCTGGCTGCTCCTCTTCACGTCCACCATCCTCGCCCTCGGCGCCGGCTTCCGCATCGGCGTCAGCTACACCACGCCCCGGCCCGCCGCCGACCCGGCCTGGTACCACTCCAAGGCGTGCTTCTACTGCTTCAACTTCGTCATCGAGCTGGTGGTCGTCTACGCCTACGCCGTCGCGCGCTTCGACAGGCGCTACCACGTCCCCGACGGCAGCAGCCGGCCCGGCCACTACTCGGGCGAGAGGGTGGGCGACAGCAGCAGGCTGGGGACGGCGAACGTTGCGACGAGCAGCCTGACGGTCAACCGGGAGAGCGACGTGTTCGGGGACGAGACCATGCTCGACAGCCCGGCCGAGCAGAGCAGGAGGCAGAGCGAGTGGGAGGCCAAGGCACGGGAGGAGCTGGAGAAGGAGGCTATCAGCGATTCTGCGTAAACTTTCGGCACCGGCGTCGTCTGTTGTACATCCCCCAATCCTTGGGCGGCTTTGAGGCAGCGGGAGGTCAATACCCCCCACTTGATCATCAGTAAATGCCTAGATAGAACTGATGGTGTGTTGTGATGCATTCATAGAGATAGATAGCTTTAGCAAGTGTAATAGTAATCCGAATAACAAGCATTAGAGTTTCTCAGAAAAATCTATGTATCATTGCGGCGGAGCAGTCGGAAGACACATCTAACTTTATGCGTTCACGTGCATGCAATAAGTTCTTGCAAATCCGTGCAAAGCACGTTGAATGTAAGCATGAAATATCCAACATCCAGGAAGACGGTCGCCTGGAGATCGCGGTGCATGCAGTCATGCACAGTATTAGCCGAGATGTTCAGCAGCAGCAACTATGAATCCATGACTGGGAAGAACTTCACCATAAATGGACCCCAATGAGCCGATCAGGTTGTGTAAGGTATCATCGCAGCACTCGGCAGTGGGACCATGCCACTCGGCTCCTTGCCGGGGCGCGTTGAGATTCCCTTTTGGTGTCTGTGATGCGCTTTTGGATGGTCAAGTTCTCAGTGACGCTACAATGCATACATACCCTCCCGAATTGGGCTCATGTGCCTACTCAGTGAATCATATGAACCGGACTGTTCGAGTCTGAGGCGAGGCCGTGCTCCTGTCACTGTTTGGGCCAGTCGAGCTCGCAAACCTGCAAAACGACGTCTAATATTGTCCCTCTTGTCTAAACTTTCCCAAGCGGGCGGCAAGACCCAGCTGGAGGAACAGTTGATTAATGGTACACAAGTCAGGGATGCACCACTCCTGGCCATATATGTTGCTAGTGGTGCTAATCTACCTCAACGCTCTTTGCTTCTAAGCCTCTTCTTTGCACAGCATGCCCAATTCGCAAGGCCAGGCATCGAGTTTAGAGGAAGTAGTCTGGTGTCCTTCTTGAAACCATCGGCTCACCAGCACGCGGGCAAGGGTCGAATTGGAGGCTGAGTGTATTCGTCAGCAATCGCACTCTCGGTCTTCTTTCCAGAGCTTGAAATAACTTACAAGGTGTACTTCAGGTGCTCGTCGATCTCCATTATTGCGGCTTGGTTGCCGCATCTGTAACAGTAGTTGGGAGCTTCCAAGACGTCAGTTGTTGCGACTTGATATGAGTGGCTTTGATGCGTAGACCTACCTGAGAATATGGTCACGACGTTCCGGTCCTGGGACCAATTGTAGCCCTCCATGACCAGCTGATGAGCCCGAGCGATCAGGGTCAATCCGTTGTTATGATTGAACGCCTCCGATATGTCCTGACCGAACGTGTAACCCGCACCACGAGGCGAGATTCCCCACCCGCATCGATCATCAGGGTCGGACCACAGAAGGTCACACATAGGGCCCTCATGAGGAACCTCCTGGATTCTGTCTAGGGCCCGAATGTTGTCGAGGGTGTCGATGCTGGGGGACAGACCTCCGTGGAGACAGAAGATCTGGTTGTCAATTAGGGCGGTGAGGGGGAGGTAGTCGAAGAGGTCGGTGAAGTATTTCCAGACGTTCGCGTTACCGTACTTGCGGAGGCACTCGTCGTAGAATCCGTACACCTGGGTGATCTGGCGCGACTCGTGATTGCCGCGGAGGATGGTGATTCGCTGAGGGTATCGAATCTTCAGAGCGACGAGCAGGGTCACTGTCTCGACGGAGTAGTAACCACGGTCAACGTAGTCACCTGTGGATTCTGTTTAGCATCCAGGCCTCGTAACGTTCGCGATGGGAAGTACTAACCCATGAAGAGGTAGTTGGTGTCTGGGTTTGGACCACCAATCTTGAACAGCTCCATCAGGTCATGGAACTGGCCGTGGATGTCACCGCACACGGTCACTGGGCATTTCTATTGCACATGTGTGAGCACTTTGGCAGCAAAGGGCCGGAGCTTCGAGCACATACGACTGGTTGGACGTTGGATTCATCCTGAAGAACTTCCCGCGCCTGTGATTCCAAGTCAGCTTGGGGCCCCCGACAGCTGGCACGCGAGCAAGCAACAACGGCCAGAGTCCTCGACGGCGTTTTGGGTTGTCGAGGAACAGGGTCGCCGTCGCGGCTCAATCATCTCGGTAGGGCTGCTAACCTTCTCGCAAAGCCTCTGAACATCTGTCTCTGCGAGCTGTTTGCAGCTCATCAGACCCTCGATCCATCCGTCCAGCGTGGGGATGGTGGTGGGCTCCAAGGGAGGTGCGGCGGGCAGGTCGGCGGGCACGCGCCCGACATCCTCCATGTTAGTGTCCATGATGACCTCTGGGGTCTTCTCGACCGGTAGATAAGGTGTTATCTTGCTAGGGACGAGATTCGCCGTGGCAAGGTCGTCGACGGGGTTCGATCGCGGCGGCAGGACACAATGACGTTTTGGGCCCGCGGTGGGAAGCAGTCGGTGATTTTCGCACGAGGGCAGTTGCAGCTCGGGGTCGTCGTCGCAGCAGGATTGTCAAAGGGCCTGGAGCTCACTCGCAGAAATGCGATGTGCTCCTGTGGAGTGCGGAAAGGATGCGGAACGGGGGGTATCAAAGCTGTGATGGGATTGTCTGGAGGTCGATGGTGGGATGCGTGCTTAGTAGGTCGGAGCCGTCCCAAGGTTGCCCTCTCTCGAAGCCAGTGAGGGAATGTGGAGCCAGCCCGGACAGAGTAGCGCCAGCCGCCATTTGCACCTCAAACGCCACCTACACCCACCTAACGCCCCTTGCGCCCCGCAGGCAGTTAGCTGCTAGTGAAAAGGGGGCCGTCCGTCAAAGAAGCTCCATCAGTCAGCTACCACACGAAAATACTGTCAAAGCAGGGTACAGAACAAGGATTCCGGTCAACAATGGCGACCGTTTTTTTTTTTAATTCGCCTGCGAGTATTATTGACATAACGGCATGATAAATATGTGCAAGATCGGCAAAGGCAAGCTACTGCCACAGCGTACCCGTGCATCGCGCCATGCCTCAAGGTCTTGCAGCAAGGAAAATCGCCTATGCGGACAGCGATGTCTTCTAGCGAGAGTCCATCCTCAGCCAAATTCCAACCAACTCACGACAAGCCCAGTCCAACCGGCTCATTGGGCACATTGCCATTGACTGCCGGTGGCTCCTGTCCAACAAGATTTCGGAAGTCCAGTCCAACGTCAGAAAGCATCTGCGCATGCTCCTTAGCCCGCTCCATACACTTCGTCCACGCCTCGCTCCCGTGTTCGGTGCTGCTGAGCTGTCTTGCTAGGATGACATTGAATGCCTCGACCTCCTCCTTGGCCCATTTGACACAGGCACTCATCGTGGGCGGCGGGAAACATCCCTGGAAGCAGCCTACAGTGTTTTTGATGACGGTGAAGTACACGAAGGAGATTTGCCAGATGTAGAGATGCAGGTCTCCCTGGAAGACACATTGGCTGCGAGGGAAGTTAGCAAGCGTCCGCGGGAATAATTCTCACAAGTTGACTCACCGGGAGCGTTTCTGGATGATGCTGCTCCTCGCCTCAAGATATGCCTCCCTTGCGCGGTCCTCGTAGCCAAGCCGACTAAGCCAGCTGACGTGCAGCTTGGTCTTGCTCACTTCGCTGTGTGTGCTGCTCAGCTCGCGTGTGATCAGCCCAGCCAAGCGGGAGCATCTTTCCTCAACCTTGAATTCAATGAAGTCTTGTGCGACAGCATTGTTCTTGAGGCTCCGCGAGAGGCTCTTCAGCTTCTCCACTCGGACCACAGCCGGCTCAATTCGCTGCAAGGCGATGTCAATGTCAAGCTCGTCCATCTGGCTCTCGACCCATCGAAGATTCTGCTGTTTCCCATCCACCTCGATGAGCATGTCCTTGATGTCGGATAGGGTCTCGAGGAGCTCTGTCTTTTGCAGAAGACCCGGATCCCTCGACGCGAAGTAGTTGATGGTCTCTTTGGCTTTGTTGTTGGCTTCTCTCTCGGACTGTATGTTCCTCCGGAGGTCTTCCACCACTTTGCGGATGTTGAGCATAAGGGAGCGCTTCTCAGGATCGTCCGGTTTCTCTGTACGATAAATAACGGAATCCTGTCCCACACCACGGACCATGATGGCGTCTGTAAGCTTAGTCCTGCTGCTGGACGATTCGTGCGTCCCTGCCATATCCACGACTTCGATGTCAAGGACAGGCCAGCAGCGGTCGGCGACCAGCTTGACAGCTGGGCCTCGCGCTTCGGGGTTGTCCGTCTTCCTCTTTTTACGAGATGCAATAAGTAGATGGTCGTTCAACAAGACAATCTGAATGGAGCGTCTCGACTTGTATGTCGCGTTGTCCAGCTCGATCCAGGACCCAGCATCCTGGATGATATGGCGGCCAACTGAGTTTGGCAAGAACTTCTGTGAACCTTCAATCATCTTGTAAAGTGCCTGTCCGCCATGGTTAGCCATGATGAGCCTGTTTCAGGTCACATTACATATACTGACCTGCATCTGCGAGTTCCACAGAGCGGCTCTGTCCACGACGGAGCTCCGCTTGTCTCTTTTGCTCATTCCGGAAGAGAAAGAGTCCCCGTTAGTCCCGGGGGACTCTTCGTTCCGGGAGGAAGCAGACCGGAGCACTGTCGTATTCGTCTTCAGTTCCGACATGAGGTTCTTCAGATTCCGCATTTCTTCCTTGAGCTTCTCTGCCTCTTTGCTGATCTTTATGAACTGAGTTCTATTCTGGTACACATTCTGCTGCAGGTCATTCGAAGCCCGGCTCTTCAGCTTCTGTAGCTGATCCTCGAAGTCTGGTATCTCGTCCTCTGTAGCGTTGGCCAGCGCGCTGGTGACGTATGCATCAGGGTTGAGTCTTGGATCTCTCAGAGACTTGACATCGACGGCTGGCGTGCCGCCGACCGGACCTCCCCTTGATCTCGGGGGTTCCGCTGCTGCTGGCTTCCGGTATGGCTCGTACTTGTCAAGGGTGGGCATGGTTGGCATCGGGGGTGCGGCCGTGACATCGAAGTTGTCCGGAATGTTGTACCGTGTAGAGTATCGACGCTTCACATAGTCCGATGTCTTCCCGCCAGCCTGAGGAGGTGGTCTCGGGCGAGGGGTCACCTCAGCAGCCATGGGCCTCGCGCCCCCCGAGCTTCTTGGGACGGGGACGCCATCGTTGGCGATGGGCTCCGAGATCTGACGGGGCGCGCTGATCTTGGGCCGCGGGTTCCTTTTGCCTCCCTTCCGGAGGGAGATCCCCCTCCTCTCTTCCGACATTGTCGATTTCGATGGCGGATTTGTCGTGTGCGAGAGGGACTGGGGCGGAGACGAGAAGGGAGGAGGAAAGTGGGTGGAAGCTCTGAGCCTCTCCCGCAGATGTGTTTCGTACAGTAGGCACCTTAGGCATTTAGGTACCTAGGTAGCTAGACACGACCGGGGTGTGCTTATCACTGCTAGGACCCCAGGTACCTACGCACCCCCGGCGTAAAAATTGGCCATGAGCTCCAGCAATTCGAGCTCCCGACCTCAAAGAACCGGATAGCGGTCGCAACCTCAGAAACCTACTACTCTGTAACGCAGGACCATTCATCCTCCACGCGAATTCTACAACCCCTTTGTTCTGCACGACTCTGGTCCCTCCTCGCGACTGTCCTGCTTGCTCAATAAGGAATTCCGAAGAACTCACACAGACGCACAATGGCATCATCGCAAACCACAGTCATTGCGACTGCAACGGCTGCTGCAGTGGCGACCGGCCTCCTCGGTACAGATGCACCTGCAAAAGACGACCAGTGATGCGCTGTTAAGCTGACCATTCCCGTTTGCCAGCCTACGCCGTCTACTTCGACCACGCACGAAGAAACAAGCCCGAGTTTAGGAGAAACCTGCGGCGCAACGAGCGCAAGCAGGTACGACAGGCAAAGGAGCACGCCGAGGTCGAGAGCCAGAACAGGCGTCACGAGGTCAAGGCCGCCGTGGACGAGGCCAGGGAAGAAGGCTTCCCCACGAGCGTGGAGGAGAAGGAAGCCTACTTCCTGGACCAAGTGACGATGGGAGAACAGTTGGGCGCAGACCGTGAGTGTGGCACAAGAAGAGGGGGCGTGGCTCTGTCAGGGCCAGAGCCTTGTGTGGATTCCGTGGCTGACTGGACACGATGATACAGCATCTCGCGCTCTCGAAGCAGCGCTGGCATTTTATAAGGGCCTTAAGGTGTACCCAACACCTGGAGACCTTATTAACATCTACGACAAAACGGTACCGAAGGTGAGTTCTCCCCTGGTGACGTAGTGTGTTGGAAAAGTGTTTTGCTTACCAAATCTCACAAACAGCCCATCCTCGACCTGCTGGCAGAGATGATCGCATACGACCCCAGTTTGAGGCTGGAAGGCATGGCTAGCGCTGGCGGTGTGCCAGGAATGCCTAACCTTGCCAACCTCGCCGACATGCCCAACGTCGGCCTCGACTAAACAAACTGAACTGAAGAACCACGGGCGAGCTTCGAGGCAGATGCCTGCATGATCGCACCGAATCTACCCAGCCTCCACTCTGAACGGCGCAAAGCCTACTATCACAAACCAACTCAGGGATTCGCATGTCGTGGAAGGAGTCAGACGGGCGATGTTTACCATATTCCTAGCACAAGGCCGCGGCGGTGACGTTTGTACGATTCAAATCTGTACATATAGCAGGAAAGCGGCGGGACGGGACAAGGGGCGCGGAATGGCAGTGATAATGACCTTTAGAACACCTTCGAAAAATGCATTGATGATCATTCAAATATGGCTGCGGTTTTGATGGTCTCCAGGGATTTTGCATGGATGTGGCAGAGCAGGGTAGTGAGAGCAAAGCATCGGAGGGGATGATGACGATCTGATGAGATGCGCCCTAACATGACAATCGTGTTGCAGGACATCTTCTAGGAGAGGCACATCCGGTCCCCTGTTTTAGCTTCACAGTGTTGGCTGGCTTTCAAAATATTTAAACATGTCCTCGAGTGCTGGCGTCGTCGGGTGACTGATCAGTTAAGTGCTCGACCCAATGCAGTCGGCCGGTCATTCAAATTTAACATCAACTACATAAGATTCGGCGCACGCCGACTTGTTCTCAAGCCTCAATCAGCCTGCCCTTCCTGTCAACCCTCTGATCCCTGGGGTCGAAACCACCATTTCCCCAAGTGGCCCACTCCGGCGTCTCCTTGCCCATGTACTCCTCTGGACTGAATTCTCCGTCCGCCCCTCTCTCCTCCAGCAACTCAAAGTACCGATCGTAATCAATCAGAGTGTGCCACTTGCCGTCCACCCTGAAACGCTCGCTTCCAAGCAAGATACAACAACTATGAGCATGCTCTGCGGCGATGCCATACTGAAGGCCGCGTCGGTTGAGTTCTTGATCAAGTGCTGTCACAAACTCGCACACCTCGGCGTAGAATGGTACGTTTGCCATCGAAAGACCTGCACTTGAGGAAGTCGATGTGCCGCAATACGTCACGCCCTTGACTTCCACGAAACAGGGCAGAGCCTTCTCCACAAGGTCCGCATATCCCCTCACTTCGTCGTCGATGTTGAATCCCTTGACCAAGGTCAGTCTGAAAACTGTCCGCTGCTTGAACCTCTTCTCCCGCAGGATTTCCAAGCATCGCTGGAATCGCTCCCAGAAGTCCCTGTGTAGGGGTCTATCGATCTTCCGCAACGATTCCTTGTTGCTCGCGTCTATGCTGACGTAAAGCTGCGTGACGTGCTTCAAAGCAGCGAGCTGGTCAGGATGTTGCGCATTGCAGACGAGGAAGCTGCTTATGCGTTCTCCGTGCAGCATTTCTAAGAATTCGTTGATGTGAGGGTAGAAAATGGGTTCTCCGACCAAGGACAAGGCGCAGTGGCGGATCCTCATCGCTTCTGAGAAACGCTCCGCCCTAACTCCGGGCACACCGCGCATCATTTTGATCTTCTTGTAGTGACCCTCCTTGACTCCGTTGAAGATCAAATCTGGAGGATCGACTACCCATCGCCAGGTTGTCCCAACGGGATTGGTCCCATGCCGCCAGCAAAAGACGCACTTGTTAGAGCACGACAAAGATGGCGTGGTCTCCATACACTGGTGGGAGTTGATGCCGTAGAAAGAAAATTTGTAGCAGGAGCCTCGGCCGCGGAGGGCAGATTTCGTCCAACGGCAGATTTTGACCCCGGAGTGTGAGCCTACTATCGAGTAGCCCTGCTTTGTGAGGGATTTGAAAGTCGGCGATTCTTTTGGGACCATCTCTTTTACGGTCTGGACCGGTGTCTTCCGCTTCGATTCGGTCGTAAAGTCAATGGCCAGAGGTGCAGCGGATTTCGTGTTGCCTTCGTCCTTCGCGTTCTGCAACACCCGGCCGAGATCCTCCAAGTCATCCAGTGTTGCAGAAGACTTCGGTTTCCGTGGCTTCGCCTGTTCCTGTTCTTCGAAAACAACCTCTCCGTCATCTTCGGCCTCGTCGGCCTCATCATCGCTTTCCACGGGGTCCCCGGAGCCGGTAACACCTTCGCCCAGGGTTCCATCCCGAGCCAGTTGGCCAAAGATATCGGTGAGTCCGTTCGTCCACTCGCCCAGTCTTTCCCTGCCGTCGCGCTTGACATCACCCATCCCAAGCGGGTACGCCCGCTTGCGACCCGTCAACTTGGCCAGCCATTTGTCAACCTCTTTCGCCTGAACACAGTAGCCTTCTTCCTCTGTGGGCCAATTCTCCTTGTCGCCGAACCCAAAAACGGAATAGCCAAGCAGGGTTGAGAGAGGTGCTGTATCGATCCTGAAATCGTGATGTGTCTCCTTTAGGTGCTCCAGGAATGTGTCGTTGATCGTGTCGATGTTGTAACTCGGCACCAAAAAAAGGTAGAAGAATTCCGTAGCAACATCTCCGTCGGCCCCCAGCTTCGGTGGTGCAATGAAGTATTCATCGAGGTCCACTTCTGCTAAGTCAAGGGCTTCCGCAACCGAGAATATACAGTTGGGACCGCTTGCTACTGTTTGTAACAGTCCGGAGAAGTCTGCGACAAACTGTTTTGCAATCTTGTCGGTGTTGCCTGTCACCGACGAGTAAAAAACCAAAGTCTTGATCTGCCTTAAACTCGACGCCTGTGCGTCCCTCCGTTTGTTCACCTCTCCCTTTATTCTGCGCGGCCCTGTAGGCTTGACTTGCTTCGTGTCGTCGAGCGTGTCGTCGAGCCGGGTTGAAATTGCAACATTTTGGACCGTCTTCTCGTTATAGATCTTCGGGAAGACATGAAGAGGCTCGTTTCCCTCGGTAAGATGCAAGTAGATGCGCAGAATCACGAGAACAGTGAAGGTGGACAGGATGATGGCGGTGCGGTTTGCGTGCCAGAACTCGATGGCGGCTGCGAATAATTGAATTGTTAATTGTGCACCTTGTACGACAATATAGGTGCAGTGTCCTGGACAACTTACAGTCTGGAGGCGCCAGCCAAGGACGCGTAGGCAGAATGAACTCCATACCCACTGACGACAAAACCTCGGTGGTGGCACGAAGGTTTTGAGCGACGTGGGATTTCTCAACCACAGCAGGAGAGAAAGAATTCATACCCCGCCAATCCAGAAGCTCGGGTTTGATTCCCAGGTATTTTCAACAGGCGTCGTCTGCCGCTCACTGGTGGGCCCCGGTCCGGGGCTCTGCAGGGCCAAGGGTCTGGGGCCTTGGTTGGTGTAGGTGCTACTGCAGAAGATACCTAGGTACATCTGCACCAGCAGTTCGCTAGTCATCAAGCGGATCGAGTAGTCTAGATGCATGCAATTCACGGAGATTCCAAGTATTTACCCTTGGATTTGGCCATATAGCCTGCCGTGGGGCAATCGCCTGCAACTGAAATCAGAACAAAGTGAATCAAACTATACAGTAACGCCCTCACGAAGTTAGGTCACAGTGGAAGGTTTTACCAGGCAGGGTGTCGACCAAGAGACGCAGGGAGCCGACATTGGCCTGCACGTGTATTCGTGTCTCGCGTTCGAAGCATCTAATAAACTTTACCGACCAGACTGATATCTCTCTGGTCGACCCCGTGGGTCGCGATACGATCAATTTCTATCCGTAGACAGTTTTCATTGCCATTCAGGATATCTGCGACATACTGCAGCATATCTATCAATCCACGGCACAACCTGCTCCATCTGATCCAAGCAAGTATTCGATGCAACTCATCCCTTCACCGACACTTTGCTCACCACGCGACGCGTCGCCAGCGACAACCCGCGACCACAAGAACCCACCATGCCGCCTCAGAAGCGCCCCCGCGAGGTCATCGATCTGACTGATGATGATCCCGATGTGGGAAAGTCAGCCAAACCCCGTGTTTCTGCACCATCAAGCCAGTCTTCTCTGTACAGTGCCCGACCATCACAGCGTGGACATGGCCTCTCTTCTTCTTATGCCTCATCTTCCCAGCCGTTCTCCTCAAATGGCTCTAGCAGCCAGCGTTCTGGGTTGGGATATTCTCAGGGCTCTCTTGCCGATGAGGATCCTGAGGCCATAGACCTCACCCAGGCCGATGATGGCCCAGCTCTTCAGCTCTATGGGACCATCGACAACAAGATCGTTGGCTGCAGATATTACGACGGAATTGTTAGCCCAGGCGAGCTCGTTGTGTTGCGAAGAGAACCTTCCAACCCGTCAGTGTTCCATTACAGCCTCCCCTTGGCCCCTTGAAATCTTTGTTTACTAACCTCTATACCCTAAACCGCAGATACGACTCCAATGCCGTCAGAGTCGACAATGTCCTGGGATCTCAGGTTGGTCATCTGCCTCGCAAGCTGGTTGAGAAACTCGCGCCCCATAGTAAGCAGTTCCTGGACACACGTTTGAATTTTTCATGTCCTCTGCCATCTGTGGTCCGGCTTACCACTTGCCTCAGACCTGCTTGACAGGCTGCAGCTTGTGAGACAGGCTGTGCGCACATAGTGTTCTATCCCCGCCTCATTGTGTGTATTTTATGTCTTCCTCAGAGCTTTGATAGCTGACTCTAAATTCTGCAGTGGACTCTGGGGACGTATTGGTCGAGGCTTCCATCCTCGGAGAGAAAGGCTACTTCGATTGCCCGGTGAAACTGAGCCTCTATGGCACGGCAGACCCGATCGCAAGGGCTTCTCTGGAGGATCGTTTGAAATCGGACAGGCTGCTGAGAGCCACCCAGCTGAAACAAACCAGGCCCAAACCACCGGGGCCGCCCCAAAAGAATGTCATGGGCCTTAAGAGCAGCCAGTCGAGGGCCGGTCTCCCTGCCGAGCCGGAAATATCTCTCGACCAGCTTGCTCAGCTCAGCCAGGCCGTGCAGTTCAGAAGCGGTGACGACAATCTCAAGACACTTGCGATGGACGAGGAGGTCCTGTCCAAGTTACCCCAGGCGAAGCAGCCACAAGAGCTGCGGTCGACTCTTCTTCCGTACCAGCTGCAGGGCCTCGAATGGTTGCGGTCGAAGGAGAACCCGCAGCACGCCTCTCCGGGGTCTTCACAGGTCACGCAACTCTGGAAACAGGATTCTCGGGGCCGCTTCACCAATATTGCTGCCAACTTCACCACGGCACGCACTCCAGATCTGGCCAAGGGAGGAATCCTCGCTGACGATATGGGCCTGGGTAAGACTCTTCAAATGCTGAGTCTAATTCTGACAGGCGGGAAGGGGGCGACTCTCATCGTGGCCCCTGTATCTGTTATGAGTAACTGGGAACAACAGGCTCGTCAGCACGTGAAGAGCGAGCATACACCCAAGGTCCTCATCTACCACAGGACTCGGAAGGCAACAGCTCAAGAGATGATGAGAAACAACATTGTTATAACAAGTTACGGAACCTTGACATCGGATCACAACAGCAAAGGACCTCTGTCATCTGCCTCATGGCGGCGCGTCATCTTAGACGAGGGACACACGATCCGCAACGCCAAGACCAAGGCTGCTGAGGCAGCCTGTGGGCTCAAGGCAGAGTCGCGATGGGTTCTCACAGGCACCCCAATCGTCAACAATATCAAGGATCTCCACTCACTAGTCAAATTCCTCCGGCTCACAGGAGGCATCGCTGACCCCGTGGTTTTCAACACCGTCATTGCCAGACCTCTGGGTTTCGGAGATTCCCGGGCTGAAGCCTTGCTCCAGTCCCTGATGCAGGACCTGTGCCTTCGGCGGAAGAAAGAAATGGCCTTTGTGGACTTACGACTTCCGCCGAAATCAGAATACGTTCACCGCATCGCGTTCAAGCCGGACGAGAAGAAGAAGTACGACGCTCTGCTGTCCGAGGCAAAGGGTGTCCTCGAGAAGTTCCGATCGAAACAGAAACAGGGGCAGAAGGGCGGCACATTCCAGCATGTCTTGGAGCAGCTCCTGCGCCTCCGTCAAACGTGCAACAGCTGGACGCTTTGTAAGGAGCGCATCGTGGACCTGCTCAAGACCCTGGAGGACCAAGACGTGGTGGTTCTCAACGACAAAAACCGCAAAATCTTGCAGAAGGCCCTCCGCCTTTACATCGAGAGCCAGGATGAATGCCCCATTTGCTTAGACACCCTATCATCGCCGATGATCACCCACTGCAAGCACGTCTTCTGCGGGGACTGCATCCGCAAGGTCGTCCAGACCCAAGCACGGTGTCCCATGTGCCGCAGCCCCCTGGCCGAGGACCAGCTGCTCGAGCCCGCCCCGGAGACGACCGGGGAGGAGGAGCTTGACGAGCCTCAGGCGGAAGGGCAGAGCTCGAAGACGGAGGCCCTGCTGAAGATCCTGCAGGCGACACTGAAGGACAAGGGCTCCAAGGTGATCGTCTTCTCCCAGTGGACGTCATTCCTGACCATCATCGAGCACCAGCTCAAGGAGGCGGGGTACGGGTACACCAGAATTGATGGGTCCATGACGCCCGCAGCACGGGACAGCGCGATGCGTGCCCTTCAGGAGGACCCAAACAAGCGGATCATGCTCGCGTCGCTTGCCGTCTGCAGCGTGGGGCTGAATCTCGTCGCCGCAGACACGGTGGTGTTGACAGACTCTTGGTGGGCGCCGGCAATTGAGGATCAGGCCGTAGACCGGGTGCACCGGCTGGGCCAGACGCGGCCTACTACGGTCTGGCGCTTGGTGATGGAGGGCAGTATCGAGGAGCGTGTGCTGGACATCCAGGCCGAGAAGAAGCAGCTGGTCGGCAAGGCGTTCCAGGAGAAGGTGCAGGGCAAGAAGGCCAAGGAGACGAGGATGGCTGACATTATGAAGCTTCTCACCTGAGGTGGGACTCACCGATGTGATTAGGTGGTGACCGTAGTGCTCGGGAGGGGAGATCCTTTTGGGTGTTGACTTGCTTCTACTATCATATTCTGGTCGTCAAATCAGGAGCTGTCTCTGTACTAAGAACGCGATGGGCTCGGGTCAGCTTCTGCCCAATCCCCTGGTGATCTTCATGCTGAAAGACTTCGTCATTATGGCTTGGCCTTGTGGAGTGAGGAGACTAGCTCGACCTCCAGCGTTGCACAAATGTGTGTGTGTGTCACAGGTGACTACATTACAAAGAGCCAAAATCCTCCGAAGATGGCAACAAACATTAGGGAGATTGGTAAATAGATGGTTGGAGAGCCTGGAGAAGTTGGTAATACCAGCCGGGAATCACCGGTGGGGGTAAAGAAAGCCACGATTTGAAGCAGCTAATATCCTCGCAGGTTGAAGTTTGTTGAAGCCAGACTAGGTTCGGACGGGGTGTCTGAGGACGGAGCTACGTGGTGGTGGATGATGCCGAGAATTTTCAAGGAATAGAAGCTACCTAGGTAGATTCCTGAGAGGCGACGGAGTCTCCAGGATGATCTGTTGCATCTCTTGGGATAACCTCCCCTGGGATAACCTCGTACCTCCTGTGGGATAATCTTCTACCTCTCTGGGATATCCACCTGTGGGATAACCTACCTGGAAGCCTCGTTGTTGGACCCTCCACGCAGCATTAACCAAACATGTCCCTCGTGGCAATACCGTAGTGGATTAATGCTTTAATACCGTATCTCCTTCGCACTGCTGTCCGTGATATTGTTACATACCATCACCCTTCCCCACACCCGTTAGGTGGTCACCGATGTGCCTGGGTACGTTGATCCGATATGTTGAGAGGCACATCCAGAAACGATCAGTGATTGACGCTGCAATGTCGGTTGTGGCTGTATCAATGTGCATGCGAGACCCGCCCCGTTCCGTGATGGGCCGGGCTATAATCAGCGCAGAGATGGCATGAATGGCACCGGTCAACCGCCCGGTGCGTAGGCAGGGCGACATCGTGCCATGCGGCTGGACGAATGCAGCCCTCACATGCACGCCGATCGATGGCAGTGGCATCATGTTTGAGGACGGGGACGGCTGCACGCGGGATAGTCGAGCCTTGCCTCCTGGTCCACACACGAGCAATCCAGGGGCTGGAATATAATGACGTGAAGCAGATGGACCGCTGTTCTTATCAGGTTTGCCTGGAGGTTTGAATCAATCTCGAGTGGCTAAATCTGCAGCGAAGAAAAGAAATCACATCACTGGTGCAAAGGCACTTTAGATCGCTGCTGGGCGCAGAATAATTCGCAAATGCGAGAAAATCGCCCACAATACCCAGTTGGCGCAGTCTATCAAATTGGATCGTTCGTGTTGTCAGTCCAGCCAAACGACCATTTCTCTGTCTTCTGATAAGGAAATAAAAATAGACCGTAGAATTTGCGCCGTGGGGAAAAACTGCTCTCTGGTCTAGTTGCCCGAGTCAGCATGGTCTCAAACCCCTAGTCTGGTTGCGCGTCGGCAGTCACACATAAAGTCAGTCAGTCCATCAGCACGTAGAAGCCCCGTTGCCGATCTCTGATCTGATAAAGAGCATGGTGTGGTACAAAGACGTATGGGGCAAAAAAAGCAGGTTTTCTGATTTGAAGGGCTGGATTGAGGAGCGGTCACGGCTGCATCTGTCCAGCAGGTGGTCCGTGGTGCTGCCGAGCCTGACGGGTCTCGACGGCTGAGCCCCTCTTTGCCGCCCCGGGGTCACCCGTTGGGACCTGCGCCAGTCGCAGCCTCGATGCTGACCAGCACCGGTGAGCACGCAATGCGTATGATGGATTGCGAACACCGAACCACGTCTCGAATGGTGGCCCTGGCAGAGAAACCGCCGTCATATCGATATCAAAACATCTGGTGATGATTGTCCATGTCCCTTTTTGGCCGCGTACGCTGCTCCTTTTTTTTTTCTTCCCCCCACGGGGACATGGTGGTTCTTCGACGGGAGACCCTCTCAGGAGCGACCATGAACGACCCCGACTCGAGGGCGGTCCGCGGGACCCTCCGAAACTGGCCGACACAACCCATTTCGGGCGTTGGTGTGCCCGACATCGCTGATAACAGGCTCGACCAACATGGCTGCCATGACTGCACCACGACTGCATGCCACTGGACAGCTGTAGTCGAAGTCAAGGGCCTGACAGTCAATGGCAGCAGCCATCAACCCTCCGCTAAACCTGCTCATCCCGTCCCCATCCCCCCGGATGTTGCTTCCCCGTGACCTGACCCATAAAACGTCGCCGCTCACTCTCAGACGCCCCCTTTTCTCTAGACAGTCCAACTGTCCACGCGTACCCCTCAATCCCATCTCCACCCGAGCATCGCCATCTCCAGCCTTCAATTGCCTCAATAGCATCAGCCATCAGACACTTGTCTTGGCCACCACCATTCCAACACTTGTCCCTTCAACGTCCTCTTTATTGTCGCCATCATCGTTATCGTGTTCTCGCCGTAGAGGTTTGCATCGTTGTTGCCCCGCTAGCCTGCAGATTCTTCAAGCTTCACCGTAGCCATCGTTTGTCGTTTGTCGTGTTGTTATCATCGTCGTCATCATGGCCGTCGGTCTCTCGTACCAGCCCCAGGTTCCCATCACTGCTCGCCCCCAGTACGAGAGTCACCACTTTGATGACCTCGTGCTGGCCCTCAAGGACGTCCTCGGTCCCTCGTCGGGCCTTGACTCCAAGGATGTCGACCTCAACTCCATCATGAGCCTCATGGAGAAGTACGACGCAGCAGAAGAAGGGTGGGTGCCGTTCGCAATGGCGGACCCTGAGATTCCCTATACTAGAAACCTTGTCGACGAAGGAAATGGGAAGAGCAACCTGGTGAGCTTGATCCTTCCTGACCAGCACCGCATCGCTTGATTTGGTCCCTTGACGCATGCCTTCCATGTCGCTGGCCACTGACACCGTTCCTCTACGGCAGCTGGTCCTCGTATGGACACCCGGCAAGGGCAGCCCCATACACGACCATGGCAACGCCCACTGCGTCATGAAGATTCTCCGCGGCAGCCTGACGGAAACGAGATATGAATTCCCCGACTCGGACCGGGCACAGCCGATGCGCATGCTGTCTGAACGAACATCGAAAGAGAATGATGTGGCATACATGGCCGACGAGCTGGGCTTGCACAAGGTAGAGAATAGGGGTGAAGACTATGCCATCTCCCTACACTGTAGGTTACCATAGCCCCTGAATCCAGCCTTGCCTCTGGCACCTGGTCAGCCTTGCGGCAAGGCTGTGTTCGACCCCGAGGCTGACCCCCGGTATCAGTGTACACCCCGCCCAACGTTGCCAGATCAGGTTGCAACACTTTCAACCCGATCACAGGCAAGAAGAGCCATGTGCCCAAGTGTGGATATTACTCCAAGTACAAGCAGCGCGTGGAGAAGGTGTAGAGTTGTCTTCCCATCGTGAGCTTGGGTCGACCACTTGGTAGGACCAGGCTAGGCCAGCCCCGTGTGCTGGCACATGAGTTTGAGCACTTGCCCATGCGCCAGAAGGCGCTTTGTTTCGAACGAAGGAATATTGAGCGTGCAACTGCCGCACGGCCTACAGGCCAGATTGAATTTTGGGCATCTTTGTATCGGCGTTTGGGATCATCAAGACTGATGAAGTACCGTCCTTTTCGTTGAAATCGGACCTTGAGTACAGCCATGTTTGAGAACTTTAGGATAGTGACGGTGGAGTGTTCCTTGATGGGTTGGTAGTAAAAGAATAGCGCAGTCAACACTGAAACAAAGCGAAATGTTGTGTACAAACCACATAGAAGTGAACAGTATCAAAGTGACAATGGCGACATCAACGTCGATGACTGAGACGACTTGCATTGAGTTCTGCAGAGTACTGTCCCCCCGAGGGGCCTCTTGGGTCTTATTGCGCCAGATGCCCCCAGACAATGTGCCTCTCGCCATGCCCAAAAACGGCATGGTGCGATTGAATCATCGAGCACGCCATCAACTCCAGGCGCGATTGGCTCTCTGGCGCCGTGAATCAGGAGCGCTGGCCGAGTGCCATGGCGCCGCCTGATCACGTCTTACCGAGCCGTTGCGCGACCCGCGAGCAGCCGTCCGACAGCCGTGCTCTGTCGGCCTTGTTAGCCTGCCTGCCAGCCCGCCTACCAGCCCGCCTACCAGCTTACATACACAAATGGCTGCTTCTCGACTACATGGCTTCAAGTCTGGTGAAGATGATACATGGCTATACATCTGAGATAGACAATCGATGATGTTTTACGAGAATAACAGGATGGTAGCTCAGGGATGTGTGTGTGTGAACACGTAGGGTTCGATTCCCAACTACCTAGGGATTGTGGTTTGTCCAACAAGCTGAAAATGAGACGCACGAACTCCTATGTACCTACACACTTCGATGCAGTGTGCCTTCGCACCTGTTATTTCCAAAGAGCTGTAGTGTAGAGTCTTTAGGCCAGAAATTCAGAAGTGACATCGCCAGTTAATACCCATAATACGGCTTGAGGTAGGTTTATTCCGCAGCACTCGTCTACAAGACAGTATCTAACCATGACCTCCAGGCGACAAACCAAGGCTGCTAGCATGCCAGCCACGCAGTCACAACCACCCAGTCTCCACCAAGACCAGTGAGGAAGAAGTTCGTCCCGTTACAAAATGTCGGACCAGGCCCCATCCCCTCCGAGCCCGCCACCTTCGCACTGGGAACCCATCGACGACCGCCTCCTAGAGGAAATATACGCCGCGGACCAGGCAATCTACCCAGCCCCCCTCCTGACCTATGAGCGCCTGAAGAGCTGGGCCGCCGCCTGCCCGGAGTTGTGCATCTGCCTGCGCCGGCACGGCTCCGAGCCCCCGGCACAGGGCGTGGTCATCGTGCTCCCGGTGAGGGAGGAGTATTGGGGGTGTCTCGTCGCAGGCGAGCTGAGGGAGCATGATGTCAAACCCAGGCACATGTTTCCTCCTAATGTGGCTGCTGCTTCTGCTGTTGGCGCTCATGTTTATTCCGAGAAGGTGAAGGTTGGGCTACACGTGTTCCATGTCGAGCGGTATTCTCCCTCCTCCGCAGGGGATGGCAGGAGGAGGATGCCCCCGTTCACCCCGGCCGCGCTGGAGGAGATTCGGTCCCGCGTCTGTGAGAGGTTCCCCTCGTGGGAGGTTGTGGGATACTCCGGTACGTGACACTCATCACCTACACACTGTCTCAAGGTTCGCAAGGGTGGAGGACAGGCGCGAAATAAATACACATGCAGACCAGCTGACACCGCAGCAACCCATCGTACAGCCCTGACCGCCACCCCGGAGGGCAACATGGCTTTCAGGCGGCTCGGCTTTACGTCTAGATACGTCGAGGCTAAGGCTGACGGCGACGAGGCCGAGATGCTGGTGCGTGAGGGCAACGACACATTCATCCCGTTGTAGCAGCCCCTCTGCAGCGAGCCTGTCCCACAGCAGCGGTTTTCTTACCGCAGACGTCCACACTGCCAGTTGAACTTAATCAACTCACTTGCGAAAACGCTTGGACCACTGCCATCCCACTCTCCGTCACAGCTATGATCATCAGACTGGACTGAATGTACAGGCAGGCAGAACAAGCGAGAGGCTTGCCTGTCGGTAGGGCGAAGGGATGCTCATGCTGCGACTACATGGCCATGCACAAGCCGGAGTACACTATTCCCAAGTAGTAACCTCGCAGAGTCTTTGCTCATCCATTCAATCTCGTGGTACAGAGAGGAAAAGCGCTGAAAATTACAGGAGCTTTGGCCCGCGTCGAAGTGCCCGTCACCCGACACGAAATCTCTGGATGTTGTCACTGGGAGGAAAGAAGCTAGCAGATGGCTTCAGAGCGTGCTTGTGGCAGAGTGGAGATTTTTCAATTGGCCCCGGATCCTGGACTAGACAGCCAGCCTGACGCTGTCGTGCAGAGATCAGCCTCGCAAAGAGTTCTTTGCAATATCGCAATGTCCTTCTTCTTTCTATACGGACATGTGATGCCAAACCCCGCAACTGCTTCCCAACCTTTGATGTGATGCCGTGATTCGCTTTGTACAGAGCATATAGTACATTAAACGTCGTTATATGGTCGTCGACTCCGTGGGTATCGTTTCCGCCTTTTTACTCGTTGATCTTGGCCAGGATGCTGCACATAGAGGTCAGCATTCCATCCTCTGCAACAGTGCTGGAGCGCCGGAGAGGCCGGTGCAAACTTACTCGCTGTCCCTGAACAGGGTGTACTCATCCTCGCCAACCTTGACGGGGGAGCCGCCAAACTAGACACAACCACGTCAGCAACAGGATCTCCCACAGCCAACCCAGCCTGCCATCTTCGAGAACGAAGAGCATTCCATATTTCGCTTGGGGTCCCGGGGTTCTCCTTACCGTGGGGATCAGCACCCGGTCGCCAGCCTGCACGCCCACGGGCAGCCTCTTGCCCTCCTTGTCCAGGGCACCGGGGCCGACGGCGAGGACCTTGGCCTCGTTGAGCTCCTTGACGCTCGACTCGGGCAGGAAGATGCCGGATGCGGTCTTGGTCTCGGCCTTGATGCGCTGGACCAGGACGCGGTCCAGGAGGGGCACGAGCGACTTGATGGATCGGATGGAGGTGGCCTTTTCGCGGTGGGCACAGTGTCAGCAAGAACCCTCTGCTCTCTGTCTTTCCCCCGAGCGGCGGTCATAGTGGGAGCGAGGGGAGCGAGGGATCGCCCGCCGTTGAGAAGAGAACTCGGGCAGGTTCGCGCGCGGGCAGGCGGCCCTTCGAAAGCTGAGCTCCGGGGGCCGGGCCTGCGCGGCAGCTCCCCGCCGATGTCCTTCGGGGACCAGCCCAAGTAGGTTTCAGAAAGCACTTACCATTTTGAAAGAAGAGAGTGAGCAAAGGCTGAAGGGCAGGCCGAACTCAATTGGCAGCGGGAACGGTGTGTATGCGGTTGCGAAGTTGGGCAGGAGAGACGGTCGAAGGTCCAAAAGTTCGAAGCGAGAGAGAAACAGCTAGAAAAAAGTTAATGACTAATGGGAGCCGAGGCCGAGACCGGCTCCTGATTGGTGGGCGAGCTCCACCCCCGTGTAAGTGAACGACCCCGTCTCCAGATCCCGGCCTGGACCTCCTTCCTTCGAGATAATGTTGCTGTGGAACATCATGGCGAAGTGCACCGTTCCGTCTCTTGCGCAAATCAAGAAGATGCATGGCCATTTTCCATGCCATAACTTGCTGCAATTGGGTGCTCAACGTCGTGGGCTGCGCTGCCACATGACAAAAGTCGAACAACATGCCATTCTATGTTCCGTCGGCCCAATGTATCACTGGTCGGTCAATCACAACTGGTTCACGTATCGAACAACAACCTGATGCATAAAACACCAACAGCCTACACATCGAGAGAAATTTTGAACGTGTATTTAAGTCTGATATCAGATAACTCGGGAAATCAGTTCCTCACTTGTACAGAAACATAACAGTGACGCTGGCACGCGGGTCCCCAGATCCAATCTGTCTATCCGCCCCTCCACCGAAATGCAAAACAATAATGACGCTGCCGACCATCTGTGGCCTGTAACCGTATGCGATAGTCTCCAAGCACCCCGGAACGCCATTATACACAGACTTCTTTCATGCCATTCCCTCCCAGCTTCTTCCTCTGTGGCGTAGCGCTCGCGAGCCCACGGCCGTCCCTCCTGTGATAGATGGCCTTCTTCGAGGATAGTCCAAGAATCCTCCAAATTTATGAGTCTTGGGTCCAGCGCCGCAGCATCCATTTTTGCCCCCAACTGATACTCCAGGCTCGGCGCTGGATGGTGTATTGAGTGATAGCCTGAGTCTCACCACGTGTCTTTCACGCTCCTCGACATTGATCCGCGACTGTCCAGCCTTCTCCTACTTGGTGGCGTTCGAGCTAGACGGGGGCTCCAAGACGTGCGTGTGATCGTCGGCCTTTATCACCTTCCCCTGTTCCAACTGCCGACAGATCACAGTGTTGCTCACCCAATTATCCTCAAGAATATCCTCCATGTTGGCCCGCTTCTTCGGGTCTATCTCAAGCATCCGACCAATGACATGGCGGCTTTCCCTTGGCAGCAGCCTCAGGATTCTCCAAGGGCCGCGAATTACCTCCTTTTTCTCGCCTGTCGACGTCGACGTCGACGCTTCGCCGGAAGGCTTCTCTTCGCGGTGAGAAGCCTTGTCGCCATTCTGGCCGGACTTGCCCTTGTCTTCAGGGTCGTGCGGGAACATGTCTCTCTGCGGCATGTCGTGCAATGCGCTTTCTGACTTGACTGGGGGCAGGATCAGCTTCTTTGGGTCGTGCCCAGGAGTCGGGTCTGCTGCAAAGAGTTTGTAGGAGTTGTCGGTCAGGCGCGGGACCTTCCAGGGAAACCTGCGCAAACTCATGCAGCAGTAGATGATGGCCAAGGACCATATGTCAACAGCCGCTGGGTCATATTTCCGCTCCTCGTAAACCTCCGGAGCAAGATATGGATCAGAGCCGACGATTCCTATGGTCAAGGTTAGCTGTAATTCTGAACGAGTGGGTAAAACACGGTAGCTCACCTGAAGCAAGAACAAGATTGTTCTCGAAAGGATATTTGAACACATGTGCACTGCCAAAGTCGATAATCTTCATGATGCCGTGTTCATTGACCACAACATTGTCGAGTTTCAAATCCCGGTGAGCAAGGCCCATGCTGTGCAAATATGTAACGCCGCTGAGGATCTGCAAGAAGCAACATGATACCTCTTCGCGTGACATCTTGCCCGTCATGACAATGGCAAACAGATCGTACGGCGCGTACTCCATGACCTCGAACCACTTGGTCTTTTCTTGTACAATGTCCAGGGTCTCGATGATATTCCCATGGTGCAGAGAAGATCCAATACAGTACTCAGCCGTCAGTTTCTTGACATATTCCTTTTCTGTCTCGTAGGAATGCCGTGGGCGGAATTCTTTCACCGCGAAGACGGTATTATCCTCGCTCCGCTTCATCAATCTCACCGAGCCACCAGCGCCGGAGCCGAGAACCTTGCCCAGCTTTCCATACTTGGACGTCAGGCCGTGGTCGTCACCAAACGGTATTTGCGAAGTTGATCTCGAGCCCGGTGGGGTTCTGTAACCTGAGCGAATGCTGGCCGCTGGGGACGCTGCTCGCTTCGCCTTGTGATGCCCGCCCATCTTGAAGAACCGCTTCAGATCTGACATAGAACCTTGGCGACTGTGTGTTGTCCCGTGGCTGTCTGTCTGGTACATGTCGCTATTCTTGCCCAGGGCACTCAGAAGTCCGGACGACTGCCGCTTCTCAGTAGACGTTTTTGGTAGGCTCAATGTCGACGAGCTGGGCGAAATCTTCCCCTTCTTACGGGAAAAGACGAATCTTGGCTCAATCTTCGCTTGGGGCTGGCGCTTGCTGGCGGCGTATGGGTTGTCGGCATCTCCAGATGGCGTGAAAGGGCGGGAGTAGAACGCTGAGGCACGATTTGGGCTGGATTCCCTCGACACTGGTAGTGACCCTGGGCCGACAGAAAACATGCCCTTCCTGTGGTCTGACGCACCCAGATACTCAGACGTAGATCGTTTTCCTTCTTCGGACGATTGTCGATGGGGAAGCCTCCTGGTAGCAGGTTGTGGGGACGTCTCTTGGCCAGACTCTTGTGGGGTGATGACATCGCGCTTGTGAGCCACCTTTTCTGAATCTCTAGCAGGATCGAGTGGCTTTGTTTCCGACGTGCCGTCCGTGCCTGCTGGTGTCAAAGGCGGCGATTGCACCTCGGCCCCTCTTGGTCCAAGGCGAGGAGAGGGGATACTTGTCGAACTTTGCGTCTGTTGTCGGCTGGCGTCTCTGGAATCGTCATCATGGGAGACAGTCTTAAGGGTGTGAATTAGTAAATTGCTATTCTGAAGGAGCGTATGCAGCAGCGAGAGAATAAGCAGCCAGAAGCAGGTTTTGTGGGCCAAGTCTGACGCGCCCGGGTCATATCGCCTTTGAGGCAACATGGACTGAGCATAGAATTGTGACTGTGAGGTAAAGTGAAGGTCGGGGCATGTGCAGGAGCCGAGAAATATCTTAACGTACTCTGGAGGCCGGCAACGAGTACGGCTCAAAGGCGAAATTGGTCATTCTCCGTTCTTGTAGACGGTGTCCCTGGAGCGACTTGGAAAGAGACCTGATATCCTCGGGCGTCACGAATTCACTGGCATTGTCGCCGCCAGGGGCTGCTGATTCAGACAAAGGATGATGTGGGTCGATTTCTTGGACGGTAGACTTGAATCGAACAGCAGGGCCAACATTGTCCTCTGAGGAGCGGTCGACGGCCGTATCGGGCGCAATTATGGGCGTAGGCACTTTTGCGGCGGACACGGGCTCGGGCTCGGGTTCGGGCGCAGGCGCGGGCGAGGGCGCATTGTTTGATGCGTCTGCAAGAAAAGGCAATCATCAGCACGGGTCAGGGCCGGGGCGAGGTTGAAACGGCCAAACACGGTGATGGAGGGCTGGCGAAGAAGGTTTGTTGCTGGCGAGGTGGTGGGGGCCGGCAGCAAACGGGCATCCGTCGAAGCCGGGGGCTAAAAAGCAGAGGGGCATTGAATGCCCACCCGTCCACGACCCTGCGCCTTTTGCTGCTTACCTTGGTGCTGTGAGTCGGGCATCTCGCCGTGCGCCTCTTGCGAGTGCGCCTCCATGGGCCTTCAGTGGAGGCCGATAAGAAGGAGAAAGGGGGCGGTCGAAGGGGGAGCGAGGGTGCTGGTGGGCCGACTTGGTGGTGCTGACGCTTGGAGTCGCTGGCGTTGATGGAAGATGAAGGTTGATCTGACTTGGACTTGAACGGGCGGGCTACGATGGAAAGGCGCGCAGGCGTGGTGGGGTACAAGAGTGGGACCAACTCGCACACACAGGGACAGGTACTTGTACAGAGGCGGCACGCTGACCCGGGCAGACAGGATTGGGCAGACCGACCTCGCCGCGAGGTTCCGGCCTCCTGGTGCCGGTCGACAAGAAGTGCTAGCGGACAGAATATGGCATGACTGATCGTACGCATGTACCTGTACGCCCGTACTGACACAGCGCAAAAGACGAGGCCGGGAGGACGGCAGCTCCGCCCCACCCTTTCACAAGCCACAAGAGACGGAAATAGCCATTGGGCTGGCTGGGCGACGAGGGCCTTCCTTCAGTAGTAAGGCTGAGCTTCCGTCCGTCTTATCTCGTCAGATCAGACTCACTTTGATCCAAACCCAGTCCGAAGCCAAAAGTCTGTGAGAATTGTCCAGATCCTCGAACCAGTTCGCCTGTCGGAGGTGCCGTGCATCTCGTCTGTGTGCTGCCTGCCTACCAACGGCCCTTGGATGAGTCGACGTGCTCGTGCTTTGACTTTGCGACTTACATCATAGCCTGGATAGAGTTTCGAGCCCGACAGTTTGGGATCTGGGCCTGTCTGTCATCGCTTAATGGCATGGGGACTGGTAACTCATCCAGGTTCAAATCCCATGCAACCTTGCGATGGTCGGCCAGGGTCTCAGATCTTATTAGGTCTTGCCCATGTGTTGCTGTGCCAGCCGGAGCATGCAGGGCGCATGAAGATACCTGGGCACTGCTGGGCACGTACGCTTCATTTGTTTAGGCCCAGTTGGCCGTCACAAATACACAAATACCATCTAGTCTACCTCGGTAACGGTCTTTGCGCGCGGAACGGCGACTTGCGCCCTGAGAAGGCCGTACCAGAACGCCGTCATCTTTCAGCCTGTGTAACTCAGACAGTCACAGGTGCGAGAACTTAGCTTAAACTAGATAGGCTCACCGGACTCGCACATCGGCCCGACCGCCAGCACTTAACCTGCGCTTCCGACACCAATGTGCAATGGCAGACCGTCTCAGCAGGCCCCGAGGTCATGATAACACAGGACGTGCTCCTTCTTGTGATTGTTGGATCAGCAAACCATACCCGGATGTGTGGGGTCCCTTCGACAGCACATTCTATCTACCTCTGCAGCCGTCCGAATCCAAAATTGGACCCCTGGCCCGTGATTCAAAACTTTCCCCGACGCTCGCTACCTGTAACACCCGGGCCTCGGTGGCCTCGGGCCTGACCAACGATGCGAATGACATGCGGATGACATATATGTTGACGTGGGACGGGCTAGCAGTACATGCGTCTTTTCCGGATAGCCAAGATATCCCTGCCCGCGGAAGAGGGCAGTCAGCTTCGCAGCACGGCTGGCATTTTGACATGTGTCGAGGCCGGATGAAAAGGTATCCTTCCGAACTCGCACATGCCCGGCCCCTTCTTAGCGAGCTCGCGCACGAGTTAGTCCTCCTTCTGATCTGCGACCAAGGCGGGCTTACCGTGCCTGGAGCGTGCAGTAAAGAATCCGTCCAAACGGGTCATCCAGTGCAACAAGCTCACGATCCAGAACCACAGAAATCTGCAGCTGCGACTGCCAGTATTTTGTACATGCATCTCGGCTCGAGAGTAGGCGTTGCTACTGCTACCTGGCAAGACCTTTATCCGAGCATATAGAAGCTGATGATCCAGTAAGTCTCACTGTGAGAGTCTCTGTACCTTTCGGCACCAGACGGGTGGGATTTCTTCCTTAATATATCCTGCTCAAACACTCGTACGTCCCAATGGGAGGTTCCGTGTGTCCTTTTGCAGCCAGAAGGCTTTGTATGTAGTCCCACAAATGTTACAATAGTGGCATAGCGCAAAGTCTCCAGCATCAAGGGGATTTTGGTCGCCTTGCCTCCTCCCACCCCGGGATGACCCAAACCTGAACGCCAGCTCTTTTTGATAGTAATTTACAGTCTTCTCATGCCACCACGTTGATTCCTATCGACCTAGCCTGGTAGATGATAGACTTGCAGAGCCCCTCGAGGGACAGGCCGGACAGCCGCAGCTCGGACTGCTTGACCTTCGCGATCTCGTAGACGTGCTTCAGGCTGACGGTGCCAGCGACCTCGTGGCCTGGCTTCGCGGCTCCCTTCCTCCTGCCTTTCTTGCCCATCGGCGCGTCTGCGGCGTTGAGGAGCAGCCAGGATGTCTGTGGCGTCCGCACCTCGAAGTGGAATGTCCGGTCCGGTCTGACGGTGACCCGCACGGGCAGTGGCGTGCCCGGATTGATGTGTCCCGTCCTTGCGTTGAACTCCTGGTGGTTCTCGTCAGTACGGACAGCTGGATTCGAGAGGAGCGGAGCCGCCATGCCTTGCAGAAGTCCATCGACTTGATACCTTTGCTGCCGAGGGCAGGTCCGACAGGCGGACTCGGGCTCGCCTGCCCTGCTCCGACGACGAGCTTGACGATCTGGTCGACAGCCGCACCTCCTCGCGCCTTGGACATCTTGGCTCGTCTTCGACACGCACGCGTTCAATCGTGGGTGCAGGGGGAGAAAGGCTGTGGATCGAGGTATCGGGTTGTTGAAAATTCGAGGCTTCAGGGCGTCCAGGGCTGCATTGATTGACCTCATGCACCCGCACCTAGCGTGCCTGGGGACCCCCTGGCGCTCCCGAGCCTGCCGGGCTGCAAGTGGACAGCGACCGCCGAAGCTTTGCGAGCGACGAGGAGCCTTGGGCGCATCGAGTGATCATCCTTGCCCTTTGTACAACTCACACTGTCACTGACCAGATCTGCGGGAGCGATCGACTTCTTATTCTGACGTTGTTCCAACTCCTTTCCAAATCAGAGGCACCTGCAAGAGAACCAACATTTATTACTGCCTCATCTGCACAACTCCGAGTTTGGTACCCGAACCCCACCACCACTCTCCCCTCGATACCTCCCTCCCAAGACCTGCATCAACTTCAACCAAAATGTTCAAGTGGGCGCAGAAGCAGTGAGTACTCTCCTCCACACCCCGAATTCTTCTCGGAAGATTGACACGAAATTCTGCAAGACTGGCCGATGTCGCCGGCACGAAAGAGCCCATCTACGGCCCCTCAGCCATCCGCAATGTCTCCGAGCAGGCCAAGACGACCCCCTACACCGAGCTGAAAAGAGATGACATGAAGTGGTACGCAATGAACACTACGAGTGTCGAGACCTTCAGCTTCTACCTCACGTCGGACAACGGCCATGCAGCGCTCGCTCAGGTCATCTATAGTAATGTGGCGTATGACGTGACCCAAGACCCCAAGGCTCGGTAGAGCTGTGCAGGAGCCTTGCTAACATGGGAACCTGGACAGCGGCATCCGCACAACCTGCCAGTTCAACTCCAAGATCTTCTACCCCGACGAGAAGAAGGACTTCCTGTGGTGCTCGACTCAGCTCAAGGATGTTGAGTTCAGCGAGGACAAGTGCAACTTCTACGCCCAGGACTGCGCAGTCGAGCTCTCGGCCGACGGCGAACACTACACCATCAAGTCGATGACAGACCAGAGGGCTATCGTCAACCTGACCATCCGGAAGGCGGCTCCCGGCTTCGTGTCCGGCAAGGATGGCAAGACTCTGTTCGGCACAGACCTGTCAAACCCATGGGGAAGCATGCGCCACGGCTTCTGGCCGAGGTGCACCGCCGAGGGCACCATCACCACGTCTGATGGGCCCATCGACTTCAAGGGCAAGGCCCTGTTCATCCATGCGCTTCAGGGGATGAAGCCACATCACGCCGCTGCGCGGTGGAACTACGTAAACTTCCAGGGGCCCAACGTGTCCGCAATCCTGATGGAGTACACCACGCCACCGTCGTACGGGTCGACAGAGGTAAATGTGGGCGGCATCGCAAAGGATGGCGAGATCATCGCCGCCGGATGCTCGAACACGGTCACACACACACGGATCAAGAAGGACACGGAGAACTCATGGCCTGAGCCGGAAGCCATCAAGTGCGACTGGAGTGGCACGACTAAGGACGGCAAGCCGGTCGTGGGACTTCTGGAGACGGACCTCGAGCAGCGCCTCGACAAGATCGATGTCATGGCCGAAGTCCCTGGTTTCGTGAAGCAGATCGTTGCCGGGGCTGCGGGCACAAAGCCGTACATCTACCAGGTAAGACGGACAACCATCGTGCCCGATCTCTCGGCTTCTGAACCCCGCTGACCGCCTCACAGTACATGCCGAGGCAGCACAAGGTGACCCTCAAGCTGAAGATTGGGGACACCGAAACTGTCGAAGAGGGCATCCTCTTCAGCGAAGCCACATTCATCTCCGAATAGAGGGCCAGAGGCTAGGGATGATATCATCAGACATAGATGGTTTTGGGTATCACAGAGCCGAGAAGGCGCGGTCTTAGAGGGTCATTTCAGGCGTTTGGGACACAGGGAAGGGCTTGCTAGAATTATGCTATGGTCTTGTAATTATGACAGTGGTAATCAGTGGGAGTAAACTGTCGCTTCATAGAGTAAGACAACTTTCGCAGCCCACTTTCTTTATGATTGCCTAAGGGAAAGTTTTCCGAAGTTTCGAAGTTGCATCGTCTTTAATATAGCACAATGCTCATTTTGGAGGGGTAAAGCTTATCTTATCGCAACCCCTGCCCCGCTTCCTTCCTCTGCTTGCCAAACAGGGAGTTTGGGACGTTCCCCCAAACTTCTGGTCCGCCACTGCCCGCTGGGCTGCCCGTTTATTTGGGCGCCGTGTCTTGGTGGTGCCCCTGTTTTGGGAAAGCCTCAACCTCCATCCCGTTCCAACCTTCCTCCTAACCCTGCCGACCCGCCGTTCCAATCACCAGAAGTGAGTGTCTCACCTCTCAACGGCCCACGATGCCTCCGACTATTCCTCAGCGTGGCGGCCCCTCCGGCTTGAAAGGGCGTCCTGGGACGGTCTCTGGAAAGACGGTCTTTGGCGCCAAGGGTGGCAAGCGTCACAGGTGAGTGCACCGCTGGACGTTCCACAACGACGGCGCTGCTAGTGAGGCACGGTCGGACAGCACTAATCACATCCCGCTCATTAGGAAAATCATCAAGGACAACATCCGTGGAATCAGCAAGTCAATCCCGGCCGTGGGCTCATTTTGGTGGCAGTTCTGCTAACGTGTCTTCTATTGTGCAGCTCGTCCTGACATCCGGTAAGTAAATGTGTGCATTTCATCACCACGACAACCCCTACTACCGCAAATATGATTCAGCGCCAGAAACTCTTGACTATAAACCCGTCGATGTGCAGAGATATCATCGCTTGTTGTTTATATGCGCTGACCAGAAACGCTTTACAGTCGGCTGGCTCGGCGTGGCGGCGTCAAGCGAATTTCAGCGGCGATCTATAACGACGTTCGTGCTGCTCTGATGGACAGACTCAGATTGGTACGTGACCGCTCAAGCCACCGCGGGTGATTCTATCAAGGATCATACGCTGGGCTGCTTTCTCGAAAATACTAACTTCTCGTGGACGTGAAGATCCTCCGTGACTGTGTCACGTATGTTGATTATAGACGTGCGAAAACTGTCACCGTCTATGATGTACGTCTTGAGCGGTGAAGGACCTTTGACTCGAGGAAGTGATTCTAATATGTAGCACAGGTCATCCACGCCTTGAAGCGCATCGGTCGACCGGTTTATGGGTTCGGTTCGTTCTTTCCAAACTCGACCCAGTAGCAACGCGAAATCCCTCTGCTTTACGAGACATCCTCGCTAACTCGAAGGGAGTAAATTCTCACTGACAAATTATGCAGACCCTGAGACTTACAAACCCATCAAGGTCAAGGCCCGACAAGCCACGGCCAACGACGATTGAGGCCGAAGCAGGGCTTCTTCTCGACGAGCAATTCATGTCTTGTCCTTGGTGGCTGCCCCGTGCTCTCCCATAGCCGGACGATGGAGCCCCGGACTTCTTGTTATTTCTTGTCTACTTACTACGATACCAAAAGGTTGCGTCTAGTCGTGCTGCATATGCCCAAGGGATTCGCGTTTTAAGGATACTTGTGGTTTGGCATGTCAGCTTTATTGGGTCTACGACGCTCGCGTCTTGTCACCACTCTGGAGGGATCAGAATATTCGTCATCTCTACTGTGGTCCATAGGGTTTGTCTTTTTTGGGAGCTTCGGTTCCATACTCAAAATCAATTCAGCGCTATTGCTCGAGGCAGAATATTACTTGACCGCGAAGATTAAAATATCTCGTATACGGGATTGTCACCCAAACGAGCAGAGGTGTCCCCACACAACGTGACAATAATATATGTTCCAGAAGACTGTGCAAAGACAGTTGCTGTCTTCAAATGATGCCCGTGACGTTTCTGGCACTGTCGATGCAGGCCTCTCTTTCCACCTCACTCTAACTCTTTCTCTCACTCATTTTCTCTTCAGTCGTGATTCCATGGGCGGAGCAAGTTAAAGAGGGTTTGATTACTCCGTTTAAGGACAAACTGATCGCTAAGCTCCGCTGCCTGCGGAAAAGACCCGCCGCGTTCAAGAAAAGAGAGGAATGGGGTATCATAAAGACTCCCTCGAGAGCCCAGTCCGGTCCTGCCATGCCCAGAGATCCAGCGAGTGCTCCGAGGCCACTCCAGTGATCTGCTAAGTCGTCGAAGCGAAAGTGGTATCATATGTGATTAAAATAAAAGGAGCGCATCGGTCAGTCCCCAAATGCCGTTCTCAACAACAGCGCCCGAGGTAAGGGGTTTTCCTTGGCACCCCCTTTCACCTCTTCCTCCTACCCCCCTCCCACTCGCCCAGGACCTTCTCCAGCGCCCCGGCTGCCTTCCTCTCGCCGTTGCGGAAGGGCTTGTTGAACATCTCGGGCAGCACCATGCGGCTGTTGGCATGCTCGGCGGCGAACCCGACCTCTGCGTCCCTGCCGCACCTCTCGCGCGTGACCCTGACCGCCTCCTGGAGCATGTCGGCGCCGACGCCCTTGCCGCGGTACCGGAGCTTTGTCGTCCACGCGCGGATGACGCCCTTGCCGCCGCGGAGGCCGTTCTGGCCGCCCCTCCTCTTCCTCGCGTGGTGGCCGCCCGCGGGCCCGCTGCCAGGCTCGAGCCGCAGGACCAGAGCGCCGACGAGCTCGGAGCCGAACCTGGTGCCGACGACGACGTCCTCGTCGCCCGTGTCGGGCGACACGAGCCAGTCCCACCCCAGGGACTCGGCGATCTGGATGTAGCCCGACGTCGCGAAGCGGATGGCCAGCAGGTAGGCCATGACCACGCCCGCGAAGAGGGTCATGGCGATGCCGACGTCCCGCTGGGGCTGGGGTTTCCTGGCCCAGGCGACCTGGTAGGTGAGCGCCAGGGACGCGACCAGGCCGGAAAGGAGAAGGGGGTGGAAGACGAGGCCCAGTGAGGCGCGCTGGCGCTGCTGGGCGATGGAGTCGGCGACGAGCTTGAGCGCCTCGACCTTGTCGTTGCGGGTGGTGAGGACGTCCAGGGACAGTGGCGGGATGTCGTCCAGGTTGGTCTGCGGTTGTGGTGATGACTCCTCGTTCGCGTGGGTGACATGCTTTGCGAGCGGCGATGAGGACGGTTGTGGTGCCAGACCTTGGTTGACGCCCACGGGCTCAAGCAATGGTGTGGAGACGTTGGACATGGCGGATGGTTGGAGAGCGAGGTTTGCTCTGAGAAATGTGAAGAAGGCTGCCAAGCAGGTTAGATATCTTGTCTGTCAAGTGATACACGACCAAACAGAGACAGGCAGCTGCAAGATGGAGAGGTGTGGTGGCTTGGTTTGATTCGCACAAAAATGTTGCAGGGCCAAGACGGCTGGCACTGGTGGTGGCCAAGCAAGCTTAAATAATTCAAAAAAAAAAAAAAAAGAACGGGACACGGGGGCAGCCAGGCACGGCGTGTAGGAATGCGTACGAAGTGGAACGTCCCGCTAGCGATGCCAAAGACGGACGAAGGTGTCCCAATCTCCTGGGAGGCATGGGTGCGAATGCACAGCTGATGGGGGCTGCTTGTCCGACTTGGGAAGGCCGCGATGCCTCGCCGACGGGGTCGCCATGCAATGCAAAGCCCACGTGCTGTAGAGCCAGTACCCTCACAGCATAGAGGCGCGCGACAGCAGGAAAAGGATGGGATAGTGGGGCAGGGGGCTTGAAGAGGAATAAGGGTCTTGCTTACCCGTGCTTGTTTTCAGGACTGGAACGACATCGTTGAGTCGGCCGGATATCGAGTTTGGGTAACAAGCGGCGCTCAGGTCGAGCTCGAAGTGGTGCAGCTGGGTGTAGGTGGCCATGTTGACCACGTTTCTTGGCCTCCAACGTGGCTCAACGGCACAAAGTCATTCGCCAATGCCGGAGACAGGCCCTCTGTCTCTGTAGACGGTAGCGTGCGGCCCAGGCCCTCGGGACCTGGATAGGTACCTAGGTAGTGCAATGGACAGAGCCTGGTCTGCCTGCAGCTCAGCTGTCAAGGAGGCCGTCCGCCAGCTGGTGGGTGTAACCCCGGAGAACAATGAGAAAATACCTAGGTAGCCTCTAGGGTGTATCGGAGAGGCTGTTGTCAGGGTCGGGCTAGTGTATATTGGCAGCCACCTGGGTCGGGAGGGCGAGGCAGCAATAAGAAGGCAGTACTGTAATGAGTCTGTCACATCCGAGTGCCTCTTCATATATGAGCCGATTGCATGAAAAAGGGCAGGCCAGACTCAGGTGCTTCCGAAACAGTCGATCTGGGGGAGGGAGGGACAGGCTTATGATGGCCGGAACAGCCGCGCGTCTGTTTCCTGATGGGTTTTCTCGGTAAGCTGGACCCACGAGTCCAGGATTTGTGGGCAGCCCCTTCGCCTTCAGTGATTGTCGAGCCGATGGAGCTTTAGGTCCCGCCTTGGATGGAGCCGAAGAGGGCTGGACAGGATTGTCGAAACAGGAGGCCGGGAGAGGGTGCTCATATGTGGGATTCCCTTTTGACCTTTGCTGGTCCGTATCAGATATCGTGCGTGCTCCAGCCCGCCAAGAATCCGACGTGCGCTGGCCCCGACCAACGGGAAGGCTGCGACGGATGAGATAAGAGAGATATGAAGATGACGACAGAATGGCTGGCCGCCAGTATCAGAATTAGCGGTGTTTTGTCGAGCTGCTGCTGCTGCCGCTGCTGTCGCACGGGTTGTCGATTGTCGTGCGTCTGCGTCTGGGCCTGCCGCTGCGTCTTGTATCCGTATCTGTATCCGTACCTGTGGGAGTGGGATGGGATGAGTGTCGGCGAGGTGCGTGTCGCTCGAGGCCATCAGCATCTGCGCAACACAACGCGTGGACCGAGGGTTGGTTGGCAGCAAAATGTGGATTGCCTGCTTCTATATAGGCCCAGGCTTGTCAGAGATCAGACACCAAACACCAGACGGCCAGGAAGCCAGGAAGCCAGGAAGCCTGTCAAGAAGGATCGATCCACACTACCCATCATCTCAAATCCATGTTGCTTGCACCGTACTATGTACATTGGCGGTCCCCAGTCTCATCAGTCCCGGTCCCAGTCGCCGGCCCAGTCCCACGCAGGGCGTGCAAAAAACTTCTTCCCAAGATGGATTCTGATAAGACGACGGGGCTTTGTGGCCTGTCAGGCTCGACCCAATGCCCGGCGGTGCTGATCAGGGGGCTTCCGTAGTTCCCCCCATCCGGTGGCACCCAGAACAGCCAGACGACGCAGCAAATTGCAAAAAAGCTGCTCGACTGGCCCGACTCGACGATGCTCGGCGAGTGGGAGCTGCGCGGCCATTCGCCTGTCCATTTTCCCACCCCGGTCCAATCCAGGCAAGCCCAGTCCAGCCATTCCGTTTTGTCGGTCATCTGAGATCGGCTCGGTGGGCCCCTGCTTGTCCCATTACAATCCGTTGTCTGGGACTGGCCCCCCAAGCAGAGCAGATCGCTGCTGCGCTGACTCCGGCCTAACCAAGCTGCTCCCTGCATCCACACCCCCTTCCCCAGACCCTACCCGGCCTTTTTGCTACCATGACAGCTGCTATTGACCCGCAAGCGTTGACGCCATGCTCAAACACGGCCATGTCTTCTTTCCTCTTGTTTATTAGCCTTCTAGGACTGGCACCAAGGAGTCAATGGCGTGGGGCTGGGCCTGCTCCAGCAAGCCGCTACTCGGGAGGTGGGCTGGCTTCCGGCGCCCGGGAGGACACCATGTGAAGGTTTTTTCGAGTGGCAGATGCGGCTGATTCTGACGCTATAGGCCTGTGGTATTGCGCCGTGCTCGGGTTAGTGTCACCCACACCACAAGAACCTGCTCAATGGCAACAGGCCCGTTGCCCAGCGGCGGGCGGTAGCGTGCTGCGTCGACGCCTCGGGGTGCCGCCTGGCTGGGCCCCGCCATGGGACATGTTGCAGCCACCAGCCGCTAGTGTCAGAGTATGCAGCAAGATATCCACTTCGGGGTCGTTTCCTGCGGCAGATTTCAGAATTGCCCTCATCGGACGAATGCCCCAACAGCTGTTCGTCAACCTCTGCTCTGCCCCACGCAGCCATGACGTTGCCCAGTGAGCCGACTACGACGCTCGCGAAAGCTTATCATGCGTTGAACGCACCCAGCGGGCTCCTCTCGTGCGCCGAACTCGAGCACGAGCATGACTGTGGGCACAATCAGAGATCGTCACGGGCTGGCACTCGGGGCGTGGAGCCTCGGCGGCCACGGACTAGGACGCTGAAAGAGTTGACAGCCGACAGCTTGCTTGCTGGATTCTCCGGCCCACACGCCGCAGACTGGGCTGGCCAAGAAGCGCGACCCGGCCAAGCCTCCAGCGGTCCAACCATGCCACCCGCGCACACTGGCGGAATGGGGTTGCATAAGGTTGAAACAACTCCTCCCGCCGCTGCTAACCCGGAACCACCCACTCAGACTTCTCGCCTGTTTCGCATAAAGCCGTTTGCAGATCCCCAGAACTCTTTCGGGCCTGGGCTGCAGATCTAGCCCAAAACCCGGGTGGACCACCGGCGGTGTAAGCTACGGGGCATCACGATACTTGCTGCCAGCTTTCTTGCTCTCGTGATGATTTGCGCACCACAATTGGGCTTGACAGTTCGCGTCGTGCCGGAGGAATGGTCGCCGTCGTCAATCACTCACGAGAGGCCCCGCTTGCTGCGATCAAGCAAGGGAAAACCCATCAACGGCAAATTCAACCCCGAAGTCAAAACATGAGTCCTCTCTCTCTCTGACTTTACGGCGGATGCCACGGGGTTACGGACTTCGGAATGCTACGTGCGACTGGGTGCCACATTCGAGCCGATGTGCCAGACTCACATGTCACTGATCGGATGTCATCATTTAAGCATCCATCACTTTAGCCGCTCATTGGCAGTGTGTATATTGCTTCCACTTGCGCCCGGTAGGCTACTGTCTGGGGTAGTGGTCGAAGGCTCTCCCTTGCAAAGCTTGATAAATCCATCCGTCATTCGGATGCCAGAGGCAGCAAATAAGAGCAAGACGGTCACGCCGGCCAGCAGGGCTGGACAAGCTCACAGATGAACTGCCGGTCATGTGCCGGCCGAGGTGCTAATATACGCAAAGTAGTCTACTGTAATGGAAACTCCAAACACAGTAGCAACTCTGGGCCATTTTGGGAAGGCGAGAGCGAGCCCCTTCCAGCCGGCCGGGCTGTCCTGGAGCGCACCGTGAGCCGTGGGCCGTCAGCAGGACAAACTCTGCCGGCGTATCTCTACGGCGATGCGGAATAGACGCGGAGACGAACAAATTGATTTATTGCCCTCGAGCTTGTGGCTCCTCAAAACGAAACGCACGAGGCCGTCTCGGGCGAGGCCTCGGTGCCCCACCCACTGCGGCTCTGCGTGGAAAGGCCGGGGTAGGAAGACCATCTCGACCGACCAGCCTATATCGCACCGAGATACTGGCAGTGATGATGCCTGCGGCCCTTGGCCAGCCTTGTGCAGAACCGGTTAGGCTGAACCCACGGCTGTCTTGTGGGTGTGGAGGTTTGTGGGGATGGACCAGAGATTTCCTTCGCCCCGGCCGCGGTCTCATGGAGCTGCTTGCCAGAAATGCCGTCGACGGAATAATTTTGGCTGGCTTGTCGATCTCGAGACCAGGACGGCGCCGTGCCAGGTAGAGGACCGGTACCACAACGCCGGCGGGAGGTTTTGTGGGCAGATGGATCACCAACGGCACCTTCACCCGCCCGCAGGCTCGATTTTGCATTAACCCGTGGCAGAACCGGTGTCATGGTGTGGCGATCATGAACGGCCTCGGTGGTCCTGTCGTGCGTGCTCGTCACAGGCTGACGAGGCGGCGAGTCTGGACGAACATTACACAGGGCAAGCTGCTGTGACGACATGCTGTTCCGAGTTGTAGGCACTACGGGACGACCTCGAGTTCGGGAACAGGGTGTGCCCTTATTGCAGTTGTCAGTGGTTCGACTCTTGGCCGAGCAATGGCGACATCTTGGACCCAAGAGAGCCACATGGATCTTTTGAGGTTTCTTGTGTCCCAGAGATTGATTACTCCTCGCCTTGGGCCAAAAAGGTGGGCAGTAAGACACCTTGCTCTGGTTCCTGGCATGCAGACAGCAGCTTACGAGAGTTGTGGTCCTCGGCTTCGCTCCCAATGTTGCTACTCTGCTGACACAGTGTGGGCTAGGAGCCGGGTTTGCAAGTCCTACCAGGAGCGTTGACCTCTCCCTCCCTGCCTCTCCCTACTCTCCCCCACCCTCGGTACGTTTAGTCCTTGGTCAACCTACCCATCAGCCCTACCGGCCAGTCAGCCATGCTGCTTCTGGTGCGGTGCAACAGGATGCAACCTATACAGTATCAAGTCAAATATCCATTCTCTGTCGACGACACTAGCAAAGGACAACGTTACCGTCTGACCTGCAGCACATCGGTCGTCCAGCCTGGTGGTCTCCGCGTACGGGGAACTGTGCTGCCCACGCCGAGCTTCCGGGCTGCAACCTTGCCCAACATTTGTCTGCACAGTAAGACCACCTTGTGCTACGCGAGGATGTAGTCTAGCTTGGCTCCAGCACTTGGGCTCTCCAGACATTGCCGCTCGAGTCTGCCTTACCGGCTGAACCCCGCCATGATCCATTGGCTGAGTGAGACCTGCATCCTGCGCAGTCCGCACTGATCCAGCACACAAGCAGACGAGGCAGCCCAGAGAGTCAGTCAGTCCCCAGCCAGACTGCCATTGCACGCCCAGTCCTGGCAGTAACAAAGCAGGCTGGTGGCGGTCTGCCCAAGAATCCTCCTGGTGGAGGTGCCTTTGCACAGAAAGGCGGGCGCACGCCCACGCACCAGGGTGCCAGCTGGGGTAGTGCCGTACTGGACCGTAGTCTCGTGTCCTACATGCTGCCCGCCCTCCGAAGTCCTACCTAGGAATTAGTAGGCTACTGTAGGACAGGACACACGCATACACCCACAGGTACACGCACCCGCACACGCACAGGAACAGGAACAGGAGCAACTCACGCTTACCTGCTCTGTCGGCGCCTCGTCTGGCCCCCGACTTCTGGAGCCTCATCGATCTGACCTTCACCCCATCTCACGAACATGGCCTAGACGTGAATTGCCTCTTTGACCCGTTCTCGCGCTCCAGGAGACTTGTTCTGCGCCGGGCCGCTGCACCAGATACCGCCACAACAGGCCCACTGCTCATCCGCCTCCAAACTCCGCCCGCGCCTTCGCACGCAAGGACAGAGAGGGAAAGAACCAACCCTCGCACCGCTCAACGTTCGACCATGGGGTCCGAAAAGAAGGACGGGCCCTTCGTAGGCCTATCCAACCCACGCTTGCCTTCGCTTGCGGCCGTGGACCGCTTGCACTGGGCCCGCTCTCCACGATCTCAGTGTTCCCCGACCTCATCCCCGGACCCGGCCTCGACGGCGAAGAGTGCATCGTCCGATATGTCCTTATCCTGTGTCACCCGCGGAAACTCCCACGATGACTGCTCCTACTCGCGATTTCTGGCATGGGCTGCCGTCCAGCGCAATGCCTCTCGCTTCATGAGCTCCAGCGACAGGCTGTCTTGCCCCCTGATAAGGTGCAGGAAACAGCTACCCGACCACGAGAGCATGTTGAAGCACCTTGCCTCGTGCCCTCAGCTGCCCACTCGTGAGTACTGGTGTTACGACCACATGCGAGTCGAGCACTTCGACGATGCGAAATGCAAGCGCTGTATCAGCCACCCCTCCAGGAGGCGGAGGATGCTCTCCATGGCCAAGGGCTTCTTTTCGACCCTGGGCCACAAGTCGAAACGCGGCCCAGAGCTCGAGTTCGATGTTGACGACGACACCGCGGCTTTGGCGCCACCGAGTTATTTCGAATCGCTTAGCTTCGATCCGCCGGCTGAGCCAGAATTGTCGTCGACAGAGATCCTGGAAATCGATTCAACCGAGGTGGTGGTCACGCAAGCCCCAGTCGATGCGGTCCCAATCGTCGACCCCCAGGACCTGATGCTCCCGGAACTGGACTCCACCATGATACCCTCACAAGCGCCACCGCAGTGGCAACCCGAGCTCTGGGACGTTCCGCAATCGAGCAACAGATTCACCGCTGCCGCTCCGACGTACGAGAGCGTACCTGCCAAACAGCCAGCTTCACAGGGGCATTCACAAGACACCCCGTTTGGCCAGCAGGGTCCCCGTCCGGTTCCAGCTGCTTCGCGAAGCAAGCACCTTTCGCCGAGCTCGTCTGTCAGGTCCACAACTAGCACGATGAGCAATGTCAGCAACATCAGTTCCGTCACAGCGGCCTCGTCCTTGTGGAGCACCCCGTCCACCGCGTGGTCGGGCTTTGAGACAAACTTAACAACGCCGTCAACAGGACTCATTAGCCCTGTGGACATCTGCCCGGAACATGACTTTCCTGATCTGGCAAAGCAATGTCCTTCTGACCCACTGGGCATGCTGCCCGAGCTGCCAGAACTTGAAGCCGACATGCCAACCATGCCTGAGCTGTCTTCTGGAGACTTCTTTTCTTTCGACACTGACCTGACCAAGTTGTCCTACCCGGACAATTTTGTGCTTGAGGAGGAGAACATCGAGCCATCAGCGTTACATTCAACTGAGGCTCAAGGCTCAGGCTCCATCCAGTCCGAGACGAAATCCCTTGTCGCTTCCGCGTGGGATGCTCTGCAAGAGCACATCGTCTCCTCCGCAGACAAAATTCAACACATCCAGAACAACCCTTTGGTTGATCAACTGAAACTGCTATCAGCCAAGACGATCGCACAAAGAGGGTTCTCGAGTCTGCGCGGCATCCTGGAGTCTCGTCCGTCAGTGTCCCCACTGGACACGCTATGCTTGGTTCATGTAATCTACAGTTTCGCTCTTGTGGTATACGGAGACGATGCGACACGCCGGTCCAGCGACTTCTATACCCAATCGTTACTTTACTCGACCTGGTTCACGCCTGACAACCAGGCATTCTATCGGGAGGTGGTGAAGGCAATCTGGCAGCCAGGCGATATGACATTTGAGCAATTGGAATCACTCAAGGCGGCCCAGGCTGGGCAGCCAGGGTGGCCTCGCAGTGTCAAGGGCAAGGAGCGTGCAACGAGACCTTCCGGCGGTATCACCAAGGGTCCGGACCCTCTTGTTACGACGGCGCTGCACTTTTTGGATGGTATGTGTTGTGAATTTCATCCATTTGCTCATTTATTTGACACGTCCAACTGGGAAGACATTGGCTAATGATTGCATTCTGTGTAGAATTAGAGATTTCTGCAGTACTAGGCCCCTCGTCTGAAGCCCTAGCTTCTGATCTTTGTGCGATGCATTCACAAGATGGGGCCGTCAATTCTCAAACTGCCACCCCAGTTGCTGAGAACATCGCTGGCCTGGTCAATGCATTGAGCATCCTCGTCAACCAGTATCACAATGTGGATGGCCTAATTGCCGAGCTGAGCAACGTGAACCAGGGAATCAGCGGTGGCCTTATACTTTCAACCCGTCGGTTCGAGTTAGAGGCTCTCCAAGCCGGACAGGTAAGTTCTTATTGTCTCCCACCTCGAGGTAAACTCGACAATATAAGATTCTAACGTCAAGACAACAGAGTTGTATTGTCCCCGTCCAATACTTCGATGACTATGTGCCACTGGTCCGCAGCCTTTGCGATCCTATCTACGAACTTGACAGCAGCCCTGAGGCTCCGCAGCGCCAACACTACTACACTCTGAGCATGGCACTTAGTGAGGCTCTTATCGTGGAGCTGGACGCCGCCCCGCTGGATGCCGGTGAAATCTCCGAGCTTGAGTCTGACGATGACGCCCTGTTCGACTGCATCATCGACTCTCTTACCCCGAGTCTGACGGATGACTTCATTATGGACATGGACATGGAAACGCAGCCATTGCTGAGTCTGGAACAAGAAGATGTTTCGAAGCCGACAGACTTGGGGAAGCCTACGCACCGATCCACACCCCCGGAAGACAGCACATCAGCTTCGAGCACGGAGAGCCCGTCTAGCACTGCCTTCCGGCCCAAGAATGTCCTCCAGACGCCGGTCTCGCCCACCTCGCCACCGCAGCAAAAGCCCGAAACGGCAGACGCGTGCTGTGAGCTATGTGGCTACCGCCCGAAAGGGGACCCCAGGTGGTTCCACGGCTCCATGGCCAAGCACAAGAAGACGCAGCACTCGACGGAGCCACCCAAGATCTACAAGTGCCCGTACCCAGAGTGCACCAGTGCCTACAAGAACCGACCGGACAACCTGAGGCAACACCAAATAGAGAAGAATCACTTCGTGGACGGCCATGATGGGGCGAGCAGGAGGCCCAGCAAGAGGAAGAAGATGGCTTAATGAGGGCGAGGCACGGTTGGTCTTGTTGGGCGATGTGCTGGTGGCGCCGGGGCTGTCTCCCTGTGTCGCCTTGCGAGCCCGAGTGTATATATATGATAGATGATGTGTTTTGATGTCTGAGATACCACTGCTGCATTTGTGTATAATCATTGGCGTTTACGGGAGAGGATTGGTCTCATAGCTGGCTGGGTTGGTGGTCCGAGTGGATTTCTCTGGCCGGGAACCACAGCTCGCTGCAGCCGAGCTACAGGTAATCAGGCCTAGCCTTTGCATTTGAACCACGGGTCATGCAGCGAACCACGCAGGCAGTTTCGATGACCAGAAGCTTTACTGTTCAGTTGACTGCACACGGCAGGTGTGAACCAGAGCAGGAGCAGGTTGCAGTCCGCCGCGCTCGTTTGCTGCCGAGCCGAGCCGCTGCGACGACATTTGCTTGGGCGGGTCCACCTATTTCGACCGTCGCTACAGTAAGAACTTAGACCATGTCGACGTGGGCTGCCATAAACTAGACTACCTAGTAGTCGTTTTTCAAATTCCCAAGCACGACCACGCTTTGTTCAACAACCTCCAAATTTGTACCCGGCATACTCTTGAGCGGGCATTGGACATCTACAAACCACCGTCACACCACGTCAACCCGAGCCAAGTGGCCACTCTGTGGAGGAACAAAACACGCCATCTCCCTGCTCCCAACTCTCCCCAGCCGGACACAGCAATGTCGCGAACCATGGCAGCCAGCAGCTCAGAGCTCCCGCGCATCTGCGTCCTGGGCTCGCTCAACATAGACCTGGTGTCCTATGTTCCTCATCACCCCGCCCCGGGCGAGACCCTTACGTCAAACTCCTTCACCGTGTCCCCAGGCGGAAAGGTTAGTGTCCGTTTGTGGAACCCCCCCCCCCCCCTTCCACTCCTTCCTCCTCCAGCATGCCATCCCGTTCTCTCTCGCCCGACCGATCTCCCAGCATCTGACAAAGCCCACAGGGTGCCAACCAAGCCGTGGCATGCGCTAAGCTCTCGCGCCCGCGTCCCGCACCCGGTGCCCCTGCGCACGACGACGCCTCAGCAGCGGCGCGCGTCTCGATGGTCGGAGCGGTCGGAGCAGACACCTACGGGCAGATCCTCCTGGACAGCCTGAGCTCGCACGGCGTGGACGTGAGCGGCGTGGCGGCGCCCCAGGCGCTCAAGACGGGCATCGCCATCATCATCGTCGACGAGCCGACGGGCCAGAACCGCATCGTGCTGAGCACTGAGGCCAACCACCAGGGCATGGCGGCCGCCGACTTCGAGTCCGCCATCGCGCCACGCGTCGGGACGCCGGACCTGCTCATCATGCAGCTCGAGGTCCCGCTGCCCACGGTCCTGCTGGCGCTCGAGCGGGCCCGCGAGCAGGGCGTGCCCGTGCTCCTCAACCCGGCGCCCGCGGTCGAGCTCCCCGCCGAGGTGTACCGGGGACTGGCACACCTGGTCGTCAACGAGACGGAGGCGTCGATCCTGTCCGGGCTGCCCGCGGAGAAGCTGGACACGGCCGCGGGGTGCGCCGAGGTGGCGGCGTGGTTCCTCGCGCGCGGGGTGCAGACAACCATCATCACGCTCGGCGGCAGGGGCGTCTACTACAAGTCTAAGGCGGCCGAGGGCCTGCTCCCCGCGGAGAAGGTGGCTGAGGTCGTCGATACGACCGCTGCTGGGGACACGTTCGTTGGGCAGTACGCACTCGAGGTGGTGGGCTCAAGGGGCGGGGCCTTTGACCTGGAGGCTGCGGTGCGCAAGTCCAACAAGGCGGGCGCCATTACGGTGCAGAGGAAGGGCGCGGCGGCTAGTATACCCTGGAGGGACGAGGTGGTATAATAGTGATAGAGACATGCCAATTTCACGGGCATCGCAAGATCCTCAAGTTGAACTACAGCCCATGCGTTGTTTTCATGGGCTCCCAGCACGGTGAGCATTCTGCAGGAATTAACGGTGTAATTCACTTGATGCCGCTATAGCATATATCTAAATCTCACCACGTGGTTATCGCTCTTGTCCCCCGCAAACAACCGCTCCTCCTCTTCCAAGCTCCCTCCCGCGCCATCCCCGTCTCCGCGCCTGTTCGCCCTCGCCAGGTACGCCCTCAACCCCAGAGCCAAGCCCGCGACGCCAAACATGGCCGCAGCACAGATGCCCATCCCACTGGTGAACCACGGCCCGTCCCCCTTCGGGTACAGCCTCGTCCCGATGAGCGGGCCCGTCTGCCCGATCACCTGCATGAGCGCGAACCCGGCGCCCTTGTGGTCCCGCCCCCGGGAGTTGTTCACGTTCCACGCGATGGTCAGGACGACAACGCAGAAAAAGCCTGCCGCCGCTGGGTAGATCGCTAGGTACCTCGCCATATTGAGCCATCCCTTCCCACTGCTGCCCTGCGAGCCGGGCCCGGCGAGCATGTTGCTCAGGCGGTGGCTCAGCGCGAGGAAGGCGTAGCCCAGCGCCGAGGACAGCGCGCACGCGGCGATGAGATAGGCGCGTGACTGCAGGGCGTCCGAAGCCTTTGCTACGGCGAGCACGGCGACGAAGGAGATTAGGTAAGGGGGCACGGAGAGAGCCTGTGAGGCCACAGGGGTATGGCCCATCTGTGTCAAGATCGAGGGCAGGAACACTGGGAGGGAAGAGTACGCTATGTTCGTGAGCAGGAAGATGGCCGCTGTCGTCCAAGGAACTGGGTCGCGGAGCACCGTCCAGAAATCACTGCCACATCGCCGCCGTCGCCCTCCTGAGGCCGAGGACGGGTCCTCTCTGCGTTTCTCTTCCCCTGTGCACCCGTCCGAGAGGCGCAACCTCGCGATCTTCTTCTCGCGCCTGGTGAGGTACGTCGCCTTCTCAGGCGAGTCCGGGATGATCCTCCATGCCATAGTCGAGACTAGCACCGCCGGAAAGCCCTCGACGAGGAACAGTAGCCTCCACGGCGCGATGGGCCCGTTCTCGGCGAACTTGGTGATCAGCCATGCCAAGGACGAGGCAAATGTGGTAGCAAGCGGCGCAGCTGGATTTGATTTGATACGACGGTCAGCACTCGCTCAGGCTTGACCAACCATCCTTCCCCCATCTACCAGCAGCAAAAAGGGGGTCACGCCTTACCGGAGATGAAGACCGCAGTCCTCAGCGCCAGCTCCTCCCTCCGGAAGAAGAAACTCAAGTAGATAGGAATCCCGGTAAAGCCCGCCTCGCCGACGCCCAGGAGGAAGCGCAGGACGATCAGCACGGGGTACGACGTGGCGACGGCCTGCAGCGAGGCCACGGCGCCCCACGAGAGCACGATGCCGGCCACGTAGGCGTGCGCGGGGACGCGGCTCCAGAGGAGGCTCATCCACTCGAACAAGATGTAGGCGATATAAAAAGACGCCAACGCCCACTCGTAGTAGGCCTTCCCGCCGGCCCCACCACCATCCTCCGCGGCCCCGGCAGCCGTGCGCCGGGTGAGGTCGTCATCCATGCCTGCGACATAGGCGTTCCCGATGTCTATTCTTAGGTCGTTAGCTTCTGTGTCTGCTGGTTCTAGATCGTCCCAAGTCCTTGGGGACTAGACTTTGCGCCCCCACAGGACATCGGATGAGGAGGGGGACATGGTTTGGGGGCCGGCAACGCAGGAACCAGGAACGAGATTTAGGAATAAGCCACACTCGGCCAGAAAGGGCGTAGGGAAGTGATCAGCAAGGTGGGAGAGGAAGGTAAGACGGACTCGACCGGTCAAGGAAGCTCAGCATGTACAGGAACGCTACGAAGAGGACCAGGCGGCGATCGAACTTGTCGACGACCGCACGCTCTTCCTCAGCAGCATAGCTGAAGCCATTCCTTGGACGGCTGTAGTCGCGGCCGGTCTCTCGTGAGCCCCGTTCATCCAGCTCGTAGATTTCGTCGTCGCCGCTGCTGTCGTTGTTGCTGAGGAGAGGGCCCATCATCATGCCCTGCTCCTCCCGTCCCAAGTCTCCATTACTGCTGTTACCGCTGCTCTCAGGGGTGAGACGGTCGAGCCCAGGCGACGGGGACGAAGAGTCCCCGGGCGTGAGTGCCTCTGGCCCCTGAGACGAAGACAAAGCGGCTGCAGAGCCCGGCCTCTCCTCCATCTCATGGAAAGACATCTGACAGAAAAACCGGAAAACCAAGAGTAGAAACGAGCTTGATTTTGATAAGGCCGTGGTGACGCCGCCACGGCAAGGTCCACGTCGGACTGCCAGACGATGTGTGACGGTCGACGGTCGACTGTCAAGGAGAAAGGGCCCCGGGCTGGGGGTCCGAAATGAGAAAGATCCACGCCTCCACCCCGATCAGCGGTTCCCGGTTTGGGAGGGAAGACGTCCCGGCTGCCCGGTGTGGCTTGCTGTTGCACTAAGACAACACAGCTTAGCCAGATCCGACTGAACGCCATCAGGTGACACCCGTTTCGACTGGACTGTTGTTGGTTGTTGTTCTCTCTTCCTGTCATGCAGTCATCTTGGAACAAGACTCCATTTTGGACATGTCCCGACAACGCTTAAAACCATGTGTTGTAGCTGCACTGATTTGTTGCCAGCCTACAACTTGTCTACGTGTGGAATTTGTGGGATTTGCGCGTGGCGAGACACATCGGGAGCCCAGTAGCAAGGAAACATGTCTTGTCTTGGGCCAGAGCCCATTTTCATCGTCTAAATTGTCTTTTCGAGGTGGTATGTAACAGCGATACAAAGAGAAAGGGAAATTCCCGTAGACCAGGCATATATGTCCCTGTCCATTCGGACTGAAGTTCCCACTTTACTGTGCATCCATCCTTGTCCTCGATTCCAGTGTACAAGTGACGAATGGGATATAGGAGCTCCCCAGCTCCAATGCCTCCTCCGTGCTTCCCCTTTTTCATCCCCACATCCCCACGCGTGACGGTCGTCATTCCCTTTTGCTTCGTCTTCGTGCACGCTCGTCACCTCCAGTAAGAATAATGCATTAAAAAAAGGAAGTACCCCGTGGCCAGATCAGGGCCTAAAAAAATGGCCTGGTCCTCTAAAGCGACGAGGGGATATCAAAGTTAACGGCGGGCTCTGGGTTGTCCAGGGCCCGCCGGAATGAAGGCTAATAAGACATGGAACGACACACGTGTAGCCGACCACGCATCACAGCGTGGTCTCTGCTTCGCCGGCTCAAGAAGTCCCCACCCAAGGTGGTAAATGCACGAAGCGGACCAGAAGGGTATCGTAATTGTGAATCAGAAACAAAAGGCTGTACGAGATGCAGAAAAAGGAGATGTCGGGTAGATGTCCAAGTCAGATCTGTGCCCAGAACATCGACTTCAGTTCCAGCCCAACGAGTTCGCTGCCGCGACGGGTGGTGAGATGTAGGCTGTCCGTGCCGAGTTGCTCATGCCGCTTCGGCCGGTCCTGCCACTGCCGTGGCTATCACGGCCGCCTGCTGCACCGTAGCTGGACATGTCACGGCTCAGCAGAGCACCGCCCATCAGGGCAGGGCTACCGGTCTGGCGCATCGGGGAGCCTTGGGAGACGGAACTAGTGCGGGCGTGGGCCTGCTTCCTTCGCTTGTACCGCCGAGCAATGATGAACATGGCAGTACCGTAAGCCGCCGAGACAACAACGGCACCCACGGCAATACCAGCTGTCTGTCCTCTCTGGCTTGCGGAAGAGTCGCCGGATCCCGAGTTCCCAAATACGTCACCGCCATTCCCGCTTGGAGAGGAGGGGCTGGATGAGCCACCTCCACTGTCAGTCCCGGTGGAGCCAGATCCATCGGCGCCGCCACCAATGATGATGCTAATGGTGGAGTCAATCTGCTGCGTGATGTTTCTCACCAGCGTGTCATCCTGTTGATACAGCGCAGACGCCGGTTGCTTGACCTGTAGGCTGAGCGTGCTCACCAGGTCCGCCGGGTATGTTGCAACAGCGATGGTCGGCGTGTAGCCCTTCTTCTGGTCAAATCCTTGGAGCGGCTGGAGCCTTCTCATCTGAACGAGCCCATCGTTGTTGATGCCACCCGCGTGGCGCAGTGCCTTGGGGATCCCTGACAGGACCTGAGCAGCCGCCTTAGGATGGCTGGCAATGAACGCGTAGTTCAACGGGAACTTGAAGCCAAGCTGGATTTCGACAGTGCCCTCGGGGATGGGCAACGTGCCAGTATCAGGTGTAATGGCTTTGGGCAGATTGGTTGGCAAAGAAGTGGCAGACGTAGCAGTATCACCGCCAGTCACAGTGCTGGTCGATGGCGCAACGATGATGGTAGTGGGCAACCAAGACTCAGAGGAGTCAGTGATCGTAGAAATGGGGACTAAGCTGCTACCCAGGCTCTCGGAGGACACGGTCGTGATGCTGGGAAGGGTATCTGAAGAGGTGGTGGTCGCCTCCTCTGTGGTTGTAAGCTGAGAAGTAGTCTCCGTCTCTGTAGCAGGAACCGTGGCGTTGGGCGGAAGTGTGACGGTAGTCGGCAATTCTGACGTGGTCGTGCCGGGTTCAGCCGAGGTAGAATTCTGGGATACAGTCGCATCTGTAGTTGTCGGCAGCAAGGTCGAAGTGCTCAGAGCCGATGTCGGCAGGTCGGAGATGGTAGTGTTGGCAGTGATTGGTATCTCGGTGCTGGAATCAGCGTCGGTGCCGGTGACCGTAGTTCCGTTACCGATCTCCGTTGCGCTCGGCAGAGGCGTGGCGGAGGTAGTAATGCCAGTTCCCGGTCCAGTTGCAGAGGGGTCTACAGTTTCGACAGACGACGTTGGCGTAGCTGAGGTGAGGGTAATGCCCGTCCCAGGTCCAGTGGCCGACGCATCGATCGTAGACACAGTAGTAGGCGAGGTAGTGGGGCCTGTGCCTGGACCCGTGACCGAGGCGTCGATTGTAGATTCAGCAGACGTGGCAGAGGTGACTCCAGTGCCCGGGCCCGTGGCAGATGGGTCGACACTTTGAGCGGTGGTCTCCGTGGCCGAGGCAATCTCGGACTCGGTTCCGTTGGTTGAAGTCGGGCCCGCGAGGCCACTCGACAGATCGGACAGGATACTGCTCAACCCGAGACCACCGGTCGAAGATGGTGTCACGATTCCAGTGGGTGCGATAACAATGCCGGAGCTGGTGGCCGAGCTGGCAGCCGAGCTAGCGCCGGTGGGGATCGGGCCAGTGGTGGTTCCGGTCTCCACGGGCTCTATTGAGGTTGCATTGGTCGAATCGGCGGCCGATGTAGGCACAGTGTCGTCGCCGGACTGGGTGGAAGCCGTCACTTGGGTTTGGCTAATGTTCGAGCTAGTGGAATCAGCCAGACTTGTGGCGGTACCTGTTGCGGTCGTGGCATCTGTGGCTTCTGATGTACGGCTCGTTGGCTGTACAATCACAGGGGGGACGGAACCCGTTGAGGCGGCATCACTGGTGGAAGCAGTGATGTCGGACACAATACTGCTCAGATCAGAAGTGAGAGGAAGACCAGTTGGCAGCAGCCCAGTCTGGCTGGCAGATCCCGTGGCAGATCCCGTGGCAGATTCGATGGTAGATCCCGTGGCAGATTCGGTGGCTTGGTCGGATGATGTCCGGCTCGTTGGCTGCACGATCACAGGGGGAACGGAACCCGTTGAGGCACCATCACTGGTGGAGGCAGTGATGTCGGACAGAATGCTGCTTAGGTCAGAGGTGAGAGGAAGACCCACACTGTCGCTGGTCGAGGCCGTCTCGATCGAGCTCGCGCTTGGGGTGGCGTCCGAGGAAACAGCCGTTGTCGTATCGAGCACTGTCGACGCAGACGGAGGCGACACTGTAGTTTCCGCTGAGCTGGGGCCAGTCGCAGAAGACGCTTCCGTCAGGATCGTGGTGCTGTCGGCAGGTAGCGGTCGGGGCATCGTCGGCAGACGTCGCAGTCGGAGCGTCATCCTCGGTAGCGGTCGTACTCGAGGCCGGGGACTCACTCGGAGAGACAACGAAGGTGTCGGACGCCGCCGAGCTGGCGCTGTTGGCATCGGACTGGACGTCAGTCGCCGTCGTAATCGGAACGGGGCCGGATGGTCCCAGGCTCGTCAGAATGTCTGATAACGAGAGGCTCTGGCTCGTCGAGGAATCGGACGTGGTAGTCTCGGCCGTTGTCGAAGGGAGTGGGGTGGCGATATCCGTGACGGTCGCATTGGTAAACTGTCTCTTGACCTCCCGAGGAAAATATATCTTCCGCTTGGCCACTGGTTCTGCGCCGGCGAACGTCGAAGCAGCCACCAGCGCAGAGACCAATAGCGACTTGGTCTGCATCCTCTCAATCTACTGGCAATTCATCCGTACCGATCGTCAAAGAGTAGGCTGCTAGGTTTCGAATACCAGGAGTCGGCGAGGGCCTGTGCAGGTGGACTCGACGACGGTCAGCACACGAGGAGCCGGCGAGAGTTGACGAGTGCTGGCGACTCACTGTCAGGAATGAGGCAATAAACGAGTGTACTTGACAATGGGTCAAGGAGTGTAATCTATATGAGTAGTCAGTGTTTGGCCCATGCACTGCCAATATATGCTGCGCGCATGAATGATCCGCCAGTGGCTGCTGTTGGGACAGGGAACCAGGGAGCGAGGGAACTGTCCCAAGCCTCAGGCTCCACCTCTTTCGGCGACGCGGGAAACAAGGCGGCAGGAGAAGAAGAGAAGTGCTACTGACTGTTTCTGGCCGGGCCAAAAAGAATGAGTGTTTTGCGTTTGGGAGGGGGCTTAAAGAGCGACTTGACGAGAGACTCGTCAGAATGAGGTGAAAGTTCACAGCAAAGCGGTGCCCGTGGTGATTTGGGAATTGTTGTGGTGGGAAGGTCGAGATTAAGCCAGGACAGACATTGGCAGTGCAATTTCGGGAAAAGGGGGCCGTGGAGTTGGGCGGGCTAATCCTGGTGGAGATCGGCCGCGGGAATGCAGGACGGGCCCTTTCTTTGTCTATCTATCGATTGCCCTCGAAACCGCTGCGAGAGGCCGCTGGGAAAAAGGACGACGTCGAGGAAAGGGATTGAATCGTCGCTTTTCGAGAAAGAAAAAAAAAAGAGAATCGGTCGGCGGAGTCGAGTAGAGAGAGGGAGGGGAGGGGAGGGGAGAATGGAAGGAAGGGTAAGGACTGGCGTGGTGGTGGTGGTGGTGGTGACAAGTAAATGAAATGTCAACCAGAGTCAGTCAGTCAGCCCAGGACGAGGATACGATATAGACGAGGACAAGGCAGGACAGGCACGCGGGCACAGACAGGGACCGGGGATCTGGGAGATTGAGGAATGGGATGGGGGTGGTGGAGGGCGAAGAGGCGGACAGGGACAGGGACACCACGCGCGGACGAGCAGAAAAGAGGAGCCCAGGCGGGCGAGGGATAATCAGGATTGGAGGAATGCAGGGAAACGGAAGGGAGAGAAACAGAAAGGGCCCCCCCCCCCATCACCATCCACCCAGGCAAAAGCTGTGCGCGCTGCAAGGAGCAGGACCGGGGGTGGCTTTGCTGCCAAAAGAACCTAGCGCGCCTTTCTTGCCTCTCGCGCCTCCCCCTCTTGCTGTCTTCTCCCGCCCACACACCCCTTCCTTCCCATGTCTGGTTGGCACGGAAGGAGGGGGCCGCCCTTATGCTCAGGTACGATGAATCTTGCAGCAAACCTTGCTGATAGTGCAGGTAGATGTGGTAGTGTCCTCGACAGGTGTCCGTCCGAAGTCTGCGCCCAACTGGGTTGCAATGATGCAGGCCCAGCGATGCATCCCAAATCCGCATCCGCATCCCAATTTGTGCACCCACCCACCCAGCGTCCCCACGGCAGAGATGGGGAGAGATCACGAGAGACAGATTGGGAAAGAGCCATCCCACACCATGGCATGCCATGACTAGGACGGTAGCAGCAGCCCGTCGTGGGTATCACCGTCGCCGCAGGGCACACACACGCACACACCGGGCCTGTGCTCGCCAGCATGCCAGCACGCCGACGAATGGCCGATGTTCTGTGTCGTGCTGTGCTGTGCTGTGTTATGTTGCAATGCAACATGGACGCAGTATGTGCATGACAGACAATAGTACACAGCCAGACACACTACATGATGGTCTAATTTGCGATGCGGTGCGCCTTGGGAGAGCCGCTCGCGGATGATGTCCCCACTGGCGCATCCATCTTGGTTCCTGAAGTGATGGTGCTTCCCAAGTTGGGATACAGTCTACGAAGGATAGAAGATCCTCCAGCCATGGCCCATCCCTGTCCATCCTTGGAGGCTTGATGTGGCCTAGAGTGGGAACTCGGAGTCAGAAGCCTCAGAAGCGATGGATGGGCACGGCGAGTGATCCTCTCGCGCGCCGCGCAAGTTGAGGACCAACAGCACCATTTGTGGACAAGCTCGACAATCAGCCGCTTTGCCGCAGCCGCGCAGAGTGGACCAGAGACTTCAAGATTGCGCTCTACAGATCCCGCACAGTCACGAACTGTTGCTCCTGCGCCGCGTGTTAGGCCGATGGATCGCTCGTGTTGTTGGTTGAACGACGGTTCGTCGACGGGCTGGCATGTAGTCGAAAGACCTGAGCTGAGACCCAGGGCTCAGGGCCTACTGTAAGGTCCAGGCACAGGGCCCCACTGTTGGTCCCGCCCCAGCGTCAAACCAGGCACCGTTTGCTCAGAGGCAAAACGACGGACTGGCTGACGGAATGACAGATCGACAGTCTACCGATAGATGGAGAGAAGATGGTTCCTGGGCAAGTCCAAGGCCCACCACGTTCTCCATTTCCATTTCCAGTTCCAGAACCAGATCCAGGGACAGGATCAGAGCCAGAAACAAAACGGCCGCGATCTCGGCCGTCTTTGTCAGGGTGGTCGCTCACCCATGCGACCAGTTGTGTCTGCACTGGCCGGATTGATTGTTGGCAGGTAAGTGGAGAGACCCAGTGCCCACTGGCCCGCCCGCGGCTCGCTTTCCCCTTCCTGTCAGGCGGCGGGCGACCTGGGGATCGTCAGGCCGGCTGATGTGTGAGTGGTCAGAGTGCCATGCTGGACCCCACCTCTGCAGGGATGCTAAAATTAATTGTTGCCGCCGTCGTGGCTTGGTCCGGCCTGCGGTAGCGTCCTACCTTATTGTGCGTGTGTGTGCGTGTCCTGCTTGTGAGCTTGGGTGTGTGTACGTATGCAGGCATCGATACGGGCACAGCAGCATGCGGCGCAGTACTGGACTGTGGTGCAGATGGGTACCACAACCGCGCGAGAGACACGGCAGATCTAGAGGGCGGTACGGTACAAAGCCACGACACTGGGACCAGAAGGCCCAAGGGATCCTCTCCCCACCTGCATGCTAATAATAAAGAAGATGAAAGATGGCCCCAAGAGGATGGCCCAAGAGGATGCCCAGGCGGTGGTGTTAAGCCACCACGCAGGTGTGCGGCACAACGTACTAACGGGGACACGGCTGCATCCTTCCCAGCGTTGGCCAGAAGCCAGGACGGCTCGCCAACAACTGCCAACAGGTGTGCAGCTGGACACTAGTCCGCCCCAACCCATGTCGTGACATTCGACAATTGCCGTGCTGCGATGTGATGTGATGCTGAGGGTGAGCGCTGGATCAAGGCTAGACGAGGGCTGAGGTGAGGTGAGGACAGGCCAGGAAAAGAAAACACACACACACACACACACACACCGCCCCCAGATTCGCCCACTTTCGACAACAGCGGGCGAGCGACCAGCACCAGATCCAGAGTTGCTCTAGCGCTGACAGGCCAGGAGCCAGCTGTCGAAGCCAACTGTCGATAGTCTCAATCTCGACCCTGCATCGTGAGATTGAAAATGGGGATCCACTGCATCCGCTGAGCAACGCCGCAATGCCAACGCCAAGCGCCAGGACCAGCACCAACCGTCGCAGCGCGTGGGCTCTGGCCGGCGAGCAGCCCGCGCACCGGGTGCATCATCTCCTCTACGGCTAGAAGCACGGGTCTCTATGCGACTATTGTCTCTTGATTAGTCGAAGATCATGTAACAGTCATGACTCCAACGCCTCAGGCGAGTTCCAAACGTCAACGACAGGACCCACATGCCGCACGCACGCGGAGAAACGGGCGCGCCTGGGTGACTTTCTCCAACGGGCCTCGAACCCTTCGGAATCTGGCCAACACGCCCATCAAGCTTGGCGGATGGGACTGAGTTTCCCTGACCTGCATTCTCCCCAGCAGGCTCGGGGTGCTGCAGCCAACAGACAGACGCCCTCGGAACGCCTCGCAGAGTCCGATCAACATTCACCGTCCGTGCCTCAGGAACATGCCGCACGCACAGAACATAGAACGGCGGGTACCTTGACCGGTTGAGCACGCAACGCAAGGCCAGGAACACCACGCTGCCTGTGCCACCGGTGTTGAGCAAAATTTGATCGGCCGAAGACGGCTAGTCAACGGCCGTCAGGGCAATGCATCCCTCCCGCACTTCGTTTCGCCTAGCCCGCGTCCTAGCGATATCACACTAATGCCTCACCATCGCCGACCGGGCTGCGAGCTAGGCACCACGTTCGGGCCATTATTACGTGCTCCGTGCGGACTGCCGGGCAGGAGAGAAAGGCTACGGAATCTTCTGCAATTCCACAGCAGGTCGAATAATTAGTCACGACATGATAGCCTACCCAGCTGGTCGCCCCTCGGTCAATCTCATTCAGGTGTAGGTGTAGGATGCTCAAACACCCAGGCGGTGTTAGTCGATCGCCCAAGCTGCGTGCTCACTCCTAATAAGGGGGCTCGTAAAAATCCCCAACACGAGCGCAGCAGCATTGACAGCCCGCCCAGGCAATCTCAATGTTTGCTCATGCAGGGCAGCGAACTACCTAGCTCCGTGAAAAGCTTCGAGAATGCACCGGGGAATAATTGACTTTGGACGTCTGAACGCCCGAAAGTGTCGATGTGACAGGGCAGAGAACATGAGATGAACCGTAAGCGGCGGCAGATTCGACGCAGCGCAGAGTCAGAAGCATGCCTGGTAGGGCAGGGCAGGCTCGTGTTTGTGTGTCGAAACCACCCCAAGAATCCTCCGAGACAAGACGTGACAGCCACCATTCCACACGACCTGTTCGCGCGAAGGGAAACGCGGGAGCTCCCATCATGGCAGGCGTTTCACCGGTGCGCACATGGAATGAAGAAAAAAGCGCCGGGGGCCGCCTTGTTACGTCGGCGCGCTCGCCGCACCTTGCTGCTGCTGCTGCTTGCCACACCCGCGTTCTCCGTCACGTATGGTCGCACACTCGACTCGCATGCCCATCACGTTTGAAAGTCCTTTGTTGAGATCTACCTCCTGATCGTCGTCCCGTTTTCGACACCTGACCTGCCAGCCACTTCTGCAGGAGTGCCGCCCTAAACACAGAAATTCCTGGGTGGGATAGGACTGATGGAACCTCGTATTTCGATGTTTTTCTTTCTCTCGAGGGGGGGTGGTAGAAACTAGAATTGTGCCTCCCCTGAAACACGGCCTCGCTAATACCCTTAGGGGGGAGGGGAATGCCCTCGCCCTCCGCCTCGTTTGACCTCGACAGTTCCAGCCTAGCGCGGGCCCTCGACTTGGCAGCACCTCTCTTTCTCTCTCTCCCCTGGGGTCCCACGCCGTCGCAGGTGTGCCCGTATTGCCCCCCTGCGGCGACGATGTCGTCTTTTGCGAATGCGCGCCGCCCTCACAAGGCGACGAGGACCCGGTATTAAGGCTCAGCCGTGGGCTCAGCCGTGAGAGATGCGCGACCGGCCCGTATTCATGCCTGCCTTTGCTGATGGTGAGACAATCAGAGCGACGGAGTCTCTGGCTTCAGTCGAGTTCCAGAGCCGAGTCATAGTCGTGGGTCCTCGGGGCCAGTCTCGTTAGATCCGGCGTGCGGGCGGTCCTGCGGCGTTGCCAAGCCCGGGCTGCCGCGGTCTAGAGGACTACCTCCCGGCCGGACTAGACCTGCGATGTCCGATTTGGACCCGGTCTTCGAGGGATTCGAAGTGACCCAGTGAGTTACTTGGATAAAGCTTTCAGTGACTTCTTCTCTCGAGATCCTGGGCTGCCCGCTCTTTCAATCAACGTGCCCTGTAATAGTCACTGACCAGCGGGTCTCGAAGGGTCCCCAGAAGACAAAAGTCCTCCTGGACCGGAAAAACATCCTCTGTCTGATGTTTTATCTCTGCCCCTTTTCTTGATATCGACTGTCTGTGATGACGCCTCTCACTTATTTATGATGTGCGGTTGGCCCGGAGTGTACAGATATTGGGAAACTATGCCCTCAGTATGACCGTCGTTGATCGCAACACTGGTTCCAGACTCACATAGTAGCTGTGCTGTCCTGAGTGGTATCAGATGCTTTGCTCTTGAATTATTTACATATACAGTACATGCCCAAGTAAGATACTTAATTTACCGTCCCGATCTACAGCGTTGAGCTATAATGAATACCGCTTTTGGGCGAGGCCGTCCACTGGATGGCAGCACGAATACAGCAGACACAATAGCTACCCGAGAACTTTTAGACTGCCAAGACCCGGTCTACTGTTGCAATATTGTATTCAAGAGCTCTTGCTATCTATCATTGTTTGGTCTAGAAGCTATTGAGTTGCGGGTAACATCAAAACATAGATATGTTTATGGTACTCCCAGATATGCCTTGATTCCGGAGGACATTTAGCATTGTAAATGACCAAGTGCTGCTCAAATCACCAACATGTCTGACAGTACACGACACCGTCTGCTCCCAACGCTCTGCTTGAGACAGCGCTCTGCGACCGCTGCGGTATAGCCACAGACACCAAGAGGTCAGAATTGACCAGAGCGCCTCTGGAAGACCGGTTGCAGTCTTATCAAGCTGTGCCGTCACAGTTTTAGCCCTGACCAGAGACTGTCTGCTTGTGAATACTTTAGTGGGGTGAGGATAACGGACGTGATGCCTCGAGCGAGAGCTGAGAACACCAGAAAGGTACCGCTCTGTATGGACGACTACAGAGGCGGTGTGGGAGTAAGCCACCCAGGGTTCGGAAGTCAGTCATACGGAACGATGATATCTGGGGCTGTCTAGAGGCATTCGGGACGCACGTCGTGTTTGGGCAGACGGAGACTCACCTTGGCACCGCATGGCACCGCAGGCTTGCCCGAACCATTTCACCACCCCGGGCAGCGCTGGGATCTCCTGAAGCCTCCTCCGGTTTTGTATATGCTTGCGAATTATAGTGCTGACAAAAGCGCCTCTTCCATGCGGTTGCATTAGCGGCCGTCAGTTGTCTCTGCTTAAATATAAGCCAGAGTAATCAAAGACTGCTCCTGTCACATATGACAGCAGGTCGGTCGATCACCACGGGTGAGCTCATCATGAGTGTCACATGGCTGCCATCCCTCTCGATGGCGAATGGCTGGTCCACATAGCTTGATCGCTGGAATGCATAGGCGAGTCGCCTATCTGGGTTCCCTCATGGGCGAGATCAGACTGCATCGAGTGAGATCACGGTACAGCTGAAGGGCACGACTTGCATCATGCCTGGCTGCTGTCGCTAGATTCAACACCATTCGGATGCTGTCCGTGCGAATTGGGCGGACCGAGAGCTCTCAGATTCGAGGCTACCTGCGTCAGTTAGTCCCAGATGCGAGAACGATCCAAGGCAGGTGCGTACCGAAGCAGAACAGCTATCCCGCAGCCAGGGCCCGTCTGCATCTCATGTAGGTGACCAGTCATTTGGGCGGACCACGTAGCACGCCAGATACGCAACATCGTCCTTGCTATTTTCCTGTCCCATCAGTTGGGGCAGGGATGGTGGAGTCAACGGTATCTTCTTGTTTCTGGGCACAAGCTGGTGGTGATTTACCTCGCCAGGAATGACTGAACGGTAAAGAACTCGTCCTGGATGGGACTGGTGGAACGTAGAGCATTCGTATATACCACTCGTAGGAAGAATAATGCCTCTGTGGCGTTGAAGGAAGGGTTGGACTGAGTCGTTTGTCCTACCGGTATGAAGCAGCTGATTCCTGCAACGCAGGTCACTTTGATTGACTCCGGTCCGGCAGGATGAGCAGAGATATCGTTGTCACCTCAGGTCAGGACGCGAGCGCCACAATAATCAGCTCCTCATGTGCAATGACGACAGCAAGTGCCATCACGCACGTTGGTGTGCGTCTGATCCACAACCCCAGAGGTTATTCCGGAAGGGCTTCCGTACGGCTTCGCAGCTCTTGGGAAAATGGGTGGTAATGTGAGGAGGATCGATCCACCCACGATACCGTCCTGAACGTGCAAGAACAGGCGAGGGCAGCCTCATGCGCGGCGCCCCCCGGCCGGGGGGTCGAAGTGCCCAGCTGGACAGGAATCAAAGTAGTGGTGTCGAGGTTCTGCCAATACATTCCTTGCTTTTCTTCAGGCATGCCGTCCAACGCCGCAAGTGGTGTCAAGATACGGAACGGAAGAAGCAAAGATGGCTCGTTTCATCTCTGCGTGGGGTGGATATTGTTCCCTATCCTGCTTGTTCGCCGGGGCAGAATTAAGCCTGCCGTCTCTGATACCTCGGCCTCCCACCACGGCCGGCACTGACGTAAACGCGTATTCAGGCGCGTTTATGGGAAAGAGTTCATTTGCGGTCCGATCCCTGGGAGGCATCAGTGCGCTGTAGGTGCGCCTGGGCCGCAAGTCATCGCCACGGACCCTGAAGCTGCAAGAAGCCACAGGGAAGCCATCCAACCTGAAGCAGCGCTCCGCCAGAGCGCATTGGAGAGACCAGACCCTGCTGAAGAGCGATGATCGTTGACAGGTCAGACCGACAGACCGAGCAAGAGCCGCTGACTATCGCAACACCTCTCGCCGGGCTGAGGCGGGCCGGGCAGAATACCAAGTTGATCAGTGGCTGGAGCTGCATCGTGGAGGGCATCACATCACGTAGCCTATCATGTGCTTTCACCGGCGAGCTCTTGTGCAGTCGCTACCGCAGAAAGAGGCATGTGTCCCGGGCTCAGGTTTGCGCCCAAGAGGGCCCGGGTCAATGAGCAACTCGTCCACATGCTGAGGATCGGAGCGGTGGGAGAGCAATGCTCGTCCGTCCGTCCACGCACGCATTGAATCCTTCCATGTCCATCAGGATAGGGGGACGGTGAGAGGAGGGTGCCCCGCGGCCAACCCCGCCTCACGATCTGCTGGAGGGGTCGTCTGGATCGGAGGGGCAGGGAACAAGCTGTTCCTAGCCTGTTGTGACAGCACCCTGGCAACAAGTGTCCTTGGCATCTAGCCCCTTCCGCTGCCAGTTTCCCGTGAGCTGCCAGAAGGTTTCCGGGGTTGGGGAGAGAGAGAGACGAGCTGTGCTACTAGACTACTTGGTCGCAGCATTGCAGGAGCCGCGCATGTAGACGTTGCTGTGCGTAAGTGGGCACGGAGCAGGTGAGACGGGGACGAGACTGACAGGCAAGTGCACGCCAGACTGCTTCTTCGCGCGAGAAGCCCCTCTGCTGGTAGCCATGCTGTGATGCGACTCGTCCTTGTTGGGCGGAACTGTGGATGCGCTGCAAGGTATCCAGATCCCAGCATCGCCGGCGTCATCGGCACCTGACGAGGGGCAGGAGCGAGCCAGCCCAGCCAGCCAGGCCAGCAGCAGCAAATGTGCTACCCGGCCTACGGAGTACCTGGGCAAGTACATGCCCAAAGGCTTGGTAATAAAGGGGTGAGGACGAAACAGGTACCTGAGTACCTGGAGCCCCTGCAGGCTCATGTGAGGTTCAAAGTAGCTGCACCTGCAGCTAAGGTCATCCATAGATCGAGGCTCAACTTTACCGAGTCAATCCTCACTCGTCCCACCGGGCATTGGAGTGCGGAAGGCGGTACTTGCACTCACATCACATCATCTTGGCTCCAGCTTGCTGAGATCGGGTGCCATTCCATTCCAACTGCCCTTGCCCTGCCGCGTGCGAACTCACTCTGGGCCGGAACCCCTCGCGATATAAAAAGCCCTCCACACGACCCACAACCCATCCCCTCCGCCTTCCGGTCCTCCACAGCAGATTGTCAGGCTCTTCAAACCCCTCGTACAAATACTGTAGGTAGCCCGGTCCGGCAAGCTCAGCTTCGACTTACTCGTCACTAGCCGACACGTACACGACACCTATCGACGTCATCGCAACTGCCAATACAACAACCAAGGTCAGCAACTTAATCCCGTCTCTCCTTGCTTTGCAACCCAAAGCAACCTTGTTTACTAAACTGCCCAGCTTCCTGAGAGAAAGAAAATAACAGCCAAAATGGGTGTCACCGTTCAACATCACGTGGAGGGCACTGGCGCACAGCCCAGGCCAGAGCAGTATGTGACCATACAGTACACCGGATTCCTCAAGGACGAAAAAGCGGACGAGAACAAGGGCAAGAAGTAAGTCCCCTCCTCCCAAATAACACCTCGATCAGAGGCACGTCCAATTGGTACTCATCCGTCTCCGTCTCTCAAGGTTCGACAGCTCTATCGGCCGTGGGGACTTCATCACCCAGATCGGCGTTGGCCAGGTCATCAAGGGTAAGTGGCCACCTGTCTGAACCACGCTGGCAAGCGGAATGAACCCCTCTTAACAACCTCATAGGATGGGACGAGGGTGTCGTCCAGATGAAGGTCGGCGGCAAGGCCACTCTTGACATCACCAGGTAAAGCCCCTCCCACCTTCCCTCTGCACCATTGTCTAAGAACGCTAACTGACATTGGCACAGTGACTATGGCTACGGTGCCGCGTAAGAACCCCTGCTACTCAGCCAAAAAGGGCTCGAGAAGCAAGGCGCACACCTCGCCAATCTATGCTCCGAACTCATCAGTCTTACTTTTGTGGATACCGCCATGCTGACATCTTCTCTAGCGGTTTCACCGGACATATCCCCGCGAACGCGGACCTCATCTTGTAAGTTGTCCCGGGGTAAACACCTGAGAATAACGTATGGGAACTGACACCTTCGCATAGCGACGTCGAACTGAAGGACGTCTCGGACGACGACCCCCGCCGCCGCCGGTAGAGGTGGAAAGGCACCGGCCCTTCGTGACACATAGGAAGTGTTCAGACGGGGCAGATGGAAAATGGACTTCTAGTTTAGACACTCGCTTGATCCTCAGTGAAAAGGCCAAGAATAAATACTCCTCCATGGGAACTTGACGCCCATCCGGGTGTTCCTATCACATCTATGCGAAGTGCCCCTTGCGTGCTCTCCTTCGCGGACCCTCCTTTACGCGAGCGCCGAAGGTTTCACACGGCACGGTGACCACAGCTATTTGGTGAGACAGCAAGAAGGCTCTGTCGAAAGCAGGATAAGCCACACAATTGTGAATATGCATGTCTCTGATGTTGCGGAGAACCAGTCTTCCTCATAGCTTGTCAAAGAGCAGCCTGCCCCTCGCCCAGGCAATCCACCCCACCCAGGCATAAGGCCGAACAAGGGACTGTCCAAAAGCCATCTCTGGCCTCTCGATGATGTCTCTCGAAGCGGCGTGCATGATCTTGCCTGACGACCAAGCGGCTAGCGACCGAGGGACAACTGAGATCGCGAAACCTCTGGCACAGCTCGTCTCGCCACAGGCTGTCGCACATCCAGGAACACGCCGCCCGGGATTTGCTAGGTCCGCCAGGCCCAGGGCCGGCTGTGGTGAGATCCAACTGGGCCGGTGGAATACGTGCGAGGCCAGAAGCTCTTGGTGGCACCTTTCATAGGAGTTCTCTGGGAGTTTGAGGAGAGGGCTGCAACGTCCCAGGTGCGGGACAAGCGATCTTTGAGATACCGTCCCATCGACTCACCCGGTGGAACGTGATGGAACGGAGCAGATGGGTAAATGGCCGGGCTCTCCGGGCTGGAACCGCTTGGGCAGGTGACTGAGTCACCGGTGCGAGGTCTTCGAGGTGGGTGTTACTTGTCTCTCCCAGAACACATCGTCACAAGCCTCCAAGGCTACACCCATGCAGCAGTTTGAGCAGACTCGCACGACTGTAGTTAATACAATTTCCCGAGCTATTCCTGCCCTTGGGTAAGCACTCAAGGACGAGTATGGTGCTTGCAAGCATATCAGCTTGGAGCGGTGTCTGGGTGTCCCGGTAGTCGGACCTGTCTCATGTGTTGGATCAACTGGATATACGTGTATGTGACCTTGGAATTCTAGAGTAAAATGGATGAGCCAAGCATTCTTTGGGGGATCTCTCTCTAAGACAGGTATTTAATAAATCAGTAAACCAAATAGGAGGATGCTGATGCTGACAGAGACAGCGGTAGCTCCCCACCTGTTATAAATCAGATTTCATCGGTTTCGCCTCCCATGAACCACAGCCCTCCGGTGAGGCAGAAACGGCCCTTGGCCATCTGGGTACATTCATAGATTTTCATTCATCACGTTTCAAAAATAAAGTCAGCGCCCCAGTATTAAATCCCCTACCTTTTGTAAAGCCCACGACTTGACACAAGCTCGACTGTTGACAGAACCGCTGCCTACTCCCGCGCCCTACCTGCCTACATAACCTTGGGAGCTACTGGGTACCTAGGTAAGCTACCCACCTGTGGCTCTGGTGGGGTCGATGTTGCCCCCCCCCCATTCCCGCCCGTCCCCCGTCCAACTCGCAACTTGTCTCACACCTCCCAAGCAACATCCAACAGCAATCATCACTAGAAACAACTTCCAACCTGCATCCGACCTCTTCTCCTCAACGAAAGATAGCTACTTCCGCTTGTAAAGAGTCCGGCAAACTGGGGAAGCGCAAACTTTCCTGCGACGGGGACTCGCTGCCTCTCCAGAACAAAAAGACAATGACAGTGAGTATCCCCAGGCCGTCTGCCCCAGCCCACCCCCTCGTTTGCTCCAGGCCCATGCCGCCGCGGCGCCGCACCCGAAGCTCCTGCGAGTAGCTCTCAAAAGCTGCAGCAAGTGTCTTGGGAACACCTACTGACCGGTTGCCCGTGTTTGCAGGACCAGAGGCTCCCCGAGGTCGACCTGGTCACCAGGATGCAGGTCGACGAGTCCGTCGTTGGGAACAACGACATCGACGAGTCTCTCTACAGCCGACAGCTCTATGTCTTGGGCCACGAGGCCATGAAGCGCATGGGCGCGTCCAACGTGCTCATCGTTGGACTCAAGGGCCTTGGTGTCGAGATAGCCAAGAACGTCGCCCTTGCCGGCGTCAAGAGCCTGACCCTCCACGATCCTGCCCCTGTCGCCATCGCAGACCTGTCCTCCCAGTTCTTCCTACGACCTGGCGACGTCGGCAAGCCCCGTGATGCGGTCACCGCCCCTCGGGTGGCCGAGCTGAACGCATACACCCCAGTCAGCGTGCACAAGTCTTCCGGGTACGCTTTGCCTTTCCCTACCCTTTTGAACTTGGCTGTGGATTAGTCACTGACGTCAGACTCTGTTCTAGGCTCGCCGATAACCTCACAGAGCTCGACAAGTTTCAAGTCGTTGTCCTGACTGGCGCCCCCCTGAAAGAACAGCTTGCGATCGGCGACTACTGTCACTCGAAGGGCATCTACTTTATTACCGCGGACACGTTCGGCTTGTTTGGCAACATCTTCTGTGATTTCGGCGAGAAGTTCTCGGTTATCGATGCGACCGGGGAGAACCCACAGAGCGGGATCATCGCCGGTGTTGACGATGAGGGTGTCGTGTCCGCCCTCGACGAGACCCGCCACGGCCTTGAAGATGGAGACTACGTGACATTCTCCGAAATCGAGGGCATGGAGGGCCTGAACAGCTCCGAGCCACGAAAAGTCACGGTGAAAGGCCCGTACACTTTCTCCATTGGGGACGTCTCAGGTCTGGGCCAGTACAAGCGAGGAGGTCTGTTCCAGCAGGTCAAGATGCCCAAGATCTTGGACTTCAAGAGCATCACACAGTCGTTGCCGGAACCTGAATTTCTCGTGTCTGACTACGCCAAGTTTGACCGCCCACAGCAACTCCACATTGGATTCCAAGCTCTGCATGCGTTTGTCCAAACACAAGGCCATCTACCAAGACCCATGAATAAGGACGATGCTGCTGTGGTGGTCAAGTCGGCCGAGACCTTCGCAAGTAAGATGGGCGTCGAGGTCGAGATCGACGAGAAACTGTTGACCGAGCTGAGCTACCAAGCGACCGGGGACCTGAACCCCATGGCGGCTTTCTTCGGTGGACTTGCGGCCCAAGAGGTTCTCAAAGCAGTCTCGGGCAAATTTCACCCAGTGCAGCAGTGGATGTATTTCGACTCCTTGGAATCGATTCCTCAAGACTCAAAGAGGTCCGAGGCATTGTGTGCACCCGTTGGTAGCCGCTACGATGGCCAGATAGCGGTCTTCGGCAAGGAGTACCAGGAGAAGATTTCAAACATCAAGCAATTCCTGGTTGGCGCAGGTGCCATCGGTTGTGAGATGCTGAAGAACTGGGCTATGATCGGTCTAGGTACTGGACCCAACGGCCAGATCACTATCACTGATATGGACTCTATCGAGAAGAGTAACCTGAACCGACAATTCCTGTTCCGACCCAAGGACGTGGGCAAGATGAAGAGCGACTGTGCAGCTGAGGCCGTCCAACTTATGAACCCAGACCTGAAGGGACACACTGTTTGTTTGAAAGACCGTGTCAGCCCAGAAACTGAGGAAATCTTTAACGAGGACTTCTGGAACAGCTTGGATGGCGTCACCAATGCACTGGACAACGTGGAGGCAAGAACATATGTCGACCGGCGTTGCGTGTTCTTCAAGAAGCCTCTGCTTGAGAGTGGCACACTGGGCACAAAGGGAAACACACAAGTCGTTTTGCCCGGCATCACGGAGTCATACTCATCTTCAGTAGACCCGCCTGAGCAGTCGTTCCCGATGTGCACACTCCGAAGTTTCCCAAACAAGATCGAGCACACGATCGCTTGGGCACGTGAACTTTTTGAGACGAACTTCGTAAAACCGGCTGAGACGGCAAACCTCTACCTCACGAAGCCGGATTACCTGAAGACCACGCTGGCGCAAGGTGGCGATCAGAAGACGACGCTGACGGTGCTTCGCGACTACCTGAAGAACGAGCGCGCGCTCACCTTTGAGGACTGCGTGAGCTGGGCTCGCATGGTGTTTGAAAAGCAGTACAACAATGCGATCCAACAACTGCTTTACAATTTCCCGAAGGACTCTACGTCCTCCAGTGGACAGCCTTTCTGGTCTGGCCCCAAGCGAGCACCGGATGCGTTGAAGTTTGACATCAACGACCCCACCCACTACCAATTCCTCGTTGCGGCAACTAACCTGCACGCCTTCAACTACAACATCAATGTGCGGGATAAGGACCGCGCTGCGTATGAGGCTGCATTGGAGTCTATGATTGTCCCAGACTTCACTCCCGACCCTGGTGTCAAGATCCAGGCGGACGACAAGGAGCCAGTAAGTGAAAGCGATGATATTCTTCGCCCCATAGCTCATGATCTGACTGTTTACAGGACCCCAACAAGGAGGCATCAGGGAACTTTGGGGATGACACGGAGTTAGAGAAGATCGCTGCCGACATCCCCGACCCCAAGTCGCTGGCAGGGTTCAAGCTCACACCGGTCGAGTTTGAGAAGGACGATGATACCAACTTCCACATCGACTTCATCACGGCAGCGAGCAACCTTCGAGCCTTGAATTACAAGATCGAGACAGCAGATCGCCACAAGACCAAGTTCATCGCTGGCAAGATCATTCCGGCCATCGCAACCACGACCGCGTTGGTCACGGGCCTGGTTGTCTTGGAGCTGTACAAGATCATTGATGGAAAGACGGACGTGGAGCAGTACAAGAACGGATTTGCCAACCTGGCCCTTCCCTTCTTCGGCTTCAGCGAGCCGATAGCCAGCCCCAAGGTCACCTGGAAAGGACCCAATGGCGAGAAGCAGACAATGGACAAGATCTGGGACCGGTTCGAGGTGAACAACATCACATTGAAGGAGCTGACTGATTACTTCGAGTCGCGTGGCCTCGAGGTATCCATGGTTAGCTCCGGTGTGAGCCTGCTCTATGCGATATTCTTCCCCCCTGCGAAGAAGGCTGAGCGGCACGGGATGAAGCTCATTGACCTCGTCGAGTTCGTGTCCAAGAAGCCTGTCCCAGCGCACCAGAAGTATGTTATCTTCGAGGTAGTCGTTGAGGACGCGGACGGGGAGGACGTTGAGGTGCCCTACGTGAGAGTATCGCGGGATTAAGTGGGCATGTGCCGCCGGTATGGCTGGATGTAGCAGGTTCCCGTTGAGAGAACATGCAATTACCAGAGCATAACACGATAGACTGGCTTCGTTAGTTCTTTGACGCGGGGTCTAACCGGCTGTGTGTGTTGATTATTCGACAGAGAAATCATGTAGATCAACCAGAACGTTTTCCTTGAGAAACACTGAGGCCGACTTTGGTTTTCTTCCGTCTGTGTGGCATACCAGACCACAACGCTTGAGGTCTTGGTATCAACTCATTCGCTTCTTCGCGTCCAGATTACTAAAGTCTGCCTACCTAGTTGTGCTAGGAACTAGGTGGTATCGGATGCCCCGCACTGAACATTAGAGACCCGGCACCAGCGCTTTGTGGACCCTTTCAGCGTCCACGTCATGATTAGACGAGCATTACTGTACGACCCGTTCTGTACCGTGTCCAGGGCTGGGTGCTTAGCATGCGCTGAATCAGTGTAAGCCGTTGGAAATCATGGCATCGCCTGGGCGAGGCAGAGTGTGTGAAATCTTGAGATGTTAGACTAGCCCTGCCGATGGTCAATGTAATTGCTTGGTGATAGATCTCAGTCGTCACCAGTCTAGCGCCATTTACAAGGCTTGCCCTGCCGTTCTTTTACAACCACCGCCAAGAGTTGTTCATGATAAATCGCTGACAAGAGTCACCTGTGATCTCTCGGGTTCATGTCACTCAATCCTCTGCCCAAGCTAGCAAAGCACAGGATCACAAGCGTTCTTGTCCAGCAGAGCTCCCGCGGCCTGTCTTCACAGCGACCCCTCAATTTTGGGTACCCGGCAGACAGAACGACCGTTGCGTGTAAACAGCAGCATCCTCCAAGACTCCAGTCATCATCGCTCTCTCACCACAAACCCATCTACCTGACGCAGACGAGAATGGTGAGTGGCGACAATTCCCCACGCTGTGTACGCCCTGGGAGAATACGAGACGAGTAGTCATTAACAGTGAGCGCGCAGTCGACCACGGGCAAGGTCACGGACTGGGTGGACCCGGCGGACAAGAGCGGCGAGTTCAAGAGGCAGGTCAGCTCGTTCCGCGACTGCATCTCCAGCGAGCCGGGGGCCAAGTTCCCGGCCGAGAAGGGAAGGTACCACCTGTACATCAGCTATGCCTGTCCTTGGGTGAGTTTCTCCCGGTCCAGATGGCGCATTGAATTCCCGCGAACACTTGACTGACGGAGCACGTGCCAACCCCAGGCGACCCGGGCGATCATCGCGAGGAAGCTCAAGGGGCTGGAGGACTTCCTCACTGTGTCCTCGGTGCACTGGCACCTCGGGGAGAATGGTAGGCGGGCCCTATTTGCCGAGATAGACTGAGGAACCTGCTGAGACCGTGAGAACAGGATGGCGCTTCGCGACCGCCGACGACAAGGACGCCGAGGGCGAGAACGTGGTCCCGGACCCGCTGCACGAGGACTTCACCCACCTGCGGCAGATCTACTTCGAGTCGGACTCGGACTACTCGGGCCGTTTCACGGTGCCCGTCCTCTACGACAAGGTGCAGAAACGCATCGTGAACAACGAGAGCAGCGAGATCTTGCGCATGTTCGGCACCGTCGTGAGTTCCTGAAACCAAGCTTGCTTCCTTTCGTTCCCCTCCAAAGCATGTGATCATCCACTGCCCCCTCCTGACACTTCTCCCCAGTTCGACGATCATCTCGATGAGCAGCACCGCGGCGTGGTGCTGTACCCAGCGGCCTTGCAGAAGCAGATCGACGAGGCCAACGAGTGGCACTACGACCTGATCAACAACGGCGTGTACAAGTCCGGGTTCGCCACCACCCAGGAGGCCTACGAGCGCAACGTCCACGCCCTGTTCGGCGCCCTCGACAAAGCTGAGGCGCACCTTGCCGCGGGCGAAGGGCCTTACTACTTCGGCAAGGAGCTGACTGAGACCGATGTCAGGCTGTGAGTATACCACAGACTTCTCGAACGGCACAGATGGAGGGCTAACCAAAGGAATGATCAGATTTGTCACTATTATTAGGTTCGATGTAAGTTAGACCTGATGATCCTCTCGCACCAATTCCCGTAGCTTAATTCATATCCCGTCGCCCTTTTCTTCTGCAGTAGTCAAACGCCCTCTAACCCGCATTCTGTACTTAGCCCGTCTACGTGCAACACTTCAAGTGCAACATCAAGGACATCCGGTCGGGCTACCCGCACCTGCATTCGTGGATGCGCAACCTGTACTGGAACCATCCGGCCTTCAAGGACACGACCAACTTCCTGCACATCAAGAACCACTACACCCGCTCGCACAAGCAGATCAACCCCTTCTCCATCACCCCGGTCGGCCCCCTTCCGGATATCCTGCCGCTGGGCGAGGAGGTGCCCGCCCTCAAGCAGGCTGGGAAGTTGTGAGGACAGGGGGAAACGCCTCGCAAGGGAAGAAGGGAAGGAGTGAGATGTCGATGGTTTTGCCAATCTAAGGGTGGTGAATCCGATGCATGATCTTTGTGATTTATTTAGGTACATACAAAATTAAAACTTGTTCGAGCCTACTAGGGGGGGAAAAACAATTGGTCTGTCTAATGGATTACATCTACACAAGTAAACTTCCTGTCGGACGGGTCGTCTATATGCATTTGCTACCCGGGGTGTGCCTGGTACTGTCGTAACGCGTTAGTCTAGCGATAGACCTTCATTTGCATGTATCCACATATACATGTGTGAGTATATATGTTTGTATGTGTATGTGCACATATTAATACCTATTAGGGACAGAAGCTCAAGGATTGATTGTATTGAGACCACGACCGTAGTCCTGCCCGGCCACGTCACTAGACGAAACTGTGCACCCCTCCATTCACGGACTAGACAGGCTATTTGATGTCCAATTTAAAATCCACTTGCTTCTCGGTCCCATATACCAGAATGTAACTACGTGAGTAGATAGTAAAATCAACATCACAACTCCACGCAGCCCTTTGCAAAGCCATCCCAACACCAGCCGCCGTCATTATAATGCGATCTTCCATCTTTTTTGGTTCGTCCCCTACAAATCCAAGATGACATGCGACAGGCAGATCCGCCGGATCCGCCCTAGATACTCTACAAACTTCCTCCCTCAGATGGTACGCATTATCAACGAGCCATTAGATAATTATGTAAATGGTATGCAGATCAAACATGAATCAAGATGATGTGGTGTATATCCAAGAAGGAAATCTACAGCTGCCCGGAAAGGCACGCCTCGGTGGCTACAGTCCAATGTTAGTCACGGTCGCGCAATAGAAGGTGAAAAAGCACGTTGTAGAACGGGAAATTGGCTTACCAGAATTGATATACGCCCTTCTGGCATCGAGCGGGACGCCGAACCTCCTCTCAAGCTCCTGCTTCACGCCCTTCTTGGTCACGGTCATGAGATCCGCAGTGCGCAGGATCTCACGAATCTCCGCGAGAAGCGCATCATCGCCGGGCATGCCGGCGAGGTTGCTCATCTCGAGGTCGTTCTGGCTGCCGCCGAAGAACTGGCTGCCACCAAACTGGCTCTGGCGGTTCGCAGGGGTGTTGCCACCCATCATCTCGCTGGCCGCAAAGCTCAGGCGGCTCTGGGAGCCAGTCAGGGGCACCTTGAGGTCACCAGAGCCGTTGTACGGCCCGTGGCCGTAGTTGACGACAGAGCCGGGGCGCGATGGTGTGTAACCACCCCATCCATACTCTGACACACCGACATTGGGACCAGCCTTGGTCGCATAGCTGTAGCCAGAGACCTCGGAGCGAACGTCGTCGCGAGCTGTCTGAGCATCCCAGAGCTCGGCTTGGTACTCCTCCCACTTCTTGCGGGGAATGGAGGCCGGGTCGAACTTGCCCTCGTCGGAGATGACGACCTTCTTGCCCTTCTCACCGGCAATGACACGAGTGTTACCCCAGTTGAAGTCGTCCATGTGCCAGAAAGCGTACAGAGGGAGAGCAAAGGAGTATACGGGGACTGCACAGATGTAGAGCAGCATCCACCCAATCATCTCCCACTTGCGACGAACAATGAAGATGATGCCCTGCAGACCGTAGATAGCACCAAGCATGATGAAAGCTGTCATGGGCACCACGGTAGCGTCTATGCTGAGGAGAACGATCAGATAGACAATGTATGCAATTGTGACAGGCTGCACGACGGTGGTCAGCAGGTCCATGAACACGATGAATCGCATGCTAAAGCAGCAGAAACCGCAGAGCTGGTTCATGGGCATGAGCTCCATCAAGTTGTGCACCGTGGAGTTGATCCAACGACGTCTCTGCGAAAGGAAAACTGTCCAGGAGTCGGGGGCGATGGTCCATGCGTGTGCCTTCATCATGTACTTGGTCTTGTACTGCTGGTGATGCCTCAGGAGTAGTGTCGTCAGGTATCGATCCTCACCCAGGTGGAGAAGGTTCTTCATGTGCAGGGTATCCACACGAATCGTCGAGTACTGCTCAACGACCTCTCGGCTGACGAAGAGTGGCTTGCCCGAATCAGCGGCGCGGATACGGTACATGGTGAAACAACCAGGCAGACAGGTGACAGAGCCAAACAGACTTTCGAAGGCCTTGACCAGATTGTGCGAGATGTAGTACTCGTAGACCTGGATCATGGTGACGAAAGAGCTCTTGGCATTGGTGAGGGCGGTCTCGCCGCAAACAGCGATGAGGCGGGTATCATCCAAGAAGGAAGAGACGAAGCGGGTAGCAGAGTCCGGAGCGACGACGGTATCTGCGTCCATCTGCAGGAGGAATTCGTAAAAGGTGGGATTGACGCCGATGATGTTCCGCACTTGATGGTACATTTCCAACTCCAATGGGCTCATAGCCAGATTGTAGTGGACACGGTTGAGGAAGCGCATGATGACCATTTGCGAGTCTCGCTTGCCACGGTTGCCCGGACGGGAGACCTCAGAAGGCTTGCCCACTTTGACCACGACCATGAAGGGAACGATGTGGCCCTGAACCTCGTACAGGCCAGAATAGACCTTGCCCATGTTGTGCTGTTTCATACCTTCACCGAGGGACTCGAAGCTGAGCGGCTCAGGGTCGACAGTCTCCGAGACTCCAAGAATATCCAGAACAATACGAGGCGTGGGCCTGTCGTTGCCTTGTCCGATAATCATGCCGTCACAAATGACAACAAGCAACTTGCGCTTATCGTCGTAACGCATACGAGCAGCTGAGTCGATGGCACGTCGTAGGGAGTCCTCGTCTTCCGTGTAAGCCGGAATCTGACACATGATGAATTTGTCCAGATTCTCTGGCACGTTGTTTCCGCCAAATTGCAAGGCGGCGAGGAACTTGACTCCAATAATGGCGCAGAGAAGAATAGACACAGCCAGGATCAGGTAGTTGGCGAACTGACATTTAACAGAGTTCCTGGTGTCGACGTCTGCGATATAGAAGAGGTTGTCCAGACACAACTTCATTCGTGATTTCGTGGCGGTGTCAATGGCCAAGGCGTCCCACAGCTTAGTGACATCTGAGCCAGCCCTTTGTTGGAAGAGGTCAACCACGAGTTGGTCCATGAAGTTGACGAGATCGCCATCCGATGGTACATCTTCCCCGATAGGGGCTTTCATGCGCCGGCCGCCGGCGACATACTTAGTCATGTCGTAAATGCGCGAGCCGATGATGCCGACAGACTTCCCTTTCTTGCCCTGTTTCTGAATGTACTCGGGCGTGTAGCCGATGTTGCCCTTCTTGTAGCCGCCTTGCTTGAGCCTGATCATTTGCTCCGCAAACCAGTCTGGACGACTGTCGTTCTGGAAGTACCGGAAGTCGTGATACTTGGCGTACAGAGAGGTAATACTGGTGGTGCTCGCAGAACCTGTGAAGTTGGTCGACGTGTAGTCCAGCATCACAGCTGGGTCAACGGTGCCATCAACGCCCTGACACAGTGCTGACACCTGGACTGGGAACAGATCGGTAACATCCTGACCGGCGAATTTCTCCATGATCGTATCGGAAATGTAAGATGGATAGTGCGTCGGCATGAAGGCGTCCAGGTCGAAGACGATACCACGAATAGCGACGTACATGCCCTTGCCGTTCTTGCCGTTGTAATCCGTGAGTTCGGCAGAGCTGTACACATTCTGCTTGGGGCAGATAATTTGGGGCAAGGCGATGGTGAAAAATATAGCGATCAAGCAGCTGAACCAGATGATCATGTTGATCGCCAACTTTTCTCGCCAGGCCATGCGCACATCCTTTCGAGGCATTTTGCCCATAATGCGGACGAGGAAGTCGGGCACCCACCAGGTTAGGAGGAAGACGAAGAAGACCCAGCGCTTTCGAGTACCGCTGTCCCTGAATTCCTCGACCTCCTCCATGGTCTTCTCGTTGCTCTTCTGTGCCATCTCCTCGCGAGTCTCGAGGTTCTTGAACATGTCGCCGCCGCCTATTGCGGACACTCCTGCATCTGAGCGGGCATCCACATCGTCGCTGCCAAAGTACCCAGACTTGGTCTTGTCGTTGTAGCCAGGTGTGTTACTTGCAGAGAGCAAGCGTTCCTTCGAAGCGGCGAATGGGTCGCCTGGAGTGCCACCAGGGGTAAGATTGTCACCTGCATCTGACGGCAGTCGATATCCTCTAGATTCAACCTCGGCAAAGTTGTTCATCTCCATCCAGCAGCGTTCGCTGAGGAAGACACCGGTTGAGCCTACTTGCACCTCATTGCTCGGCCACCGCTTCTCCTCAACAACCAGCTCGACCTTCTCCCGTTCGCTGCCAACGAGGATAGTGTCCGCGTCAGCCAGGCCGAGGAACTCAGCAAAGGGCAGAAACACGGTGAAGTCTGCCGAGCGGAGGCGTTGGCTGATCTCGGCGATGCCAAAGGTCTGCACCTGTGTCCGCACACACTTGCTATCGAACTGGTTTGCGATCCTCCTGTCGTTGGGCTTGAGACAGAAGACAAAGTACGCATTGGTACCAGGCGCAGTGATGGATTTGGTCACATTGTCCAGAGCAGACAAAAATTGGCCGGACGCGCCTTGCTCGCTGTGGCGAATGCTTCGCTTTGGCTCGCTGGACTCTTCTTCCACCTTCTCAGACTCCTCATGAGCCGCGGTGAAGGCAGTCCCAGGGCGCTTCACTGTGCCAGGGCGGTACCTGTTCTTCCTCGACATGACGCTTGGAGCACGGGTGGGCTTTGAGCTGACGGTGGCCTGCATAACAGCAGTTCGCTCCTGCGGGTGCACAACGGTTTGCAGAGCCTCCTGACCAAACAGACGTGCTACAAAGTCGCTCTTGGTCGAGTTGATCAGATTGAGCAAATCGCCAGAGATGACCTCACCGTTCTCTTCCACCAGGCCCTTGACAGGATATTCGACCTCTCCAGCAAAGTGCCTGACAGTGAATGACGCGGCAGCATTCTCGGACAGGAAGTTGCTGCCTGGAAGTCTGGCGGTGGCAGAACTGACAGAGATGGCTGGGTTCTTGCCCTCGAACCGTTTCCTCAGGCTCTCCAACAGCTGAATGTCGGCGCGGTGACGCCGAGTCTGGTCATCAAGGATGCCCAGCAAGCCATTTCCAGGTTTCAGAAGCCCTTTGGTGGCGTCTGAGTTGTCGAAATAACTTGTTGCCGCGACAGACACCTCCTCGCTCTCGAGCAGCTCCGCCTTGTTGTCAAAGAAATTCTTCAATGTCAGGTTGTACAGAGCTTCCGTGGCAGCGTTGTTGAGAAGCTGGTCAATCGTGGAGTGGGTGGAGGATTGCTGGATGAAACCGGGGAAATCCACAATGGAGACAGTGTTGGCAATGGACTCCTCGGGGGCACATATCCTCTGGTTGATGTTCTCAATGACGTACGCAACAAGCAACGAGTACAAAGTCCTGGCGAGCTCGTTGGCGTTGGATCGAGCCCCAGCAGGATCCAGCATGACAGTGACCCTCTCCTTGTGGATAATCTTGGTCTTGTAGCCCAGGGTTGTCTGTAGGTCTTGCTGGCTTACTCCCAGGAAAGCCGCCACGATGCTGAGAACATCCTTGTTCTTGACTGTGGTCGAGGTCTGACCACCCTCGTGGGAGAAGCCACCGCTATCGTCTCCCGTAACTGTTGTGCTGTTGGACGTCTCGAATTCAAGCTGGCCAATGTGCAGGATAGTTGCTAGAATCTGGCATATCTCTGCGATCTCGCCCCTTGCGAATTCGAGCTTCCTCAGGGCCGTCTTGAAGAGCTGAAAGCCCTCAACGTCGTTGATGCCGACCTTGAGCTGCGTGGGATGACCGAGGTACCTCCATCTCTTTTGACCAGCACCGCCAGGCTGGTCAAGACCAAGATGCTGCTTTTCAGCACCGCTGGTTCCAGCGAGAAGATAGTAGAGCACGTGGAAATTCCGCTCTCCGGTTGGTACTTCTGCGATCCTACTCCGTTCGAGACGGTGGTCAAGCAGCTTACCACCAATAAGCTCCGGATGCGTCGAGGAGGATGTGTCGTACTGCAGTTCGTAAAAGAGACCAGCCTTGGAGGCAGTTGGCGTGGTGGCGGTCTTGGTGGTCGTCAGGGTGTCGAAAACGTACGCAGCCAAGGAGACCTTGTTGGAGAGAGGCGTGGAGGTTTTGTTCAGGAGGGCGGTAAGGATGTGTGATCGCACGGTGGTCTTGCCAGAGCCAGATTCACCACTGATTTCAAGTCAGCGTCGCGGGCAAAGGGAGCATGGCATGAACACAAAAGAGCAGGCTTACAGAAACAGGATGGCTTGGTTCTCAGAGCGGTGGCCCAGCCTGATGAAGGCTCTGTGGGCCATGTCCTCGGCCCCAGCCATGGCACTCCCCTCCTTGCCCCCATCGTGGCCCTTGGTGGACGACGTGTAGGTGTTGAGGGAGATGAGGGCGTGAGAGGACAGCTGTGCCGTGGGAATGTTGACATGGAATCGACTGGCGAGGTGCGCCGTGATCTGCGTGTCGGACTGAAGGTGGGCAGGCAATGAGGGCAGTGATGGTTGCGTATGAGCACCACCGCTGCCACCGCCGCCGTGGACGTTAGACGCCATGGTGGACGTTGAGGTTCTTCCGAGACAGCCAGAAACGGCGTCTGGGGAATTTTGAGCCCAAGCGTCCCCTCTCCCAGTGACCGTTGTGGTTCAGGACTGGGCTAAGAATCGTTCGGGATCGAGCACTGCAACGCTCTTGCGCCGGGACTCAGGGGCGGCTGTGAGGATATTTGGTCGTGGCTCCCAGCGTAGGAGATGTCTTGTTGAGCTCTTTTCAACCACAACAAAGACGTGTTGGTGTAGGATCCGAGACTGCGGGCAACGGGTCTCTAGATCAACGAACGGCTCAACAACCACTATAACTCGATTACAAGCGAGCGAGCATCAACCAAAACAACTGACAAAAACGAATGTCTAGGTGGGAGAATGAGGAGCAGGAGCAAAGGCAACAACAATATGCAAGCAATGGGATGCTTCGAAACGGATCACGCCCAGCCCAGGTCTAAGAGTCCGAAGGCGCGGGTGGTACAACACATCGAGCAGCAGCCAATGTGCAATCTGTACGTACAGTACAGTGCAAGCAGCATCAGGTGGCGCTCGGGTTGGAGCCGTGGCTTGTCCAGGTTTACCAATGATCTCCGGGTGAAAGGGGGCGACGGCCACGGACAGCTGGGCAGTGTAGGGGACCACTTCTGGGGCAAGTATGTCCTTGTACGGCGAGCCGATGGAGCCACTTGTGCAGGTCGACTCCTATACGAAGTCCAGGCTCCCTGCCTCGCACCCAGAAACACCCAGAACAGACCCAGAACAGCCAGACAACTCCACCCTGGGGCCACCTGGGGCCGTCATGGACCACGGCACTCCGAGACCAGCAGACCAGGAGACCCAGCCGATTGCAACGTCTTCAATTGGCCTGGCATTGTTCTGTTTTTTTCTTCTCTCTCTTTGGCATGTGGTCTACTGTGCAGCACACGGCAGCAAGAAAAGACGCCAGTCTGGTCACGTCACTCGACGATGACAAGCTTCAGGCATCCTTGTACACTATCGGCACTGCTGTAGTTACGAGCTCACCCATCCATCTCAAGGGATTTTGTCGTGTTGCCCGTGCAGGCGGGAGTGGGACCGCCGTTTAGGGCTGCGGCGGTTATGGGCAAATGTCTCACTCCTTTGTTATGCATCCCGAGGTCTCGGTCGTGTTGTTTGCTGATGATTATGTGTTTGGGCGGCGCGTGCCCTTTTGCCTGGCCAACGAGCCAAGGTTCGACCGAATGGCTTTCTTGCTTACAGGAATGTATCAAGTGTACCACGGACTGCACGCACGCAGTGTGATATTGGATGCAGGGAGAGTAGAGGCTCGCAGGTTCGTCAGCGAGCCAACTCTAATTTACGGGGTCCTGTATGATCGGCCGTCTGCCCCTTTTCCACTGGCAGGAGCTTGTGGCCAGGCTGGTGTTGCCATTACTACGGCATGCACGCAGTAAGCCAGAGCGCCCATGTTTTGGTAACATGGACTCCGCAGACGCGGTGTCCCGCAGGGTGCTTTATTATTATGATGATATTGTGCCATAGCGTGGGGACGGCAGCGAATCGAATGGGAACTTTGGCTCAAGGGTGCGCGTCATGCCGGTTCCCCGGAAACCATGCTCTGCAACCCGGCGCGGTGCAGCGTGCCCGAGCATGTGCAATAATGTCTAGCAGACGCAGAGAAGCTCAAGACCGCACTTAACTTGCAGACGGGTAGTACGTGTTGGCGCATCCGCGTAGAGTCGACCAAGAATGTGTTTCTGCGCGTGAAGTTGGAACGATGCCCTCATTGTCTCCGTATCGTGGATCCGGACGGACAGACAGACACGCCTGTTTTCTTGTCTGGCGGTGCGGCCGCTAAAAACAAGGTACGCAGATCCTCTCGAGTGCAGGACCCAGGGCAGGGCAGGGCAGGGCAGGGCAGGGCAGGGAGGCAGATCCAATGCACATCAATCGGCCGGTAGCAATGCAGATGGGTCAGATGGGGCCGAATGGATCGAGCAATGCATCAAGTGCATCGTGCTCGTCCCTGCTTTTCTCGATCTTGCGGCCTTCCAACCAAGGAAAACCGTTGATGCTCAGCCTGGTTTTGTGGTCGGCGGTGATATATCTACCTGATGATAATGTCCACGGGGCCGAAGCGGTAAAAGGGAAGACTAGCAGAACCCGGGCTAGGCTGGGCTGGTAGGGACCAGGGTCGAGGATCGTGGGCCGAGGGAGGCGGGCGGGAACGAGAGAAAAGAAATTGGATTTGAGGCGTCCGGAGATTTTTCTGCAAAACTCCTCGCTGGGGCTAGCCTGCCCTGCTGTACCTGTGTGAGGGCGTGTTTGTGTACAGTACTGCCGTGCCGGACGTATCGTGCTGGTGAGACAGGACAGTACGGAGTAGGGGAGAGAAGAGAGGACTGCATATCTCGTCCCCGAGCCACTGGAATTGATTGCCTTGTTCCATTCCGACTCGCCGGGCCAGGGGGGCACACACGCGCTACCTTGGTAAGTGGAGCGCCCGCTGTAACGGATACAGTAGCCAATCGTTGCACGTTGGTCGATTCTCCCGAGATCAAGAAAGGGCTTGCAGCTCTGTGTCGCTCACTCCTCGCACTGCACCGCACCGCACCGCACCGCACCGCACCGCGCTGCACGAGAATAGCAGCAGCAGGAACAACTGTTTCTGCATCACATCGGTCAGTTCGTCATCAGTTGGTCTGGCTGTTTGTCGATCGGCCTGTCGTGTTGCAGCCGATTCGGGTTTCTCGAACAAGAGTTTTTAGCTTCTCGTATTCCCTGCCAGGCCTCCACTCGTTTTTTGCCATCGCCTGCCCGTCGCATGCATATATTTTTAGAGTGGCAGGCGGGCAGGATACGGATGCGGATGCCCATGCCCACCACAAAGGGGCAACCCCGTACACCCCTATCAGTCTCCCCTGACCATACCGTGTCTGTCTTCGGTCACAACAGTACCATGTCGCCGGCGCCGCCGACCAGGACAGTGCCAGTCGTGACCCATCCACACGCACCACGGCACCCTTCAAGTTAGCCAGTCTCGAGCCGTGGAAGCTTCCTTCACTGCAGCTCTGGTCCTCCAGGCCCTGCTCGCCCTTCTGGGGGGGCCCACTCGCCTTGGCCCAGCCTGATGACTCTCCGCCAGAATCATGCACCCAGGCACCTTGGCCCTCATATTCTGCACCTCTGGCCCTGGCCGTCTGCCGTAGTCTCTCGCTCTGTGCCGAACAGGTGGATCTGCTGCCCAGGTGGGATCATCCTGCTCGAGGCCCTGAAATCTACACCACTCGGCCGGCCAGTAGGACGTCCGCCTGTACCACCCACACCTTCTCCGTAGCGTGCCTAGGTTATCCTATACTGTTAGAGCCTCCCTCTCCAACACCCACCGACCCTTGCCTAGGTACCAAGTAGCCTCGCCGCTCGCTTTCCCAGCCGTTTGAATAGGTACTGTGCAGTCCGTCGTAGGGGCACAATTTCTCTCCATCTCTGGCTCATCGTCAACTCTATCTGCAACCCGAATCAATCAACCCCCCTCACTCGCTTTGGTGGTTGGTTTCCAGTCGTTGATACTATTCCTCATCCTGCTCGATTTGTTTTTGGTATACTTTTTGTAACCTGTGTTGCAAGTGTTTTAATTGAGCCGAGCAGAGCGAGCCGACTCGCCGTTGGACTCCCTCAGCGTTGCCCAGCGAACCAACCACTTCCCCCAACCTCACCACACTCGCTCGCTTCGTTGTTTCGACAGTACTCACAGTCCTCCTGGCCAGCAGAGCACAACCGAAAGGTGCATCCGCATCAGTGATTCAAAGCTTCGACCATCCGTGATCTGTCCTGGTGGACATCACGAAGGAAGGCGTACCTTCGCTCAACATGGCGAGCCGAATGTCCATGTACTCGGTGGCATCAGACATGCCTGGTGCCCCCCCAGGAACTGGGCAGCAGTCGGTTCAGGTCAGCACCACCACGCTGCTCTCCATTCACAACATCTACGTCGAGGGCAAGCCCTACGCTCTCGATGCAAGCTCCAGTCTCGTCGTCAACACGTGGCTCACGGCCAACCCCCCTCCACCAAACCACTCGACCGGAGGCACCATCGACACAGCTCTCGGAGCTCGGGCGTGGGAGCACGCCAGGCGAAGGGCAGAGGATGGCTGCATAATTCTCAGGTATGTTGACTGTAAACATTCCTGATCACCGGCTGCGAGGTGCTCCTCGACACGCACTGCGTCCTCCCATGTGCTGACTTCCCAAACCCTTCTAGCTCTTTACACACCTCGACGCCGTCCGTCCTCGTGCCTTTTCTTCAACATGGTCTGCCTATGCAGATGACGCCCATGCTATTCAAGGCCCTCGAAGCAATTCTCCCCTTCATCCGTTGTGTGACTCCACACAACCCATCTACTCCTCGCCAGGCCGGCCTCGCTGTGACCTTGACACTCAACCTCGCCGGCGAGCTCCACGCTGCCTCCGTGGCACTCTCTCAAGGCGGCATCGACACGAACAAGGGCCTGCTTAATATTACTTCTGAGGCTGGGAACCGTGCTTTTGATGTGTTCTACTACCTTCTTAACGCGGGTGCGACTCCGGCGGAGCGCGAGTTCCTCGGCCTCAAGAGCCCTGAAAGCTACACCCTCCTGGCACGCTCCAACACCTACCAGCCACCTTCGTACCTCATCAATGGCGATGACGGGGCGGCTGCCGATGACTTCCGCGATGCTCTGAAGCAGATCGGCATCAAGGGCTCAGCCCACAGGAACCTCATCTCAACCCTCGCCGGGCTGTTGAAGCTTGGAAACACCCTTGACTATCAGATCGACGAGGACGCCTTCGATGATATCATCGAGGATGCCAGTGGCCTGCTCGGCATCGAGCCTGAGGTGCTTGCAACTCAATGCAGCACCGAAGACAGGTCGACGTTCATCGGTGGTCTTTACGAGGCTCTCGTGGACTGGGTTATTACCAAGGCAAACGCTGCGATCGCTGCCGAGATGGGTCGCGCACCTCGCAGCGGAAGTGATATCTCTGGTAGCGACAACGGAGCGCGGACAAGCAACACCGACAACGACAACGAGGACACGGTCTGCATCACCGTTTTGGAGATCCCCGACCCAAGTCTCGGCAAGGCGATGGCTCTTCGCGGCATTTTTGACGACACCACCGGCATCAACGCCGAGATGAAGCAAGACGGCATCGACGTTCCCGCAGCTGGAAGCTCGGTTCTTCGCGAAATGCAGAATGCCGTGAATTCCGTTGCCCCGGATCTGGGGATCATGTCTGGCCCAGCCGGACGCGAGAGAGAGCACGAACTCGAGAAGCGCGAAGAAGTGCTGGAGAAGCTTGCCCTTGCTGCCGACCAAGATGGCTTCCTTAAGAAGCTGCTGTTCCCTGTCGAGGGTGAGGGCATCAACCTGGGCCGAAATGCGCGAGTGGACCTGCAGAATTTGCTGAGCAGTAGCCGCGCTTGGTACCATCTCTCCCTCCACCCGACTGATGACTCGCCAGCCAGTATCGCTGGACTGCCATCCATCACCTCTGCCTGGTCTGCAGGCTGTGTCTCGCGCCAGCTGCGCGCCTGGAGGTTGCCTGAGTGGGCCAACCGGCGGAACAAGAACTTGGATTTCACAGCAGACTTCGACCATGATGAATTCGTTCAGCGTTATTCGATCCTCGGATGCAAGGACGGAAAGGATGGCATCGAGGGCTGGCTTCTCGAGAGGGGCTGGAGCAATGGCGAGGTAGCTGTTGGCAACGAGCGTGTGTGGATGCATGAGAACGCATGGTGGGAGGCCGAGGGCATGATTGACAACAGGCAAATCACAGGAGCAGGCGTGGGAGTGGGCATCGGAATGGGCGGGTTCATGGCATCAACTGGTCTAGAAACGGGCTATTCCGCCAACACCAACGGCAGTGGGTATTTTGGCCAGTCTCCATTCGCCGACGCCCATGCGAACGAGAGCAACGATGCTCTCATCCATTCGAGAAACCGCAGCCAAGCCACCTTGCTTGGCCCAGCTGCTCTCGGATTGGGCCCTGGTGGTTCCCGGGCACCGTCCATCGCTCCTTCGCAGCAGGCCCAGAGCATGCGCGCGCCACCCAAGGGTGACTATGGCCTTGGAACGAAAGGTGACGACCATCGCCACGAAGATCAGTACTACTACAACAAAGAAGGCGAATTCGTCGGCATGATGGACCCCGAACTTGCTGAGGGCAAGAAGATCGAGGAGGAACACGTGGACAAGAGCCGGCGTATCTGGGTTGCTGTTGTCTGGGCGCTTACGTTTTGGATCCCCTCGTTCCTCCTAAGCTTCATCGGTCGGATGAAGCGCCCGGATGTGCGCATGGCCTGGCGAGAGAAATTCGTGTTGTGCTTCTTCATTGTCCTCGCCAACGCACTCATCATCTTTTGGATCATCTGGTTCGGCCTCCTGCTATGTCCCAATTTCGACAAAGCCTGGACAGTAAACGAGGTGTCTAAGCATCAGGCAGACAATGATTTCTGGGTCAGTCTGCATGGCCACGTCTACGACATCTCCAAGTTTTGGAAGACACAACACAGTGACACCAACATCAAGACCACCCAATCCAACATGGAACCGTTCGCTGGCGCAAATCTCGACGGATATTTCGTGCGGCCACTGATCATTACATGTCCTGGAGTTGTGACAGACAAGACCCTCAGATTGACTCCAAACACAACCGTCACCATCCCCACTGGATTGCACACTTCGGGATACTACCAAGCAGACCCTACAACGGCTCTGGCCAACGCAAACTGGTACTATGACACTTTCAAGCCCAAGATCAAGGAGTACTACAAGGGCGATGTCACGTGGGACACAGACAAGGTCTATTCTCAAGGCCAGGCTGGATACCACAACTGGGTCATTTACGACGGCGCCGTCTACGATCTGACTGATTATTTCCACACTCAGGACATCATGAACAACCTGGATGCCTATGCCTTCCTTGACAGCGATTTGACAGATGTTGTGTCGGACAATCTCGGCGAAGACGTCACATCTAAGTGGAACGCCCTTTTCAAAGACGCTACACACAACGCCACCAAGTCAGCCAGCCTGCAGAACAGCTTCAACTGTATCAAGGAAACCTTCTACGTTGGCATCAAGGAATTCCGGTACAGCGCTAGGTGCCAGGCCAACAACTATATTCTGCTCGCCTTTACCATCTTGCTCTGTACTGTGATCGTCGTCAAGTTCTTGGCTGCCCTGCAGTTCGGCTCCAAGCGGCGTCCCGCCCCACAGGACAAGTTCGTCATCTGCCAGGTTCCGGCTTACACCGAGGGCGAAGATTCACTCCGGAAGGCTCTGGATTCTCTCACAGCTCTCCAGTACGACAACAAGCGGAAGCTCATTTGCGTTATCTGCGATGGTGTCCTCACCGGTGCCGGCAACGACCGCCCCACGCCAAAGATCGTGCTCGATATTCTTGGAGTTGATCCTAAACTCGATCCGCCTGCCCTACCCTTCAAATCAGTCGGTACCGGAAGCGAGCAGCTTAATTACGGCAAAGTTTACTCCGGTCTCTACGAGTATGAAGGCAACGTCGTCCCTTATATTGTAGTCGTCAAGGTCGGCAAAGAGTCTGAGCAGAAGAAGTCGAAGCCAGGTAACCGGGGCAAGCGTGACTCTCAGATCCTGCTCATGAGCTTCTTGAACCGCGTGCACCATCGGGCTCCTATGAGTCCTCTTGAGCTTGAGATGTTCCACCAGGTCAACAACATCATCGGTGTTGACCCCGAGCTCTACGAGTACTTGCTTATGGTAGACGCTGATACTACCGTCCGTGAAGACTCTCTCAACAGACTGGTCGCCGCTTGTGCCAACAACGCCAAGATCGCTGGTATCTGTGGTGAAACTAGCTTGCAGAACGAGGAACGGTCGTGGTGGACGATGATCCAGGTCTACGAGTACTTTATCTCTCACAACTTGGCCAAGGCATTCGAGTCACTGTTTGGCAGTGTTACTTGTCTGCCTGGATGGTAAGCCGATATCCTAACTCGAATACTCGCTTTGGCCACAGCTAACAAAATTACTAGTTTCACCATGTATCGACTTCGGACTTCTGACCGAGGCAAGCCGCTCATCATCTCAGATGAAATCATTCGAGAGTACAGTGACTGCCGCGTGGACACCCTCCACAAGAAGAATCTGCTATCCCTCGGAGAGGATCGTTTCTTGACCACACTCATGACCAAGCACTTTCCTTACATGTCATACAAGTTCACCGGAGACGCCTACTGTCAAACGGCCGCGCCTGAGACATGGAGTGTCCTGTTGTCTCAGCGTCGACGATGGATCAACTCGACGATTCACAACCTGGCCGAGTTGATGTGGCTCAAGGACATGTGTGGGTTCTGCTGCTTCAGCATGAGATTTGTCGTCCTGATTGACCTCACTGGTACCATTATCCTCCCGGCAACTACCATATACCTCGGATACCTCATCTACAGGGTTGCCAGCCACACGGGTCAATTCCCGATGATCTCAATCATCATGATCGCAGCCGTATACGGTCTTCAGGCACTTATCTTCATCCTCAAGAGACAATGGCAACATATTGGCTGGATGATCATCTATATCATGGCCTACCCCGTCTACTCTTTCATCCTACCCATCTACTCCTTCTGGAACCAGGATAACTTCTCCTGGGGTAACACCCGTATTGTCATCGGCGAGAAGGGCCAGAAGCAGATCGTGGCTGTTGATGACGAAGGCTTTGATCCTCGCAGCGTTCCTTTGCAACGCTGGGACGATCACGCGTTGCAGAACAACTTGCCTGGTCGTCGTGGCTACACTGAGAAGGGCGGCATGCATGACATGAACAACCCTTACGACGCAGGCGGTGTTGAATATGAGCTTGACGACATGAAGTCCGTGTACTCGTCCGTACGTCAGCCTTCGGTCCTGACTGGCGCGCTCGGCCGCGGAGCTTACATGGCTCCTCCGCAATCCCCTGCGCCGTTCCAGCAGCACATGAGCCGCAACTCGACATTCACGACGCCGTATACAGATCACCCGGGCATGGCGCAGAGGCACTCCACATTCAGCGTTGGCACGGGCCTTGACCGGGGCAACTCGCCTTATCAAGACCGCGCACAGTCACACCTGGGCATGGGCGCTGCGCAGTCTCGCGCTGGCACGGCCATGAGCGGGTACATGCAGCAGAACCAGTCTACGTTGTCGGTAGACTTCACTCGCGGCCCTGGCATGGCCGGCCCCGATGACTTGGTCATCACCGAGTGTATCCAGGCCGTCCTGCGGGAGGTCGACCTCGACACCGTCACCAAGAAGCAGGTGCGCGCGCTGGTGGAGCAGAGGTTGCAGACCGAGCTTGCGGGCGAGAGGAGGACTTTCATGGACCGGCAGATCGACAACGAGCTGGCGAACATGTAAAAGACAGCCCGATAATCAATGAGGGAGGAGGCAGCGTTACCAGATCTGGAAATCAAAATTTAATACATGGAGCAAGGCGGGTTAATGATGGTAACTATTTTTGGGCATGAGGGAGAGTCACATCAGAATCTTTGGGTTTCTATCTAGCGGCGTCAGCATATGTTTTTACACGGTCTTTCAACATTTATTTATACGGAGCTGACGGGTCAGGAATCTCGGGCGCTTTAATAATTGAGTGTCTGTAGTTCGACGTGGGGAATTTCATCCCTTTACCACATGCAAGGCTTTCGCAAGGGTTGTTTTGTGATAGCTCATAAACTAATTTACTGTGTGTATGTCACTCTGCACAGGTCCTATTGAATGCTGTTTCCTCATTGTCTATACATGCATGCAATACCTTCTGTGCCCTGGTGGCCGCCGACACTTGTTTTCTAGAGCGCACGAGGCCGAAGCAAAGCCTGTTTCTCTACTCACTCTATCCGCCCGACGCCCTTGAGCCTCAGGTACACATCCGTGCCCCAGCCGTACAAGCTCTGCACGGCCACACCCCCGCCGAAGTACTCAGCGTAGGCCCGGCCCAGCGGCAGCCCGTACCCCAGCCCCGCGATGGAGCTGCCACCGTTGCTGGAGTTGGATATGACGTTCAGCGCGTCGATACTGGTGCTGCTGGTGCTTATGCTACCACTGCTATTGCTGGCGCCTCCGCCGGGCACGTCCTCGTCCTCTGACATGGTCGTGAAGGAATACGACCATATGTTGGGCAGGATCTCCGGGCCGATACCGCCGCCGCGGTCGCGGATGCGGATGGTCACGCCGGGGGCGTTGTCGTCGAGGGGCCGTATGGCGTCACTGGTAGTGGTGGAAGAGGAGTGTCTCGCCGGGGACGGCGGCGGGGCTTTTTCGTCGCCAGTGGGGGGCTGGGGCGATGGTGATGACGACGGGCTCCCTGGTCATGCCGCTCTCGACGGTGGCGCGGAAGGCGTTCTTGAGCAGCTCGGTGACGATGTACTCGAGGTGGTTGGGCACGAAGGCAAAGGTGGTGTCCGGGTCGCCGTCGATCTCCCAGCGCGGTCGGACGCCATACTTGAGCTCGCAGATGTCGGCGACGAACTCGCCGCACGAGTCGATGACGCCCGCGGGCCGCAGGTGGGTGTCGATGACGCCGATGAAGGAGGGGTGGTCGGTGCAGGGCGTCGGTGAGGCGCCCGGGTCGAAGTGCGGCTTGGACGAGAAGTGAAGCGCGATGTGCTGCTCGGCGATGAGCCTGGTGCCGATACGCGCGCGCAGGTGCTCATCCAGGAAGCGCGTGACCTCGGCAGGGCTTATATATCGCCTGCACTCTAGGAAACCCTGCGCCAGGATGGGGATGGTATCGGTGTGGGTGTGGACCAGCTCGGCCAGGACCTCAGTAAAGCGGATCTCATCCTCGAGCGTGGAGAGGGTGTGCTTGCTGTTGGGGGAATCCTCGAGCCACGGGAGTAGGGTGGACAGGGAGTGCTCATAGTTGTTGTAGATCTTGGTGATGTGGCTATTGGACACGACGATGTAGGGCAGGTTGCGCAGGGCCTGGATGCGATGGGCGAGGCGAATTGGGAGCAGCGACAGCGTGAAGCGGGCAGACGAGAGAAGGGCCTCTGCTGAGAGGGGTGGCCGGCCGTGTCTGCTCTCGTTGTTAAGCTGAGCCTTCTCGCTAATTGATTGGGACCAGGGAGGAGGAGGGGGGTCATAAGGATATTTACTTGACGAGGTCTGCCAGACTCAGCTGGTGAAGAGGCTGCTTTGCCAGGCGAGGCACCTGGTCATCGTGATGGGGGAAGCTCGCGTGCCTCCTCGGCCGAGGGGTGGACGAGAACGGTCGCGCGCATGTTGTAGATGTCCGTGAGGTACAGATGAGCTGGCTTGAGGCTCGCGATGAGTGAGAACACCTCAGTGGCCTCATGAGAAAATTCATGGCGGCATTGCAGACGACAGAAGAGGGCGGTGAGCTCTCTTGGAGTTGCTGCAGTTCTTCGGGGGAGTCATTTGAATCGCTCGGTGTGCGTGCGAGGTTAGTGACCTCATTGGGAGCTCGCAGGTGGTTGACAGCGGTGGGCAGGGGCCTGGGGGTCCTAGCGGCCAGCCGCTTGACTACCTAGGTACACTGCTTAGCGATCAAGCTTAACGGGCATGTGCACCCGGGGCGGCACGGTACCAGCCAGAGCTCAGAGCAACACATACAGCAGGCCAGTGGGTGGGCTGATCTGCAGGTAGGCGGGCTCCGACTGGACCCCTACAGACAAGATAACGGTCTGTGAGACGGTGACGGTGTCGGTGGTGGGGGTGGCATGGCGCCTTTTACCCCGCGATGACAAGAAGCGTGGGGGACGAGGAGAACGGAGCGCAGAGCACGGCAAAGTCCAAGTCTGATGGGATAATAGCCATCCAGCTGCTCAAAGAGGTCTGCGAAGCAGATTTATCGAATCATTGCTCGTTACGTTATGTCAGATGTCTGTCTGTAGAGTCATGCCCTTGTTAAGGAAGCCGGATGCTGCGCCGTTCTATGAACCAGTCGATTGATTTCTCTCCCGCTCGTCTCTACTGGGTCTTGACAACCTGGTCCTTCTCGACGGCCTTGACATGCTCGTGGTTCTCCAGCGTGCTGATCGAGTCTTCGGGGAAATCAACACTGCAAGAGAGACGTGTTGTTAGTCAAAGATGCTAGTTCGCGTACATGCAGTCGGGCGGTGCAACATACGAGAAGCCCTTGATCAGGTTGTAAGAGTGGCCGATCTTGCCGCCCTGGTCCTCGGCATGCTTCTTTGCGCTGTATATTTTATCAGTCTGGCTGTCAAATTCTGAAATACAATGGTATGTAGCGGTGTTGATCTTACGCGTCGACCTGCTCAGGGGACGCATCCTCCTTGCATGTAACCTGCGATAGGATATGTCAGACATAGCTGGTAGTCTCCAGGTACGGCCAGGTCCGATAAGGCCCAGTGTGGTTAAGACTTACAATGTATGTAGGCATAGTGGCTGGTTGATCTGTGATTTTGGTTGGAGAGATGCTAATAGGAGGTAGTGTTGATATGTAGAAGGTGTTGATGTGGTTGTGGCTGTGGCTGAGGTTGTAGAGGAGAGGACGTCGCTTATTCTTATAGGAAACCAAGGAAACCAAGAAACAGCAAGGCTTCTGGAGCAGGCGGGCACCAGCACCAGTACAAGCACCAGCACCAGTACAAGCACCAGCACGAGCACGAGCACGAGGCACCAGGTGGGCATACGTCATGCTGTCAAGGTGGGCACCCGAGCGGGCACTGCTTTGCTGTACAAACAGTCGTACGCAGTCAAGGGCGGATAGACGCGGCCAGCCCCCACTATTCGTCTTCAACTGCGGTATCGTGTAAGTCCAGTCCAGGCCACTCCCAGTCCACCTGGGCGGTGCCCATCGCTGAAGCTCTGGCCTACCAGCCAGCCATCCTGCCAAGGATTCGCATGCCTTGGCCCACTGTACAGTGCTTGCCGCTCAGCTATCCAACTTCATTATCGAAATGCGCGACCCACAACTTTCAAGGACAGCATAAGATCACATGTTCCCAAGGAAGCTTGTGCGGTTCTGTGACACTATCCGATGTACAAACGTTCCAGGCGGCACAGCAGTGTGGCTTGATTCGTCCGAGGATGGGCGTCTAGGTGGGATGAGCTCCGCTTCGCTGCATATGCGCCAATATATTGCAGCAAACGGCCACCTTCAACCTTTCCAATATAACCTTCGGGATCCCGCCAGCTCAAATCTCGTTGCCAAACACGATCTCACCGTGGTTCCAAATCGTCGGCAAGGCTGAAGCCGTACACGAGAAACGAAACCCATTGTCGACATGCAGTCACCACCTGTCACCCCAAAGCGAAAGCGTCGTGGTTCTGACGATGACCACGTTGAAGGGCCGAGATCCGTCCCGGGGTCTGCACAGAAGAAGGCGAAAGTGACTCCCCAGACACCTTCCAAAGCGGCTTTGGCCAAGGCCGAGGCCGCGAGAAAGAGGGAATGGAAGGCGGCTTGGAACGAATATGTCGAGTCTTCCTGCTGGGAGAAAGACGACACTTACCGGCAGAAGGTTAACACCTTTGAAATCCATCGGTCTGACGGTCAGTTTGTCTGCTTCGAGTGATCTATCTATTATTCGACTGACCTGCTCGCAGCAATGCAATTCTATCGGCTGAAAGCTCCCGAGATGGATACTCTCCCTTACTGGGAGTTCGAGAACAAGAACTATCCCTCTCATCCTGGGCGGTCATATTCCCACGAAGGTGTTCTCATGCTTGCCAGTCGTAAACATGCTATGCTTGCGGGGTTGCACGAGAAAGGGCTCCGCGAGCACGAGCTCCTTCGGCAAGGGAAGGCGCTGTTTGACCATGAGTATGAACAGCCTGGTGTTTATAAATCAAGATTTTTTTTAACAAGTAACAGGCAAGCACGACTCCTCCAACGAACGCCCAACAAGAATAGGCAGCCACACCTCTGGAAAATTGTCAACCGGAACAAGTATATCGATCCAACGGATTGGGAATCGACACCCAGTGGCTCTTGGGAAACACCCATATGGGAGCACGGCAGGATCATCGGACACTGGCTCAACTACCAGTTCGACCCCAATATTGGTCCTGAAGATGACTGGATGTTTTCCGCGGCCAGATTCCGTCCCGTGGGATCTTCAAAGAGAGTTGAACTCCCGTGAAGAGACCGTGTGGGCCGGTGAGTGAATCATACTTTGACCAACACTCTTGTTACTTTGAGGTATGCCGGGCCTTTCGGCCACAGTGATGGCCGCAGCTACATGTGGTTTTTTGAATTTGTTCATCATCTTGCAAAGGCAAACTTGTTCCATATTGGCTCGACCAGTAGCTTTTTCAAACAAGTCTGTTTCAACATCGACCAAGACTTCGAGCCCTCCACCCGGAAGTGCAGGCAGTATGACCTGAAGCCCGTTGATGACAACCACGCTAGGAGACCTGACCTCCTGGATACTATCGCCCAGAGCCTTACCCCAGTTTAAATCGTAGAGCTTGAAGGTGATCCAGGATCTCTGCACGCCTATTAATTGGAAAGATAACAGAGTTTGCCTTCAGGATTTCCCTCGTTTGCTTTCGTGGATCTTGGTCCATGGGAGTTACTCTTGTGTAAGTCGGTTTGGTTACAGTGTGCTAGTCTAGCTGCGCAAGGGTCCTCGACCAAACCATCCCTGCACTGGGTCCCTGCAAGGGCTTATCGATAGATGATAAGATAACCAGCACTCTCAAAATTTCCAGAGGACTTGCCATTCTGCGAGACGACATGCCGGCCTGCTTTTCCTCTACAGCTGTGAGGATTTCCAGCGCAAGATTCTGCAACCATGGAGGCGCAAAGCAACAAGCCTCACCGGAAGCCTAAGGAGAAGAAGAAGCATACCGGAGGTATGTTCCACCAACAGGGCTCAAACCAAATCAAAGCTCTACCTTTTGGGGCGCCGTCCGCCGAACGCTTGATTGACAGAATCTGCCTCCAGACAATCCCAAGGCCTTTGCGGTACACAGGCCCGGAAAACTCCAAGCACAAACTGCACGATCGCAGGATATAAAAGAAAAGCGACTCCATGTTCCTCTCGTCGACAGATTTCCTGATGAACCTCCACCTCGGCTCGTGGCCATCGTCGGCCCGCCCGGCGTGGGCAAGACGACCCTTCTCAAGAGTTTGATCCGCCGATACTCCAAGGAGACGGTCTCGAACCCTCAGGGACCAATCACAGTCGTCACCTCGAAGAAGCAACGCTTGACTTTCATCGAATGCCCCAACGAGCTCGAGGCCATGGTTGACGTCGCCAAAGTAGCAGACATTGTGTTGCTGATGATTGATGGCAACTTTGGATTCGAAATGGAGACAATGGAGTTTCTGAACGTCCTGGCTGCAACTGGTATGCCAGGTAACGTCTTTGGCATTCTTACGCATCTTGACCTGTTCAAAAAACCACACACCCTCAGGGATGCAAAGAAGAGGTTAAAGCACAGGCTATGGAGCGAGCTCTACCAAGGCGCACATTTGTTCTACCTCTCGGGCGTTATCAACGGACGTTATCCCGACCGCGAGGTACACAACCTGTCACGATTCCTCTCCATTATGAAGAACCCTCGGCCGTTAATATGGAGGAATTCACACCCGTACACGATTATCGATAGTTGGCGCGACATCACGCACCCCACCAAAATCGAGGAAAATGAAAAGTGTGACCGGTCCATAGTGCTCTCTGGATATTTGCGTGGCACAAATTTCGCATCGCAGGGCCAGAGGGTGCACATACCTGGTCTGGGTGATTACACTCTTGCAGATGTGGAAGTTCTGCCCGACCCGTGTCCAACACCTGCTATGGAGCAGGCGCTCGCCAAGATCACCGGCAAGACCGGCCGGCGACGTTTGGACGACAAGGACAAGAAGATGTACGCCCCAATGTCGGATCGGAGTGGGCTGCAAGTGGATGGAGACGCCATTTACATTTACCGGGACAAAGGGTTCACGTTCGATAAGGACGCCAAAGATGTCGAGCGGGGCGAGGGTGAGGAGTTGATAATCAACCTCCAGTCCGAGAGGCGTCTCCTGGGTCAGACCGAGGACGGGGTACAGCTATTCGCGGGTGGTGAGGAGCTCAAAGAGACCGGCGATGACGACACCGGTCGCAAGAGCCACAGGCAGGCGAGAATCGCTGACCAGGCCGAGGCTGATGCTGAGGACGATCTACGAGACGATGACGAAGACTCCGATGCAGACGAGGATGCATCGGACGTCGAGACCGAATTCAACGAGAAAAAGCTGGGCAAGATGTTTCGAAAAGACGCTGAAAAAGACGGGGACAACGATGACGTTGCTTTCGCAGACAGTGATTCGGATCTGGGCTCAATATCAGGCGAGGAAGGCACAGATGTGGACTCGAGTGATGGGGAAGACTTTGACTCTGGCGACGAGGAGGCCGCTCTAAAGTGGAAGGAAAATATGGAGGAGCGAGCAAAGCAGCGCCATGGGAAGAAGGCCCCGTTCCAGGCAGCAGACCTGGCACGAATGTTGTACAACGACTCTCTGAGCATACCTGACATTCTGAGAAGGTGGCGAGGGGATCAGGAAGACGACGAGGATGAGGAAGAGGATATCGAGGAGGATTCCGGAGACGAGACCTTCTTCAAAAAGTCCAAGAACGAGAAGGAGGATCTCGCGGACGATCGGTCGATACCAACCTTTGACTACGACAGACTGGCATCGTATTGGTCAAACGAGGAGAGCATTGAAGCTTTGAGGCAAAAGTTCACTACCGCTGCGTTGTTGGATGACGATGAGGGTGAAGATGAAGACGGAGATGATGATTTCGACGGCTTTGGCTCAGGAGATGAGCGAGGCGAGGGTGACGATGATGATGATGATGACGAAGGCGACGGCGCTTTCGAAGATCTCGAAACTGGCGAGAAGCATGGCCCGGTCGAGACAGGCCTGGAAGCGGAGCGGGAGAAGAATGCTCGTCGGAAAGAGGAGCTCAAACTGAGGTTTGAAGAAGAGGATCGTGAAGGCTTTAACAACGACAAAGCCAACGCTCGACGAGAGGGCGGAGGCGACGACGACTTCGGCGAGGACGATTGGTATGATGCCCAAAAGGCCATGATACAGAAGCAGCTGGACATCAACAAGGCCGAGTTTGAGAACCTGGACGAGAGACAACGATTACTGGTGGAGGGCCACAAGGCGGGCAAATATGCCAAACTGGTCATCGAGGGTGTGCCGGCCGAGTTTGTCAAGCAATTCAACCCGAAGATGCCAATCATCGTGGGAGGTCTCTCCGCCACCGAAGACAGATTTGGATTCGTCCAGGTGCGAATAAAACGGCATAGGTGGCACAAGAAGATCTTGAAGACTGGCGACCCGCTCATTTTCTCGCTGGGCTGGAGGAGGTTCCAGTCGATGCCCATCTACAGCATTTCTGACTCCCGAGTACGGAACAGAATGCTGAAGTACACGCCGGAGCACATGCACTGCTTCGCCACTTTCTATGGCCCCTTGATAGCACCGAACACTGGTTTCGTCAGCTTCAACAACTTTTCGAACTCCAACCCCGGCTTCAGGATAGCGGCAACGGGCACCATTCTGAGCGTGGACGAGTCCACCGAGATTGTCAAGAAGCTCAAGCTGACGGGTACTCCCTACAAGATCTTCAAGAACACGGCCTTCATCAAGGACATGTTCAACACCTCGCTCGAGATTGCCAAATTTGAAGGTGCATCCATCAAGACAGTCTCTGGCATCCGAGGTCAGATCAAGCGCGCCCTGTCCAAGCCGGAGGGCCACTTCCGCGCGACCTTTGAGGACAAGATCCTGCTCAGCGACATTGTGTTCCTGCGGGCGTGGTACCCCATCAAGCCGCACCGCTTCTACAATCCCGTGACGAACCTGGTCGGGTGGCAGCGGGCGCGGCTGACGGGCGAGATCCGCGCCGAGGAGGCGCTCCCGACGCCGCAGAACAAGGACAGCCAATACCGCAAGATCGAGCGCGCCGAGAGACACTTCAACCCGCTGCGGGTGCCCAGGAAGCTGGCGGCCGACCTGCCGTACAAGAGCCAGATCGTGCAGACCAAGGTGCAGAAGAAGCCGACATACATGCAGAAGCGGGCGGTGGTGCTCGGCGGCGAGGAGAAGAAGGCGCGGGACCTGATGCAGAAGCTGACGACGATCCGCAAGGACGTCGCGGAGAAGAGGAAGGCCAAGAAGGACGAGAACAGGGCCGAGTTCAAGAAGAAGATGGCCGAGATGGCGGAGAGGAAGGCCGCGAGGGAGAAGAGGGAGACGAAGGAGTGGTGGAGCAAGGAGGGCAAGAAGAGGAGGTCTGGAGAGGAAGGCGGTGGCGGTGGGAAGAGGAGGAAGTAGAAAGATACCTCATAGAGTCTAATCTACGATATTCGTATCACGTCCTGGAGCATCCCATGAAAGACAGTCGGAGTCCACATCGGGCTTTTTTTGCCCAGCTATTTGATTGTTTCATTTTGCTATATAGACTATTTGTGTTCTTTGAGGTTCTCTACTAAGCTGGAACGGCAATGATTGTCCTAGTGGGACAAGAGACAATGTGGGTTGTAGGCAATTACAGTCAATTTCGCTATGGATGGCTTTGGGCATTGACCATTCAATATACTTCTGCCATTATTTGCTATATATGTGATCTAACACCGGTTGAACCAGCTCTAAGCAAATATCCTGAGGCCGAAATCAGCCGGGTCGTTGAACCGCAGGCCCCTGTCCAGCGCCGAGATGGACGCGATCTCCTCCTCGGACAGGTCGAAGCCCAACGAGTCCAGGTTCTGCGCCAGTCTCTCCTTGTTGTTGCTCTTGGGGATGACGATAATGTCCCGCTGCGTGGCCCAGCGCAGCAGCACCTGCGCGGGCGTCTTGCCGTGCTTCTTGGCGGCGGCCGCGACGGCCTCGTCCTCGAACAGCGGGCCGGCGCCGAGGGCACGCTTGTTGCTGAGCTCGATGAAGCTCTGCGGGCCGAAGGAGCTGTACGCCGTCACCGCGATGCCGTTCTCCTGGCACATCTGGATCAGGCCCGGCTGCACCAGGTACGGGTGGTGCTCGACCTGGTTGACGGCGGGCTTGACCTTTGCGTAGCGCAGGACGTCGTATAGCAGCATGGCGTTGAAGTTGGCCACGCCGATGGACCGGAGGATCCCGTCCGGCTTGTCCTTGGTGATGACGAGCTCCTCCAGGGCCTGCCACGTCTCCTGGATGGGCACGGGGACCTGCTCCGTCACCTTGCTCTGGTCTGACGTAGCCCAGAAACAGGGATAGACCAGCTCTGACATGGGAATATGGCGCTGCGCGATGGGGAAGTGGATGAGGTACAGGTCGAGGTAGCCGACGCCCCAGTTCTTGTTCTCGAAGTTCGCCATCTCGTGGACGTGCTCACGGGCGTGGTAGTTGTTCCACAGCTTGGACACGATGCTGAGGCGAGGGCTCCAGTCAGTAGCCATTGGCGTCTGCGGAATTCGCGCTCGGCCGGACCACTTACAAGAGCTCTTCGCGCTTCACGATACCCTCGTCGAGCGCCTTGCGGACACCCTGGCCAGCCTCTGCCGAGTTCTGGTAGTCATGCGCGCCGTCGATATGGCGGTACCCTAACTTGATGGCGTTGTAGACGGAGTCGGCTGCGTTCTCCTTGGGAACCTTCCAGATACCGTAGCCAACCAGTGGCATGTTCTGATAGTGAGAGTATAGGTCAGTACTTGAGGTATCTCGAGCCCATTGATAGCTGTATATGTGGAATTGGGAAGCTACTCACATAGCCGGAGGACAGCTTCAGAGACTTGGACATGGTTGCTGAGGATTTCGAGAACTGTCTGATGGTGTTTCGAAGCATTGAGGCTTTACAGGTTACTTGTTTTGGGGAGAGGACAAGCGGTCGTGAGGAGGTGCTTTATAGACCAGGGACTTAAAAGATCAGTCGACTCATGGTCTTATTTTTATCATCAAGCGCTTTGTCGCATGCGCATAGTGAAATGCCAAGCATTACCGCGGGTATGTCTCTGCAACTTTCCGCCTAGGCTTATTGCAGCTATCGTGCCTCCCCTGGCCGTCTCGTGCGTCTCATGTACACCGTATACACCGTACAATAGTCTGGTACCCGCGAACACAAGTGCAATACGCGCACAGGAATGTGGTAGCTATGACGCGCTGAGTACCAAGGCTCGTAGCAGCGGCCAACTAATGGCTCGATTCGTTCCTGCCGGCATATGTTCCCCCTCGTTGGGCTCGCGTGTCAAATGCGGGGCAGCCGCGCCAACCACCTCGACCCCGTTAAGCCTCGAGCGATCATACTCGGCACAGAGCAGTCCGAGTGGGCATGCTGGTTTTCTTATGAGCCGTTTCACCGCCTCAGGACGGGACGGCCATCTTCATCTTCATGATACCGATTTCTGAGCTCTTGCGCCACTGTCCATCGGCCTGCTGCCGGAAACACAACAGCTTGCCGTCATCCCCAACACACCCCAGTATCTGTCCATCGTCGTCGAATCCGACCCTCCACATTGGAGTCCTGTGGTTTTCCAGCATGGACAGCGATTGCATTGTATGGTAGATGTGGCCGGCCTGGTTCTTCCTCCTGTCGCCTTCGGCTGTGGGATGGTGCACGCCCTGGCTGATACCCGAGGGCTGCTGTGCCTGGCTCCCACCTGATCCGTTCCCAGCAGCCCTAAAAGAGGCTTCAGGACGGGAGCCGCCCTTGACCAGGTCGCTCGACGACCACAACCTGCCGTCGTTGCTGTCGTGCGGAGTGTCGACCCGTATGACCCTCACGTAGCCGTCCATACAGGCCGATGCAATGATGTCGTAGCCCCTGATATTGCCAGGCGCCCATGCGACATCCCTGACCAGCCCTCGGTGCGCTGACACCACAGCGGCCTCGTAAAACTCCTTCTTGGTCGACGGGACGCCGTAGGAGTGGATGACGACGTCGCGGGTGCGGTAGATCTTGACCTTGTCCATGGCGGCGACCACCAGACTCAGCGTGTCGGTGGGCATGCCGGCGCGCAAGGCATTGTAGCAGGGGTCGATGTTGGGATCGAAGCGCACACGGAACGACGTCTCCTCGCCGCGGGCGGGCTTGTCACACACCGACAGCTCATCCATCTGAGTCCAGTCAGAGAGGTTCTCAGACATCTCATTCTCGTAGACGGTCAGCCGGCCGTCGGCCGCCAATAGGGCGAGGTGAGTCTGGCGCGTCTCCTCATTGCGCTTGAGGGAGAATGAGCGGTATGGCGCACGCGGAGAGCGGTGCTCGAAGGCGGCTTTGGCGTTGTCCTTTGAGCGGTTGCCAAAGCGGCGGCCCGGGGCCGCGGAAGGGTCCTCTGCCCAGAGCTTAAAGCGGCCCTCTATTCCCAGTGATGCGACGAGGTTGGGATAGACGGTTGGCGGAAGCCATTGCAGCTAGGATGAGGCTCAACAGCTGTGACGTTTGACGGACGAGCTTGGGTGTGGGATATGACACGGGGCTGCGTAAAGCCAAAGCGAGCTCACCTCGAGTATCTCCCCTCCATGAGCGGTCCAAGTATCACACAGCCTCCAGATGCTGTCTTTGTGGCGATTGAATACCCTGATCTTGCCATCAACGGACCCCGTCGCACAGCGGTCACCGTAGGCGTTGAATGCCACTGCCTGGACCAAGTCGTGATGGCCGTGCTTCATAACAAGCTCAAACTGTGCCCGTTCCTCCGTTGCCGGAGGTTCCCCCAGAGCTGGTGCCATGCTTGTTTGTCCGATATCAGGGGTGGCTGGAAGATCACATTTCGCTGTGTTGAGGCTGGGCTGGTTGAACCATCATCGTCAGGCACACAACCCACCAGGGAGGTGCTGCGAGACTCTGAGCTGTTGACGGTGGTCCGTGCGTCGTCATAGTCATGAGGCACGGCGAGGGACTCTTGTGACGGACACGCAAGACCTACCTAGGTACCTACCCACCTAGGTACCTACCCACCTAGGTGCCTAGATGTACACTATCCCACAGGAGATTGTCCCACAGCAGATTACCCCATAGCTGGTTATCCCACAGCTGGTTATCCCACAGGAGGTTATCCCACAAGGGTTTATCCCACTGTGTGTGTATTTGTTGGTCAAGTGGCAGAGGCCTGACTTCTTGGGACTCCCAGGCGACGTGATGGCCAGGGTCCATCCGCATGGCCAGAACATTGGAATTCCCGGGCTTTCAACCCCTGCATAAAGGAGCAATGATGATTTCAAGTAATTCACTTACTGAACATGACACACATCCCTCATAAGTCTCATCACTGCCACCCGAGCCACAACCCGTGTGCGTACCTGGACAACATACAGAGATTCGCACAGCGTGGTCAACGACTTACAGGAAACTGACTACCAAAAGGCTCAAGCAAAACGATCCTCCCACTGTGTATAGCTTCGAACCACACCATGCGACGCTCTGCACACCCGGTTATATCAGTCCACTGTATCAACACCACAGTCTGAATACGATACGAGGTGGCTCGGCCGTCTTGAGGCTGACGAGGCTGGTCTCACATGTCAAGACGGGACCCTGAATTCGCCCAGGACCCACTGGAGGTCGCTAAAGCGTCCTTCTTTAAGTGCTCCAATCGGCTGCCCCAACTGGCCCTTCGACCCCCAGCTGCCTCGGGACTTGGTGGGGTCCACGCCGGGAAGCTCCAACGGGCTGCGTCACCTTGGCCCTTTGGAGACGTCGCCTTTTTGGGTCCCGGCGCAGGAACAAAACTCCACATGTCGTCGCCGTCGCTCGTGTCACGTCTCTCAGATCTCACAATTTCAACACACAAGCCCGGAGGTACTCTCTCACTTACACTCTTGGCAGTGCTCTCCCTCCACTGGGCTATGGGTCGGCCCTTGAACCTCAGCTCCCTCACTTCGCAGCCATGGCGACAACTCCTCAGCTCACCCGGACCGAGACGGTCAGCCTCGCCGCCCTCTCAGCCGCATGTGGCACCATCTTGGCCAACACCTTCCGCGGCGAGGGCGAGCCCCTGATCGCATCTCTCGCCCTGAGCGGCATGGCCTACGCCGCCGCGTACGCCATGATACGCTGGCTGGGGCCGACCTTCATCAAGGCCGGGCTCAAGGGCGTTGACATGTCCAAGACCAACAGGAGGGAGATCCCCGAATGCGCCGGCGCCATTTGCGCCGTCGTCTACCTGCTCGCCATCATCGTCTTCGCACCTTTCCCCTTCTACAAGGACATCGTTGCTGCCACCAGCGGCGGCGGGAACAGGGACGTGGTCCTGCACGCCGAGCACGTCCACGAGGGCCGTTTCTTGCACAAGTTCCCTCACAGCAAGGTGAGCAAACCACCAACTCTTTGTTCCGAATCGACTCGGTCGGGCACTGACTAGAGCCCAACCAACAGCTTGCGTCCTTCCTCTCCGCGATACTCTCGCTCCAGGCCATCACCATCCTCGGCATCGGCGACGACCTCTTTGACATCCGCTGGCGGCACAAGTTCTTCATCCCCGCCTTCGCCTCGATCCCCCTCCTGATCGTCTACTTTGTCGATTTTGGTGTTACCTCCATCGTCCTCCCCATCCCACTCCAGTCCCTCGTGGGCAAGGAGCTTATCGACCTCGGGGTGTTCTACTACATCTACATGGCGGCCTGTGCCATTTTCTGCCCCAACTCGATCAACATACTGGCTGGCATCAACGGGATCGAAGTCATGCAGTCCATCGTCATCGCGCTGCTCCTGGTCCTCAACGACGCTCTCTACCTCACGACCGCGTACCCACATCCCGCAGTGGACAGCCATTTGTTCAGCTTGTACTTCCTCCTGCCCTTCCTGGGCGTGAGCCTCGCGCTCTTCGCGCACAACAAGTACCCGGCGCGCGTCTTCGTCGGGGACACGTACTGCTACTTCGCGGGCATGGTCTTCGTCGTCGTCAGCGTCCTGGGCCACTTCAGCAAGACCCTCATGCTGCTGCTGATCCCGCAGGTCGGCAACTTCCTCTACTCGGCGCCCCAGCTGTTCCACATCATCCCCTGCCCGCGCCACCGGCTGCCCAGGTTCAACTCGCGGACGGGCCTGCTCGAGCCCTCGGTCACGCCCTGGACCCCGGAGAGGCAGCCCTCGAGGCCCGTCGCCGCCGCCATCCGCCTGCTGGAGCAGCTGCGCCTGCTCAAGGTCGTCACCCGCGCCGACAAGGAGACGGGCGAGGAGCGCTTCGAGGAGACCAGCAACCTGACCATCCTGAACCTGTGGCTCGTCTGGCGCGGGCCCCTCCGTGAGGACCGCCTCGCCTGGGAGCTCACCGCCTTCCAGGTCGTCTGTGGCCTCTTCGGCCTTTTTGTTCGCCATAAGCTTGCTCTACTAGTCTTTAAAGAAGACAACTGGGGCGTTGCCGTCTGAACAACCTGGGCCTGGCACCAAGAGAAACGAAGACATTGCCAGGGCCGTCACGGCTACACATTTTTTCTTCTTGTTCTTCTTGCTTCTTGATTCAGATATCTGGTCTTCTTTTCTGGGTAGTGTACTGGCCCACAAAGACCACAGTGTACATAAGGGGATTTCGGGCGTTTTATGCATGATACCAGGTGGCTTCCTCGAGACACGCAGATACAGGGACATGTGCGCAAGGTTCGGACCAAGCTTGAGTTTCCCATTTCGTTCTGGCACCATTGAAGTATGCTGACTTGAATGGCACGAACGTCCCTTCTCGTCCTGCCTAGTCTAGTCTTCAAATAGACCAATCCATGACCAGATTTGCAGATTGTGCAACACGCCTTGGCATGCCGTATCCAAGTACCTGTTATGAGCCGTCTCGCAGCAGCCAAGTTGCGTTCGACCGCCGTATTGCTCTTGGACTTCACTGTCCCGTGGCATATAACTACAACAGCATGTCACTTTTAGGTTGCAATGCTCGTAGTTGCGTAGAGTGAAAAGCAGAAAATGCTTTTTGGAGATCGTTTTGTCTCGCCATAAGAATAGAGTTACAACAGAGCTGGTTCTCAAGTCAGATCTGATAAAGCGCCCCGGCAGCTTTGATAGTTCCTCATCAAGACTTTCCACTGCCTCCCCTCCAGCTACGCCCAGTTCGTCCAATTCATCCGTCGTCCAGAGACCATCCGGGAATAAAAGCAAGAAAATAAAACGTACAAAGGGTGTTAAAGATCGTAGAGACATCCGCGAACGCTTCTCCTGGGTTTGATCCCAACCCAAAAAAACGCCAATGTACCTTGACCCGGAGAAGTACCCGACCCCCCTCCCCCAAACCGTTTTGATCCTAATATCATCGTAATAGGGTGATACTCAGAGTGGAATCATTATAAAAGCCCAGGTCAAGCCAGACGCCTTGACTCGCATAAAGGAAAAGTGGTGTGAAGGTGTTGTGTGACTGTCGGCGGATAGCACTAGAGCAACAAGTCTCACGAAGCAGTGCTGGCCTGAGCCGCTGATACGCTACCATTTGTCTCCCCTGCCCCTGCATCAGCTGTCGGCCGGTCCAAATCACCAGTGGAATGATCGCCGTTGCCCGCAGCTTTTAGGGGGTCCGTATTAGAAGAAGCGGTCTTCAGTGGGTGGGTGTTGTCCGTTGCCGACCTCGCTGACGCAGCTGCCTTGTTGGCTTTATTCTTATATTCACTCAGGCTCATTTTCTTCTTGATAGGGCTGGGTGTGGCCGTGTTCCCGTTCGCAACGGGAGGTGCGAAAGGACTTGGCAGGTTGGTTGTCGAGAATGGTGATTGCGTGACGGACCCGTTGGTTGATATTGGAGTCGTCACAGCTGTCACAGACGTTGCAGATGTGGGACTCGTGAAGGCGGTGGGAGGGGGCATTGACACGCGCAGCTCTGGGGACTTGGCTTCTTTAGGATTGATGACAGGCCCATTCCCGTTCGTAAGAGGCGGGCTGGAGGTGACGACGTTGGCAGGCGCAGGAGGGGCATCGGGCATCGGAGCGTCAACATCGGCAGCAGAGGTGGGCGACGACAGAGGGCACGGCTTGTGTGAAGTCGACGGCGACCCGAGAGAGCTCTTGGTCGTCGTTGGTGAGTCTAGGTCCATGGCGCTGGGTGGGCGCTGCGGAAGAACATCTCTCCGTTTCTGAGCCATGAGCCTCATCGTGAGAGACATGACCCTCCTCTTTGGTCGTGGCTTTGCGCAGTGATCATGCTCCGGCTCCGTCTGCACCGCGGCGTTGCTGTAGGTTCTTGGTGCTTCGGACGAACTCTGGCGCGATCCTGGAGCAGTCGACGTTTGCGGCTTGGTAGACCTAGCCGAACGGTTCGATGTAGCGCTTGTTGGTGATACCGGCTTGCTTCCCGAAGTACCCGCATCGACGTAGCGAGGCTCGTCTCCTCCGTTAGGCTTATCAGGGACTTCACTGACACCGGTCCGACCTTTTGGCTTCGCTGTCGTAGAGTTAACAGTGGAATTGGCGGTCACATCGGTGGATGCCTTCTTCTTCTTGCGGTGGTTGCTGCTGCTCCTGTGCTGACTTCTGAAACAAAGTCTCGGCCATTTGTACTTTCCTCTTATCTCGGTTGGTCGGTTCGGTAAGTATCCCAATATTGTCAAACGAGCCGTGCCGTGCCGGTGTTCGATCTCGACTGGGCGGCTTACTCCGAGAGCCCGCCGCAATGTTGACATCGGTCTCTGCCATTTCATCAAGATGGCCCTCGCTTGCAGCCCGACTATTGGTGGCCTGTCCAGTGCTCGTTGGTGAGATGGTGTGCGTCTTGGTTTTCGCACGCTTTCTCTTTTGTGGGTTGGGGCGTGGCTGAACCTTTTCGTGGTAATTGCGATGGAACCGAACAAAGGCACAGTCATTGCCGAGGTCGCAAGCACAACCTCCGTACTCTGACAGTATGCGACGAATCCAGTCCGAGATGAACATGTAGTCAGGATGGTCGATATCGGCAGCAACGTGTCCATTCGTTTCTTCGTCGCCGAGCCCAAGCAGTTTAACAAACCGCTTTTGGGTGGTACCGGGGAACCTGAACTCCCATGGCAGAGTGATCTGCTCGTTGGCCGCTATGGGCCGATCACTCACAAGCCAGAAATGGAACACCGACCCGTCCGAAAGGTGATACGTATCGATCGAAGCGTTTGGCTTGCAAGACCGACGGACGTAGCGAGCATTTGATCCTTCTTTCCTCGTGTCGATAAAAAGCGGAAGCGATGGGGGGAAGAACACAAAAGGTAGGGGCGCACAGAGGTCAGGCCACTGGTTTTCCGGTTCTTCGCAGTAATCCTTTTGCAAACCGACTATTCCGTTGAGTTCGATCATGGGAACGTCTTTATCAATCGCGGATGATGTCGTAAGGTACTGCCAGTGCAGGACAGTGTCTCGGGTCAGCGGGACTTCTTTGCTCTCTACCCGTAGAGTGTGGTCGAGCGGAGGCGGTTTTGTTGTTTGTATCACTTCTTTGAAGTCGCACCCTGTGTCTTTGCGGAAATGTTCGTGGCCTGGTTTGAGCCAGTCTGACACCTTCGTCTGGGTCTTCAAGTTCGCATATGTGTTCGTATCTACAATCTGGACATCGGACTCGTCGCAGAGGTCAAGGAATTGCTGTGTGTAGTGGTGGATTTCAAAATCGTTGGGCAGGTCGGGTGGCGTGGTAGCAGGGCTGAGGGGATGGCTGTGGATGGCCCTTGGAGCGCTGTGGGAGGGGCTTCGCTTCGGTGCGTGTGAACTGACGGACTGGCTAGACTTGTGCGAGAGTTTGGGTTTCTTCGCTGGCGGATGGTCTTGTGGGCTGCCAGAGCCGTCCACGCCGACGGGGTGTCCATTCAGCTGGAGATCGCTGGGCTTGATTTTCTTCTTCTGGGTTTTTGCGGGGGCTTTCTTGGGCCGCTTGTCGTGCGGGCTGTCTTCGTCGGGCTGAAGGCCGAGACGTTTCCGTTGTCGCTCCATGGCCTGGTGTTTGTCCAGTATCCGGGGATTGCAGTCGGCACAACTGTGGTCGAAGTCCTCCTGCTTGACTTTTTCGGCTTCGCCAAGGGGATGGTAGTAGCAGTCAATGTGTTGCCAGGTGTTGCATTTCTCGCAAAAGACCGTGGCTCCATCATCGTGGGCAAAATTGCAGATGCACTTGATTATGCCCTCATCCTCTTGCGGCTTCGCCTTCTCAGGCTTGACGAGAGCGACCGTCAACGGCGGGAGATTTTCTGTCATAATCTATGAGCCTCGCGGAGAACGTGAGGGTCAAAGGAACTGGCTGGGCTGTTTATTTCCGCGTTCTGGATGGCATGACGGAGTGCGACTCAACAGAAGAGCCTAGGGGGAGACACTGTGGGCACGACAGACGAGGATCACGGGAGGTGACCATTCGAAGGGAGGAATCGGACGGTCGTAGTGTCGAGAAGTCGTAAGTCTCTGCGACCCAGACGGACTCGGTGGCCAACGCGACTGGAAGAAGTACCAGGCCGTTGACAAAAGGCAGGTCGAAGAAGCCAGAGAACCAGGGACGCTGGTTGCGGTACAACGGTGGTGTCGCGAAGCGAACGAGACAGACAAGACCCTGAGTGGATCAGTGTGTGTCGTCGTTTGGATTTGGATTGGCCTGGGGTTCGGATTCGATTCGATTCGATTCGGGTTTGTTGGTTTGTATTGGGGGTTGGTCAAAGTGTTGGGTTGGGCGTGTGGTGGTGGGATCACGAAGACAAATTCGAGAAGTCGACTCTAGGGCGAGGAGAGGATGCGCCTCGAGGGACAAGGAGATTTAGACGAGGCGGATAAGGGAGAGAAGACGAAACAGACCATGAATGCGGCAGATTCATGCGGACTCGGGGAACAAGAGAGGGCGGTCTCGCGTGGGAAGGGTGTGGATTGTCGAGGACGTGTAAGGAAGGTTGGGAGGAGGAAGAAAGAGAGTGAAGAGAGGGGGCGACAAGCAGAGGAAGAGACAAACCTGAGCGGCCGACCGAGTGTGAGAGTAAGAGAGTGAGAGTGAGGGTGCGCCTGCGCGTGCAGGAGAGCGGGTGCAGCAGCAGCAGCGGTGCGTGGGTGCTCGACTGCCGGACCCCAGACCAGCAGGCAGAGGGGGCAGAGGGCAGAGGGCAGAGGCAGCGTCGCGCGCCATTTGCCCACCTGCTTGTGAGGTGCGAGCAGCATGGAGGCCAGCCAGTGCCAGTGCCCCAGTGCCATTCTTGGGCCGGACGGCCAATGGGAGGCAGCTGGGCCGGCAGCGGGTGCCACTGGGCCGGGCCTGCTAGCAGCGAGGGACCAGGCGGGTGCTCTGGTGGCCTGGTGAAGGGCGTGCAGCGCAGCAGCGCAGTCGGGACAGGCCCTGCCTTGGGCAGGAGTGGCAGGACACCCCATCTCACCTACCTGCTAGGTACTAAGGAAAACGAGACCCCGTTCGCGGCGCCTGTGTACACCTGGGCATGGTAGTGAGTGCTTGGTTGGGAGCTTGGCTGAAAGTGGTTTGGGACGGGTCGAGTATCCGGTTAGCATCCAATCCCAGTCCACGCAGTGCGCGGCTGTTAGGGCTGGACTTGATGCAGGGACGCATTCGTCACCAGCACGGCATCGTCGCAACGTGGAGTGAAAGCAAAGGACCTCGACGGGGAAAGGGAAAGGGGCAAGTCGATTTCACCACACCAGACTCCAGTTCTGTCCGGGAGAAGATAAACTCGCGATGTAGGCCAGCTCTCCCGACGGACTGTTGCGTAAAAGGCTCTGTGCGCTGAATGAAAAGTGAGCGCAGGTGCCGGTGGCCTGGCCGTCGCGTGTGTGTGTGTGTGTGTGTGTGTGAGCGAGCATGACAAAATCATGGCAATACTTGTGATGGAGTTTTGGTGGGGGGTTTGCAGGGCAAGGGGAAAGGATTGCAGGATGAAGCGTTCACGGGCTGGGTATATAACGGTGAGGGATGATGAAGCGAGGGTGCTGGTGTGATGATGAGATGAAGAGATTGATGACAGGTCCAGGGGTGGGCTGATGGTGTGGGCGAGGGAAATGAAAGAATGAATGAAATGATGAACGAAGAAATGATTGAAGAGGAGCGCCGAATGAAGCCGTCAAAGTCCGGCCGGTGAAGGACCTTGGGATCCTCCAGGCCAGCGGCAGCACCAGTACAACAACAGACTGAGTGACTGGACCGGGCAGAGACGATATGGTACCCAGGAGTCAGTCACCAAGGTGCGAGCGGGAAGCGGCGTGGGAAGGTCAGGGAGAGAAACGGGCATGGAGTGGCATCAGAGGTGTTGCAGGTTGGAGGAATTCCTGGTAGGCGAGGCCGGGCTGCCGGGATGAGGTCAGTTGCGCTGTGCCACCCAGGCGCCAGGCAGCACACCCCAGGCCTCGCTTCCTTGTTGCCTGATCACCCACTGCCCAACACCGACCGCGGACGCACGCACCTGTGCAGCACCGAGTCACGAGGCCTCGCGCCATACTGTGCCATGTACCCGGATTGCGAGCGGAACCGCGATGGGGGGAGTTACGTCAGTTTAATGAACGGCACAGTGCGACAGTAGCTGTCCTACGTGAGCAGATGCGTGCTTGGGTTGTTCACAGCTGCTACAGTACGACGATAGCACATGTACCTAGGAACACAGCATTCCAGGGTCGACTGGACTTGTCTCTGTCGAACGGTACTTTGCTCGCCCATGGCGATCGTCGGATTGGGAGACATGCAGCAAGCACGTACTGCAAACCCTTGACCGTTTGCTCGCCATGCCCGTGCCGTGCACTGCAATGCAATGCAATTCTGTGAACACACCAGGAGGGAGGGGCTTGTGGACTTGGTCAGACGAGGGAGCCCTGACTTGGTCAATCGGTCTAAGGTTTTGGGCTCTGCACGGCCCTCCAATGGTAAGAGGCCGCTTGGTCCGGCCCTGTTGCGACCCTGCCACCAGAGTCGCGCAATGCCTGGCGTGGCTTGGCATGGCAAATGCAGCCGATTCCTCTCGCATGAGACCAAATTGCATTTCTGCCACTGCCAGTGGGCCTCGGACAGTGTGCTATGTGTAGCATGAGATGCACTGTCCCTCGCACAGTCCACCTCTCTACCATCCCCATCCATTTTTCTCCTTCCACTCCCTCCTTCCATATCTCGCCAGACCTGGGAAACATTCCTGATATCAACACTGCGAAGTCCACACTGTGCGGGCGCAATCACCAAACCCACTCCAGCTCCCCCAGCCAATCAGCCGTGGGCGAGCTTGGTGCCTCTCCCCTCAACTCCAACTTGCTTGACACCTTGCCTGTCACTCACCAAGCCCAAGTGCCCGCTCGGCGTTGGAGGCTGGGCTGGCTGAACAAGGTTTGCCCCGTTCACCTTCCCGAGGTCTGCTCCAAACGGAAACCCAAAACACAACCACAGCTGCCCACCACCGGTACGATGGGCCTCCTCCAGTGGCTCAACCTCCGCCGCCCAAGCAAATGGGAGGCACCCACCCTCCTTGACCACCTTCTCTCCTCTCCACTACACTTTGTCATCACATGCGTCTACCAGCTAATACTCCTTCTCCGCGGCAAGCCCTTCAGACCGCCCAGCGACAAACCACCCATCCGGGTCGTCTGTCTGTCTGATACCCATGACCAAATTGTGCACAATGTCCCGGACGGCGATCTTTTGATCCATGCTGGAGACCTGACCAACTCCGGCTCGGCCGACGACATTCAGAAGCAGATCGACTGGCTAGCCTCCCTGCCCCACCGCCACAAGGTTGTCATCGCAGGCAATCATGACAGCTGGTGCGATGTCCGGGCACGGCTGGCCCAGGACAAGAAGGAGGCAAGAAGGGTCGATTTCAGAGGCCTGCATTACCTCCAGGACGGCTCCGTCACCCTGGAGTTCCACAATGGGAGGAGATTGAAGGTGTATGGTGCCGCCGACATCCCAATGTGTGGAGGCGACGACTTTGCCTTCCAGTATCCCGCCGATAAAAGCCCATGGAGAGGTAGGGTTCCCATCGAGACAGACATCTTGGTTACCCATACGCCACCACGCTTTCATCGGGACCTGGGTCTAGGCTGCCCGGGACTGCTGAAGGAGTTGTGGAGGGTAAAGCCTAGGCTGCACGTCTTTGGTCACGTCCACTGCGGCCGTGGCCAGGAGAGCCTTTACTTTGACGAGTGTCAGAAGGCTTATGAGATGCTAATGTCACGCCGTATACGGGGGCCACTTTTTGACATGATACCCAGCAGCAGCTGGGTCGATGCTCTCAAGGTCATGTATTACGGTGTGAATGCCGTTGCGTTCAAGTATCTCATGCTTGGTCCTGGCTCGAACAACGCGAGCCTCATGGTTAACGCTGGCTGCATGCAAGGAAATACGGGCAAATTATGTAAGAGCCCGGCCCAGATCGTGGAACTATGATACAGATCTCAGCCCTGCCAGAATATCATCTTCCCTGAACGGAACAAGTGTGAGCAAACAAGTCCGGCAGAAAAGGACTGGATAGACAGCCCAGTGAAGGAATTGCCAACTTGATCAAATCAACAAGCCAGCGACAAGCACACCAACCACTACGCCAGCACTCATCCTGATGGTTCTCTCCGCACCCGCCTGCACAGGCTTCAACCCGGCCGTTGCTGTCGATCCCACCTGTTGCGTGGGCGCCGGCACCGTCGCGTTACCGACCTTCCCACCGGGCTGTGGGACAGGATTGCTGTTTCCATTTGGACCTGGCACCGGTCCTCCACCCGGGGCACCTGGAGCACCTGGAGCACCCGGGGCGACTGGGGCGATTGGGGCGACTGGAGCAACAGGAGCAACGGGCGGAGCGACAGGCGGAGCACCGGGCGTTGGAGGTTTTGGTACAGGCTGTGGGCCAGGACCGCCTCCTGGGGCCGGAGCACCGACATCAGCTGGTTTTGAACCAGGCTGCTGCCAGCCGATATTACCTCCGTTCGCCGAGCCAGATGCAACCCCAACCGGTACAGTCAGCGTGACAGTGGACTCCCCATTTGCACCGCACTTGTTGCATGCCTGTGTTATCGCAGTCATCGGGATAGTTGGTTTAGTGACCTGTCCTGCAGCGCATCGAGCGCAGTTGGGGACCTTGAGCGTGGTGCAATACTCTTGCGTCACCAGCAGGGCTGGGTTCGTGCTGCAGACCGTCGTGTACGTGACTGTGGAGGTGATGGTCTGCGTCACAATGGCGGGCCCTAAACCGCCCATCCCCGGGGCTGGCGGCGGGTTTGCAGCGGGCCTGCCCACGAGATTGATATACACAGTAAGGAGGAAACTGTTCGGTGCATCGCGTCTCGCAAGAAGATTGTTGCCACCGCAGAACTGTCCTGGGTTTCCGGGGCATGGTAAGTTGCAGCGGCTGCGGTCCGCGAGCGCAGATGTGCCGGCATCGAGGGCGTCAGCACAATAGCATGTGCTCTCGTGCACTCCTGCAAATACTCTCCCGGGACATAAGCCCACACAGACCTCGGGCGTCATCTGGCCGTTGTCACCGGATAGGACGAATGTGCTGAACCTGGTGGTCGACCCAAAGCAGCCCAGCAGAGCGAAGTTGCCGATGGTGGCCGGGTCTCGGCTAGGAACCAGGCTGTCTACTGGCGAGGGCGAGGATGACGACGGGGTGGTCGGGGAGACGCCACCAGATGGGCCACTGGAGGCGGCCGGCACCGAAGGCAGGGACTGTATCGGGGTGTTCCCAGAGAATGGTCCGGAGGGAGCAATGGATCCAGCCGGCCCAGAAGGCAGCGGACCGTTTGCTGAAGTAGGCACTGGAGCGCCATTGGAACCACCAGCCGATCCCGAGGGCGGCGGCACCGGGCTGCCTGCTGGACCAGACGCGGAGTTACCAGGGGAGCTGGGCGGTGTCGCGATAGGGGTGGGCACTGAACCGCCCCCCTGCGAGCTGGGCGCGCCCACAGAACCATCGGAGGTGGGCAAAATCGCGCCGCCGCTGCCTTGAGCACCTGTCGAGCTCGGAGCACCCGCGATGGCTGAACTGGGCGACACCGGCTGGCTCGCTGGCAGACCGGATGCAGAACTGGACGGGGAAACGGCGCCTCGACTATAAACATCGATATAGTTCACCTCCCAGAACGAGTTCGCGAATTGTGACGGGGAGTTGCCAACCCAAATCTCGCAGGACGACGCGTAGGCGTAGCATGAGCTGCTGCCCCACTGGCTGCCACCGGCGTATGTGCCGCAGAAGTCCTGGTTCGGTCAACCGTCAGCCAATGCCTGTGCCTCGGCCCACATTCGTTGAACAAGAGAAAGGTCACGGGTTTCGACTCACGATGTCCAGCACAATGCTCATGTTGTAAAAGCTGATCCCGACGTCGCACGAGTCTGGGTCGCTGCTGTCGCCGAACAGAGCCTGCGGCGTGCCCCAGGTGCTCGGGTCGGGCTTCTTGTCAACGATATTCTGGGGGATCTTGTTCCTGGGGAAATGCCAGATCCTGATGGACTCGCTGGTCCAGTCCATGGCGTATACTGCAGCAATTCAAAATCAGTTTCGAGAGCCCCAAGGAAGAAGGCATATCCAATATAAGGATTGTATCAGGAAGCTGCTTACCTCCGCCCCCGACTGCATTGAAATCATCACCATACGTCGAGGTGTCGCTCAGCGGCGGGGCGTAGTTGCAGCCCTCAACGAGCCCGATATCCTCCTGCAGGCCGCTTGGGTCAGCTTCACTTGCGAACATTGCAGAGGATGGTTCTGTTCTGTGGCCGCCTACATCGTATGTGCAGTTTGTGTACTGCTGCGTCCCGGTGTAGAGACCTGACCTGGGGAGGGTGCAGACCTCGCCACTACACGGTTGATCACGACGTTAGAGAACTTTGTCCGCCTGCCGGGAGTTCGGGGACCGGGGGATGGAGGCATACGTGTGGGCAGATATCAAGTTGCGGTATACCATGTTGGCACCCTCTATTATGTCGATTTCTCCTCCGTCGGGCCAGTTCGGGCCATACAACCAGACTGCAGCTCAGAGCATGTGTCAACCAGCAGTTGGGCAGCCACCCCCCGCCACGCCTAAGGTCTTTGCACTTACACGCAGGCCATGTCCCGCAGACTGAACCCGGCATATGGGCAAAATCTCCAATGACAAGCCCCTGGTTCACCGGCTGCTTGCTCTCGATGCGGATACTTGGGCGGCCGCCCAGGGAGCCATCGGGGTCGTATGTGTTGGTGCTGTCCACGCTGAGCCTGACCTTGTTGGTGGTCGTGTTGACGGTGGCGTAGCCGTAGGCCAGGGCGCTGGGTAGGTTCTGATAACTGGCGAGAGAGGTGACTGTTTAGTAAAAAGGCAGTCGTCACAGACGGAAGGAATCGAGTCCGCCCCGGTGCGTGAATGGCCTCAGGCGGTAGTACTCACGCTACGAAGCCGTCGGTAGGATCCGGAATGGACATGAAGTTGAAGCCATCTATCAGAGCCTGTCCGGCATAAGATATTGCCAGGGAATACGCCATGCTGGGCGTCGGCCTCGTGAGGTGGGTTCTATGCGGTAAACAAGAAACGAGCGTGAAGAAGGAAACTCAAAGAGTGACTAGAGTGAGAACAACATGCCCTGAGCAACTCAAGCGAGAGGTGGAGACAACAGAGATCCTCGGAATAGACAGTGTATGCCCGAGAGTCTGCGTATAAATATGTATTTTTCGCCTGACAGGGCTCGTGGACCGAGCATATTGTACCCTAGTGTGGAATGTAGACCACCAGAGACACGGCGCATTCCTCACGACACGCAACACGCGCGGCCACAGCCGGAGGGGCGCTGGATCACGGGAGAGGCGCGCGCCGTGTTATTTTAACCCATCTTTTCCTTGGGAATCTCAATCTCGAAGAGACAATAAATGCCTGGAATGGGCCAATGCCCGTCCTCTGGGTCGTGCCACTGGGCCAAGGCCGCCGTTGAGTTCCATTCCTCCGCCTCGTGTCCAGGCGCCCGGTTTTCCTTCTCTTTTTCCTCTCAACGGGTGTGGTCTCAGCCTATGGCGGGCCAGCACTCTGTGGGCACCGCCGTTGTCTTCTATTTCGGGCTCCCTCCCAGTGAGCGTTGAGACAACAGCCTCTCTGGTCACATCAGGCCTCCAGACAACCTCCTGGTATAATATCAATGGGATGATCTCCTGTGGCATGATATCCTTCGTACCGGCAGGGCGACTGGCCAGGATTTTTGAAATTTCTCCCCAAAACGTTTGATAGAGATATCCCGGCTCTCTTCAATGTGTGATCCGCGAGTGTGAGCGGGTGATTTAGTATCGTGACTATATGCCTGGGCGACTCCCTGAATGTTCTCAAAGCAAAACGCCGTACGCTATGCAACCACAAATTGATAAAATGTCACAGTTGTGACTGTTTGCAGCCGCCTCTTCCTTCGGACGGACTACACCATGATCCGCCTCAGCCCTTCAGTGCCCCCAAGCACCCTCCTTCCGGTCACCGCGCATCTCGACTCGCCACTCTCCCATTTGCCCTTCTTGTCGGCCATGAATGCCTCCTGCCTGGGGTGGACGCCGCTCACCCACCTATGCACGCACGTATAGCAGTAGACCACGCCCGTCTGGCACGCCGTGGGCGTCGTGATGTCGTCCCTGCAGATCGGGCACAGCCCCGAGTTCTTGGGCGCGGGGACGGTGTATATGGGTAGCAGCGAGGGCTTAGCAATGGGCGCATGCTCAGCAAGGGTCTTCTCGTCCTCCTCATCCTCATCCTCGGCACCTGCGCCGGCGCCCCCGGTCGCCGGCTTGCCGCCCGGGGTGGTGGGGCCCGCCCCGGACACGGTGGGCGGGGGTAGGTCCAGGCTCTCGGCGGCCCTGCGCGACAGCTGCTTCGCAAAGTCGGACGCGTACCACCACTCGAGGAACTTGAGGGCGAAGATGCTCGTCGGCAGGAGGACCGACAGGCTCGAGAGGACCTTGGAGCCCATGTTCCGCGGGGAGAAGAAGGAGGAGGGCCCCGGGGCTGCGCCCTCGCCCGCGGCCTTCTGGCCCAGCGCCTCGATGGCGGCGTAGTCCGCGCCGGCCATCCTGCGCATTCTCGTGCCGATCAGCCACAGGAAGGGGTTGTGGTATTTGGAGTTGTCGAAGAGGTAGGCCAGGTTGAAGGCCAGGAGGGCAAAGTAGTAGGCGGCGTTGACGCTCGGGTAGACGTTCCTCAGGAACCACCTGTAGTAGTGCAGCACCCTGTCCTTCCAGGTCGCGTTCGGCGGCAGGCTGGTGTAGGCGGTGCCCAGCAGGGCGCGCGGCGCATTCACCTCGTAGCCCTCGTCGAGCTTCCTCTTGAGGTAGGGGATGCCGACCACGACGGCGAGGTTCCGCCAGACGTCGGCGCTGCCAAGCTTGAGGGTATCCCTGACGACGGCCGGGGCGCGGGCGGAGGCGCGGGGGATCTCGTCGGCCAGGGCCTTCTCGCGCTTGAGCCCGTAGAAGTGCTCGGTGAAGGAGCCGCCGCGGGTGGTCAGGTAATGGCGCTCGACCACGAGCATCAGCAGGGCGTAGACCTCATCGAATGAGTTGAGCACCGGCAGGAGGTAGCGCGGGGAGCGGTGGGTGGCGTGGACGAGGAGGTAGCGCAGGGTGGGCGGCAGCAGGGCCGACAGCTGCTGCTCCGACAGAAGCTCGAAGAGGGAGGGCTTCTGGTCGTCAAAGGTCATGCCCCGCAGGGCGGTGATGAACTCCATTGCTGGCTGGCTATGGCAGACTGTGCTGCTGGTATTTCATCTGATGATGATCACAGATGCGGCATCACCAGCCGTAGAAGGCGGTTGGGAGAGGAGGAAAGTCCAAGGCTTGAGGTTGATGGGTGTGTGTCGTCGAGGGCGAACCTCGGAGTGGTCGAATCCCTGACCGAGCTTGGCTGATGCCGAGGTACACTGCAGTGGCACGTCTCCAAGCGCCGCTGACATCGCGTCTGATAAGGGCTTACACCCGGCATACCTCCGGCATACCTAGTTGATGTCCATCTACCGCAACCAAACCGTCAACCAGAACCAAATCCTGGTTGAAATCTCACCTCGGTCGTGATCCTTCTCGCATAAGATAACTTGGCCCCACAGCACCTCAAACCAGCTTTCTTCCCCCTGTCTGCATCTTGTGGTTGGATCCACGTCCAGCCCGTTGCGCGATGTCGAGCAGTGATGGAGGTCATGAGGCACGACTGAGATCCATGGGAAAGGAATTATATCAGGTGCAAGGTGTGGACAGGCTGAAGCTATGGCTTGAGCTCACGCATCTGCAGGATCAGGACCCAGAGCGGCAGGTAAATCAATGTGAACCCTTCTCGTGAGTCCGGGCAGTTCATGCTAACCCTTGACTGCACCAGGACTGGATGACGAGCTGTCTGCCTTTTCTGAAACTTCACTCGTGGTCCCTGGGTGATCCAAAGCACCCCAGAGTCGTATTCAACGTGAGGAACAACCTGCCCCATTCAGAGATGCGGCCGTGCCTCCTGTCGTGTCTATGCTCCTCCCCGCCTTGAGTTACACAGAGAGAGGATCAACCAGTGCACACTGCACATGTCAGCCCTCGTCGAGACACCAGGACGAACTAATCCGATGTGACGCAGTATACTATCCAGCACAATAACTGCAACAGGCTGGGCAATGCCCACGGTGGACACATTGCCAGTCTGTTCGACTTTGTCACATCGATGCCGCTGGCCCTGATCAACAAGCCTGGGTTCTGGTTCTACCTGGGAGTGAGCAGGACGTTGAACGTGACATATCTCAAGCCAATACCCCTCGGCGAGAAGATCTTGGTCGAGGCGGAAATCCTGAGCGTCGGCAGGACGCTGTGTACCATCCGGGGCGCAATGAGGAGGGAGAGCGACGGGACTCTGTTGGCCGTGTGTGAGCATGGGAAATTCAACACAGACCCAGGGGCCAGCAGCAAGATCTAGGCCCAGGTCGAGGTCACAACTCAATCGTCAGGGTTGGCGCTTTTATAGAAGGATAGTGTATTGCAGACAAATGCATGCACAGGTGTACAGTGTAACGCGCAAGGTGTAAAATGGACTGATGTGTGGTCAGGACATATCCACCACCGGCCGAACCCAATCCCTCCCAACTATGCAAGGGAATGCCGTAAGTAATGGCTTACTGTAGACTGCCCCTGATGAAACAAGACAGTGATCCATCCCGTGGCCCCCAAGATGCTCCCACACCGTGATAGTGCTGGGCCCGTGGATCGTCCCCACCCCCGCACCTTCCGCGACGCATGGTAATTGACGGCCACATCGGACTTATGCTTAATTCCTCGTCCCCCGTCGCGTGCTCGGATCTTAACACACGCCTCAAGCTTTGGGCCAAGCCTCTACAAAGCCCAGGTTACCTGCCTCTGTTGCGGTCCCCGGGAGCCCAGAGCAGCCGTTCTTGTCCGAGGCAGGTTGACTGGTATTTCGCCGACTGGCAACGTCTCGCCGTCATCCGTCCACCGGCCAGACCGACGTCCTTGTGCTTGTGCAGGCCCGGTGTATTAATTGAGTTGATTACTTTGTCTTGTCGCATCACACACAGCTCAGCTCCCCTTGACAATTCTCTGTGCGACCGAGCCACGTCAAACCGTCATACACACAATGGTCCTCCTCACACAGCTTCCCCCAGAAATCGTGAACCATGTCCTGAGCTTCGTCGACCCTGAGGACCTGCCGAGGGTCAACACAACCTGCCAGTACCTGTACCATGCCGTGAAGGACAATAAAGCGCTGTTCCGGGCCGTCTATCTCCGCCATCTCGTGAGTCCCCAAGCCACATGCGCCATGACCGTGCCACACATTCACAGGGACAGGACGATGGCTAATCAGGCTAGAGTCCTAGGATGCACCACCACCCGACGCACAACTCAGTTGGGTTCAGGAAATCCAAGATCTGGTCAAATTGAAGCGCATATGTGCCAGTGAGGGACCCGAGAGGTTGAGAGCCACTTCACTGTTCACGGACAGGTCTCAGGGGGGCATCTTGCCCGGGGGACAGAGCGATCACCTCCCTTTTGTCTACAACACTGTCACCCGTCTTCTCCAGCATGCTACATCGCAGGGCGCCCGCCCGAGGCCGAGCGTCACCTACGGGGCGAGCCAGAACGTGAGCATCCTGCGGGAGTGCTTCTCCTCCGAGTCGACCGTCCACGCCTTCCTCTGCAGGTCCTTCCTCTTCCAGCGGGCGCGCACCCCCGTAAAGAAGTTCAGCTTCCCCAAGCAGCCGCCCGAGGAGCGGCAGATGTCGGCGAAGCTGCACTGTCTGTATGGCGCCCCCGTGCTCAACTTCAGCCGCCTGAGGTCGAGCAGGACACACCCCTTCGCCATCAGCAAGGTCTACGATATCCGGGAGTACACGACCCCGGACGCGATGGGGTCCGTTTATGGACGAAGGACCGGGGCCGGTCGGCAGCGAGACCAACGAGGACGGCCAGCTGCCGGGTGATAGAGTGGATTGGGAGAAGGTCGAGGCCATAATGATCGTCCTTTGGCATAACATGAAGACCAAGGGTCTGGACCGCCTGCCAGTGTTCAATCAGTTTTGGGGCAAACCCTTTGCGGGCTGCTGGCCGAACAGCTATGTTCCCGAACCGAGGAATAGGGATATAGCGGACCTGGAGCTGGAAGATCCTTATGGTGTGACCGGGACTTGGCTGAGGGTAAGACACATGACCCCTAGCCCCTTTTCCCACACTTTGCCTCACCCAACGTAATCCATGATGAGCAGGCACTCATTTTACTCACCTAGGTCGTCTGCTTCCTTGACTACAACGACTTCTTCGCCTACAACTTCCCGCCACACGACGATCTGCCAAACCACCTCCCCCGGCACGCCCTCGACGAGGTCGAGGCAACGCGCCTGATCGTGGTCAAGATCCGCGTCACCAGGATCGAGCCGCCGGGGCCTGAGGACGGCCAGGCCCTGCCCGTGGTGCACTTCGAGGGCTTCTCCAAGTCGCTGGACTCGAGCCTCGACGAGAACGCCAACTCCGGCCTCACAGGTGAGGTTTCCGTCAAGGGTACTGGTTCTTTTCGCGGGCGTGCCCATTGCGCAGCTACCCTTCCCCCGTCCCCTTCACCGACCCTTAATCTCTCCCCGCCCGCGCGCAGATATTTGAGAAGCGTGAGAGCAAATGCCTGACTGTGGGCTTCAACAGGGAGCGTCCGCCTCACCAGGGAGGGCGAGGTGCGCTGGACAAGCCACTCCATCTTCAACGGCCAGGAGAGGTGGCGCAGCGAGAGCATCCAGGTCGGCGGGCTCAGGTCGGCCAAGGTGGTCGGGAACTGGTTCGACAAGTAAGCGAGCGAGCGCGACAAGGGTGTGTGAGACTCTTTGATGACGGATGCTGACTTGCCCTGCAGAGACTACGACCCGTCCGGCCCCGTCGGTCCAACCGCGTTCTGGAAAATTAGCGACCGGCAGCCGGGCAGCCGCGACGATCGTATGCGACCCCTCTTTGCTGCATACCTTATTTTCTCTCTCTCTCTCTCTTCTCTCTCTCTTTTGGGGTTTGATATGCTGATCAGTCAGAGCAGACATAACTGAGAATGACTACCGCGCCATCATCGACGGGCTGGAGGAGGATGTCGACCTCGGGCCCGCTGACGACGACGACGACGCCGGCCTCTTGGGCGTGTTCCAGGTAAGCAAGCATCCTAGGAGATCGCGCCTCGACTTGGGCCTCCCGCCTGGCTGACTACCTTAACGCTCCAGATAAATTACGATGACGAGGAGTACGAGTTTGGCGAGGAGGAGGAGGAGGATGATGATGATGACGGAAGCGAGGAAGACGACCTCGGTTCTGGTGACGCGGCGGGTGATATGACCGGTGGGGAGGAACAAGATGGCGATGACGATACGTTTATCTTCGCCGGGGTGACGTCTCATGGCCTAGACGAAAAGTAGGGTCGCATCAGGTCGACCTATTCGTGAAGGTGAGGGACATCAGTCGTGGCCCTTGGTCTCATCCTCACCGTGATCAGGTATACCTCCGTATGAAACGCAGCGTGACATGGCCCCCCAAATCGACCGGATCTGGACGAATACGCTTTGAATATCGATTTACGCAATGAAGCCGAATTGTGGGACAGATATTGGTTGTACACCTCAGGCATCTCGGCACGCCAAGCAAGCGATTCTGTCAGGTTTGCGGATGGGTGTTTGCCCACCATCTTCCAATTTAAGATATAGCAACGAATCAGACTAAGAGACGTACAGCCTAAGCAGCAACGCACGGGGGGTATATAAGTGTACAAAGCCTCCAATTTCAAATCATGGCCCAACCAGATAATGCACATATCCACTCTCATATTTCCGGAGACAAACTTGTCTTTCAAGTTCCAATTTCCGCAGTTGCCTGTGGCAAATGCCGCGTCTTATGGCGGTCGTCAATTTCGTCAAATCATTGTCCCAGCGTTGAGATTCACGCAATTGTTCAGCAGGGTCGCGCCCTCATGCAGCAGCTCCCACCTCGTCGTGAGGAAAGTGTCCTTCAGCACCAGCATCAGAGAGCTGTTCTTGTTTAGCCCCTTCATGGTCCTCAGGTCCTCCGGGTAGCTGGTCCCTCCGTACGACATCAGGTACTCCCTCATCTCACGGACCCGCTCCGCCTTGGAGGTCGGGACCACGGCGTCCGGGCACGGCCCCTCCAGCGCGTGCCCGTAGCTCCAGACCACGAGCGCGGCGAAGTACAGCACCCACGGGCGATTCAGGAGGACGTCTTCGCGAGCGCAGTAGGGCAGGTCTGTATCCGAGTACGAATGCGGGTGGCTGTTGTAGCCGTTCGGGCGCGGGTTTCCGCTCTGCTCCAGGAGGACCGAGCCGAGGAACTTCAGTGCATACCAAGTGGCATCCCTCGCCCGGACAGAAGGGGCCCAAATATCCTTCATGCGTCGCTGGGCGCTGCTGAGGTCTTGTGCCCCGATGGCTCTGCCCAGAAGGCGCTTGGCCCGCGCGAAAATCTGGCAGTCGACAATGTCGACATGCATGGCCAGGTGTGCGAGGTTGTGCAGGACGACACGGCTCTCAAAGACGGCATTCGCATCGTTACGGTCAGTTGGTTCAAAACTGCTGTACGGATCGGATGGATTGTCGCCCCGTTTCAGTGACTTATCAAAGTCTCCTTTCCACGAATCGAAAGCTCGCGTGAGCGTGCCGCGCCACTTATCCCGTCCGCCCAGGGCAGAGGAAACACCGCCCCCCAATGAGTTCACCTGAAGATCTCGTTGGTTCATGTGCCAGCTGACGTTCAGTAGTCCAGCCATAAGAATCATTCTTCCGAAAGAGTTCGTCTGAACTTCCTGAGAACTGAGCGTGCGCTTCAAGCCCTCAAGGAACGGTACGGGCTTGATGCCATTAGAGTAGAAGTTCGCCTCGATTCGGCCAACCTCGGCTCCACTCTGGGCCCTCCAGAGCTTCTCGTCGCAAGGCAGAGGCAAACGCATCTCGTGTGCCACCATCACCGTGGAATGCCCGAACATTGTTGCATGTATCGAGTCAATAACAAACGCCGCGAAAGCAGCACGACGGGTGGCCTCGTTGGTGATCCAGTGGTTCCACCACTCATCCGGCGTGTGGGCAACTCCAGAAGTGGATGAATGCCGGGAGCCCATCTTGTCGTCTCTTGGATTGGGAGGGGAGTCTAAAGCGGACTTCCCAATCAACGACCGGCCGCGTCGCATCAAGGTGATGGTTGTCGCGTGGTGGATATGTGCCCGCTCGTGCAGTTCCCTCGTCGAGTACATCTTCTCATACAATTCCAAGAGTATAAGCGTTTGGAACACCCACAGCTTCGCCGGGGGCCTGAAGTTCGTGTCCATGAAGGTTTCCCACCTAAGGTGCCAGGCCAAGAAATTCGACAGTTCAGCCCCAAGATCTGTGACCTTTTGACCGTGAGCCTTGTCGAGGTTTGCAGCGCCAATTGTCATCATCGAGATGAGGAGTAGGGTTGGTGTCCGGTCTGGGGAAAATGTAGGCTTGTGAAGTATAGGTATTTGGTCGCTGAAATGCAACCAGTACGAGCCAATATAGGCCTGCATCATCTTGCGGCTCAGCATATGCTCGTCGGTTCGCTCGCCTTCGATGAAGCTTTCCCTCTTGTGCTCGACTGGGGCGCGCCCGTTCTCATGGAATCGCTCTCTGATGAACTCAAAGATCTCGTTGGCTTTCTCTTCAGAAAGTACTGTCTCGGGAAGGTTTTGGTCCAGCAAGTTGTTGACTGCCATGACTTGCTGTGGCCCAGCATTTGGGAAATAGCCCATCTGATTAGGCTCTGTTCCGTAGTATGGGACACTATATTGAGAAGCAGGGTCTCCGTAACTTTTCGAAGTCAGCTTGGTCATTTGTATGGCCGCCTCATTTCCAACCACTCCGCCCGATGGCGCGTCGCAGGCGATACCTGGAAAAACTAGAGATGGTGACTTACTTGTTATAATGGGGTACCATGTGATTCATGGGATTGCCATCAGGTCCCTGGGTGTTAAATAAATAGGCCATGAAATCTTCGGGCATTCCAACATAAGGGGATTTATTAAGAACACTGTCGCTCCCAAATACAGGTATAGTCGTCTGGCTCGTCATATTCTCCAAAAGTACCATCTCACCAGCGGGTTGGGGCTGCCCCTGGGGGTACTCACTCGCACCTTGTTGTGGTGTATAGGCTTGTCCACTATCGCGGGGCACAGTAGCCGACGATACTGTCGATGCAAAATTAGACGGCGGCAGGCTGAAGGGAGGGAAGTTGGTATGCCCAGAATATGGTGTGGCGGATTGAGGAGTGTCGCTCGGGTGGTTCTGGTATCCCTGCTGAGACGCTGGGGACATGACTCCATAAGGGCCAACATTCGTCTGCACCGAAGGTCTCTGTGGACCATTCGGGGACTGATGTTGTGGCTGTGGTTGTTGGCCCGGGAGGGGGCCGTATGCAGGGCTCGATCGCATGTAGTTAGCGGTATTGTGGTGCTGTCCGTTGGGATGTGGAAACACGGGTGGCGTGTTTGTCACTGAAGCATATGGACTTGCTGCAGCATCCTGGAAATGCGGATGCGGGTGAGGTCCCATATAGCCACTTCCGGGCCTGTTGGCCTCAGGAGAGAGTGAGCCAGGGGGGAACGGATGGCGACCATCAGCCGCAGGTGAGACTTGTCCAATCATGGAATCTCTTCGATTGAGCGCTGAACCTTTTGCCGTGTGCCTGTCTCTGTGCCTGTTGCACAAGTCCAACCGGACAAACTGCCGAGTGCAGTCAGGGAAATCACATTTGTAAATTTGCTTGGGGTTGTGATTCAGTTGGTGCCGATACCTGCGGCAGATGTCAGTAGGTCGTGCAGCGGGGAGAGACACGGGAGTTGCTCACAGGTGCTCAGCCCTTGAGTAACTCTTTCCACAGCCGTCGTGAGGGCATTCAAACTTCTTGTCCAGTCCCTTGCGACTTCTGCGCCGTTTCCGCGCAGGCCCGTCTTCACCCTCGGACGAGTCCCCACCATCATCGGCGTGGTCGTCGTCTATATCATTATCATGAGCCTCCGCCTTCAGGTCACCCTGGCTTAGCGACCGGGCGCGACCATCGTCGTCCATTCTATTGTTCTCTGGCGGGGTTGGCTCCTGTGTTGGAGACATAGCCAGTTGGATATCACCAGGATGGGATGCCAGTACCGAGGTCATGGCTTCGGATTCTTGATTGGCCAATTGGCTCCTCTTTTGTGAATCCCTTTGCGGTAGCTGCTCCTTGGATGGCTTTCTTCTCAATTAGGGAACCATCGATTGCTGGGATCAGGTGGCTGACACCTGCCGACGGACACTATGCCGGTCGTCACACCGCACGAGAGGGGCTGGTACTGCGTCGGCAGGTGACCAGATACTCCTTTTTGCGGAGGACCGGTTGACCGCGGGCAAATCGGATATCGTCGACTAAAATCGGTCGCACTGCAGCTCAGCACAGCTCGAATCCAGAAGCTGTCTATCCGCGCGTCTCAATGCTTCTGCTCCCACTAGGGTGCTCTCAGACCGAATCGTGGTTCGCTCACTGCTTGACGCCAATGCGTGCGCTTGAGCTAAATTCCGCTGCTAGATAAAACTCCCGAGTAGTAGTACTGGTATTCAAGATGTCATGATCGAGGGCGCTTCGGCAACGACATGGGTGACGCCCACACAAGATGAAGTCGTTGCAAGCCTTTGATGGGCCGGAAAAGGCGGGTCGAAGGATATCGCCCCAGGTGAGGAGGCGAAACACAGCTTGATACCTCTGTTGAAAATCAGCTTGGAGTTGCGCAGAGCATCAAGAGGTATGCCGGCGTCTGGGGGCAGTCAAGACAGGTAAGCTGGGTTGCGCATGTGTGAAAAGAGAGGCGAGGAGGCCAGGACGGAGGAGTGTGGCCGGAAAGATGTGGGCAGTGGCGGGACTAAAGCGAGGCAGCGAGGTAGCGAGGGCAGGGGCACACCATCACACCCAATACATTTGCGCCGACGACTTGGACAAGCGCAGGACGGCATGAAACAGGAAGGTTGAGAAAGGGCCAGATCTGCCGCGGAGACGATCAACAGCGTGGTGGTGCAGCGAGATGTGTGCCTTCCTGCGTATGTATTTTGTGAGAGTCGACAGGGAAAATGAACCGCAAATGAAATGGATTAGGAAGCAATTCAACAGCTACCAGGGATCCGAGTCAAGAGTGGCCCTGTCGCGGGAAGGGGCATGACAGAGGAGATCCAGCCCGGCGGGCTGGAGATCCGAGGGGTGGAGGGCAGCGTGCAGCGGCATTGATCGGAGTTCACATGAGGCGAGGCAGAGGGATAGGGGGCCAAGGGATGGAGGGACGACGGATCAGAAGTCAGAAGAGCACACACACACACACACACACACACACATTTGACTGACTGACCTGGAGGGGCTGGCGGGGGATGTGGATTTCTAGAAGACAGAAGGCGGAAGCCTTGGTGGCCCACAGAGACAATGGCGGCCCTGCAGCGGGCGTGGGGTTTGCAGGAGGGCTAGGTCTAAGACTCCAGGAGTGCAACCTCTGTGTGTCGAGAATGGCCCGTCACACGAGGGCTCGCCGTTTGATTGCCGCCGTGGATGGTCGTTCAAAGGCGTCGTCGAGATTGAGGCTGCCGTTTGACAAGAAAAACCAAAGAGGGAAAAAGAGACACACGGGGCGGCTCACTACCCCGGATTTCGTGGGAGCTTGCTGGGTGAGACTGCCCACGGTTCCCGGCCTTGTCGCTGATCTAGGCTCGCACGGAAGTCCAAGATGTCAGGTCCCCTTCTGTGGGTTTGTCGTCTTTGCTGGGAACTTAGAAGTGGGATGAATGGAAGAGCGAGTACCTGGGACGGGGGACGTGTGGGGGTTTTATGAGAGCCGACGGTTGGTCCCACTGATTCCGTCCCTGCCCCAGGAAACCATGCCCTTCCTCTGGGAGGCGGGCAGGTAGGTACATGGCCTGCACCGCTACAATACTGTGTACCTAGGTAGGCGCTATGATATCCCAGCATGCAGTAGCCTGGATGGGACAGCTCGAAGGCTCTCATCAGGTGTGAGCAGGAGGAGAACGTGGACTGCCGACTGCCGACGGGGTCATCATACGGCCCCTCGACGCATGTACTGCTGCTTGCTGGTACAATATTGCGCAAGAGAGGGCCAGAGAATACGGATGCTGCACTGAATCCACCCCGTCTGGAGTAGCCCTCATTGCGACTCCCAAGGGCCCACTCGCTTCCGACCCGAGTTGTACTGTAATCACCGTCCCGGAGACGAGAGCCACCACAGCCATTGCCAAAGGGGGTGGGGTGGTTGGAGGGCGGGACGTGAAGCAGTCTTTCCAGGGCTTGCTTTTTTAACTTCGATGCGAGCTCTTGCTCCTCCACACACCCCTGCCCACCTGTGTATTCTGAGGCTTGTCCTGCTTGTCCTGTCTGCCTGTCCTGTCCCGACCTGCCTGCCCAGATGCTGGCCATCCCCATGGCGCACCCAACCCCCCCCCCCGGTCCAGAGTAAGCACCCCACAATTTGGGGCATGCGTCGGTGCCATGCCTGCCCCTCATGGGCCCCTGTCTGTGTGGAATCCTCGGCTGAAATTGGGGCATCTCGCGATCAGAGCTTCTTGATCTTTGATCCCGAGGGCCCACCACACCAAGGCACACGTCCAAATCGACATGTTGTGGCAATTGCCTCCCTCAACTCTGCCCTCATCGCTTGCTTTTTCTGATCGCCCAAGGCAGGGCTCAGATGACATTGCACTATGGCGACAATTGACTTCAGCTTGTCCTCGGGACGTAAAGGTTTTGCACGTCCCAACAGGGGGTACCCCTTGAACGCCACCCACCCCTCCACCACTGGCCCATCGGATCTGCAACACTCCCACCGAGACTCTTTTAGGACGTAGTTGGGGGACAGGGTGGTGGTAATACAGAGCAGCAGCATAGGCACATCAAATTCCTCACTAGCTTGCAGCGGCGACAATTGCACACATTCTTGCACAGATGGAGCGTTGGCAGGCGTGCACGAAGTGAGGATGTGTCACGGTTCGCGGTTGTCATATTCGAGGTATGTGGACTGCTCCAGAAAGTTGCGGATGAGTACTGTGAGATCCCATCGATACAGTTCCTCGAGCATCTGCAAGATCGATGCTTCGCAGGCCGTGTCCTGGGCACCCATTCGTCGAGGCACAGGCGAGGGTTCAGCCGGGGGGGTTGCACCATTCCAGGCTCTCATACCTGGACGTGTCGGGTTGTCGCTCAAGAAACAGCTTCGAGCGCGACGACCGCCTTGCGTGCTGGAACCCACAGCGTACTCCTCGATTGCTTACTTGTTCTCCAGCAGGTTTTGTATTTCTCCTGGTGTGGCAGCTGCTGCCGCTGCCAGGAAAAAAGAGAGAAAAAACAGTTCGGCTGTCGATGGGAGCACCGCCTGCAGGGCTACCACAGTACGTGCTTGTCATTCTGAAGCAGGGTCTTGCTTGTCTCGACCCAGGCAGACCCTGCCGGCGCGGTCACTAGCAGAGAGGCCCAAAGACTTGTTAGCTCTGTGGCTTGGCTGCTTGCTTGCCTGCCCGCTGGGCCACAGGATCAGCCTGTTGTGGTACGTCTCGGGGACTCGATCGAATTGGGCAACACGCCTCGTGAGCTGTCATGTTTGTTGCAGTACGCTCCAAGGCCTGGATTTACGGCCGCAGGTGACCATTGGCGTGTCGAGCATCCAGACCGTCACGTTGTGTTGTTGAGCAACGCAGATTGGACCCGTGTTGCCTAGGGTGCTGGCCCCCAGGACCCCAACAGCAGCGCGCCCCGTCATATTGAAGGGCTCAAGCCGTGATCGGTGATCCCTTTAGGCCAAGCTCTGACCAGACCCCGGACGGGAATGAAACTGAACCCGACCGGCTGGGGCAACGGGCTGGACTACTCTGGCCTGGTCGGAGACTGTGCGTGGGATGCTGGTTGCTAGTCGAACTAGAGACGGATAGACCATCTAAGCGCGTTTTACGAGATCTAACTGCCCAGTCCGCCAGCCAGCTGGGAACATGATTCAGCGGGCCCTCGACGGGTTGGGCGTGGGGGTGAGTTCAGCCGCGCGTGACGCTGGAGCCTCCTCGCCGGCGATCTTGGGAAGTTGTAACAACACGGAATATAGTATGGTGGTTTTAACATGTGGGTGTCTAGCCCAGGGACGCCGCCCGTCGCAGCTGTGAGCTAGCGCGCCCTGCTGCAAAAGACATCCCACTCCTCACTCAGGTATGATCCGTGCTCGTAAGGCGACGGTTCCCGTACTGTGCACAACGGAGTACTTGTAACGCCCGCCGGCTTCCCACTATTCCTTCACCTGACCCGGCTAGTGACGTGGTGAGTTTATGTGCTCCTTGACGGCACCGATGGGGGCGGCGTGAGCGTCGGAGCAGGCGCACAGCAAACTCGCGCATGATGCGGGTCGTTGGATGCACATTGCTTTGTGTAGCAATGGTGACCTGTGGCTGGCAATTTTGGGAAGCTCAGTGCGGGATCGGCGGCCGGTAGGTAGACCGCAATGCCTGAGTGCCCCTGCGTTGCAGGATGACGGCAGCTCATTACCTGCACGCTCTTCTGCAACTGAAGGCGAGGGCATGACGCTCACTGGGTAGTCCCATGTCCGACACCTCCGGCTCACATATAGCCGGCTGGGGGTTAGTGCGTCTAGAACATGCACACCATTGGCACAGGTTGGCCGGAGAAAGGAGATGCTCACCTTGGGCGGTCGCTTGGCCACAGACTGCATCTGTAGGAGGAAGCAGGAAACCGACGAGGCCCAAGTGACGCGTCGACGACCTGTCAGTATGAGATGCAAGAATCCTTCAGCGAGGATCCACGATGCGGCGAATCTGACCCACGTGATCACTCCCAGCTGCGTGAGGTGAGACTGGAGTGGGCGGGTTGGCCCAGACTTTGGGAGCAGTGGGGGACGAAGCACTCGAGGATGGAGCCGGACGTCGTGGCAGCAATACCTAGTATGGAGGTCAAAGGGTGGGTGACAGGCCAGAAATTGGACATGATTGATTGACCACAATTGTTCCCTGAGATGGTAAGTCACAACCTTGGAAGTTTTTTACTCCGGACAACAACGCATCCAAACCCAGCTGCAAACTGGATGCAGCACTTCTTTCCAATATGCCTACCTACTCAATGAAGACCACCATACCAGACAGCACAGTGATTCGAACTGCTGGAGAAATACAACTTGGGCGAGGCAGGCGGCCAGCGACTCTGTGGGCTGGCCGGTGGCCGGCTGGCTCGGTGGATAGGCTAGCCGACCTGAGAAATCCAATTAAGGGTGGGATGGCTTTTTGTACCCCTGCGCCTAAGCACACATCAGATTTGGCCTGACCCCACTTGCAACCAACCTGCGGTACTGTGTGACCAGTGCTCCAATCTGGGCAGGCACCGGTTCCGAGGGCGAACACTGATCTCACAATGAATCCCCTCGCGACTCTCCCGGCTTGGTGTTGAAGATTGACTGCTACTTGATTTACTGCTGGGCTGTTCAGAATTGCCTCCTCGACTGCGACTGTTTCAAGCACAGCAACTGTTTCCATTTCCACGACCTCCCAGCCTCGCACCTCCTGTCACCCACGATGCCTCCCAAGAAGGCCCACGACGACTCGGAACCGAAGTCGACCCATACCAAAGAAAAGAACGGTCACGGCCACACCAACGGGAAGATGCGCCGCGTAGCCAGTTCCACCGGGTCAAATTTGAAAGAGGTCACAAATGCTGCGAACATTGCATCGCCTCCCACAGAGGCAGCCGCGACAAGTGCACCCGCTGCCAACCCAAGCGTCAGTCTGCCCATACCCCAGAGTCGGGAGTCCCTTTCCTCGCCCCGTGACGCAATTGCTCACGCTGAGAGTCGCGCCCTACAGATCCAATGGACCACTTTCGACCGTGACTTTCTTCACCGATACCGCCGTGAACACCACCTCGCAACCCCCACTGCCTATGCAAGCGACTACCGCTCCTGGGTCCTGACCAAGCCCGGCAGCATTGGCCTCCACTCTCCAACACTAGCAAGGAAGCAAGCCTTCCGGCGTCAGACAAAGGGGCCAGCTAGCAAACACTGTGCGGAAGCACTTCAGCAGCCAGGCTGTCCAGGAGAACGATGCCGTCGTGGATTTCGTGCACCGGGTCAGGCGAGGCCGGCTGACCAAGACGAGCATCCTGCCCAGGACGGGGAAGAAGATGACGGAACCGGACAGGATATAGTCGCTCATCACCAGCAAATTGTATTAATGGTTCAAGGTGTACCTATCTCATGGTTGGCGTTGAGGACGGGCTAGAACGGCGCACACGGGCGCTGGTTTCTCGTGGCCCAGGCATGATTTTTTTTGTTCCCTATTCCAGGAAGGAAATGGAAGAGTTCTGGCAGAGGGCCGGACTGGCGTTGGGCATGCACGGGTAACGACTCAAGATACTCCCTATACTGGATTTCAATGATTATCAGACAGATCAATTTCAAGTTTTATTCCTACGGCGTTGGAGTGATCTCTCCCTACTCCAGCACTTCCAACTGCAGCCAGCCCCGTGCCATTTGGGGTAGGAGGCCGGGAATCGCGCGACCTCGGCGATAAGACGCGACTCCACACTTCCAAGTTTCTTATCGGTGGCCAAGCTTTAGAATGCGGATGACGCACCGGAGTGTGCCTCAGGCAGGCAGTCGGCCAGCTGCCACAGCTTGCATGGGTGACGGGTCCCAAAGGTCTGCCAAACCCGTCTGTTTTTTAGAGGACATTCTAGAAGAAGGTTTCCCGCATTTGTTCACTTGATGGAAATTTGCGCCGAAGAAGATCCAGCATATTTGAGATTTCAACAAGGATTTATGCTAGAGATCTTTCTGTTTCAATGGGAAAATGTGAACTGCTCAAGCCAAACCCAAATATCCGCGGTCGCTTGTGAGCCGTACCAATGACGGATCGCGTAATTGACGTCCTCCTGTCCAGGGGTGCAGTACAAGCTCTCAACCCACCGGCAGTGTCTGTGGGGCGGCCACCATCGGCCCTGCAACCAGCGCCGGGTTCTAGATTTTTCTAAGATGTTCTCTGCGGACAGAACAACCTCGCTCCAAACACCAACACCGCCCGCCAATTTTGGGGATTTGTCTGCTCCTTCAATGCATCTGGTGTTTCTCGTTGAAACATGCAACCAAGCATTGTAGTCCGAGCCGCGGCTCCTGCCCGTCCACTCAAGCCGGCGCAAATATGCGGGCGAAAGCTTGCCATCTCGCCCTGCTCTGCGCAAGCACGGAAGCTTCATACCGTCACTCCTAGACCAGCACAGGCGAGCCGGCAGCTGTCACGGAAATGTGGCCTGCAGTCAGTTCCAAAGAGGGCGAGTCAAAACCAGTCGAAATCTTGATTTCTACTATGGAGAGGTGCAAATGTTCCACATGCAAATTCAGTGAGCTAACCGTGAACCACCTCGGCAGGCTTTCCACGCAACGTCAATATCGCGCGCCCCGATCAAAGACCCATACAAGGCCCTAGGAGTCGGCAAGAGCGCCTCAGCGTCCGATATCAAAAAGGCCTACTACGGCCTCGCGAAGAAGTTCCACCCGGACACGAACAAAGACCCGCAAGCCAAAGACCAGTTCGCCGAAATACAGTCCGCCTACGAGATCCTCTCGGATCCCAAGAAGAAGGAGCAATACGATCAATTTGGCGCTGCCGCCTTCGACCCCAACGCTGGGCCGGGCGGCCCGGGCGGTGACCCGTTCGGAGGGGCGGGCGGTCCATTCTCGGGCTTCGGAGGCTTCGGTGGAGGCGGTGGTGGTTTCGGTGGCCAGGGCTTCAACTTTGACGACATTTTCAGCCAGGCCTTTGGAGGCGGCGCGAGGAGGGGCGGGAGGAATCCCTTCCAGCAGGAGACGGCTGTGGTCGGTGACAACATCGAGGTGCAGGCGACCATATCCTTTATTGAGGCCGCCAAGGGGACGAGCAAGACCATTACCGTCACGCCCCTGGTATCGTGCGGCACCTGCAGTGGCAGCGGTTTGAAGGAGGGTGCAAAGCGCAGTACATGCCAGAGCTGCGGTGGCAGTGGCACGCGGGTACATTTCATGTCAGGCGGTTTCCAGATGGCTTCGACGTGTGGCGCCTGCGGTGGGTCTGGATCGACGGTCCCCAAGGGCTCACAATGCAAGCCCTGCAAGGGTGACGGCGTGGTGAGAGAGCGGAAGACGCTGACGGTGGACATCCCCGGTGGCATCGAAGATGGCATGAGACTACGGGTGGACGGTCAGGGTGATGCGCCTGCCATGGGTGCTGCCGCAGCGCCCGGCGCGAGGGGTATCAAGGGCGACCTTTTTGTGTTCGTGCGTGTCGCACCAGACCAGAAGTTTAGCAGAGCCGGTTCCGATATTCTCTATACGGCCACGATACCCTTCACGACGGCACTGTTAGGTGGAGAGGTCACGGTGCCGACCCTGGATGGCCAGGTCAATGTCAAGGTTGCAACCGGCACGGCGACGGGCGACAAGATGACCTTGGCTGGTATGGGAATGAAGAAGCTGAACGGCCGTCGCGGGGGTTCAGGGGATCTGAAGGTGGAGTTCAAGGTGAACATGCCAAAGTACCTCACGGCCAACCAGCGGACGCTCATAGAAATGCTGGCGGACGAGGTGGGTGACAAGACGGCGAAAAGGGTCATGATCAAGCCCTCGGGCGGGTCAGGGACAGCAACGTAAGTCGCGAGCTCAATGATGGCATGGGAGGATAGGCAAACTGATACTTGAGCGCAGCAACAACAGTGCATCAAAAACAGCAGAGGACCACCAGAACGAAGGGTTTCTGAAGTCAATATGGCACAACCTGACCAACCACCCAGCCCACCGACAAGGCAATGAGTCCGACGGCAAGTCCGACGGCAAGACCGACGGCACGAACAAGACAAACGGAGAGAAGAAGGAATAAGTCCGCAGTTCACAGGTTGTATATCACGCGTACTCCATATTGTCTCCGGTGATGATATGTGCAAACAAAATGAGAGGTTGTACCTACTCACTATACCTAGATAGACGGATATTCTGCATGGGTGGTGTTCATGGAAGTGATCACCCTGGCGTTATTTGAGATGGGAGAGAGAGAAGAAGAAGAAGAAGCAAGCCAGGATCACGATAATGTTGTATGTCTGTACTAACAAAAATAAGACCACTCCCACCAAGAAAAGACGGCACGAAAACTGGAAGAGCTGTCCCGTTTTTGGTTCCCAGTGGTTCTTGCCTGTGATACTCGGGCTGAGGACGGCCAACAACCAACGTTCCGTGCCGGGGCTCCTCATCTCTTGTGCTCTGGGCCCAGAGGGTGTGGCACATATCGGGCCGAGTTCTCATGGCACTGCATACACAGTGGAGTCATCTGCTGCGCCCTCTCCTGCTCCCCAGGCTCTTCTGCAAGATTCGAACGAGATTTTCACCCCGGCTTCGAGTCACATCTAGAATCATATCCAGGTCTGCTGTCCCCCACCGGTAAGGATACCGTCGAGACGCACCTCGGACGGCTGCAACCCAAAAGTATCACACCCGCCTCTCCCCCCAAGACCTTGGGCCGGTTATCTTTCCATTGCGGCAAAGGAAACTACATCCTAGTCTCACCCTTGGCCTAGTACTAGGCCATGAGAGAGAAGCCCAGTACTTTTTGGTGCAACCTTTTTCCTAGGCATCGTTGCACGCGCCTGGTCAGCTGGGGACAATCGTATTGCGTCTCTTTCGAGTATCTGTCTCTCATCCTTATATGCTTCACGGTCCCCGCCATATTTGACGGAATACTCCGACAAAAGGGTGATTTGGCCGACGCTGACGTGTCTGACTGTGTCGCCACGGCAAACCTTAATCGTCGGGCGCCTTCAAACGAACGGGGCCTTTGTCACCGGATCCTGACCCGTCGGCGCATTGGCCCACGAGCTTGTGGGCACACTAATTGGCTTCGTACACCGTGTGTTTAAAGTGTTGGGAGCGCGATTGCTAGTCATCGCGGTTCGCAAGTGTCTAAAGCTCCGCAAGACGCGCAACAAACGTCTCCACAAGACTCGATTCATGCCGGGGGCCGGGGAACTGGATGGTAGTTTTGAGGTCTTATGTGGTCACGGCGGGCTTGGGAAGCTCTCTCACCGAGGTCGCCGAGGTGAGACGTCAGCCTGGTGGTATGGGCAAAATATGCAATACACCACCACCACCAACAACAAGTAGCCTTCAATCAGCACTCATCCACCCGCACACCCACAATTCCTGACCTCCTCCGGTCCCAGTCGTGGGGAAGCTCCGCGCCCGCAATCACGAAGGAGAAGAGCTGACATGGCTGCCACCTCGTCTCGATCAAACAAAAAGATGCCGAACGCCACGTTGTCCAAGGCCAATAGAAAAGGAGCGAGCAAGATTAAATGGCTTGAAGGGGGCGTTTTGGCGCCACCAACGTGGAGTCTGGTGGAGGGGTGGTGCCAAAAGCTCTCTGAAGTGCACAGTCCAAGCCCACCCAGCCGGCCGTGCTCATCATTATTAGTCCCCCGTCCCAGTCCCTCGGGTCCTGAGAAACCCACCCGAAAGAAAACCCCCACGATCGAGGTTGCGGGCCGCCCATCCTTGATCCCTGCGCTACGGCCCGCTCCCCTGCGGCGGGTTTTGGGGGAGGGTCCCTTCAGCGAGAACTTATTACCCAGGAGTGGGGGATTGAAAGTTCGCGAAAAGTTACCATCAACAGGGTTACACGTAAAATATTGACTTTAGACGCAAGATCGGGGGGCCTTTTAAATCTCCCCCCATTGTGGGGCCTTGCAAGGAAAGGAGATTCATGTCGGCAGCCATGGCCGGAGACAGGGAGGGCAGGAGCAGGTGCGGTAACTGACATCTTATGCTGGTGGCAACGAAATTCATTCTTAGCTCTGTGCAGCCATTCATGTTGGCAGTAACAGAATTTGATGAGTGGCTACTGTGGCGCTGGATGGCACATATCGGCCGTCATGTCTAGCATTAATTAGTGAAGCAGTATATCGGGGATCATCACGTCTGTGTATGTACATGATAGCAGAGGATATCAATCTGCAAGTTCAAGAACATCCCTTGTCGACAATTAGAACCTTGTACCCTTTTCCAGCTCTGCTGCCTCGTGAACAATGCCCGGCTATCCAACGAGAGCCTAGTCTATGGCGCAGACATTCCCGGCTGTGAGAAATGGGTCATACGTAGCAAAGGCTCCTCCCCATGCGGATACTGAGCTCCAATCCATGGCCCCGAAATCCATGTCGCTGGGCATGACTCCGGAGTTGAACATGTGCGGATTGATCCCCTCGAAGCCGCCGCCCGCGAACATCCCGCCGCCCATAGACCCCATCCCGCCCGCGGCAGGTGCAGACACAGACGCAATGGGTGGTGAACTCCCTGCGCTGTGCATGTTCATGTCTGGTTGCTGTTGTTGTCGCTGCTGCTGCTGCTGCTGTGATTGTTGCTGTTGTTGTTGCTGTTGTTGTTGCTGCTGCTGCTGCTGCTGAGCACCGTAACTACCCTGGCCGCTTGATGCACTGACGCTGACCCTGCTACTTGACTCTGGTCCTGAATGCTGTGAGGAAGACGAGGCATCTTTGCTGCTCGCGTTCATCGACTTCGCCCGGTCTCTGAGAATCCCGATGAGCTTCGGCTGCTGTGATATGGGCTTCCCCATCTGCTTCTTCGCTGCTTCGTAAGCATCCCATGCCTTGAGCATTATACCACCCATAGCTGTGTGCATCGGGCTTCTCAAGTTATTGACCATTCCTCTCTTCTCGTGGTCCTCGAGTATGGCCGCCCACGCTCGCTCGCACATCTCGCCGCTGGTTATGTACCTCAGCTCGCCGACCAGATACATGTAAGCTGGCAAGGGGAAGTGCATGAACGTAAACCACCTGAAGCCCTGGAGTGACTCGTGCCCCTGGATCATGATATCGTACTCGAGCACACGCACTCCCTCCTCGAACATGGATTCGCGGAGTGCGCGCTCAGGGCCTGCTGGTACGGTTTTGGGGTCTGGGTGTTGTTGTATATGCCCGCGACACAAGTAGTCGATGATGCGGAGCTTGGATAGAGATTGCCGGGTCATCAACAGGGTGAAGAGGTGTAGGGGGACCTTTGGATCGCAATGCTTCAGGTACTTTTCCTCAAAGTAGGTCACGTAGCTGTCCAAGTCTGCCATGGGAAGGTTGTGATTGGCGGCGTTCGTTACTACGTCGGACGAATTTGGAGACGCACTGTACTGGAACTTCGGTTTGCCGCCGGTCGCCCCAAGATTCGGTACCGGTCGGACGCCGTCGATGTCTGCAGCAGCTGTTAATTCGAACCTCGTGAGGCAGAACAACATCTCCGTAGGCCCACGGTACGGTGCAATTCGATCCTTGGCATGAACGTGCAGATCTGTGTCATTTATATTCAGGGGCCATTGGCAGTCCCCTTTGCTGGCGGACAAGGCGGTGATTGTCGACCCTGTGATCTCGGCGATTCTTTTGTCGAAGACCACAAGCTGCCACCAGAGCCGACGCCTGAGCTCGACCTCGAATGGGGCCAGATGGAACTGCTCAGCATCTCTGTGGAGTCCCAGCCGTTGAGCGATGCGAACTGCAATGCCTATTAAACAAAATAAAGAACGTGGGTCGGTGTATTGGCGGACGCAAAGCTGCTTCTGTTAGGCCTCTCATACCGCCAAATGTCTTCACATAAATGTGAGAAGGGGTCACATACCAAATACATCACATATGCTTGAAGGACGACAAGATCCGGGCTCCGCATGAATCCGGCGTTGATAAGAGCTTGCTGAGTACCGTGGTGATATTTGGACAACAGTCGATTCTTGTCCTCTTGGAACGTCTCTCGCACTTCGCTTTCGGTCATAGACACGACAGCGATGAAATATATGCTAAACATCAGGGCCTCGAGCGGCTTCGCGATCTTCGCAGGATTTGCAGCTGCCTCGATCAACGAGCCTTGTATGGTAGGTGTATGCGTCACTTTTAGTAACGGGTTGACGTTCTCCAGGTAGATCTGCCATAGCTGGAAGATCTGAACGCCAGAAGGGTGTAGGTTGGTGACAGACGAATCTGACCCTCCAATCACAAAAGGGAAGCCATCCTGGCCGTCAAACATCTTGTCGAAAGCATGATGGATCATTGGACCATCAGAGCCATCATCTGAAGAATCCCTGAACTGGGCATCTTGTGTTCTGAACTGCTCACAGAGATGATCAGTTACTGTTCTGTCAAGCGACGGACGAAAGCAAGGGGAAACATGGCAAGCGACCAATGTCCGGACCGGCTCACTCCACATGAGTGTGAGCCAGGAACAAGCCAAAATAGTCCACAAATTACATGATGCCATAATAGAGTGACAGGGTGCCAGGGAGAGGTGTGCATGAGCTTTGGGGGCCATGATCCATAGACAGGGGGCTGGGAAGTGGGAGTATTGCTGAGCCGAGAACAGGAGAGGAGGCATAGATAACATACATCTTTGTAGTATGGAAACCACTTGAAAGGCGGCCTTGGTGATTTCCCGTTAGCAACGGTGGCATGACGGACAGAGACGCAGCCCTTACTTGTCGCCAGAGACACCATCTTGCCCCGTCGAGGAAGGAGATGTCTTGAGGCCCTCGATGCCGTGCTCGATCTCGTCGACCTCATCAGTGGCTATGTCGGAGGACCTGAGATGCTGACCAATCGGCTCGAAGTCGACGCCGTGTTGGGAGAGCAGGGCCTCATACTTCCTGAGGCGGTCGACGAGCTCCCTCTCCTGTGGCTTTTTCTTGCGCCGGCGAGGGGGCTGAGGAGGGACGACCTTGCAATCGACGCCAGCCTTGACACAGTTGGCACAAGGCTTGTTCTTGTCGCAGCGTACTTTACGTTGTTGACAGAGAACGCATGAGTGGCCTCTGGTCAGTTTCATGACCGAGGCTTCGGGGGGTACCACGCCATGGCCGCCGGATGCAGGCAAGGGGTAGGATGGCATGTCAGGGGAAGGGCCAGCCATTGTGCGTCTCCTGTCTTGGGACGACGCAGATGGGGTGGCATGGGCATAGACTGGAGGTTCCGGTCAGCCAGAGCAGAGCCTCGGATCCGAAAGGTGAACCAGAGGGCCAAGGGCCAAGGGCCGAACAGAGATGGGGATAATATCTTACACAGCCGACCAGTGCGCGAGTGTGGCTAGGTAGGTGCCTGTACCTGCACGGTTCGGTCGGGAAAGGGCAAGGCGAGTCGAGTAGGCGCGCGGATGGCGACTATCTCATGGTGTCGATGGAGTGAGTACTCAGCGTCCGTCGACGGAGACGACTAAGCGAGCAGTCAAATGCAGGCCTAGCGTTGGGGCAGCAGGCAAGTCAGTCTTGTCTCGGGCTGTTTGCCGGCCACGAGGCGCCGTTCTTGTAGCCGATAAAGGTAGACGCCGTGGTGGCGTGCCCGTCACAGTGCAGTGTGTTCCTATATTAACCAATATGACGGCAGGATATCCTGGGTCAGCTCACGTCGATCTTCTTCGTAGTCGTGCAAGCAACAGGCCCGAGCTGCATCTGAACACAGGAACGAGCACGGACGTGGACGTGAACATGGACGTGGACGTGAACATGGGATGGGATGGGACGGCTGGGGATGGAGGCGAGTGCAGGCACGTGTCGGCGGAAATGCTCTCCGTTGTGCTGCTAGGCCCTCAGGCGACGCCTCTCCGTCTGGCTATTCTTGTCGTGGCCGTCTTCAGCCTCACTAGAGATGGGATGAGACTGGGACTGTGAAGGGCTTTGCTACCGTCGGACGGGCGGCCAGGAGTAGGAGGATTCCCCCGTTTCTCTCTTCCCCCTCTCTCTGTCTTTGGCTTGTTTGGCCGGCTGATCGGGCACCTCGGGAACGTACCGCTGAGGGCGGCTGGAGATGCGGCGAGACCCCCGACTGTCAGCGTTTTTTGGCGTTGTCAGATGTAGCTCCCTATCAGGCGGACAAATCCATCGTCCCAATTTCCCAGACATCCATCATGTACCTCGGGACCGAAACTCTGCCCGCCAGATTAGCTTCGGCGTTTTCGCAGGGACTAGTCGATCTCGACGGATCCGACATTGGGGAAACTCCAGGAGCACCAGAGCTTGGCCACCGAGCGTCAGCTTCAAAATCTGCCAGTCGCGGCCTGTTGATCTTGTCCCTCCCATCCATGACGACTGCAGTGCCAGCAGTCCTGTCCCTGAAACCGCCGAAATGCACCGACTGCATGTAGACTGGCCCGCTCGTGCAATGGGGCTCGGTCAGCGAGGGCGGCGAGGGCGACGAGGTAAGCAGAGGTAAGATGGCAGTGGATGGCTACTTAAGCATTTCACCCCTTCAAATGCCGGATGGCGCTCATATCATGCACCATTGTCTCTCTGATCGTCCTAGGGCAGCAGGCTTTGCTCGGTCCTCTGCTCCTGCTTTTTGCCAGCCAGTCTACCAGCCCGGTCTACTTGATAGGCCCTCTCCTTCTTCTTCCTAAGCCATCGTGTAACCTGTCTCTTACTTCCCCGCGCTGAACACCTGACGCCAGCCAATCCATTTGTACTGTACCTTACCAGAGGGAGGGCAGGCGAGTGGACTCGCACATAATGGACCGTTCAACCACGTCGTTGGCTAGTAGCCATACCCGTGTGGCCTCCTCCCTGAGGCCTTTCGGGGATGGTAACGAGAGCACTCTTGACATCGAGAAGCACGGGCACGACGGTCCATATCGTCCATATCCGATGGGACATCCAGCAGAAGGCTCGTCTAGCTCAGATGTCGCTCCGAAGACAATCTCTCAGGGACCTCCTGTGCCCGCAGGTCCAGGCGGCCCGGGGGCCCCAGGGGCCCCAGGGCCCAACACGTTATACAAGCCCAAGACTCTTCGGTTCTGGTTGACATTGTTGGCCAACTTCCTTGCTGTCTTCCTTGTTGCCCTGGACCGAACCATTGTCGCCACCGCAATCCCTCAAATCACGGATGAATATCACAGCTTGGGGGACATTGGCTGGTATGGCTCCGCCTACATGCTGACAACATCGGCCTCGCAACTCCTCTTTGGCCGCCTGTTCAAGTTTTATAATACGAAATGGTACGTCCTGACGGATCACCGTGGCCATTTTGCATCCGCTAACAAGCCTCGTTAGGGTGTTCTTGACTTCTGTTATCATCTTCGAGGTCGGCTCTGCCATATGCGGAGCTGCTCCTACCTCGCCGGTCTTTATCTTTGGTCGGGCCATAGCCGGCTTTGGAAGTGCCGGCATCTTCTCAGGCGCCATGATGATCATGATTCCTATGATCCCCCTGCCTAAGCGCCCAATGTTCCAGAGCATGTTCGGAATGGTATTTGGGATCTCGTCCGTGTTGGGTCCCTTGATTGGTGGTGCCTTCACCAGCACACTCACCTGGAGGTAAGCTCGGTAGCTGTTGGCAGCTGTGGGTGGACATGTGCTAAGCTTCGTCAACAGGTGGTGTTTCTATATCAACCTTCCAATCGGGGGTTTCACGCTGTAAGTTCATATGGAAGATGTTACAGTCAAGATAGGCTTTCTGACAAGGGCGGCAGGATTTTCATGATCTTCTTTTGGAACCCACCAACGCGCAAGACGGAGCCGGCTCCAGTCATGGTTCATATTAAGCGGCTCGACCCCCTGGGCACATTTTTCTTCATTCCGTGCGTGGTCTGCCTGCTTCTCGCACTGCAATGGGGCGGCGCGACGTACGCATGGGCCAACTGGCGTGTCATCCTGCTCTTTGTTCTCTTCGGCGTCCTCGGGCTGGCCTTCGCTGCTGTACAAATCCTGATGCCCGAGACTGCTTCTCTCCCACCAAGAATCATCAAGCAGCGCACCGTGCTCTTCGCAGTGTGGTTCACGTTCTTCATCGCAGGCTCCATGCTCATGTTGGTCTACTATCTTCCAATCTGGTGTAAGTGTTTTCGCCCGATTTTTTTTGGCTGTGCACAGTTTGCTGATCCAAGTCTAGTCCAAACCGTGATGCGCGTGAGTGCCCTCAACTCGGGTATCTACACATTGCCACTGGTGCTGTCCCTTGTGGCATCGAGCTTGATCAATGGAGTGGCCACTCAGAAGATAGGGTACTACGTTCCCTCCATGTTGCTGTGTCCATCCATCATGGCCATCGGCGAAGGTCTACTGAGCACTCTTACTCGTGGTGCCCCCCAGAGCCACTGGGTTGGCTACCAATTCCTGTCTGGCTTCGGTCTTGGCATGGGCATGCAGACGGGTAGCTTGGCCGTGCAGACCGTCCTGCCCATGGCCGACGTGTCTATGGGAATTGCATGCATTTTCTTCGCCCAACAACTAGGGGGTGCCATCTTCACGACCGTCGGGCAGACCATCCTCAGCAACCTGCTCGTCTCACGGCTGGCAGGTGTCCCTGGGATTGACCCAGCTCAGATCGTGGAGAGCGGCGCGACGGAGCTGGCTGACGTCGTACCCGCCGAGGACTTGAATATTGTGCTCGATGCGTACAACTACACCCTGACGAGGATTTTCTTGGCCGCCATGGGCCTTGCTTTCGCTGCACTACTTTGCGCTCTGGCCATGGAGTGGAAGAGCATCAAGAAGCCTGGAGCAGGCGCTGTTGCGGATCCACCGAAGGATGAGTCTGGCAACGTCTCAAGATCAGAAGACACCGAGTTGGGGGTGGTTGGAGAGCGAAGGGCGAGTCAGCAGGGTAGTGGCAGGGCTGCGAACAATTAGAGATACTCTGCATGGCCTCATTGTCAAGTCGGCAAATTATACTAGAGGAGGGCAGTTGAGCATGCATAGCGTTTGGGCAATTAGATATCGGGCGGAACTTGGTAGAGTTCTACATGTTTAATCAGCAAGGTGAATAGATGCCTACAACAACATCCACTCCAATAATTGAAGTCCGGACAGTTCACCGAGGCTGTGGGAGATGCCGTGCCGCGATGCTGTACTTAATTGTGTGTGAGGACCATCGTCATATCTGACGCCCCAAGGTCAGTAGGGACATACCCACATTCCACATGTATGCAACTACATCGAGTCGCCGTATTCCCACCAGAACACCGAGTGAGGGGCACAGTGGCCGACATGTGCGAGGAAATGCGGTCACTGCAGTCCTGCCTGCAATGTTTTTGCTGCGCCGCCCGCGAAGGAACGTTCTGATTAGTGCATCCAGTGGGCTGTGTGCTTCCACAAGCATGATCCGTGCAGGCACTTGTTCCTTCCGGGTCCCCTCATTGACCTGCCTAGGCGAGCTAGGTAGGCAGTACCTGGGCTTTGCGGCTGACTGCATCACGCAAACATTGAAATTGTTCATCAACGTCCTCCCGCGCTGTCGCTTCCAGGGGTGGTTGGCTTCTTCTTTCGATCTCTTGAATTTTCCCTTCACGGCACTCCTGTGTTTAGGGTGCCACTTTGGGGCTCAGTGTCCCGCCCTTGCTGATCAGGTCATCTCGCAGCGGACATCGCACAGCATCTAGGTAGCCTGCGCCGCCCGACTTGCAGCACCGGCCTCGCTCGTTCCATCTGATATTACCCCACGCCGTGCTGCACTCTCATCTCATCGTTACCTTTCATTGCAACTTCCTTCAGAATACCTATTTGATAATTCGGAGACTATGGCCGAGACTGAGGAGCGTCAATTTAATTCCCTGGCCGAGAGGATCGCGGCACTGAACCAGCAGAGAAACTTTACTGCCCCCACCGCAAAGAGGCCACCACCGCCTCCTCCGCCAAACAGGCCACCGTCAAGAGCCCCTAGCCAGGTTAACTCTCCTCCCTTGGATGGCGCTGCTCAGAACGCAACGCCCACCGTTCCTGCAAGACCCACGAAAAAGGCACCTCCCGCCCTCCCACAGAGGAGCAACACCGAGCCTCAAAATGGGTCGTCACCGACCCAAAGCCTCGCGCCCCAGCGACAGGCATCTGATCAGATATCACCTGCTCTTCCGCCTAGGAGGCCCTCAACTCAGTCACTGGGACCGCGTCGCAACTCCAATGAGTCTGTCAAGTCTCATGCGTCGAGCATATCTGCTCTATCTCTGAACCAGACTACCAGCCATAGGGGAAACGATGGCCGCAAATTGCCACCACCACTGGAGGAAGCCAATCTGCCCCCACTCCCGCCTACGAGACGTGAGAGAGAAGCAGCCGTGGCCAGAGAGAGCGAGGATTCGAGAGCGGCAAGCGCAGCAAGGATGGCGAAGCCGCCTCTGCTGCCCAAACGATCAATGCCGGCCCTGCCTCAGGCGAGCAACGCGAGACCGTCTCTGCCACCACGACTCCCCAGCAGGCCAGCTCGGTCCCCTGGGCTCAACGGAGCAGAGCCATCTCCCCTCGCCCAGCCCACCCGTCGTCTCCCCCCACCTGACAAGTTCGTCAGGACGATTCCAGAGGTCAGCGGGGACACATCGGGAGGGACGCCAGCGGACCCCTCAACTGATGTTCCGCCCCCGATCCCTATCGCGTCTCGGCCTAGCGCGGCCCAGATTGATGCGGCAACAGCAAACAGTACGGCACAGCAGGTGGCGTCATGTCTTGTTTGCCGAGACTTCTCGGGTCCGGACAGTGTCGCCGCACAGTATCCGTCGTCAGTCATTGACCGTCGCGATCCCGTGGGTTATCTGGCAAGCGTACTATGCGGGCCTTTCCCTTCACCAACGGACAAGGCTCGGGCGATATTCACCTGGTGTCATCATAATATAGCATATGTTCGTACTTCCCTGCCCAGCCCCCGCTTTTCTTTCTTTCCTTTTATTGCCGACTTCAGTGTCGCTCTTAAGAACAAGCCCGCAAGACGCCGCGTATTGGTGATTGGCCATCTACGAGCAGGAAGCCAACGCAAACACCTTGTCCCGGGTACAGTGTACTGACAAGCAGTAGGATGTCGAAGGTTTCTTTGGCGGTTGTATCCAGAGGGGCACAGCGAGCGACACTATCTTCTCGGGCAAAGCAGTCTGCGAAGGCTATGCCCGCGTCTACGAAGCCATCGCGAAGCGGGCAGGGCTGGAATGTATCGTGGTCGGTGGGCATGGCAAAGGTTATGGATTCACCCCGCTCAAGGAAGGCGAACGGCCACCCCCACGGAAAGCCTCAGGCCATGCTTGGAATGCAGTCAAGATCGACAATGGGTACTGGAAGCTCCTGGATGCCTGCTGGGGTGCTGGAAGTGTCTCTGGGCAGAGTTACAGTCAGCATTTCAAACCGCACCAATTCACAGCAAGCAACGAGATGTTTGGGTATGAGCTCCCATTTCCTTCTCAATTGTTTTCTCTCCCGGCACACGTCAAGAAAGGGACAGTCATGTACCAGGGGAAAAGGTTCATTTGTTCCAACCGGGTCCGCAGAGCAGGGCTTGGTGCAGCAACCTTTTTCCCGTCGTATTGCAAGGCGAACGACCTTGGCTGACGAAGTATGCAGGATGACTCATTTCCCGGAAGATTCGCGACACTTTTTCCGGGATGACGGGAGAACCCCCTCTTGGGAGGAGTATTTCGTGGGCGTATCGAGGGGCGAACGCACTCAGTGGTTCTCCAACGCCATTGACGAGGGACTCAACGAGTGGTGCTCCTCGCCGGCGGAGAAGAAGATACCCGTCTACAGTGGCGAGGTGGTGAGATTCCAGTTCGCAAAGGTGTGTGAGCACTGGACAAGCGAGAGAAATGGACTGGGGAAGCCGAGGCTTCTGATGGTTCAGATCCACGGGGTCGACGGGCGGAAGGACGACCTCGTCTCTTGCGAGAGCGACGGGTTCTGGTGGTGGTGTGACGTACCAGCCAGGTGCGTGTTCCACACAACGAGATCGATTCTGTCAACTGACGTTTGATCACACAGGGACCTCGGGAGCCCCGGACAAAAAGATCCAATTGATCGCTCTCAAGACCCTCGGCGAGCAGGATGGGAGAGGAGTTACGAAGGCGCAATTTCTGTCGAAGAAGGGCAGGTGCGGTATGAGCTGGGATATATACGCCCAGTGGGAGTTGGTCTAAACATGCTAGGGTAGTCCACCGTTGTAGGGTGCAATGCATATTTGGAGAAAAGGTATGCTCGCGTGTTGATGTCTTGGGGTAGTCCAACGCAGCCTCATCGCCAAGAGAGGACGGGGATTTTGGGCGAGGGTGCAGGGAGCAACCCTATATCTGGGCCTCTTTGACTGGACAACTTGGATGCATTCTGGCTGCTCTGTCCCGGAGCATTGAGACGCTGCCTGCTGATGAAACCAAGCGTCTGCTGCGGTATGTGGTCATCTACCGTTCCCGCATCCTCGTAGCCGAGCTGAAGTGAATCATTCGCCCATGCCTCTTCGCCATTTCTTCCATGAATTCCAGGTTCAGCTGTTGAGGCTCACGATGGGTCGCGAGGGTGCCCCATTGGGCGCAGGTACACCCAGGCCAGCCACTAACCTGCTGACAGCCCTGGCTGAGGACATTGGAAGAGCTGATTGGAGAGAGCCCCTGATGGTGCTATACACCTTCCTGCCAGAATCTCGTACGGCATAACGTACGTCCTATTGAGTAGCATCCTGTGGAGAATTCTCCCGTGGGCCTACCGCCTGTGGTATTGTCAACTGCAGGTTCTTAGATATAAAGCAAACTGTAGAATGACATTTTGGTAGGTAGTCTATCTAGTTTTCCTTGCCCTCAGTAGTAGCCACCCATGTGTACGTATATACGTGGTCCAGGTACTCTTGAGTGCTTGGCGAACCCCTACGATCCCTGCAGGCTGTAGGGTGATTGGCTGCGGGGGCCGTCCCAATCCCTGAAGCGCTCGCCCCAGCTCTACCACCGCAAATGCGCCCCCCCCCATGCCCCGTCCCCGGCTGCCCGCCTAGCGCTCCGCCCACTCTAGGTGATCTAAGCCGATCTCAGCAGCCAAAAGTGAGTGGACCGTTTCTATTGACTCCAACATCAAATTCGCCCTTTCAACGTCGGATTCACTCGACAAGCATCTTCACTCCTTTTTTCTTTGTACGTCGTTTTCTTAAACAATCCACTTAGCACTGACTGTTTCTGTGTGTGCTTAAGAGCAATTGCATCATCTGCAGCCGCCTCTTCTTTCTTGTGCGAAACGGCCGGCGCAGCCTGCGTTTCTTGCCTTGCCAAGCTGCCAGACCAGACCAGCAGCCGACAGCCGAATTATTACCTCGTCGCAGTCATCAGCACTTCCTCTCCCAGCGCCTGCCGATCTCGCCGCGCTCTTCTGAGCAACTCCCGCCAGCCTCGCACGATGGCGTCGGATCCTGTCGACGAGGCTGCTCCGGCCTCTGCAGGCCTTCAATTCACAGATCTGCCCCAGGAGATACAGAAGGACATCATCAGTCATGTAAGCGCCCGCCGTGGACCCCTCCATCGTTCTCGCGCGCCAGCTCCATCTGGCCGGTCCAAGGACATCCTGCTGAACCACAGCCGCAGTGCCATCAACCAGAGCTCATCTGCCTGTCTCTTGTCTCCAACCACTTCAGATCTCTGGCTGCCGCCGAGCTGTATCGCAATTTCCACATTGTCTTCCCCGACGAGGACGACCCCGCCTTCGACTCGCCAATAGACGGGCTGGCAGGCGGCTTGGAGACCTTCGTCACGAGTGAATATGACTATGCGAAACACCTCAGAGACATATCGCTTGATACCCTGAGTGCCGGCGACAAGGCTGAGACGGCGTACAAACCCTACCTGTACAGCGTCAGCTGCGGCAAGTTCCTTAATACTCTACTCCTCCTGACCTTGCGCAAGGCAAAGGCTCTGGAGACCCTGAGGTAGGACCGCCTTGAGTTGGCGCGCTTCGTCCTGATACAGGCTACATATTCTAACTTGCTCTCCCGTAGATGGAATATCCGTGTCGAGCTCAGTCGGCCGGTGTACAAGGCGCTCCACAGTATCGATACCCTGTCGCATCTTCACATACGTCTCCAAGCAGGACCATCTCTGTACGAGCATCCCCCGCCATTGCCTCTTTCGTCACCCGGTGCGTCCCCGAACGCGTCCACGCATCATCTTCCACTCATTGATTCACAACCTCCGCCACCGACCTTTGCTGCGCTTCCGCCCCCGCCCCCACCGTTCTATATACCACCGCCTACGTCGTCTCTTCCGCCATTGCATCCGCCCCCAAAGCCACCCGCTAGGATCAAAGCACTCAAGAAGTCCTCAACGTCCAAGAACCCACCCACTTTGTCAGGTTTCAAGAACTTGAAGACCCTGTCGGTTCTGGACATCGATGACTTGGACGTGGTCACGGAGCTCAAGTCCTGCGTCAGAAACTCCCAGGCGACACTGTCCAAGCTCAAGCTGTCATTTTCGCACAACATGGCCATGCGCGCACGCAAGCCACCCCCAGACATCGACCCCGATGATTCGGATCCCGACGACGAGTTCCAGGTTGTACCAGTGGTAGCACCACCTCCCGTTACCCCGTATGACGATGTTAGTGGACCGGCCAGAGCGTTCCGTGCGCAGGAGGAGCGAAAGACCCAAGAGTCTGTGCTGGGTCGCATCTTTGACGTGGAGCCTTACTTGGTTAAGAAGCCGACCAAAAAGCCACGGGATAAGGAGAATGAGCCCCCGAGCGAGGAGAAGACGGCGAACCCTGGCCAGTACTTCATCGACTCTCTTAAGGCTGTGTCGGAGAAGCTCATGAAAGATCTGGTGGGGTCGGACGATTTCGCAGCAGCAGGAGATTTTGGACACCATAGAAACGGCGGCTAGGACCTACGTCGCTGAATCAGAGAGCAAATCAGGCGCTCCCAAAGAGAACGGGGTCAACGGAGAGTCAAGTGCCAGCGGGGCCAACGTGAACGGCACGGCCGAGCCAGATGCCTCCAAGTCCGAGAATTCTCAACAGGCCGAGCTCAGCTTATTTGAGCCTAAGACTCCAAAAGGCAAGGAGCCTGAGCAAGACGCGAACCCGGATGACATTAACATTGAAGAGCCAGTGGAGGACAGCTTTGTGGAGGAGCCGTCGGAGATCGCCACACCTGATACTAGCAACGGGGCTGAAGTGGCATCAACCAAGGAACCTGTCTCAAACGGCAATGGGGTCCAGAATGTCTCGGCAAACGGTGACATCCCTCTGGTTCTGGGCTCAAATGAATCTAATGCCGCTGCCAACCTGTCAGCCCAAAGGCAGAACTTCAAGACGCTGGCCGAAAAGCTCGAGTCCTTCGAAATACAGGCTGGGGAGTTGCGCAAGGAGATCCAGGAACTCCCTACCGAACCAGGACTCGAATCAGAGAAGCGAATGCAGGAAGCTGATTTGCGGATGATCGAGCTCAGCACCAACATCAAAGACATCCAGAGCGAGATGGCTGTTGTGGCAGCTGAGATCGAGGACGCAGAAAAGCAAGATCCTGCTGTGGCGCAGGCAGAGGACGCAGAGGGTGTTCCGAGCCGCATCACGGAATACGCACGGTCGACGAGAGGATTGAGCCTCCAGACGCTCAGTATCTATCTCATCCCCGTTAAGGCCTCGGTGCTATCGCGAGCCATCGACCTCCGCGTTTTGAGGAGAATCACGCTGCTCAACGTTGGCAACCAGGCTCCCATATGGGCCTTGTTCGCCAAGGAAAACAAATTGCAGCCGATTGCGTTGCGCAAGATCTTCACGGACAACGTCTCGGTGCCATTCTTGACATTCGTCTCCCAGTTGGAGGAGCTCAATGAGCTGTTTATGCTCGAGAGGCCGGACAAGTACAAACCTGAGCCGTTTGGACCAAAGACGGCTATCACGATGGACCAGATCAGACGCATGGTGCTGAAGAGGCACATGCTAAGCCTGAAGCGACTCATGGTCAAAAACCAACAAGACTCGGCATGGGATGTTGACGAGAAGACAATGTTGCTTATCTGCAGGCGTGGCAAGAAACTCGAAGAGCTGGCCGTCAGTCTGGGGATTCGTGCTATCGTGAGTCCTTTCTCCACGTCCTACTTGCGCGTGGCCATGACTGACCTGGGTTTTAGCACACGACTCTGCAGCACATATCCGGCCTCGTGAATCTACGCGCCCTGCACATAATCAACCTCCGCAATGACGACACCTGCGTCTGGGTCATGCGCGAGACGAAGCGGTTCGTCATTGACAACCTATCGCACTACCCTGAACTCAAGCTCGAGTGGCTCGCTATCGACGACGACGAGCGCGTTGAGCGCATTTTGAGGCTGAAGGACACACCAAAGGAGAAGAAGGGCAAGTCTGCCAAGTCAAAGGGCAAAGAGAAGGCTGTCCCTCTGACAAGTCTGCCCAATGGCGACCACTTCCCTGTCCTGACCCTGGACAACCTCGACCTGGGGAGCGAGAGCGATGAGGACGATGAGGAAGAATTCACCGGCCTGGACGGTATGCCCAAAATCGAGACCATCGATAACATACACTTTTATGACGTTTGGGGGGTCCGAATTTTCAAGAGGGAGGTCGTCACTGGGCGGCTGTAGGCGAAAGTAGTGCGTGCGACGGGATGGGAGAGTAGCAGTCGGGCAATTGTGGACATCCACACCTTCACATCACACGACGCGATGGAAAACAGGAAGACATCCGTTGGAGTGCTGGAATTTTGGTGAACGAGGCACAGCGGGAAAGGAAAGATTGGAAGGTGAATACGATGAATAGCCGGCGTTGGGCGCTTGAGTTCTATCCTGCTCTGCTTTTCCTATGCACAAGTCTCCTTCCTGACTTGTCGACAAATATGCATAACCAGCAGATGAGTATAAAGAGGGAGGCGCGCGCACGCACACGTCATGTCAGAATGATGATGCTCGGGTGGATGTTAGATCCTGAGTCTCTCCAGGCAGAGGTACAAGTCAATGCGATGCATCACTAGGAAGGGTTGACACCATATATGACACGGTGACCGCGGCGTAATAAATGTGTTGAGTGACTGGAGAGGGAAGGCGAGCGGCGGGAATTACGACACAGTGCAGCCGGATAGAGACAAGGACTACAGCCCCTGACACCGAGACACTGAACCAACAGCAGGACCAGTAGAGAGCCATGCAGACTGACAGGGGAACGGCCAAGCATGTCGACGGGGAAGGCGGGTCGTGGAAAGACAAGACACAGTAGATACACAGGTGTACTGGCGGCTCGGCCGGGACATTTGTCCCTGAGGAGGGAAACCGGTGCCGAGCAAGGACCACGCTATGGACAGGATAGGAGCCCCCTCCGCTCCAACAAAACCCGCAGGCTATTTAGTTACTACCACCACCAGTCCTCCCCGCCGTTCCACCAGAGGCTCACCGAGAAGCTGACGCTGAGGCCCCTGACGTAGTGCCACCACCCGATGGGCACATAGAGAGTGTCGCCCGGCTCGAGGATGCAGTCGACGAAGGGCACCTCGCGGAACTGGCGGGCCCTGGAGGCGGCTGCCTCGCCATCCTCTCCCTCGTCCCCATCAGCATCCCCGTCCCTATCTCTTCCGTCGCTGGCGGAGGAGATCGAGGCCTGGGGTTCGGCGTCGGGGTCGGCATCCCACCCCTCGAGCACGCCCACGTCCCAGGCGCTCGTGTTGCCCATCTCGACGCCGCCCTCGCGGCCCCTCGCGCGCATTACGCTGCCGCTGCCGTCCGCGCCGCCTCCGAGGAGGGGCGAGTACAGCCGCACGTACTTCCTGCCGACGACCTGGGCCAGCAGGTTGTGGTACGGGTCGGTGTGGAGGGGCGTGATGGTGCCAGGGGGCCCGAACCAGGCGTTGAGGAGAGGGGCGTCGAGCTCTGGTTGGTCTTGCGATGGGTCGGTGGGGTGGAGAGGGGGCGCGGTGTAGCAGTGGTCTGGGATGAGGATGTCGTTTCGCAGCTGCGGGAGCTGCTGGAAGAGCTGGTGCTGCGCCAGGTAGGCTACTGCTGCTGGTGTTGGTGTTGGTGTTGGTGCTGCTGTTGCCGTCGGGTGGTCCGCGGTATTAGGAGGGGCGGCAGGAGGAGTATCTGATCTGTCACCTGCCTGCCCGGCCGCCGCAGGCATGCGTCGCCAATCTTGGCTCTGGTCTGTTGGTGCAGGGGCTCCCTGATGAGGGGCCACCGAGGTTGGGTCGATATGATTCCTCAGAAACTCTCCAAAGGCCACAATCTTCTGGCCCCAGCCCTCGTCCACGTAGCTCCTGCCGATCTCGACGGGAACCAGCCGTCGCCCCCCAAAGGTTCGCGACAGCAGGTACTCCGGGTTGTTCCATGGCCGAGCCCCCCTGGCTGGCCAATCTTCTATGAGCCCCGTCAGGATCAGCGGCTCGGGCCCTCGACGCGGGTCTGCACGGTCGAGGTACTGCTGAAAGGCCGTCATGTCCATGACATCTGCGGAGACGCGGCGGATGGCGTTCCGGACAGGTGGAGTGAAGGGCTCGAACGTGGAGAACGAACGCAACGCTTGCCCCGGCGCCGCTGTGGGAGCTGACAAGTCGAGCCTGGCCCTCTTTGCTGGTGGCGGCGTGATATTGGCAGCGGCTGTCATGGCGGGCAGGCCATAATGGGAACCGCATGTTGCAGTAGTCATGGTCTCACCGGTGTTGGTGGGATCGCAGACGTTCTCAAAGAGGCCGAAGGCGGTGTCGATCCATTTCCTGCCACGCGAAAGACCGCCAGCCCCAGCGAGTATCAGTGCCAAGTCTAGAGTCTTCACCATGGCCTGCATTGATTGCTCGGCTGTGTCTCTCGCATCCTGGCATGACACGGTCACACCAACCCCGTCCCGCGCCAGTTCCCAGATTTGTTGGGACGAGGACAGGAACAGGTAGCCGAACTTGAGTATGCTGGCGTCCGTGTACAGCTGCCTCCAGCAGAGGGGAAGATCTTTGTACAGATATGCATAGAACTTGGCATATGCGATCGATATAATGTCGTCGAGCCTCTTCAATATGGGATGGTGCCCAACGGCCCCGCCGCAGGCCGTGTCGTTATAGCCAGCTCGCAACTGCCGTGTCCCATGTGCGGATGGCCGTGTGGCATTAGGCCGCCCATCATCCTCGGCAGTCGTGGCCGGCCCGACGGGTACAGGCGACGTGATGGAAGGATATGCTGGCGCGGCCGCCTCGTATAGAGTAACTAGTCGCGACGCTTGCCGTGACAGGAGATGCACCAGCGGCTCACCGCAGTCCGCTAGGCCGAGCCCAGCCCCGTCGCCATTCGCCGTCGCGCTCGCCGTCGTCGCCGAGGTGCTGTGATCACGATCGCCCGCAGCCGCATCATCCGCACCAACCACCCCGCCGGCAGCAGCGCAGCGATCCTCTCCTCGCCGGCTGCTGTTGCCCTCCTCGCCGGCCAGGGCCCTCTGGAGGAGGACGTGGTCGCATTCATCCCTGATGCTCGCGGCCGCAGAGGCACAGAGGGCGCGTAACCCCACAGCTGCATGTGCGTGTGCGCCTGCATGTGCAGCTGCGCCTGCCATGGCCACGTCGTCCCCTCCCCTCGGGCTCGCGGCGCGGAGGGGGGTGTGTGGGCGGGTGCGGGTCCGAGTACCTGCCGAGCGTCCTGACTGTAGAAGGGGGGTAGCTGAACTCTCCCGGTTCTTGTTGCGTGACGGCTTACTGCAGAACGTGTGCGACATGTTCCTGTGGCTGCATCACAAGCATGAGCTTGCTAGGTCATGGGTAGAGGTGGGCATGTAGGAGTGGGCCGCGTCCCTCCTGAGCGCTGCTGCTTCTCCCGGGCCACTGCGCGAGCCAGCCTGCTCCTTGCGGGTGTCGAGCTGAAAAACGGTGTCGTGTGTGGCACTGCGGCTTTGCGCCCGGTCGGGTGTTGGCTGCGCGAGATGTGCAAATGCGCTGGGCCACTGGGGAAGAGAACGTGGTCAGGCTGCTGAACCATGTGCGTAGGCTTGACTGTTCAAAGAACTGGGCTGCGGGCCCAGTCTTTTATTTTCGCTCCCCCATCTCCTCCAGGGATCAGGCATCCACGCAATAAGGTTCCGTTGACGGCCCCAGCCCCAAGCTCTGACGGGCATAAGCGAGACGGATAGAAGCGCAAGCGAGATTCTAGCGGTTCATCACCGTGGAGCGGGTGGGACACTGAGACAGGGATCACAAGTCCACACAGCAGACACTGTCGTGGCGCATTGCATCGAGCTTGCCCCTTCAGCCTGAGGGCCGCTGCCCGCTTCACAAAACCACGCACAGCTCGTGAATCGTAGCATCAAGACATTGAAAGATAATTCGTTGGGCGCCTATCTACCTCGGAGTGAGTCAAACGGCTTTGCTGCTGCAGCCATCTAGTCAAAGCCATGGCCCTGCCGCTGGTAGGCAAGGCTCTGACACCGCCGTCGGTCATGGCCGCCCTTGCAAAATGCACTGCTTGACCGACCAAACCATAATTCATAAAAATGCCCGCTCATTTGCTGTAAGAAAACAACGCATCCTGTGCCACCCTGGGTATGTGAAGAAAGTAAGCTGCGGAAAGAAAGACGAGGTCGTTGTGCAACTTCCATAGCCACCTTGGGTAATGCTGCCCCTTCTCGGCCAAACTTCATGAATGCCATTCAGTCCAAATGCTGGTCCTGGTCTCTTCAGATCCGGGTCACCTTGACCCAGAGTTCTGACTGTATGAAGATGCCAGCACTGAATGAAGTCCATGGGGAAGGAGGGTTGAGCAGTCCGAAATCGTACCGACGCAGAAGCTATTGTCGATGCACAGTCAGCATACAAAATCATAATCCGACGGGGACCGAGTCATGCGGCATGGTTTGAAGAAAGGGGTGTCTGCCGCTCAGCCGCCGGCTGACTGCGCGGGTGACGACAGCCGGCCGGCTGTAAATCGGACAGGAGGGATGCATCTCAGGAAGGGGTAACTCACCTCAACAAATATCTTGTTCAGCTCTAGCAGGGCGACAGACCTTCCCAGGCACTGCCACTTGCCGTACTTGAATACAAGCTCCCATGTGCTGGTCATCTCCTGGAGCAGCTGCTCGTCCTTGACCTCGAGCCAGCGTTCCGGCCGAAATGTCTCCGCGTCAAGGCCATACACACCCTTGTTGTGCTGCACACCAAAAGCCGACCAACCAATCTCCGTACCCTCGGGCACAGGGATGCCGCGGATGACGTCGCCACCGGGAGGTACGACCGTCGGCATCAAGCCCGTCACGGGCGGAAACACGCGCATCCCCTCTTTGATGACCGCCTGCAGGTACGGGAGGGTGCGAGCCTCTTCGTCCGTGATGGGGCTGGAGATATGACCCTTCGCGGCTGCCGTGCGAATCTCGTGCACTAGCTTCCTGTAGGCCTGAGGCGAGCTCATCAGATAGAGCATGGTGGTCCGAATAGCAGTGGCGGTTGTATCAGAGCCGGCGATGATGTTGACGAGAGCTTCTCCCTCGGCATCCTCCCGGCTCAGGCCGTGCTTGAGGAAGGACCCGAGCATGTCCTTGCGGTCAGTTCCGTTTGGTCCGAGCCGCTCGGCTACCACCCTCTTGGCCACACTATTTTCAAGGACCTGTCAGCCGCATTCTTTGTACAGCATAAGTCGCGGGCAACACAGTGCAACAGGTGGAATCATTCTCCTTTCGACCTACCCAATGAATTTTCCAAACCCATGAGGGTCCTTCTCTGAGGGCATGAATCGACGGAGGAGCGGCGACTGCATCAGTCTCGCCAGGACGGGCAGGACGCTAACAATCATCATGGCGGGCATACTGGCCTCGGTTCTCTTGATATATTCGTGAACATCGGCATCTTGAGTGAGGTGGCCGAAGTCTGAGCCGAAGGCAATGTCGCCGATGATGTCCAGGGTCAGGTACTGAGCCTTTCTGGCCAGATCCATGGGGCGGTAGATGGCACCCTCGGATACGTAGTCGCGCTCAATGAGACCGATGAATGCCATGATGCCCTTGTCGATTCCGAGCTCGAGTCCCTCGTTCTCCTTCCCGGCGTACTGCAGATGGGCAAGTTTTAGCGGGCTAGTGTCCAAACAGGAATGGGACTGGGTACACAACTGCTTACTCCTGCAGCCATTTTCGCCCGCAGCTCATTGTGCCGCTCATCGTCCCTTGTGGAGAGGATGTTGTCACGGGTGGGGTCAAATCGGACGGCGTCGTAGAAATCACCCTTCTTGTACCTGGAACGGACGGCCCACATGCGCTTCACAACTTCCGGATCGTCCGTTACGATTGTGTTGGGCCCGACGCGGGCGACATGACCTGTACACACAATCACCAGTCAGCAACGCTCGGACTCTGGCCAACAGCCTGCCTCCTCGCCGCCATGCGCTCGACGTTCACGGGTGTCTCAGGCTGACGCGCAAGGAGAACATCTGCATGTCTCGTTTGGTGTTGACGAGGAAGGAATCCGAGAACTCGGGGTTCTGGGCTGTGACCAACCACTTCTTACCATGGGTATCGCAAGCTGCCTTCAGAGCCAGATGCATGTTCCCACCAAGGGTGTTACGCAGCATCCACCACTTGCTGAGACCAGCAGACGGTGGCCCAGGAATGTGTCTGAGACGACGCCATGTGGTGTAGGTCGATAACGAAAGGATTCCGAGCAGGCCTAGGACAAGGAGAGCGACGAGGTTGGCAAAGGAGAAGGCAGTGGTCGTTATCTCCCCAGAATGAGGGAAAATGCGGTCGAGCACCGCCATTGCTCGGGGGAAGGAGTCTGAATTATTGCAAAGACCACTAAGGGAGGTGATGGTGCTGCGGGAGATATGGCATATGAGGTAGATGGGAGGCCAGCAGGAGAGTGAGGTAATCGAGGATTAAGCGAGGATCTGAAAAGGTCATGTCGAGCAGGGAATCAAGCCTCGCTTATCTAGGTTTGTGGCATGTGGTATTGACAGCAAGTGAATGGATCCGACAGTCTGGAGACGAAACGGGAATGGATGGGTTAGAGTGGGAAGGGGGCGGGTCCCTTTGGACCTTGTCCATGGGAGTGACATGGCGATGGGGACGCTAGTGAAGAGGTGAGTGGGAATCGGCGCAGGCTAGTGACTGCATTGAAAAGACTGGGTAGTCGATTCCATTGTCACTCTTCAACAGGAAAGTGCCTGAAGTGACAGCGTGTTGCCCGTGGAGGGTAGTGAGTGGCAGTGGCAGAGCACATGAAGCAGCCGACCTGGAACCACAAACTCGGACGTGTTTGACATGACCGAGACCAATCAAGCATGGAGAGCGAGCACGTAGTTTATACTGCAGAGTTTCTCGCCATGATGTCGGCGGCGAGCACAACCCGAGATATCCTTAAGAGACCGCCCGGGCATGTGAGAGAGGGCTTTGCTGAGGTACAGGAATCCGGCTGCGTGTCAAGCAGGCCCGTCTGTGCCAGCGTACGAGGTACGAGGCTCATTTTTCCGATGTTGAGCCTGAGCAGTTGCAGAGGAATACCAAAAGGCACAGGCCCGGCTGAAATACTGCGTAACACGCCACACAACGTGCGGGACAGGGACCTTAGGAAGCAGGTGTGTGATGTCCCACCCCATCCGCCAATTACCCTGAGCAGACGCGGTAGGGGCGCCGAGGTGCTCAAGGATGTTGGGCTGAGGCCATGGGGAGATGCCGCCAGAGCTGGATCAGCACACTCGTGTCAATGGATGCTACGCAATCTTTCGGCTTGTCGTTCAAGCCAATAGTCCTCGGGTGCCAGGCCCGCATGCAGGCAGGACCAATGCGGATCCGATTGAGTGATGACGGACCGAAGACGGCAATCAGTCTGTGATTGACAAACATTAGCCTAAGAGAGCAACGGCACCCCCCGTCTGTGGATGTACAGTAGTAGTCTTGGAACAGCAAGAAAGAGGAGTCGTTGTGGACTCGGTCGGGGGTGTTGCTGCCGCAGGGAGGCGCCCCACGCTGGAGCCATTGCGTTGGTCCTGATGATGGCTGGTGGGTGGTCAAAGCACCGACTCCTTCTCTGACTCCCATGTCGGCGAGAAGAGACGATGCCATGTTCCCAGTCCAAATGCCCGCGCCCGTCAGGTCCGGCAACTCGACCGCGGAAGCCCAGTTTTCTCGCTTCCCAGCGCACCGCGTTGTCCTGATGTTCAACAGTGAGACGTGTCAAAGAATTGTCCGGAGCAGCACGGGAATGTCAGTCTATGGGGATTCCCACGGGAAGGGTAATGGTATCAGATACGTCTTCGTAGTGGCCAGGTTTTGGTGTGTTGCAACGAGCCGTGCATGGAAAGCTGGTACGACATGCAGGCCGCAGATGGGCTTGGATGGACAACAGCAGGTTCAGAGGATCAGGGACCCTGGTTGGCTCCCGTGGCACCCACGACACTTGAGAATGCCTGGTCTTACTCCGAGGGGCCCGGAGCCCATCAACGATCTGCCGTTTGGATACGCCATGGACTATAGGGTACGGTATGAAGGTGGGCAAGCAATAAATGCCCTAGGAGTAAGCATGTCCAGTCCAGTGGAGGGCGTGCATAAAAATTCCGTATACCGCCATAGGCGGGGCCGTACGTACCTGCCTAGGTGGTGATCATGCTCGACCAAGGGGCCCTGCATAGGAAATTGATGAGCAACGATTTGCGTGTGGATGAATGGCCTGCCGTCGAAGGAGGATATGACAGGTGCATCATCATCAGTCTTACCCGTATGGCAAGGTTGTCCGGGACTAGCGAAAGGTTAATAATATGCAGCATACAGACTAGACTTGACGTGGCCGTCGCAACGGCTTGGTCCAAAGAAGCAGTCCAGAGACAGTGACAGGCAACATCTCGGATGAAGTAGCAGGGCCTCCAAGAGAAAAGCAGGGTGCGCGATTACCCTGCAAGGTTGATAGAGGAAGAAGCCGCGTCAGGTGAACATGCGCGTGGCAGGTACAAGGTGAGAAGGGGAGAGGGCGGCAGGAGACGAGGGGGAAGAGAAAAAGAGTGCAGGAGACAGCGAGAGGCTGGACTCGACAAGAGCCAGGATCAGGTTACTGGTCAGTGCTCACCCTGGTCAAATCTGCCAGGTGCCTATACGTACTATGTGGTCTGCAGTGCTGGCCGCTCGCTCGATCATGATGGCGGTTCCAAGCCCGGGAATGAGACGGTGAGTCGGTGAGACAGAATCGGAAGGGTGGACAAGAGGCGTTGCGTGCCGTTCCGCCAACAAACCAAACTTCCAAACTCTCCGCCCCCACTGCGAGGCAAACCAACGCTCTCCCAGAAACATATTATCCATTATGTACTGTGTGCGATACCTTGAAGGCAATTAGGTAAGCCCAGGTGCACGCCAATGCCGAGGTACCTACGCAGAATGCTGCATTTATCGTTCGTCAGGGTGCAGTGACACTTTTGGTACGTAGTATCTCTGAAGCCTGAGGGTGATCGTCCGCAGGGGGGCAGGGTTTCCCAGGTTGGAAGGAAGAGCGAGCAAGTCTGGGCCCCGTCCTGCCCACCCCGACCCACCCACCACCTTCCTACCTGAGCAGGTTTGCGGCTGGTCTTTCTCTCCATCTGCCCTTGCACTACGGAGTACTTTTAGGACACCGTTGGGACTGGCAGTCCTCCCTCATCGTGGTCTGCTTTCTGCTCCTGTCCTGCCAGGTTGTTGTGATCTGTCATATCGGCTGTGCTGTAGTGCTTGTAGACTCGTGGCACCGTTCGGATCAATTTGGCAAAGGTCTCGCTCCCGGGCGTGCCCAAGTTCCAATCAGAAAGGGCACGCCGCCGCCTGTCCCCATCTGCGGCGCCGGGCCCGCTCCTGAGGACACCTGCGACGAGATTGAGTCTCTGGTCTCCAGCTGCCCCAGATATTTAACGTCTGCCGACAGCCTTCTACTGTCCCCTCCGGATCTGCGGGTCCCTGAAGCTTCCGTCTTCTCGGGCCTGGCCCCGTGCGTTCTTCCTTCGGCTCGGGGCCGCAGGTGCGGCCTTCGTCTCCAACCCTCGGCTGCGTTGCGTCTTGAGACCCACGTTGCACCGACGGGGGGCTGGATGCACACACGACCACACACTGGTGCTGGACAGTGAAGCGACGAACTGGAATGCTGGCCGCCCATCCTAGCCAGGTCACCCCTCTCCACGCTTAACTCATCCGCTGCTGCTGCTGCTGTTGCAGTCGCAGTTTGGCGTCGGTATGGCCAAATGTAAAACTTGAGATGCGACCTGGGCGACCCCAATCAGGCCGACGCGCCAACGATCCCCAGCACTACCTCACGTGCCTATTGCCTAACTGCCTACCCAGGCACTTTTTGGGAATAGCACTGGTAGTGCCTCCCGTCGTTTCAAGGCTTCTGCGCCAGCTACCGCGACTTGCTCTGGTCGGGCCTCAGCCTTATTATCCTGAGCCTCGCAGACCAACTCCAGTGGCAACGGAGCGGCACGGCACGGCGCCTGTTCTCGTCTGCTATCGCCTACCGTACGTATCGTGAGTTTGCCGTGCGACAGTGTGCTCCGACAAGGGGGAGCGCGAGGGTGCGCTTGGTTTTGTTGCAGCAGAAAGCCAACGGTTTACTGTGCGCCGGGCCGTTATCCTTCTTCTCCTCCCTTGGTGGTAGCGGAATCGCCGAGCTACTACTCTCGCTTAAGCAGCTACACGCAAACTCTCTCTGCTGATACGCTCGTCTATTTGGCCCTCCGTGTTACAGGCCGATTCATCTGCGTCAAGACCTATCAATTCGCAGAGATCAACGGAAGCATTCGGCATCCTGCTTCGGCTCCCTGCTACGCACGCAGCACAGTCCGCCTTCCCAGCAAACACGCTGCTCTGGTCCTCGCCTTAGGCATTCTTCAAGCTGGTCACCCCCGCCCCCGCGAGCCACCCGGCCGTTGCCTTCTTGAGGAACAGGTCACCCTCCGTTGGCTGCTTGAGGCCGCTTAGTCCTTGGTTTAGTCGATCAGTTGGTTGCGTTCGGCTCGCTCGCTCGCCCACGCCAAAGCCGGCCGTGCGACGCAACGGGTGCAATCACACATCGCACTACCGCATTACACCGACCGATGTGCTCTCGTGGTCAAGATTGACCACCAACGCCAATCCAACCCACCGCTTCGCCTCTGGCCACACACTTCCTGTCTCTTGCCGAGTCCTTCGGAGCCATCAAACCCCGGCTCTCCTTTTGACAGATTTGACATCTGCAGCCACCAGCCTTCCCCGTGCCGCTCAATGGGCCAGACCACCCCCTCCCTCTTGGCCGCCTTACAATGAAATATCCCCTGACACACCCGGTTGTTTCTGGTCCAAACCGCACCTGATTTTGGATTGTTCACTTTGCTCAGGGCTACTTCGGAGGCTTGCAAGTTCACCCTGTCAAGGAGCACAGCGCTTGTGTATTTCCGCCTCCAGCTGCGCCAAAGGCTGTGCTGTTCTTCCATCTGGCCCGTCTGTCTTGTTCGGCACGATTTATCGACAACGCGGGCTTCATTTTCGAAACCATGGAGGACACTCGGGATCAACCATCCATGGGCGTTGGCCATATAGAGCCGGACACCAGCAGTGACGACTTTGCCGAAGACGTATGTCGAAACAGCGCTCGTGGGGAGGACGCAGTGACCGTCTCTCACGCCCTTGCTGACTTCTGGAATAGGACAGGCAATCCATATTTTCGGACCAAGACTCAGCCCTCGGATCTGCAAGTGTCCTTACAGGCCTCGATAAGCCTCAGCGCCATACTAACATACCTCCTTGCTCAGGACATGTCTCTCTTCTCATCGACGGCTTCCTTGAGATCGTCTATCTTGAGGAGTATAGAAGAGAACGGACGAAAATACCATGGCTACAAGGACGGGAAATACGTCCTTCCAGACGACCAGGTGATTCTTCCCATCACAGACTTATCCACTTCCGGCGCTGCAGTCTCACTGACACTGAGCAGCAAGAACTCGACAGGCAAAGTGCGGTCGAGCCTCTAACCCCTGTCCATGGATTATGCTGACCTGTTTGACAGTCTTCCAGTATGACCTGTGCCTGCTAACATTTGACCACATATTATCATTCGCGCCCTTCACCAAGCTGAACAGGGTTCTGGACGTTGGTTGCGGCGTCGGTGAGTGTGGTCGCACATCATGTATGTGGCACTGCGGTGCAGCTGACATTACTTTCAGGTTATTGGGCATTAGACTTCGGTGAGACCTTGAATATAACTCACTATCAGCCCTATGCTAACCTGCATTGTTCCCCAGCTGAGATGCATCCAGAGGCTCAGGTATTGGTTGACGAGACTGAATCCATCCAAGCCTGAGGCACTAAGACTGTTGTAGGTCATCGGCGTCGACCTGTCACCAGTACAACCAGCATAGTAAGGACTTCAAACCCCCGGTGTTCTGTGCGTATGCTAATCCATCATCAGCGTTGTAAGTCTCAGGACTTGAGTCATGTCAGGAATTGTGGCCATTGACTTGCCTGTCTAGCCACCGAACGTGCAATTCGAGATTGACGACTTGGAAGAATCGTGGAACTTTAGCTACCCTTTCGACTACATACATGCCCTCATGATGACCGGCGCGTTTCGAGATTGGCCAAACTTCTACCGACAGGCGTTCGAGTGAGTGTTTGCCCACCATCCACGAACCCCATTGAAACTATCCCACCAAATACTCAACGTCGATGGCCAGGAACCTGAACGAAGGCGGCTGGGTCGAGAATCAAGACATTCACTTCCCATTGTATTGCGACGACGACACAATGCGCCCAGACGGTGCTGTTAAGCGATGGAGCGACTTGATGGTCGAGGCTGGGGAGAAGTCCGGATTCAATCTCAGCGCATGCGCACTCGCCGGGGACATGATGCATGAGGCCGGCTTTGTCGATATCGTACGGATACCATACAAGTGGCCCATCAACGAGTGGCCGCGAGAGCCCAAGTGGAAGGAGGTGGGGCGCAGGACGGGCATCAATTTCAGGGAAGGCATGTCGGGCATCATGATGGCGCTGTTCACGAGGTTCATGGGCTGGACCAAACAGCAAGTGGAGGAGTTCAGTGCCCAGGTGGACAAGGAATGGCAGGATACCAGGGTGCATGCCTACTTTTGCATATGGGTCACGTATGGGAGGAAGCCATAACCTGCATGGGATGGAATGATTCTGTGCATTGTCGTTGTTGTAATTGATCTGGCAGGACACAGTGGAGATGGGTGATCGCCGCATCAGGGGGACCAAACACGTTTGACGAAAGCATACATAATGACTGCATACCCATATCAATATTCGATACGTTACAGGGGCCAATCTCGAGAGATTTATTTTGCAATACCTGTTATGGGGTTTTCTTGAGACATCGCTCTTCCATGTTGTGCACCTGTCTACTATTGGACGTTGGCATGGGCATGTGCCCATGCGCTCTTACTCTATAAGTGATACGGCATCCGGTATACGTTTGTCAGCGGTGATTCGATTGACTCTGAACGAACACGGCGACTATGTGTATGTGGGCTATCTATTTCCTGCAAACTTGCCATTCCGGAGGCGACCGCAGCGACCATTTTTGCACTATAAAGTTCGGCAAAAATGTCAGAATTAAGTTCTCAGTCGGCTGACAGGCCTGCTGCTGACCGCATGGTGGAGATGTCTCGTGACAGCTCACCTCAATCCCGTTGTGTTTGGCACAGTTTCACCATGGAGAAACATGCTTGCATGGAATGAATAGGTTTGAAATTGGCTCAAAAACTTTAATCCCCATAGGAGTCGATTTGAATATATGAGCATCCCTTCGGAGTACAGGTACTTACTTCCTCTGATGAGCCGACGCCGGCCGCCTCTCACTAACAGAGAATCTTTGGCTGCGGGCATGCCTGGAACACGCGCATCCATGGCAATATTTACTGATAATGAAATAGATCTACATGGCAGCCCCTCGGGTCACCCAAGCACAAGTAACATTCATCACTCGAGGGGGCTCTATCGGCAAGATTAATTCACGGTGTTTGGATATCAAAACTTGAGACTGAACTCATATAGAAGCTTTCCAGGTCTCGTGAAAGGCAAGTAGCCGCAGCACCTGTCATACTTCGCGGCGATGCGCCGTGTGGTACCGAGCCTTGGGCTTCTCGTGTCACTCCCCGTCAAGCAGGACGAGCGCGTGTGCCTCGTCTTTGAGGAGCCCTGCTTCCCCTAGATAAGAACTGGCCTCGCATGACGCGGCAGTGCTTTGGCTGGGACCTATGCCATCAATTGTGCCAAGAAGTCAGGAAGGTGTCTAAGACGCCGGCTGGGCATGACAGCAGCCAGAGATGTTGGTTTATTACCGTACCGCCACTGCATTCTGGGATTCTTCGGTCTGAGCGCCCGTAACCTGTTACTGCATCGGCAAATAAAACACGAAGTAACAGCTGTTCGGTCGCATTAAGTGCACTTTCCGTTTTGTGCAACGTTGTGGTACTTGACAGACTTCAAGGTGTCACAAAACGAGTTATTAGGTCTCGGCGCCCGTGGACTGTCATGCAAGCCATGTTCCACTCGCTGGGCAGTTTGAAGAATTACCATGTGGCAGTCCACGTTGTAATGTAATTAAGCTGCTGTTCCTTGAATTAGATAGTGTTCTGCTGCTGTGACATCGACATATTCCGGTGGCCCGAGGGGCCTTTGTGACAGGCGCATGCGAGACCCAAGGCACCTCACATAGCAATGCCAGTACTATGACTCCATTGCAACTAGCAACCATATAAACAATGGGATTTACTGGGACACTACCTCCGGCGAGGTGGCCGATCTGGGTAGGCGTCAGGTTTCGACCCAAGTGCGCCGATGATCCCACATTCAAACCGAGCCGGCAACCAGTAAAATATCAGCGACGGTCTGCAAAGGACGGAGGTATTTTCTGACTCTTCGGAGGGTCCTTTTGACCTTTTGCCCCTTTTCGCTTCCCCACCGAAACAATACACGCCTGCACTGACCAACCTGTCACTCCAGCTTTTGGGTGAAGGCGTTCGGCCGTCAGGGGGTCACTCGGCATCAATTTACCTGGGAGCATCAGAAATACAGCGTTGAGACAGTTTTATCACGTTCTACTGCTCAAAAGTTGAACGCGCATTTCAAAGCCTCGCATAGTAGGTGTCTAAGACAGTCCTCTAGGATGATGCTTACCGATGTTCTTTCGGGTGCCAGGACTGTTGAGGGATGCAAATAGTTTATGGAGGATTGTATTCCTTACATTTCGTGTCTGGGGTCTCTGAAAGTGACGGATGGTGATGGTAAAGAGATATGGAAAAGAAGCTCGTTTTCCAGAGCTCATGTCTCTTTTGGGGTAGAGACACTTGCCTTTAAGAGTCACGCCCATGTCTTTCCAAGAGAGCTCGAACCCGCGAGCTTCGTGAACACTCGGCCGGTAGCTGCCTGCCAATTGCTGGCCGTGTTCACGACAACTTGTTGCAGCAGGTACGGGGGAGGGGCGATATTTACTCTGCGTTCCATGGAATGGAGGGGGCATCGTGAAGGGCTGGGTCATCATTGGGGCAAAGATGGGGTGAACGTGGCTCCAGAGTGAAGCTGATCGCGTTGTCGGTTGCCCAATGGAACTGTCTCCCGTCGGTTCAAACTCTAAGGTTCAAGTACCGGCAAATTTCAGCTTTCCAATGAGGTCGTGATAAGTTTCTTGCATCGATACCTACAATTGTCAGGTAGCAAGGCTGGCATGAGCAGCAATGCAGATTAGTGGTAAGTCGAAATGCGTCGTGAACCGCCTTGCTTGCTCGCAGGCGGCTTGAGGTTAAGTGAGTTTTTTTTTTTTTTTTTTTTTTGAGGGAAGGGATAGCTAAGACAACTTTGAATTGAGAACGAATCGTTGTAAGTCCCGGTTCCGCTTTCTCTAGCTCATACGAGGGTACAGCTTTTTGCGCTGCCTGGTAGCAATGACTTTACGGGAAGTTGGCAAATTCAGCAAGACGTACGATTTTTCGTTTCCCCCCTGGTATCCTGTTGATTCCCCTTGTTATGGCTTTGAGGGTCTTCAATCATATAGCTTTCATTATGTCGACGGACAGGACACCTCTAATACGGTTCTAAGATCTAGGTTTACGTTTAGTCAAGGCTGCTAACTGCCGACTGTTGGTATAATTCTGATTTTTATGCTTTGGGAGACAAGCACCACAGCCGGCAAATTGTCCAAAAAGTGATACAATACTCTTTCCCTACCAATTATCGATGTTTAACTTTGGGATAAGAATCTACCTAGGTGGCCTCATATGCATGCAAATCGCCCGCTTCACTGCACCTACTGTAAGTCTCGCGATCGGAGCAATCCAGGGCTCAAGTCGACGTATCGAGAGGCAATTGCTGTTGCAAGCCAATCTCGGGTTCAAAATTGTACAAAACATGCCCAGGTGTGTCTTGTGTTGGGAGAGAAAGAGGATGAAGGAAGTCGACGCTAGCAGCGTATTGGCTGGTTCTCCAGCGCTGGCGGACCGTCGGCTCGGCTTAGCAGGGGTCCCGATTCTCTGGGACAACGGCCGCTGGTACGTACTCAGGAGGATCGAGTGACGTCCCGGCCAGCAGAGAAAACGCGTCTTGCAGCGGACCGCGTCTTAGCCCATGCCCACCAGCCCAGGTAAACAGCTTCCAACCCGCCCCACCACTCCCTACGGCAACTTCTCCTGGAGTTTTGGTCTGGTCTGGTCTGGTCCGGTCAGTTCTGCTCTGTTTGCACGAGGCATTCATAGATCGCACGCTTTTGAACAATACCAAGACATCCATTGGTGAGCACCACACATACAGCCCGTACTCGAGTTGGCCGAGCCTTTGAGTCGCGTCACGTCCGGTTCAATCCAATTCCTCGCACGCGCATCCTCTTGAACTTCACCAGTCTACAACCATATATCGTCTCGACAGGCCTCGACAAAACTGCCAGTAGGAGAACGATCGTCACCCCGTGACGATCACTTGGTGGTCCCATTATCTCCGACTTTTCCTGCCTAGTGCGACAATTCCATGAAGCTGCAATGCAATTCAACAGACGCGTGCAGCTTCAATAATTGGCCATGTATCTACCGCGTTCCCTCATCTCGAAGCTGTACTTGCACCTGCAAAGCACATGCCACCCGCTCTCGCCGCCCGTTCTCATCCTCGTCGCCCTCGAGCCCGACGCCCTCTGCGGCTGCAGAATCCTCACGCGACTCTTGAAGAACGACTACATCCCACACAAGATCCAACCTGTCGCCGGCTATGGAGACCTGGAACGCATTGGCAGGGAACACGTGAGCCCCCTCATGGCACAGAATGGTGGTGCCGGAGGAGTTGTTGTGTGCCTCGGGGTTGGAGGCATGGTCGATTTGGGCACGGTGCTTGGCCTTGAGCCCGAGGGCGAGGAGACGACATTCGGTGGCGTTGAGGTCTGGGTCCTCGACTCACGACGGCCCTGGAACCTGGGCAACGTGTTCGGCTTCCCGCTCGAACCCGACGTCGAAGGCGGATCTAGTCTTCAGACTCGAACGCCCATCGGCGTCACGGGTGGTCGAATCGACCGCGCATATAAACCTGGCAAGGGGGGAGTGGTGGTTTTTGATGACGGCGACATTGAGGACGAACTCGGCCCACAAAGGAACGCGTATATGGCGCTTATGGAGATGCCTGATGTGGAAGACAACGGTGAGGACCTGGGCGACAGTGATTCGGAAAGTGAGGAGGAAGAGGAGGACTCGCTCCAGTCAGCACCGCGGGCTGGTCAAAAGCGGAAATCTTGGTCTGACCCAGACGAGGACGACGACAGCGATGAGGAAGAAGACCGGCCACGCCAAAGGAGGAGAAGCAATTCTGTGAGTGTACCCGCTGAATCGGCATAAAAATGGCCCCAGAGCAAAGACTGACCACCCACACAGTCCACTCCCATACCTGAGTCTCCGCAGCGGCCGAAACAGCGTGGGTTGTTGTCCTTGCGCGACCAAGCCCTCATGTCCTCGGATGGCCTGGATGATGATCCGCCTACCGCTGCACAGCCCCCAAAAGCACCTTCGGCACGCACACTCAGGAGACGGCTCCTCCGTTTGAGGCGAGAGAACGAGACCATTTTACGAGACTACTACCGTATCGGAGCGTCGTACTCGGAACCCATCTCGTCCATGGTTTATTCTTTGGCGTCGGAGTTGGGCCGCGAGGACAACGACATACTCTGGCTGGCGATCGTCGGCGTCACATCCATGGAGCTGTATGGGCGGTCATCGGCTGGCGTCGCAGTACCCATGAGGAATTCCGAATCTAAGAGCACATCGGGATGGCTAGGCATGCGCGGCGCCAGAATACGCCAACTGCTGCGCGACGAAGTGCGTCGTCTCAACCCTCCCGCGCTTGAAAACGCGAGTGGTAGGGTAGCTCCAGAAGCCACAGGAGTCATACCCACAACAGCAAGGAGTCCTGAAGACATGAGCATTCGCTTATCTCCTGAGCCACGATTCCTCTTGATCAGACACTGGAGCCTCTACGACAGCATGCTGCACTCGCCTTACATGTTCTCTCGGCTGAAGACGTACAGTGAAAATGGGCTCAAACGTCTGCACAAGCTCCTCGCCAAGATGGGCGTCAGCCTCATCCAGTGCAAGCAAAGTTACACGCACATGGATATGATGTTGAAGCGGGAGCTGCGTTCAAAGCTTCTCAAATACGCCTCGATGTATAATCTTGATGACATGGTGCCTACCGTTGAGTCAGACGGTAAGGATCGCGGGGGTGCCAAAGACGGCTGGGGCTTCGTCCGGAGCTGGGGCTGGCGTGCCACATTGAGCGCGCAGGACATCGGCGTGGTCATCGGAGCTCTCCTGGAGGTGGGCAGGCATGCTTCTCTGCCCAGCTCCGTTTCTACGGACGGAGCATCTCAGCAAAGCGTCGACGATGGCGCCGATCAAATCGCCGCGCAGGGCGAAGAGTGGGTCTCCAGGTTCTGGGATGCGTACGATGCGCTTGAAGAGTAAGCCACGAGCAATTTACCGTGCATCACCTGATCATGAATGGCTGACACAATCGCAGCGTCGAAGCACTCAAGGCTGGTCTTCCAACGGCCCAGTTCCTGCACAAAGCCATTTTCAACACCGGCACCGCTGTCTTGAAGAAGAAGCAGATATCGCATCTACGGGCGTTCCGCATGTGCATCGTCAAGGACAGCGCAGAAGCGTCGATATTCAACCACCCAGGGGCGCTCACCAAACTCTCACTCTGGATCGGCGAGGCACTCTCGGAGCAGGAGAAGGACTCCACTGGAAAACTCGCCCACGCCGGGCGCGGCACCCCTTTGGTAGTAGCTAGCCTGAACGAGAAGCGAGGTGTGTACATTGTAGTCGGCACTGGCGGTGGTGGCGGCCCAGACATGGCGTTTCTGGACAGGGAGGCGGCCAAGAAGAAGGAGCAGCTCAAGCAGGAAAAGGCAAAGGCAAAGGAGCAGAGCAGGCAGAACAAGCAGAAGATTCGCGAGCAGCAGAGAGCTGCAAAGCGGGCGGCCGGGAATGACGACGATGATGATCTAGACGATGAGACCGAGTCGGAGGGCTCTGATGCGTCGGACTCGGAGGACGAGGATGACGACGACGACGACGAGCCCCGCGGCAAGGGCTTTGGGCTGAACCGGTTCGGCGTGGCGTTCCAGGACGTCGTTGCCGAGACCAACGCGCGCGTCAGGATCGACAGCTTCGAGCATTGTGTCGTGGAGGTGAGGAAGGACGACCTCTCCGGGTTCCTGGAGAGCCTGTCCTCGAAGGCGGTGGTCGGTTAGACCTGCGGCGGGGGCCAGCCTTGGGCTTTCTATTCTTTTGCTTTTCTGTCACCAAGAGCTGGGCGGTAATCGGCATTTCGGCATCAGGAGCCAGGCGTTGATGGTCTTTGTCTTGCAAGGTCATGTTGCTGGAGGGATGGGGGATGTTGTTCTTGTTCTGTCTTGTGACGATTCACAGTCTGACAGCATGGGGCTTTGCTGGTGGTGGTGGTGGGATTCATTGGATGAGCGGGTGCATAACGAGGCAAATCATATGTATACACACAAGCACACACACATACACGTATATATATACAGCCGTTTGATTAAGATATCACTATACCATGGTCTGGCTTAGTTGTTAATGAAAATTGTGGCTATAGGCCTTTGGCGTCAGTGCGTAGACGAAGATGGTGAGGTCTCGCCGTGGCCAATCGAGTGAGCCATCTTAAATCTATTAGTGACACAGTACGAGAGCCTCTATCCTGCTCAGGAACAACCTCATTCATTATGCGCAAACCCACACAATGGCGAACGCTGTCAGTGATTGAACAGTCGTGACAAGGGCCCGCCGGGGACAGTCCGCCGAGGAGTAGCAACACGAGCTCGAGGTCATGGGTCGCAGAAGAGAGCGGAGAATACGTCCGTGAATTGAGCCTCCCTAGACCCATATGAGTTGAGCGGTATGAGTGTGAGGGTGCTTGTATTGTCGAGTGCATACGTAATATGATTCAACGAAGCATCTGGAGTCTGCGGCGCATCGACGCTGGGCAGAAAGCTTGTCCTGACAGCTGGGCCCGTCTCGGCAGCGGCCCTAGAGGTGCGCAGGCGGACGGAGCTGGTGGACAGAGAGACAGACGAGGTCGTACAGGTTGAGGCGCAAGATGCAAGGCACGCCAGCCTTAAAATTCCGGAGGCCAACGACGGTGACCTCGGGTCGTCGCCCCCGTGACGGTGTCGTGGAGTACGAATGTGCACTGCCGGGCTGGCTCCCTCATGATGTAGTCCACCTACCTTCTAGCCCGGCTAGGTGGTTCAACGGGCTCGATCTAGAACCCAGAACCCGGAATCCACGCACGCGCACGTTGGTCCTGTTGACGGCTGGGCCACTGGGACCGACGCTCGAATGGGTCGGCGCTAATTATGTCCTCGTCGAGGCCAACGCAACTGCCCGTGCTATTTTGGCGGCCAGAGAGGGGCACTGACGTACCCCTTAATTGCTGCACCATCCCACCAGCCAGGACACCAGCCAGGACGTCGGCCAGGACGTCGGCCAGGATACGTCCAAGAGAGCCCCTTCCAAGTTTGGTAGTAGGCGCGCAGCCAGCAGTCATCAGTTACAAGGCACAGGTGCACACCCAAGACTGGCAGGAGCACCAGGGCAGCAGGGCAGCCAAGGTACCCAGGTACCTTGTACACCCAGGCGGTGGTGGGACTGGGTGGCCTTGGCAGGTAAGCTTGACCATTCCCTCGCCCTGGGCCCTTGCCCTCGCGCTCACCCTCACCCTCGCCGCCTTGTTGTTATCACCCTTACCAAGCAAGCCTCCAACGGCCGGCCCATCCCAGTCCAGCCCACCCGCCAGTGCCACACCACGATTACCCGCGCCGCATCTGCTCCTCCTACCACTCCGGCCGCCTCCTCTTCCCTCTTACCAACTCCTACAAACAGTCTGTAAAAGAGAGAGAAAGAGAGAGAGGGACTACAAACCCAGCCTCCCGACCTTGTTCTGATTTTGTCCAGAGCCGCGAGATTCTTGACCCTGCGTCAGTCAGTCTCCTGGCACACACTACAGTGAACCCCTCCGGGAGTACGCAGGTACACACACACACACGGTCCAGGGTCTTTCTGGCAGTCGCAGCACGACAACTTATCTACCTTAGGTAGCCCACCTACAGCCCACAGCACATACAATCAAGTCAGTACCTGGACTACATACATACATACATACATACATCAGCGAGCGCACCCTCGGAGCCTCGTCGCAGAAAACCACCCCCCTCGCACCGACACCGACACCCACACGACACAGACCCAGACATCTCTGACACTGACTGCCACCCGTCAGCGCTGCCAGTGCTGCTGACGACCTCAGGATATGGGCAAATCGTAAGTTGGCCCTTTCCCTTCTCTTGCGGCCCGTCCTGTCCCTGCACACGCCCGCAATTGCAGGGTCGAGCTGGAGATGCGCGGCTCGGAAACAATGCGATTCAAACGCAACGCGGCGTTTCCTTTTTAACACCGCACCGCACCGCACCGCACCGCAAGCATGGGCATCGACTCGACACCACGCAGGGATACACCACCACATCACTCGAGCTCGAGTGCCCCTCCCCCCATTGACGCAATGACCTCCCCCTCCGGCACTCACGACGGCCGCGTCGTCGCCGTCTTCCACCCCTCATCTGTGCCGATCTGCGTCGGATCATCAAGGCTGACCAAAGCACGCCTAAAACAGACAGTCCAAGCTCTCGCAAGAGCAGCTGGCCGAACTGCAAAAGTCAACACACTTTGACAAGAAGGAGCTGCAACAATGGTACAAGGGTGCGCACAATCTCGTCCCCCCCCCCGGTCACGTCGCCATCATGCCCACCAACGGTCGTCGCGCCGCTTCCTCCATCCTCATCCTCGATCCTAAATTTATCCCCGATATCCCCACTCAGGTCGGGTTCCTGGTGTCTCAGCAGGAGCGAGACCAGCGAGACCCAGGAACCACCCAAAGCAGCAGTGTGGCATGCGCGCAAAACACCACCCCACACCATGACGGGGGTGGGGATTACACCACGATCAGCGACGGGACGTGATGGACGGGTGGCTGACAATACGCGGGCGCGCGCGACAACGCACAGGCTTCCTCAAGGACTGCCCCTCAGGCATGCTCACCAAGGACGAGTTCCAAAAGATCTACCGGCAGTTCTTCCCGTTCGGCGACCCCTCGAGTTTCGCAGATTATGTCTTCAACGTGTTTGACAGCGATAAGTCCGGGACCATCGATTTCAAGGAGTTCATCTGCGCGCTGAGCGTCACGTCGCGGGGCAAGATGGAGGACAAGCTCGACTGGGCGTTCCAGCTCTACGACATTGACGGCGACGGCAAGATCAGCTACGACGAGATGCTCAAGATCGTGGAGGCTATTTACAAGATGGTACGCACGCCCCCTTCTCCCGGCCCCCTTGTGTGTCTTGTGCCCAAGCCCCGCACCACTCAGGACGAGCTGGGCGCGACGACGGGGCTGTCAGGATTGCTGGTTAGCTAACGGGCATGGCTTGACAGGTCGGCTCTATGGTTAAGCTGCCGGAAGACGAGGACACACCCGAGAAGCGAGTGAAAAAGATCTTCCGGATGATGGACAAGGACGAGAACGGGAGCCTCGACATGGAGGAGTTCAAGGAGGGCAGCAAACGCGACGAGACCATCGTGTCCGCGCTGTCGCTGTACGACGGCCTAGTCTAGCCCCTCCGCAGGGGCTCGGGTTGGACGGACGTGACGGGCTGGAGGTACATGAGGGGAGGAAGGCTGAGATGGAGAGAATATGAGAGGGGAGGATTGGGCGAGAGCCGCGAGAGCCGGGAGAGCTGACGGGATGCAGGCCTTTTTGTTCTTTTTTTGAATCACGCTCTCAGAAACTTCCCTAGCTTGGGTCTACCGTAGCAAATACGTGCTTTTTATGGTTCATTGCGATTACACTCTCAACACTGTCCAGGTCCTACACATTACCTAGCGCAATCGCATGTATGCTGAGGACGAGGCTCTTAAGCTCCATTCACTCTGAACGTGCCTGTTCTGGACCCCGGTGGGTCCGGGAAACGACTACATGAGCACAACAAGCGACGGAAATGAAGCACTTGCCAGTCCATTTTCTTTTTTGCCTAGCCTGAGAGTCATGATGGATATTACTGCGTATTACATGGGTAGCGGGACCCCTCTTCGCGAAGAAAAGAAAAAACACCCTGCTGAATCATTGTTCCCCTGCCACGCCTGCCTGGTCATCCAAAAAAAAGGAGAACAAAGAGCCCCTCGCGAGGTCCAACAGCCTCAGTACTATGAACACGTGCAGCGCGCAAGAATTAAATCAGAGAAGGAGTCGACGGGGCCGGCTAGCTGGACGAGCCGTACGCCTGATTAATCTCCTTCTGGTACTTCTTCACGATCCCCTTTCGGTTCAGCTTCTGCGCCGCCGTCACCAGACCCTAAGTCGAGAGTGTTAGCATTGGTTTCACCCCTGGAAAGGATAGGATACAGAAACAAGGAAAGGGTGTGGGGATCGCAAATAGCTGCGGTGTACTTACGTTTTGAGGTGTCCACTCCTCGTCACTGAGGACCACGCCCTCAATGATCTCGATACCCGCCAGGCCGCCTGAACGCCCGGCATTCTGCAGCTCCTTCAGCACTGCGCCGTTCAGCTTCTTGGAGTGAACGAGCTCCTCGAGCACCGACCCCCCCACCCCGTTGTCGGCCGCCAGCTTCTTCAACGCCGGCTCCGCGGGCACGATGATGGCAACGGGCTTGGCCTTGGAGTCGTCGGCGAAGACGCAGATGTTGGCGACCACGTGGGCGGAGCGGTAGACCGACTCGAGCTTCTCGAGGGCGATGTACTCGCCGTTGAGCGTCTTGATCAGGTTCTTCTTGCGGTCGATCAGCTTAAGGTGCCCCCTTGAGTCCCACTCGCCGATGTCGCCCGTCTTGAACCAGCCGTCCGAGGTCAAGGCCTCGGCGGTCTCCTTGTCGTTCTGGTAGTAGCCCTCCATGATGCTGGGTCCACGCAGCCAGACCTCGCCCTGTGGGTGAGGCTTGTTGGTGGCGTGGTAGCCGGCATCAGGGAAATCGACCAGCTTGGCCTCGACGGACGCGGGCATGGCGCCGATACTCTCTGACGTCCACTCCAAGGGGTTCTGAAGGGTTCCCATGGCTGTCGTCTCGGTCAGGCCATAGCCGATGATCATGGGGCAAATGGCCATGGAGATGAAACGCTGCGTGTCCTTCGCGACAGGGCCTCCTCCGTTCAGGCATAGTTTCAAGCGGCCACCTGTGGCCTCCTTGATCTTCTTGAACACCACCGCGTCCAAGATGCCGGAGCCCGGCAGGCCGTAGCTCATCAGGGTGCTCTTTGCCCACAGCGCACCCCAGAAGAGGTTCTTGACAATGGGACTTCCGCCGTTAACTTTGCCGACAATTCCCTTCTTGACGTTCTCCCAAACAGCGGGCACACCGACCAGGACGCTGGGCTTGAACTCGCGGATGTCACCGTTGCACTTGCGCACAGAAGCGTCAGAGAGGGTCTTGGGGTTTCCGTAGCCCATCGTTGTGCCCCAGTGCAGGGCAGCGTTTTCGAAAACGAATTCCAGGATATGTGCCAGCGGGAGGTAGGTCAAGAGGCCGTCACCTGGGCCGATGAAAGGTTGCACAACCACACTGACTCCAGCAACGGCGGCAACCACGTTCCTGTGCTTGAGCGGAACACCCTTGGGCGTGCCGGTAGATCCTGACGTGTACATGATGCAGCAGAGGTCCTCAGACTCGGGCGGAACTGGATCGGCAGGGCTCTCCTCGCCCAACTTCCTCAGGTCGTCAAAACTTATGACCTTGACGTTGGGGTACGCGGCGTTCAGCTTCTCAACGTGCTCCTTCTTGAGCTCATTCTGGCTGTTCCAGATGACATGCCTGATCTCGGTCGCGTCCTTGAGCACGTTTGTCAGGGTCGGCAGCAGGTGTGGGTCGAGGAAGATGGCCTTGGCCTTGGTGGCAACCATGGAGTGGCGCAAACCCTCCTCTCCTAGGGTGTCGTATGCGGTGACGATGGGCATGGACTGAGAGGCAGCGCCGTGCGACAGGGCCAGCCAGTATGAGCTTGTGGCGGCGAAGATGTGGACCCTGTCCCCCTTCTCGAGACCCAGCTTCCGCAGGCCGGAGCCGATCTGCAGCATGAGCTTCTCGTACTCGGAGTAGGTCTTGTACTCGTAGCCGCTGAGCTCGAAGTAGGTCCACTGCTTGTCGACCTCGCGCTCCTCTCCGTCCACGACCTTCTTGACCTTCTTGGTCTCCTGGTGGGTGCGGACGAGCTTCCGCGAGCCCATGCACTTTGCGTTCCCATATTTCTCGACGGATGCGCGAACGAGCTCGTAGACGGTGGAGATGTTGGGGCCGGGCGCGACTAAATCGGGGATGGAGCCTGGGAGGCGGCGGATGGCAGTCTCGCCCTCTACAGGCTTCTGGCCAGGCACCTCGACCGAGTAGGGCGCCTTCGCCTGGAGGCGTGGTTCAATGTTAACCATGATGATGGCTGGGTATCACAGAGAAGTGGGATAAGGGGGAGGGCGGGGAGGGCAATGTGGCGCTGTCTCAGGGACTGGCCGACAGAAGTGGCCAACAGAGGATAGAGGAAACAGGAAAAAGGGGGCGAAGTGAGGTAGTGGAATGGGGAATGAAAGAAGATTCCAAGTCTGCCAAGAGGTTGAGGAAAGCGAAAGGCAAATAGTCCAGGTTCCCAATTTGGGCCTGGCAGAGACAAGAAAGGCGAGACGTCAAGAGGAGAGCTCCAGGTCCAGGACCCGGTCCAGGACCAGGGTTGGCTCGAGCTCCCGCCGGGCAGAGGTGGCAGAGGTTGTCGATATGACGTCCGCGTGCTGTCCTCTACACCTATACTTTGTATATCCTAGCTCGGGCTAGTCTACAAGTGGAGGGCAGGCGCGGCACCTCCCCGACCAGCCCTGCCAAACTGCAGGAGCAGATGCAGCAGTGACGAGTCTGATGCAGCAGACGGCTTATTACTTGCCTACGTGGTGGACAGCTAGCTAGCTACCCAAATTGCCAGATTCGATGCAGCGATCGAGCTGCCGGTTGCCCCTGGTGGGCCCCATCTTACCGACTGATCATCATCGACGTACCTCTGTGGTCTACACGTTTACATGCACAGGACAGTTTTATTCGTTCTCACGATGGGTGCAGCTTAGGGCGGGCTGGGGCACAACGCACCCGCCAGACTGCCCGTGTACCAACCGACCACTACTAGGTACATGCAAGGAACCTAGGTAGGCAGACTAGATACCGAGGGCGTGCCCGTGTCTCTGGTGCCGCGTCAGAACCTCGGCCAGAGGCGACTTCTCCAATCCTGTGACAAGACGAACAATGCAGAGTACGACCTCAACAAAATTGTCCTGCAACTTCAACGCCTTCTTGCCCCTTGCCCCTGCCGAAAGTGCAGACCAATTGCCATGCTCCAACCATCCGTGCGCTGGGTCTGCATGTCGCGTGGAAGTAGACAGACAGACAGACAGACAGACAGACAAGATCTCGACGTCGCTGGGGGTAGCAGACTAATTGTCTGGCAGACTTTCCGTCTCCCTGGCGGACATTATCTACATTTAAATGCTTGCTGGTGGATTCACCTTCCCTTGGCGCCCACTACTCGGAGAAGACGGCCAAGTACAGTAGGTAGCCAAAGTGTATAGGCTAGCCAAGACTTCCCTCCCATGTACAGCAATGGGTCCTTCTCATCAGCGAGCCGAATTCCTGGGACTCCGTGTGGGTACCGAACCGCCGCTTTGTCTTCACATACATACACTTCTGCAATATATCACAAGATATAGAGCACCAGAAAAACCGCCCATTCCTCGGCGCCTTCCCACTCGTCCGTCCGACAGACTTGCCTGAAAGCTGAAGCACGGCTCATCTCTTCAGCCCCCGTCCAAGACCCTCTCACAAGATCTCAGCCACGCGCCCAGGCGAGTCCGCCAAGCCAGCACTGAATGGCTGAAGTTGTCAACGGCCTGCTTGGCCAGCTAGGCCCAGAGATTCAAGACCCGGAAGAAGGCTAGTACGCACACACACACTCACGAGCGGAGAGAATGAGAGGGAACGCGGTCAAGTGACAACCAGAGAGTCTTATGGTGTTTCTGACCATCGGATCCTTTTTGCCCCTCAAGCAGAAGCCTTCCTGCTCTTCTCCCAGAGCATCCCCTCCCACAACGAGCTGGGCATTATCGACCCGAAAGCATCGACCCTTGAGCTCACCGTCAGCGGCCGTGACCTGACCGTGACCCAGTCCCCCAGCGTCCTGTCCTCAAATAGGGCTGGGAACAACAGGGGCCGGTATGTATCAACATCCCCCCCCCCTCCACAAATCATCACCACCACCCATGCACCCTTACAGCAACACATACAGGCCACATGCTGATACAGTCAGATCCGCAGTCGTGTGGAAGGTCACACCCATGTTCGCCTCGTGGCTGGCCTCACCCACAAATATCCTCTTCAGGACCGGCGTGCTCTCAGCATCGTCCACGGTGCTCGAGCTGGGCTGCGGCGTCTCGGCCCTGGTCGGCCTCGCCCTCGGCCCCCTCGTCTCCCGCTACGTCCTATCGGACCAGCCCTACGTAGCCAGGTTCGTCGAGCAGAACCTGGAGCAGAACCGTGGTCCCTCGCCAGCCAGGCCCCAAGGCGGCAAGGCGCGCGGCAGGGGCAAGGCTTCTACTTCTTCATCATCTCCGGGCGCGGGAGGGAGCATCACCTTCCACCCCCTCGACTGGGAGGCCGACACCCCGACCGCGGAGCTCACCGGCCGCGGCGCCGCCACGAGGTCCTTCGACCTCGTCCTGGGCTGCGACTGCGTCTACAACGAGGCGCTGGTCTCGCCCTTCGCGCAGACGTGCCTGGACGCGTGCCGGCTGCGGTCTGCAGACGGCTGCGGGGCCGAGGGGGCGCCCGTGCGGCCGCCTTGTGTATGCCTCGTCGCGCAGCAGCTGCGGGACCCTGAAATCTTCGAGGCATGGTTGCGCGAGTTCTGCGCGAAGGGTTTTAGGGTCTGGAGGGTCCCGGACGGCGAGCTGCCCGAGGGCCTCCGGAGCAACATGGGGTTTGTGGTTCATGTCTGTGTTTTACCATAAAGGAGGCGGGCGTGATAATGATGCGATACGGATAGAATTACAGCATGCCCAGATGCAACGTGAAATCTGAGCTTGGCATATGCGGTGATGGGAAGAAAAGCCCACGCGCTCTAACTGGCTGGAGGTGGCATCTTTCAGATTAACCAGACCTATGGTGCCAATATATGATCAGGTATTCACGTGGCCTCCATCCTTGGCAGAGATAGGGATCATCCAGAAATTTGATGCTTGAGTCTCCATAAAGGAGCGTTGTTGAAAATACCTTGCAGCCTGCCTACCTAGGCAGTAAACAGTAAGTCCGGATCACTTCTTCTCACAAGTTCATTGGCATTAAAGTACCCCACGTTTGAGTCACCAGACGATTTAAAGCAAGGTAGGCATCAAACATATTCTTCATTCCTCATTTCCAGAGGTCGTTAGGTAAGCTTTTCCAAGTTCTTTTACTCAAAGCCACTGGCAGAAATTTTTCGGCCTGCGGCCCTTCCAATATATGACCCATTGGCCCGCCAAAAACAAGTTCCACCGCATGTTGTTCCAAACATGCAACGCCCAAGCAGCAAAGAGAACTCCGTGACATTACCACTCCAGCGGCTCCTTCTTCGTCTCGCCGCGATTTGTCGTCGGGACGGGCACAGCCTTCGCCGCCAGCTTGCCGCCCTGGCCCTTCCTCTTCAAGTACGAGGTGCCGTCCAGCCACGGCGTCTCGCGCGTCATCTTCTTCTCGAACTCAGAGATCTTGTCCTCCATCTGCAGGGTCAACCCGATGTCGTCAAGGCCGTTGATCAGGCAGTGTTTCCTGAACTCCTCGACATCGAAACTGCACATTGCGTTGCCAGCAGCGTCCTTGATGGTCTGGTTCGGCAGGTCGACCTCAATCTCCCTGCCGGCGCGCGCCTCGGCGGCGATGGCATCGAGATGCCCTTGGTCCTTGATTGGGATGGGCAGCATGCCGTTCTTGAAGGTGTTGTTGAAGAAGATGTCGGCAAATGAGGGCGCGATGACACACCTGATGCCGAAGTCGTTCAGGGCCCATGGGGCGTGCTCTCGGGAGCTACCACACCCGAAGTTAGGTCCAGTGACGACCAGGATTTTGGCATTGCGGTAGGGCTCTTTGTTCAGGACAAAGTCGGCGTTCTCCTTTCCGTCTGCGTGGAAGCGCAGCTCGTAGAACAGAGCAGACCCCAGTCCGGTTCGCTTGATTGTTTTAAGGAACTGCTTGGGGATGATGGCATCAGTGTCGACATTCGACCGGTCCAGGGGAGCAGCAATGCCCTTCAGGTTGGTGAACTTCGGAAGACCGGTGGATGACCCTGCAGATGTGTTGGTGTGGGGGCCGTTGTCGTCCTTGGGGATGTCGGCGATGTGATCCTTGTCCGATTCGTCACCAGACAGGTTCTCGTCCACCTTAGGAGGCTCTGGGGCTGCCTTGAAGGCCTCGATGTGAGGGCTGGTCTCGTACTCGGTCAGTTTCCTCACGTCAGCCAGCTTGCCAACGATAGCGGCGGCGGCGGCCATAACGGGGGACATGAGATGCGTTCGCCCTTGGGCTCCCTGGCGGCCCTCGAAGTTACGGTTGCTGGTGCTTGCACAGCGCTCCTTGGGAGACAGGATGTCAGGGTTCATGCCAAGACACATGCTGCACCCGGCTTCACGCCACTCAAACCCTGCCTCCGTAAAGATCTTGTCGAGTCCCTCCTCTTCAGCTTGGTCCTTGACGATTCCTGAGCCCGGTACGATCATAGCCCTCTTGATGTTGCTGGCAATCTTCTTGCCCTTGACCACGGAAGCGGCGGCGCGCAGATCCTCGATCCTCGAATTTGTGCAAGAGCCAATGAAGACCTTGTCAACGACGACATCCTGGATGGGGGTGCCGGCAGTGAGACCCATATACTCGAGCATTCGGCGTGCGGCCGCCTTCTTAGAGTCTGAGCCAAAGCTCTCGGGGTCAGGGATGTTGCCGGTGATGGGCACGACATCCTCGGGGCTGGTACCCCAGGTCACCGTGGGAACAACGTCCTTCGCGTCGATGAAGACGTCGATATCGTACTTTGCGCCGGGGTCGGACTGCAGACTCTTCCAGTAGGCAATGGCCCGGTGCCACTCTGGAGAGTTGTACCTGGGAGCCAAGGGCCGGCCCTTCAGGTACTCGAAGGTGATGTCATCGGGGGCGACCATGCCGGCTCTCGCACCACCCTCGATGGACATGTTGCAGATGGACATGCGAGCCTCCATGCTGAGGCTGCGGATGGCAGAGCCACAGAACTCGATAACGGCACCGGTGCCACCAGCTGTTCCTATCTTGCCGATGGCGTGGAGGATGATGTCCTTGGAGCTGACACCGGGGGCCAGCTCTCCGTCAACCTGTATCCTCATGTTCTTGCTTCGCTTGGTGATCAGGCACTGGGTCGCGAGCACGTGCTCAACCTCGCTGGTGCCGATGCCGAAAGCAAGGGATCCAAAGGCGCCGTGCGTCGAGGTGTGGCTGTCACCACAGACGACTGTGGTGCCGGGGAGAGTGAAACCCTGTTCAGGGCCAATAACGTGGACGATTCCTTGCCTTCTGTCGCTCAGGCCAAAGTAGGTGAGACCGAACTTCTTGACATTGTCCTCGAGGGTGACGCATTGTACCCTTGAATCGTCCTCGGCGATAAAGCTGGCGATGTCCTTCAGGGACTTCCTGGTGGAGGTTGGGACATTCTAGGGTCATCGTCAGCGCGCAATACAACAGGAACAAGCCAGCTCATGACCACATAATCGGGTTCAACGCACGTGGTCGGTGGTGGCCAAGGTGCAGTCAGGCCTGCGGACCTTGCGCCCGGCATTTTCCAGCCCCTCAAAGGCCTGAGGAGATGTCACCTCGTGGACAAGATGCCTGTCTGTCAGGGTGAACGTCAGAACTTGCTGCCCAATGTCTTTGTCGTAATTGACTGAAACCAACCGATGTAAAGGAGAACTGTGCCGTCCAGCTTCTCATCCACGATATGTGCCTGCAGCACCTTATCGTAGAGAGTCTGCGGTGCTCCCTCTGCTCCAGGCATGATGAATCAATTGAGTAGTGTATTGCAGTGTGGTGGTTGCACGGGTTGGCGGGAATGCTCGGGGAGCTTGCAGGGTACCTCGGCTCCTGAGAGCTTCGTGTAAGTGACTGGAGCGCCGGGGATGACACAAGGTTGAGTAGCCGAGGAATTTTGGTGATAATTGATGGCTGGTCGGGAAAGGGAGAAGGAGGCGGAGAAGGAGTAGAGTAGGTGAGATTTAGACTTCTTTCAGCTAAAAGGCAGGGAGGCGACTCAAATACGCATCTGGGGGCGAGGCCTCTTAAGGAGGCTCGCGGGAAAGTACCTGCGATTGAACATTGTAGCCCAGGGGCCCGATTATCGGAGGCTCACCAGCAGCTCCGGTTCACGGAACGCGGGGAGGGACTCGGGGCGGGATGAAATTGGAAACTGATGTCAAGGCATTGGCTGACGCTCTGCTGCCGGCAGGGACTGCCCTGGAGCAGGGGTCCACAATGGCGGGGTCGGTGGTGCTTCTGGGTGCCCTCCCCTTTTCAGGCATGGCGCCTGGATGATCTTCTGAGCCCGACAGCCCAGGTACGGAGTACTTGGACTGCGTGCCTGTGGTCAACCTGCCACCTACAGTCCACAGTCATGCGGCGACCCGAGTATTGCGGATGCTGCTCCATTTCGTCAATTAGCACCAGCTGGCCCTGGAGGATAGTAGCGTCTTCGTAGCTCTTGTCAGGGGCTCGCAGAATCTCCCAAGTGGCGGTCGCGATGCTGCTGCTGCCTCAGCGAACGAAAGTTTGCGAGCGAAGCCGACAAGTGGGTCGCAGATTGTACAGTGTTGCATCGCCGTCTCTGCTGAGAACCGGGGTGAACTCTATCTGGCGGCATGTGGCGGGCATCAGGTTTCTCTCTAGGGAGTAGTTATGCAGTCTTCTATTTTGTATATTTAAAGCCTCTTGGTAAACTCTCTTCCCCTCGGTATCAGCCAGTAGAGCCTCTTGGATAGCAAACACAGATCAAGTGACCCCCGGAAGATGCGGCTGCCAGGGTCGCACACCTGCATCATGTACTGACTGTACCTTCGATGCGACCGTGAACAATATATCGGCCTTGTCCATGTAGGCACTCGCGCACAGCAAGAGAGCAGTCCCCTACTGCCTTCTGACGAGGTACCGCACCCGCGGGACGAAGATGTCCCCCAATCGCGGACTTCTCAGAATTTTCGCAAGGTTTTCCGGACCCTCACCGGGGTCCGTAAATGCTTGCACTCACTGACGTCAGCCTTGTGGGCTGAGCCGTCGCTACCCTCACCTTTCATGAGGCCGTCGATTGTCCGCACCTAGACCTGAGGCATATGTCCACACGTCCCCTTAGTGGTTCGTGAGCGAAGGAATACAAATTAGAAGGTGCTTGCTTATGACGGTGAAATTCAACGAATTCGCTCACTCCTTCGATGCACCGAGACACGGCCTTCGGGCCTCGAAGGATCTCAATGCAACCAGCCAGCCGCAGAAATCTGTATGCAAGGCGGGTTCGGCCCGGCGCGCTCTCGCTAAGCCACCTCCATATTCTCATAGACCCCAGGGAACATGGTGACAAATGCATCCAACCCAAGGCCGCATTTGGCAATACACGACTACGACGGGCCTGAGAATATGGGCAAAAGTATTTATGTGATTTGATGCTGCCGGCCGACTTGGTCAAGTCGCCTATTCATACTACATTAAGAAATGCATACTCGGCCAGTCCCTTCTCAACTACCTAACCGTCTATGAAATACCGACGGTTCGTGTTGCGTGACGGAGGCCTTCTCGCCTCAGCCAGGCCCTCGACGTCGCTCTCGTCCGGGAAGGCAGCCAGCCTGCAGTTCTCGTCCGCTTTCTGGAGTGGTGCCCGCTGTCTTGATGACCGGAGATTCGGCATGGACTGCAGCGCCACAGAGTCGGACAGGATCCAGTAATGGTGGTGGTGCGTGTGGAGACATATCTTGCCGCCGGTGTTCTTCAGGGCCTCGTTGCAGGAGCTCTCGCCGCTGGTAATTCCGTCACCGCCGACATTCCTACCAGCGTCTCGACGTTCCAGCGCCGAAGATGAGGTTCTCGATTCGGAAGTCCTTGAATTGGTTGGTCTGGTAGCACGCCCGCGAGGCTCGCTTTTCTTGCTGCCTCGCTGGTCTGTGTAGTACTCGTGGGTCATGGAATCGGGCTTGGAAGGGTCGAGATCCGACTCTGGCGTGGACCTAGACCTGAACTCGAGGGCAGAAGAAGGAGACCGCTGCCGGCTGGTCACATTTCTTGGTCCACCAGGTCGTCGCCAAGGTGAATCTCGGGGCTCCTCAGGTCTTCCACCACGACCCGGACGGCTATCACAAGACCCGCCTCTTGCCTTCACAGCGCCGGCGACCGAGACAGAGTCCGACGGTGCAATCTCAGTCGGTAGGCGGCCATGGCCGGGTTGCTAACCCACTGGTTTGGGCCCGACTCGGGGAGGTCTTGGAGACGGCTCACCTGGGAATTCCGACTCGACAGGTATCAGGTCGCTGTAGCTGCGTTTCGATGATAACGCGCGGGCCGCTGCAGACAAGGGGACTGGTTTTCGCCTCAGACCGCCTGTGGCACCACTGGTCAAGGACTGCCCTCGTGTGGAACCAGTGGTGCGTGTTTGCCCAGGGTCATCTTCGGAGGCATGTCTCACAGACGGCGTCCGCACGACCGTCCCCGTCGACTCCCCGTCCCGCGGCGTCGTGGCCGCGCTGCTCTGCGCGATGGGGCTCAGTGCCGGCTCGATCGCCGAGCTCCACCCCGACCTCCTCTTCATCCACCTCACAGTATTCCGGTGCTCGGCCCTGATGGCCTCCTTGTCCCTCTCCCACTTCCGCATCTTCTCGGCCTGCAGCTGCCGCCTCGCCGCCTCGTACGCGCTCCTCTTGTTAGCCACCGTCTGCGCGAGGGATGCGAACTCGCTCGCGGAGCTGCTGGTGGGCGTGAGCACGTCGAGCTCCCCGGTGGCCGGGTTGATGCCCTGGACCCCGAGGTAGTCGCCGGACTCCCTGAGGCTGCGGCGGAGGCGGCGCTTCTCGCGGTGCGCGAGGTACAGCTGCTGCGTGCGTGTGCTGGGGGTCGAGTTCGAGCTGGGGCTGGGCTCGATGGCGGTGTTCCAGCGGACTATCCTGTCTGCAGACTCGCCCCCAGGATCAGAGCCAGGCGAACCTTGCTTTTCGATCGTGTGTGCATCGTCTTGGCGTGATTCGGAGAGATTGTTTCTTCCCGTGCGTATGGTGTGGCCTTTCTCAGGTCTGTTGCTGGGGAGGAGTTTCCTGAGGCTGCTTGCGAAAGACATGTTGTAGGTTATATGTGTATGATGCAGCGAGCGTCTTGAACTAGTTTAGAGACAATCCAAGAGTGCGATCCTGAGCATCAGCATCTAGGGTGAAGGTGTGTTGGGAAGGAGTGACCGCCTGACCGTCTACCATCATGCCCATCATCCATACCTGGCTTCCAAAATTCTACTTGGAACACCACTGTCCAAAAGGCGTCGCTTCAGACGAAGGAATACATGCCCAAGGCAAGGGCAACTCGCTTTCAAATCTGGTCAGTTATCAACATACTTTTGAGGCATCCATCCACTGACATACCAGGAACAGGACTGCACACGCTGTACCAAGATTCTCGAAAACGGTGAGCTAAATCGTATTTCACTAGGTACCTAGATTGGTCTTCACGTATCTGCCAGTCGCCTAGAACAACAGCAGCATGAACGATAACAAAAGAGACAAAAAAAAGCACGACAGTTCCAACGCCCAGACCGAAGTGTTTCCCGTTCTGCATGCAACGCCATGATATGCAAGTAGAAAATGCCCTGAACAAATTCGGTCTTCAAGGGCAGACAGACTGCGACTTATCGTCGGTCACTGTAACCACCATGTCGCCAGCCGACGACCCATCCCATCTCGATACCTCGCCATTTGGCCGTAGGCTGTCCATCCATTGTGACCTCGGGAAAGGAAAAGAACGGTCTTGTTGAGGCGCCTGTGTAGCGAGATCTTGAGCAACGTATCCCTTCATATGCGCCAGTACTGGACCTTTAGACGCATGTTCGGCTTCACCTTGACGCTCAACAAAATCCTGAATGATTGATTAATTGGCAGCGTGGGAAGTCTGTCGTGTGTTTTCCCGCCACAATCTCGCAAGCAACGTCGCCTTGCAGGGCTTAGCAGCCCCAGTTCACCACACAACCAGAAGTCACAAATATCACCTTGTATGTTCTAACCTCGCTTTGCTTCGCCTGACTATTCGGGGGCAGGAAGACGTCGGCACAGACGCCTACCATCTAGAAGGGAACCTCTCGAAGCGCCCGCGGTGTTGTCCCATCCTGGAAAAAGGGTTCGGGCTGGACTCAGGTTCCTCGCCCACCTGACCGTCAAGCTGCATGCTTGAGGCCAAACCACTAGGGCGGCGCTCCTTGACCGGGCTATTCCTTCGGATCATCCTCTCGGCCTGGTCCTTCTGCTCCATGGCAGCCAGCTCCCGGGAGTTTTTGGGTGAAAATGGATTGCCGCCGCCGCCTCCTCTAATATCGGCGATACTAGCTGCTTTCTTCAGAGGTGACTCTGCGTGACTGTATACACCCAGACTGCCTCCGTAGGGCGTCCCTCCGTGAGGCGTTCCTCCGTACGGCGTCCCTGTGCTAGTCCCCGTGTTTGTCATCGTAGACTTCTCCGGTGATAGTCTTGGCGTCCTGGAAGCTGCCATGCCTTGGCGTAGCGGCGATGGGCGCGTCTTGAGTGTGGACTGGAACAGATCAGGTTGTTTAGGCCTGTTGTTGAGCGGGGTAAACAATGCAGGGCTCGGTGAGCCGCTGGGAGGTGCATAGCCTGAGCCGTCCGGATCAAAATGTTTGGCATAGTTTTGGTTCGGATGAGTCTGAAAGCGGCGTCGAATCAGGGTTGTCGGCGTCCCTGTCTGGATATCTTCCCACTCATTCCCTTCCTCATCCTCTCCGCACTGGGTGCCCACGTCTCGGACCACTGGGGGGTTAAGACGCGGGTGAACATATTTGTTGTCGTACTCTTTCATAACCTGCCCTTTGACAAGCTCTGAGTCTTTCTTCTGTCGACTGAAAGCAGACTCCATGGCTAGTAAGAGGCCAGAGATTGCGGCCTGCTCAACGATGCACTTGAAGACTGTCACACTGGGTTGTGGATCGAGGGGTGTCAATGGGAGGGCCATCATGTATATGAGCACATGTAAGGGGCTGAATAGGCACACCAGCTGCAAAGACGCTGGCACTGGATCCCACATTCGCAGCTCCCACACATCTCGGGTCCTGTCCGGGTGGGCACGAGAGTCGGCGCTTTCGCCGGTAAGGTCGCTGAGAATTCGCAAAGGGGATGAAGTCGCTGGCGAGGACTGCACTCGCACACGATGCGCAGAAGGTGTATTAAGTGGCTGTTCGACGTCGGCCTCGAAGAATCGGTATGCGCGGGATCGCCAGAACGTGAAGAAGAGGTTCCATGCTGAGAAAGCAACGAGGTCCCACATCAAAGAATATGCCTAATGAGCCCCAAAAGTCAGTAAGACGACATCAGCTTCGGTGCGAGCGCGGTCCATGAACTTACGAAATAGGCAAGCCACCCTGTCGAGGCAGGAGAGTCCGAATCGCTGAAAATGTCGTCGCTGTCGCCGCCTGCCGAAGACGACCCATATACACGCGCAAGTATGAAGACGAAGTTAAGCGCTAGGCCGAGCTGGGTCCCCAGAGATTTGGAGCCGAAGTTCCTCGTCTCGATCTCTTCAGACAACCAGAGGAGGTAATCCCACGGGTCCAAGAACGCCTTGATGCGCTCCATGAGCGGGCGGCGGCGGACGATACGGGGACGGGGAGGCATCGCTGCGATGGGTTCAAAAAATGATTTCTTTATGGTCGCATTGAGGTTGGCGGTGTCGCACGCGCGCGCGCTACCCGTGGCTGGATGCTGGGTGCTAGTTCTGGTTGCTGGTCGGTGGTCTTTGGTAGGAGCGTACGAAGTAAGAGATGGGAATTGTTTACATTGCGCTCGGGCAACGTGTGGAAATCCGACGGGAGATCGGTAACGGCAGGCCCCACTAATGACTGTCTGCTATCGTTTGAGACCAGCAAGATGCAGAAATGGCCTGTGGGATAACCTGCCGCGGGATTACTTGCAGTGGAACGACCTGCTGTGGGACAATCGCTCGTGGGGCAACATTCCTTAGGATATAGCCTTACAGGATAACCTCTTATGTATTGCAGAGTGAGCTATCTGTGAGCTCCAGGAACAAGGAGCTCTCTCTCCGCTTGCGGCCTTGTGCTGCAATAGGCAGCGGAACAAAGCGCTAGACGCCGGCAGGCTTGGGCCTGCTGGTTGCCAAATTTAGCGGGCGGGCAGGCAGCGATAGCTGTGGGATCCGGTGGTCAGAGCTCCGAGCCGCCTGGCCCAAACAGCGTCATTACCACAGTGCCAACCTTGGGTGAGCAGGCGGAACATCAGCAGCCTGTCTCAACTCCAACCGTTCTTCTCGCGCGACAGAACTGAGCAATATGTCACAAGCAGACTACAGGGACAGGCAATTTCTTGCCGTGATCGGTGACGAGGTACGGTTCTCAGGGTCGGTTGCTCATATAGCCTTCCTCCGCTGACCGACTCCCAGGACTCAGTAACGGGTCTGCTCCTCGCCGGCATTGGTGTAAGTTTCTCGGGACGACGCGGCAGGAGATTGTACCTGACATTTAGACAGCATGTGACCACAGGCCCAGACTCGCAGAAGAACTTCCTGGTGGTGGACAACAAGACCGACAACGCCACCATTGAGTCCACTTTCGACAAGCTCATTGAGCGCAAGGACATTGGCATTATCCTGATAAACCAACACGCAAGTTACAATTCCTTTGCTCGGGAGATGGTAACATGAGCCTGACCCTGTCTTCCCACTCCAGATCGCCGACCGCATACGCCACCGCATCGATACCTACACCGCCGCCTTCCCAACTATCCTTGAAATACCGAGCAAAGATCACCCCTATGATCCTGAGAAGGACAGCGTCTTGAGGAGGGTGCGCCGGCTGTTTGGAGAATAAGGAGCGTGCTGTTGGGGATTCGATGGGAACTATCATCAATGTATGAGGGACATACAGGGTCGAGCCGGCAGGCAGGAATTCCTGTCGAACGAGATATCGCGAGTCACGGCAGTGGTTGGGCTCGACTGCCTATGACTGGGACATGTATCAGAAGGGTGGGCACTTTCTTCTCATCTTAGGCTGACGAGGGCATTGGTAGCTTGTTGAGACCTAGGAGCAATATCCCCAAGCGGTGACATGGCGTACTAAGCGCATCCAAGCATACTCGTTACTGCTCATCCTCATGTTCTTGGTATTTGTGCTGCGATGACATTGTGGTTGGCATGCGCCTTCTTCACCCAAAACGAACTACATGGACATGACATAAAGAGCCCCAATGTTCGCGGACTGTGGTATTAGGAAACGCAACAACGCCGGCCCAATATATTTCACAATAGGCGAATGCAATCCCGAATCGACGTTCTCCATTCCTTCGACTGAAAAGTTGCTACCATATAGTGACATGCCCCAAGGAGCTAAAGCAAAGTGCCTTGCTCGACCAGCTACAGCTCGATCTCAGCAGCCTTGTCGGAGCTGAAGACGACGGTGGCGGTCAGACAAGTGATGGGCTTGTCATCCTTGGTGTACACATCGGCGAGAACAGTGTATTTGCCCTGGCGCGACGATTAGCAATTGTCATGAACAGATAAGGGCAGTGATGTTCTCACGTTAGGGATCTCCTTTGGCAGCTCGACGGTCTTGGTCAGGGTGAGGTCGCCCGAGTCGATCGGGCACTCGAGATCGACGTTCTTGACCTGCTCGCAGAGGTCGGCCTTGGTGCTGATAAGACGGATCAGGCCGTACTTGACTTGCAGAGCGACGTAGGCGCCCTCCTCGATGGGCTCGGAGACTGTGCCGGAGGCCTTGATGACGAGGTCTTGTCCACTATCGCGGGAAGCACCAGGGTTAGCCAGTAGCTCTGAGTTATCTGTGGGTCCATGTAGGCCTCCAGGCCGGGCAAGTGTACGCACGCCTTTGGGGGGTTTGGAACCAGGTCGACCTTGTCGATGGTGATGATGTCCTCGTCGTGTGCCTTTGGGCACAGCTCGAGGGGCGAGTCACCGGGGATCTTGAGGTCCTCGTTCACGGTGACCTGACTGCCCCCGAAGTTGAGACCGAAGCCGGCATGGGCGACGGCGGCGGAGAGCGCGACAAGCGCCGCGGACAGCCTCATGGCGAAGGCTGTTATCGAGGGAATAGCGGTCTGTAGGTTCGGTGTTCAGTGCCTGCTTGAGTGGGCAGTGTATGTGAAGAAATCGGATATCGCGAAGCGCACCAAAAGAGCGATGACAGCTCCGTGGATGTTGTGATGCAAAACAAGATCGAGTTGTGTTTCGTTGGGTTGAACGATGGCGTGCACAGGGGACTACACCACAGCTAACGGCGGCTATCTGGACGTCATGGGGGCCGACCCCATGACTGGCGTACTGCGGCTTGGGAGGCGATCTATTGCTGGCACATGCAGGTCAGCCACTAACAATCCAAGCCTGCCCCAGCCTTCTGGAAACCCCAAGAAAGGGTCCCGGCGAGGGCCACCAGCAGAGCCAGCCAGCCATTTGTCTGACCCGCAACAGTTACAGAGGGTTTCATTCGCGTCATCACTGCCCAGGCGAACTTGGTCCGGCACCCAGAAATGGCTTTGTTCGCAGTTCGCAGGCAAATGCAACGATGACATGACACTGAACTTCACTCTTTGTCGCCGCTGAACAGGCACCCTGACAGCAAGTATCTGTGGACTAGGGATGCTGTTTTCAGACTGTTGGAGAACCGTCTTCGATATCCTTTATGGTTCACGGTTGGACGTACTCAGACTTTGAAGTCCGTGGGCCTTGGAACCTTGGCCTCAGCGGTTCGCACATTTAGCTACCATCAAGAAGATGTGGAACTCGAATGAGACATCGGTAATATGATCAACATCTTCCACAACAAAAATGTATCAAGGCTGGTGAATTCAGGAGGCGAACCGTCCAGTGCTGGTAAAAGGTCCTAGCTAGGACAATGACAATCAGGCTTGTGATATTGGGGGCTCCATGCCCGCCCCAAGTGTGCTGACTTGCTGACCCTGCAGCAATTCGCTTGCACCGGAGAATTTTCACGAGAGAGATTGGCCAAATGGCATGCATGCTCTCCAGATTGTCGGACTACCAAGGTTGATTTCGAACTTGGTTCTTCAGAAACAACCTGTGCAGTACTAGATATGAGAACGGATATTTGCACCTGCAGAAACGGATGGTACACCGGTACATCGCCAGCACTAAACCAGCACCCACGCCCAATTCACATGCCCAATTCACACACTTGATTTATATACTTAGAGCTAATTTAAATGGTTAGGGATCATTAAGTATGCTACTTAGATATGTGAATCAGGTGTGTGAGTTGGGTGTTTAGGTGTTGAGTGTGTGGGTGTTGGGTGCATGGGTGTTAGGTCGTGGGTGGTGCACTGGCTGCAGCTGTGGCGCCAGTGATGTACCAGTGTACCATTCGTTCTTGTAGGTGTGAATATCCGTTCTCCTACATTCATTCAGGGTATTCTAGGCTTGGACAGGGGTAGCTCCTCTAGGTGAAGCACGGATCAAGATTCGTTCCCACCCTCTGGTTAGGCGTGGTACACGGAATACACGTAGACGGGCTAGACTATGCAATGTACACGACTCGCAAAGCAAGGATTCGAGCTCTCCAGCACCATGACGTGGGTGGTGTTCACAAGCCCTGATTTCCTCCTCAACCACCATCGTCACCTCCCCCTTCAGCCCCTCAGCCCTTCCTACATAACACCAGTCTATCAATTCCTCTCTGAGGACCCTACCAAGCCTCGGCCATATCCACTTTTCACATACTCTGCATGTTCCGCAGCCATACAGCACCTACAAACCAGCAGTATGGCGACCTTGCGGAGCTTGTATAGGTCGGATCATGCAGATCGACCAGAGTTCAACACAAACTTCAAGTCAGTCAAGGGCCTTGGGACTTCACAGCTCTGTATATTCTGACAAACCTCCAGTGTTGACTATGTGATTCACTACCACATCCCGCCCGAGGGTAAGCTTCGAGTACAGGAACCGGTAGCAGCGTTTGGGAGCTACCACTGACACATGAACAGATTCGACCAAAGCAGAAGCTGCCTTTGTGCAACTCATCGAGGCGCTATCCAGCGTAGGGCTCGCCACAGAAGTCCGCCGCGGCGACAACTCATCTCTTCTGGTCTTCGTCAAGGTCGCCTCCGAGGACCTTCTCAAGCAGCATGCGTACCGGTACAGGGTTCAGGACTGGCTGTACGGTGTTCGCACTTCAGCACCCAGCAAGGACCTCACCTCCTACTTCCAGGAGCAGCCAGTTTCCGAGGCTGAGAAGCTGAGGCTTGTCTACCTCTTGATCACGAAGCCGTGGAACGAGGGCGGTGCGGGCGTGACACCCGGGTCCGGCCAGTGGAAATCTGTCAAGTCAATCTTCCCACTCCACAACCACTCATCCAACAGGCAGTGGATCAAGAAGTTGAGCACCAAGTACTTCATTGAGGAGGACGACATCAACCAGATACGCGACAAGTTCGGAGAGCAGATCGCTTTTTACTTTGCCTTCTTGCAGGCCTACTTTTCGTTTCTCATCTTCCCTGCTGCCTTCGGTTTCGGCGCTTGGCTAATTCTAGGCCAGTTCTCGTGGTTCTACGCCGTCGTGAACTGCCTGTGGTCTGTGGTGTTCTTCGAGTACTGGAAAAAGAAGGAAGTCGATCTCGCTGTCCAGTGGGGTGTGCGGGGGGTCTCTCGTATCCAGCATCCTCGCACACAGTTCCAGTTTGAACGGGAGGCCCAAGATCCGGTCACCGGCGAGATCATCAAGGTCTACTCTCCATTCAAGAGGCTCCAGCGCCAGCTGCTACAGCTCCCCTTCGCCATAGTGTGCCTGCTTGTCCTTGGGAGTCTCATCATTTCCTGCTTCTCGATCGAGATCTTCATCTCCGAGGTCTACAACGGCCCCTTCAAGCAATACCTCGTAAGTGTCCGACACAGCCTCGACTTGTGAGCTTTGAACTAACATGCAGCAGGTGTTCTTGCCCACTCTTCTTTTATCAGTGTTCATGCCGGCACTGACCACTATTCTTACGAACCTGGCGGAGAAGTTGACTCACCTAGAGAACTACGAGACACATGATTGTGAGTTCTCAAATTGATCTAGAGGCTATGCGAGACGCTAATAAAACATACAGCGCACCAAGCGGCCTTTGTCCAGAAGATGTTTGTTATCAACTTCATCGTCTCTTATCTACCCATCATCCTGACGGCATTTGTCTACGTCCCCTTCGGCAAGATTCTCGTGCCTTACCTCGATGTCTGGCACGTTACTGCTCAACATTTTACGAGCGATGGCAAAGTGGAGATCCAACCCTTTGAGATCAACCCAGATAGGCTCAAGAAACAGATCATTTATTTCACCGTGACAGCGCAGGTTGTCAACCTGCTCCTGGAGAGCGTGGTGCCTTTGATCAAGCGCAAGGTCTTCAAAGCGGTCAAGGAAGTGCAGACCGCCAAGAATGGCACTCCCCGACCTGAGGACCCTGAGGAAGAAGCAGCATTCCTCCAGCGCATTCGAAATGAGGCAGAGCTGGACAAGTATGACGTGACAGTGGATTATCGCGAGATGGTGGTTCAGTTTGGTATGTGACGCGCCAGCTTCTACGTTTTCGAGCATCCGGTGACTGATCAAATCCAGGTTATTTGTCATTATTTTCTGTGATCTGGCCCCTGACTGCCTGCTCTTTCCTCGTCAACAACTGGATTGAAGCTCGATCTGATGCAATGAAGATCGCTATTGGCAGCCAGAGACCGGTTCCCTGGAGATCTGATTCCATCGGTCCTTGGTTGACCTCGCTGGGATTCCTGTCGTGGCTCGGAAGCTTGACGAGCGCCGCGATTGTCTACTTGTTCAACAAAGACCCATATGGCCCTGATGGTGTTCCATCCAACGTCACAGGCTGGGCTTTACTTCTCAGCATCCTGTTCGCTGAACATCTCTACCTCGTCGTCCAGTTTGTCGTCCGCTACGTGGTTGGCAGCTTGGACAGCCCTGGATTGCAGAAAGAGCGTGCTGAACGGTTTGCAATGCGCAAGCTGCATCTCCAGGAGACGCTGGGTGAAGACTTTGCGGAGAACGCAGCTGCAGCGAATTTGAGCGCCGGCGAGAAGATCACTCGCGAGGCTCTCGAGGAAGAGGCTCGCAAGGCATCCATCTCCGGCTCGGGAACGCCCGAACAGCTTTTCTGGCAGCGACAGCGCGGTGCCGCTGAAACTATCCAGATCGGGCGAGGGCTGATCTCCGAGGCCGCGGCTGCAAACAAGACAAAGGCACAATGAACAATAAGAAGTCAACAGTGGATGGTTTCGGCCAGTCACGCTCGCATGAGTAAACTGCTTGCGCAAGGAGGAGTCGTAACGGTTTTGCTTCATTTTACTCTTTCACTCTGCCCGGCGTTTGTGGTTGGGGGGTGGAGTCATTCGGCCTCCTTTGGGAGAAACGTTCAATCTGCTGCAGTCGGGCGTCGAACCATTCGGATAAAGGCATGACCACAACAACGCATCAAGCCTTGGTCAGAAGGCACATCGCGAGGCTCACATACTAGCTAGCTATGTGCCAAGCGACATGTTCAATGGGCGTTTCCGGGATAGCTCCCGAATCGAGTTCGTCAATCAGGGTGTGAAGATTAGTGCCTAATAGAGATATCGAGCATCAGGCCGGTCTCGACAGTGCAATGTGCCTTGCGTAGGCTGAGCACTCGTGGGGTCGAATTAGACCCAGCTCCGCCTGTTGCCTAGACCGGGGCTGAATAGACATGCGGTACTACCTAGTACACAACAACCACATGTGACTTTGGTGATAGAGCGCTGCACTGCGAGATGATGATGAAGTATTTGGTCAAGGCCCATGGTTTTGGAATCTGCCACGGGCAGCCTCTCTGCCTCTCCCGCGTCTGGTGCTTCATCCTATTTGCGCATTTCATGTGGACATGCCGCGAGTTGCACCATCATGTTTCATTCTGCGGGAAACACCCGACTGCGCCTACGAACTCGCTGGTGACACAGCCTTATCAATAGCACACCACAGCAAGCCACTTCGGGTCAGCTTGACTGCGCGTCCAGTCTCGCCCGGGACCCGTCATAACGTGCATAGGGCCACTTTGGTATCGAAAGCAGAACGTACTTGCTACACCTTAAAGCTTGCTTCTCGAGGACTTCAACATGAATAAAACTGTCGACGATCTGGTTCTAGCTCCTTTCAGAGATATTGTGGCTCATGGGGAAGCCGCTATCAACAACGCGGAGGACAGTGGAGATGGTGAAATGCTCAGAGCTGCCCAAATCCTCGTGAAAGAGGGAGAGCGAGCTCTCAAAAAGATAGAGCCAGTATGCCGGAAAGGTCACGACGAGTATGGTCTGGATTTTGTGGATGCATTGATGGACAATGGTATAAGTCGCCTGTCCCCGTCCAAATTCCATACAAAATTAACTATCCAACAGGGCCTATATCTGAGCTCACAGAGGAGCTCAGTGATTTTCTTTATGATTTTGAGGATTATGTGGAAGCCGACAGCTTCGATGCTCGCAGGTTCTCAGAGCTGTACACACTGTCTCGGAAGGCCGCACCGCGAATTCTCCATGTCATCACTCGCATGAAGCTCGAATCACCACAATTTCAGGACAGTACAACGTCTCCGGTGATTGAAACCATATCACCGTACGCGGAATCGCCGTTGCCGTACCCTGAGGGCCCCGAAGCAGATGGACAAATACACGATGCATTACGCCATGTGGCCAAGCTGGACAGGACACTTGAAGAAACGCCGGCAGGGGCATTTGCGGTGCTGCCCTACCCTGAAGAGGAGTACGCACCGTCACCTCCCATTTGTGGTCCATGGCCACGCACATTTCACACGTCTAGGGAAGGACTAGGCCGGACGGCCCAACGCCCAGGAACCACAGCATCCTCTCCTGGGTCCGCTCTTGGCTCCGATGTTTATCCTGGAGGCAATCTATCTCCGTCCTCTGGACAGAATAGTCTATCATTCCCTGCTGTGCCACCTCGGAGTCCTGCCCGACTCTCGAATGCTCAATACAGCAATGGCCGCTTGGGGCCCCGACCCGAATTCGCTGCAGCATCTGTCAGATACCGGAGCACAGAAAGTATTCCGGCAGCACCATCTAGTCTCAGCACCAGAGCCTCCACTGGGAGTTCCACAGTAGTCTCCAGCCAGGGTTCTGTCTCGGACCACCGTCGTGAGAGACAGTCCTATGTTGACATGGTGAGCCCCGTTTCAACAGTGGACAGGGACTCGGTGTCTTCTGACAGACATGGGCAATCGCTACAGGTACCGCCTCTCTTCGCGCGCTCGAATGCCGAGTCCTCGGGATTGCCAGTCAATAGTAGCCCGAGCGTGCTGGCGAATACTAGGCAAGATGTGCCTGACGGGTTGATTCCGGTGGACGGCGAAACCACCGCACATGCCCCTCCCCTTCGACCGCCGCCGCCTATACCAGAAGATTGCAGCGTGACTCTGAACAGTTCGTTCTACCAATTTAAGGGGTTTTGTCAAGGTTCCATGGATATAATACAAGGTGGCCCTGGGGTCAGGAGAATAAAGAAGCAGGTGAGCCCTGTACCTACTCGTGACGCTTCTCAACCCCCTGCTCACAGTGTCCCAGGGCCTTTCCGGGGGGTTCAAAGAAGTCGCCAAGTGCAAATCGTGTCCGTTCGAACTTGAATGGGCGGCTGTGGAGAAAGATCTGAACAAGGAGCGTTAGTCGAACCCCAAGACTCACCCGGAGGGATGAAGGCAAAGACAGTGTGACATCTAACGTCGGACGGGCACAGCGAGCGAGAACTTCAAATCAGCTGGGATCGGCTTCCGCCTCCGGTTTCTCTCCAAGAGCCACATGCCAGCTAAGCACGTTGGTGATCAGGTCTATGGATGCCTCTTCTGCATTCAGCTTGGGCGTACAACCCAACCTAACGACGCGACGGTCTTCTTCAGCCAGAAGCAGATTTTCCACCACCTTGCGCGGCACCCACGGCCGTTGCCTCACGTCCCAGGCCTCACGGTCGTCGAGGACGCCGACATAGGGCCTTATGCAGACAACTACGATCTGCATTTCTTGATTATGCCACTTAAGTCACATCTTGCAACCATTATGCGTGACCTGGCCGTCCTGCCAACGGCCACTGCCATGCAGACTTACAGGCCCACACCAACAAGCAGTATCAAGAGACCAACAGACGGACAAGAAGTTGTGAATTTCGCCTCCGGTGCAAAGATACTTGGTGTAATATTTCCTGACCGGTACCAAGGGGAGTGGTGTCTCGGATGGTACTATATCCCTCCCAGTCCCGTGGGGTTTTGGTATCTTCAACTGACAACATAGGTAGGTCAGATCACCAATACGCGGCATTTCCAGCGGATACTGTCAAACTCGACGAGCCAAAGAAGAATGATACACGATTGCAGGGATCGAGCAGCATGCGTGCAATAGCAAGGTGGAAGTTTTCGGCCCGGGGAAAGTCGAGCGAGTGGCTCTCATTTAGCAAGGGAGAGATCATCACAAATATTGGCTGTGAGTTGAATGTCTAAACCTGCTGGACGCTTACGCTGGATGTGAGGCTGGGTTTGTCAATCCAAGAGCAAGGCTGACGAAAACCATTGAGTATACAGATTCTCACCAGGAGCACTGGTGCTGGAGCGGAACGAACTCGAAAGGGAGGACGGGAATATTCCCACGGTCTCATGTTGAGCCCGGCTCACTAGTGGAGTTCACACCGGAATCAGACCGGTCGAGTTTCGTTAGCCGTGAGAAGAAGGCTGGGCTGCTTTCGCGGATATCCACGCGGCACCGGAGCAGTGCCTCCGGAGGTTTTGGCCTCTCGCCGCGAGGGTCTATCTATTGATGAGGGAATCTGCTGCAAGGCCTTGGGCGACCCCTTCCTTGGACTCAAGGGGCTGACGATGATATGCCCTTATGCATCCTTCGAATCTCACTTTGCAGTTTCCCAGGAATGCGTGGAAGTGTCCGTCGCCCGCGGCTCCCAAGATCAAGTCCTCGGTGTGCAGGTCCCCCTTCGTCCTTTAGATGAGAAGTCGCGATCTGTCTCTTCTGGGAGCCCCTCGAGGAGAGACAAACTCGCTCTTTCCATTAGCTGACCCGTTATGTTGGAAGGTCTTTCTACACGCGGCTGTGGTCATCGTGCCTTCCTTGGGACAATCTATACCTGGACCCCTTCTTCTCGGTTTCTCTCCGTTCGAGGACGATTCCACATTTCCCCCGATCATGCTCTGAAGCATCATTCGAACCTTTGGTCACAGAAGCCTTTGCTCCCCTTGCAGAGACAATTTCACTGTACACTTTATCGGACGCATCATATCAACGGCACAACGACCCAAGTATGGCTTCCTCCATCCTCCTTGTCGGCCTGTGCTCCCTCGCCGTCGCCAATCCGGTCGTCAGCATCACGGACCATGTCACTGCCAATGTCACGACCGATGTTACGATCAACAACAGTGGATCCGCCCACATTCCACTGAGTACCAGCTATGTTGGCTGCTACCGAGAGGCGACCGGAACTCGTGCTCTCAGCCGTGCCACCCTCACCCACCCGCGCTTGACTATAGGCGTGTGCCAGGACTTCTGCAAGGGCTACCGATACTGTATGCCTGATATTCGACGACTGCTCCTCTCCTTGCGGGTTGCCCCCATTGCTGACACACCTGCCTTGCAGACGGCCTTGAGTACGGAAACGAGTGTTACTGTGGATATCGCCTCCACGATTCAGCGTACCAGGTCCCTGACAGCAGCTGTGCTGTTCCCTGCATTGGCGATCTCACTGAGACATGCGGTGGAGGCAATCTGCTCAGCCTTTACAAGTCGAACTTCACACTGCAGGTGCCCAAGGTCAATTACACTCCTCAGGGCTGCTATTCCGAACCCCAGAATTCGAGGGCTCTCCACAGAGTCCTCAGTACAGACAAGGTACGTCTCGCATCCTGTGCTTCCTCCTCTTCGGGCACCACCATGACTGAGGCGTCAACCAGATGACGAGCAACAAGTGTCTCGTCCTGTGCAGCTACAACACTTACATGTATGCTGGTCTGCAATACGGCACCGAATGCTGGTGTGGAGACAAGCTCGACCCTCTCGCGAAGCCAACAGACGCAGCGAAGTGCGCAACCCCCTGTAGCGGAAACTCGTCGGAAACCTGTGGGGGTAGCCTCACCTTGCAGTTGTATGTGAAGGACTATGGCATGGCCGAGTTAGATTGATGAGACAGGATGAATGTGTGCACATGTGGTTCCAAGAAAATGGATACACACAGGTATCGGATGTCCTCTTACCAGTCTTTGTCAGTATAGTATGATTCACCACTAGACCTAGGTACTCCACCGTACAGATCAACATCGCTCAACTTTCATACCACAATGCGGTCTCTGCTCTGATGTCTGGCTGTGCAACCTTGTTGTGGGCTATCTTTTACCCCGGCCTTGGCGTTGTAGATCAGTGTGCTCCGTACATGTAAAACGCCGTGCTGCGACAGTATCTGTACAGAATCCTCGAGTGTGGAGAAGATTTCCCCGCGCTTCTTTCACCCGAGGGCGAGCAGGGGTCCGGTCTGGACGGTCCAACGGCTCGGCATGTATTAATAAGGTCATCCGTGGCCACCCGCCGCCGGGATGGCTGCTAAGAGGAGATGCCATTGACTTTCCGGGACCCCAAATCCAGGCGCCACATCCATTCTGTCGGTCGGTGACGGCATTCATTTTCGAGAGTTCCGGTACTGCGGTTGAGCTAGCCGCGCCTGATCGGAAGCTGATTCAGAGTCTGTGGTTCGGGAATTCGCCATCACATAGCCTATCTAACCCACTCATCTTTCCGATCGGCCTGGTTATAATCCTCCTCGGCTTGCAACTGCGTCGTGCTCACTAAAAGACCGCCGAAGCAAATTCCCCGACAATTGCTCCTGCTCACCTGCAGCATCAGTAGACTTTGAATAGTCCTCAATATGCCTCTGACAGGACAAGAAGTCGCCAAGCACAGCACCCAGGAGGACTGCTGGGTGGTTGTGCACGGCAAGGCATATGATGTGACCGAGTTTCTTCCGGAGCACCCGGGGGGGATGAAGATCATCCTGAAATATGCCGTGAGTCTACTATGATGCTCTCTGTACGTCCCCTTGGACAAGTGGCTGACGCTCAGGTTCTAGGGTAAAGATGCTACAGAGGAGTTTGAGCCCATTCACCCTCCAGATACCCTGGACAAGTATCTGGACAAGTCCAAGCACCTTGGTGATGTAGACATGAACACGGTCGCCAAGGAGGAGAAGGAGGTGACTCCCGAGGAGAAGGAGCGCCTCAAGCTCATCGAGACAAAACCTCTTCTCGACCAGTGCTACAACCTAATGGACTTTGAGGCAGTCGCCAGGAGGATCATGAAGAAGACTGCATGGGGCTACTACTCCAGTGCAGCTGACGACGAGATTGTGAGCACCTCAGGCTTACCTGGCCAGGGATGAGTGACGTATAGAAATACAAGTGCTAACGCAGAAACCTAGACAATGCGCGAGAACCACGCCGCCTTCCACCGGATATGGTTCAGACCCCAGATCCTGGTGGACGTGGAGAAGGTGGACTTCTCGACGACGATGCTGGGAACCAAGGTGGACATGCCCTTCTACGTGACGGCGACGGCGCTGGGGAAGCTGGGCAACCCGGAGGGCGAGGTGCTGCTGACACGGGCTGCGAAGAAGCACAACGTGGTGCAGATGATACCGACGCTGGCGTCGTGCTCGTTCGACGAGATCATGGACGCGGCCGAGGGCGACCAGGTGCAGTGGATGCAGCTGTACGTCAACAAGGACCGGGAGATCACGCGCAAGATCGTGCAGCACGCGGAGAGCCGGGGGTGCCGGGCGCTCTTCATCACGGTGGACGCGCCGCAGCTGGGGCGGCGGGAGAAGGACATGCGCAGCAAGTTCGACGACGCGGGCAGCAGCGTGCAGAGCGGGCAGCAGACGGACAACTCGCAGGGGGCGGCGCGGGCCATCTCGTCCTTCATCGACCCGGCGCTGTCGTGGAAGGACATCCCCTGGTTCAAGAGCATCACCAAGATGCCCATCATCCTCAAGGGGGTGCAGCGGGTCGAGGACGTGCTGCGGGCGGTGGAGGCGGGCGTGCAGGGCGTCGTGCTGTCGAACCACGGCGGGCGGCAGCTGGACTTCTCGCGGTCCGGGGTCGAGGTGCTGGCCGAGACGATGCCGCGGCTGCGCGAGCTGGGCCTCCAGGACCGCATCGAGGTGTTTGTGGACGGCGGCGTGCGGCGGGCGACCGACATCATCAAGGCGCTGTGCCTCGGGGCGAAGGGGGTGGGCATCGGGCGGCCCTTCCTGTACGCCATGTCGGCCTACGGGCTCGAGGGCGTCGACCGCGCCATGCAGCTGCTGCGCGACGAGATGGAGATGAACATGCGCCTCATCGGCTGCACCAGCGTCGACCAGCTCAACCCCTCGCTCGTCGACACGCGGAGCCTGTTCAACCACGGCAACGGCGTCCCCGCGGATAACCTTGCCTGGTCGACGTACGACCCGCTGGCGAACCCGCCGCAGAGGCCGAAGCTGTAGATGTGGTTTTTCTTCTTCTCTTCTCTTTCTGTTTTTGTGCGTGCGTGTTGTGTGTGTAGTGTGTATGTCAGACAGTTTACAAAGGGCAGAGTAGACAGACAGAGATGGATTCTTTCTTGGTTTCTAGTGTTGGTGGTGGTGGCGGCGGTGGTCGTGGGGCCTACGCGCTAGAGGCTGTCAGGTTGGCGGTGCAGTAAGCCTCAGAATATCACAAGATCAACACCCCCCCCGGGGGGGGGGGCATCTCTGTTCCTGCCATCATTGACTCACATACAACTCGCCCTGATATTCTTGTGACACAACTGGCATGGGGAACTTCTGTGATGGAGAAATTCTCCTGAGATCCAGCTGGGAAAGAAGAATGTAGCGACGGAGCAGTCATGGACAAAGACAAGTACAAAGAAAGGACGCGAATGAAACTCGGCTTGCTTGTTCTGTAAAGTACCGTGCCGAGCGGCTCAAGACAAATGAAATCCACGGACACACACATGGATACACATGCACAAGTAAGCAGGTTCGGTTCCGCGGCTGATGCGAGAATCGATGCGAGATGCAGAGGGTAGGTACATTAGCCCCCAGCTCGCAACCGTCGGCCCTAGGCGCTTGGTTTAACGGGCACACCTTTTTGGCTGTGGGACAACTTCCAGTCTGCAGCCAGTGTGATGGAAATCCGTGTATCTTGTGTAATGACCTCTTCCTTGTGCTCTGCAATGTGTTGTAGTAGGATAAATCCCACCGTACTGCATGCAGCTGCGATGATGCGCTACCTTACCGCATAATCCTCCTCTCCCCGTCCCCGTCGACAAAAGTGCATGCGCCAAGTGCCGTGGAAAGGCTTGGGACCCCTGCGGGCGGTATCCTTATCCCACATGCGGCTTCCCTGGGCCACCCAAGGCAGCCCATGCGATTGCCTGCTGCAGACACACAGACTCGCAGACAAGACGGAACGGACTGACTGACATGTTTGCTAGCAGGGGCAGTTGGTCAGCTGGTACAACTTGCGGCGCCTTCACTTGCCCTCCTCCTCTCTGTTGCTGTTGGTCTATCTCATCTCCCGTCACCCTCCTTTTGGATTTTTTTTCTTTTCCTTCTTTCCTCCTTGTCCTCTGCCTCCTGTCCTCGGTTTTCTCTTTCCTTCTACCTCCAGTTCCCGCTCCATTCCCAGTGTAACGCATCTGCCCTGTCGTCATCCAGGTCCCACCGGCGCAGATCACCACGGCTTCACATACGAACATGACGCGCTCCTAAGAACCCAATTCCCGAGCATGCCAAGCTGCCACCGGCGCTTCCGTTCATTCCATCACCGATTCGATAGAGATAAGCAGTAGCAATAGCAACACCAGCAGCTGGGTGCAAATCCCTCCAGGGTATCAGGGCATCAGACGCCGGGGATCATCTCGCGCGGTCGCGAGGCTCCAAGCAACACACGCCAGGGCCCAACCAGTCCGATACGAAACCCCGCGCGCATACACACAAAGACGCCACCATGTCGTCGGCCCTCGAGGCCAAGATAGTCGTGCTGGGCTCGCAGGGCGTCGGCAAGACCTCGTTGGTCATGCGGTACTGCAAGGGCGCATTCCAGCCCTCCCAGCTGACCTCCACCGTCGGCGCAAGCTTCATGACCAAGCGCGTCGTCGACAGCGATACCGATACCGTTGTGCGACTACAGATCTGGGACACAGGCAAGTCAAGGTCTCGAGTCAAGTCCGCGTCGCGACTGTCTCACCCCTACGGCTTTTAGCTCCGCCGTGCCCCCGACCCAAATGCTGACCATCTCGTCTTTGGGCCACTTACAGCCGGCCAGGAAAGGTTCCGTTCCATCTCGCGCCTCTACTACCGGGGCGCTAACGCCTGCATCCTGTGCTACTCCATCACCGACGCCCAGAGCTTTGCCGACATGGGCGCCTGGCTGACCGAGCTCCGCCGCAACCTGCCCCACGACATCGTCCTCCACGTCGTCGGCACCAAGTCCGACGTGGTCGCCCGCGAGCCCTCCAAGCGCGAGGTCCCCTTCGAACGTTGCATTGTAAGCAGCTCCCAGAGTCTACATGCCCGCTGTCTGAGAGCGGTCATCCTGCCTGTCCCTGGGCTGCCTGGCCTCCTCGCACAAATCACCGGGAGGTCGCAGTCGTAGGTTGCGGGACAGGTTATGGGAAGATAGCTTTCCGCTGCACCATTCTTCGCAAGGGCTCTCTCCCCTGCTGTTCTAACAGCTGACTCTGGATGATATAGGCTTACGTCGCCGAGAATCTCGCCCCGGGCCTTAGCTCCACGCCTCCGCCGACCGCTACCCCCGGACACCTCAGCGCGCCCGGCGCCGGGAGTCTCAGCGGCAGCGGCGGCTTCTTTTCCAGCAGCGACTGCACGTCCGCCGAGCCCCGTAGTCCCACCTCGAAGCGGTCGTCCGGGTTCTGGGGCCAAGAAGTAGGCTGGGACGCCTGCCACGAGATCAGCGCCGAGTCGGGCGAGGGCGTCGAGGAGGTGTTCAGGGTCGTCACACGGAAGCTCGTCGAGCAGAACCGCAAGATGTCGGCGGCCCTGCTGGCCGCTACTGCGACTCCCGGCCTCACGCCCGGCCAGGAGGGCGCCGGCAGCAGCTATGAAGGCGCCGGCGGTCCCGGGGGCTACTTCGACGGGGCAAACCCCAGGGGCAGCTTCAGGGTTGGCAGGGACAGGCGGTCGTGGTTGTTCTCGCCCAACTTTTCCCCTGCCGTGACCATCGAGCGGGGGGCGGGCGCGCAGCAACAGGACGGGGAGCACCACCCAGACGCTGAGCAGCGCAGGGGAAAGAAGTGTTGCTGAAGACACAATTACGAGAATAACTTCTGGCGCCTATCACTGTCGGGGCCATCTGGGACGGAACAGTGTCCGTCAGGGGTTTCGACCCACAGGCAATGATCAAGTGCCTTAAGAGACACGGTCGAGGAGCAGCAAGGGGGAGAACGAACATACGCGACGAAGACGGGACCTCGACGGTCTCACGCCACGATACCCGGCGAACGAATTTTCTTCTTTTTCATCTGCATGCACGCGTTTACTATCATCTGCTGCTTTCGTCGGGCGGTCAGGAGCAATGGTCAGGTCGGGCTGGGTAAGGTTGACAAGCATTGCATGCTGGTCTGGTACGGGCACGTCCGCCTAAGCATTCTGCATTTCTGCATCGGGTTCTGCATTTCTGCATCGGGTTCTGCATCTTCCTGCATAGGGCTCCTTTTTCTTTTTTTCAAGGACCTCATTCGGCCCTGGGCGTTCAGGATACCTTCTATATACGGTAGCGCCCACGCATTTCAGTCAGTCAGTCAGTGTTAGATCATCACGGATCCAAGCAAGTTATCTTGTAACATCAAGACCCGAGGAGGCAAACGGGCTTGTATCGTTGATTATCTGCTGTCCCGACCTGGGATCAGTCGTATCTGTTATGATTATGTGACTCCGCGTCCATCCAGCCAGGAGCGAACAGCCAAGCAGCTTTCTCCTGATGCAACACGTCCCATGATGCAGCAAGTCTAACTCCCGCGCAGATGAGGTATCATGAGTTTCTCCCCCGAGGCAAACACAAAACCCTTGTGACGCCCATCAAATTTCTCCCCGTGTCCATTGGGGAGACCAAAAACGCCTTATAATTCCCGCCCTCGAGGCCAGCCGAGAATCCTTTTTTTTTTTTTTTTTTTTTTTTTTTTTTGGAGGCCAGCAAAATTACAATACCAACACATTCAACCAACAACCAACCACTTGTCCCTCGCACCTGCGCCACACCTACCAACCGACACTCAGAAGAACTCTATGTCATCATCGTCATCCGCCTGCGACACGGCGCTCTTGCGGGGTCTTCCGCGCTTCCGCGGCTGCGAGGAAGAGCGCGGCCGCTTCTTCCGGCCGCTGCCGGGGGTCGAGTTGGACTTGCGCTTCCGGCCCCGGCCCGTGTCCATGCCGTCATCGTCCTCGCCACCGCTCGGCGTTGCCGGGTCATCGCCATCCTCACCCTCGTCCGCGACCTTGAACTCCCTGTCGACGTTGAGCAGGTCCACGAAGGAACGGCACTGCTGCATCATGCGCTCATGCGAGGAGAGCGAGCCCATGATCGAGGCTATGTCCTCCCAAACCTTGTCGCCCGTGACCGTCTGCACTTTGACCGGCTTGGTGGTGTCCTTCTCCTTGTTGCCGGCCTTGGACTTGCTGTTGTGCCTGCTCGTCCCGAGGTTGTACTGCCGGCGGAGGTACGACCGTGCTTCCCACATGGACTGCAGTATCATGGACCCAGCCGCCAGTTGCCGAAGGCGCTTAACATCAACTGCAGGTGGTGGTGGAGTAAACACCGGCTCATTCTGGCCATCGGGAGCAGCCTGAGAGTTGGTCACCGCGTCCATCGTAACCTGAAAAATCTCCGCCTCGATCGCCTGAGCGACGCTTGCTCCAGTGCTGGTGACGAGCTTCTCCATGGTGGTCACTGTACCAAGCAGCTCGCTGACGGTGGCGTAGTCAAAGAATGCCAGGTTCTCGATAATAAACTGGGAAAGCTGGACGTGTCCTGGCATGTACCCCCGAGCATCTAATTTCGCAGGCTCGAAGTCAACCTGCCCACAAAGTTTATCCAGGAATTTCGTGCGGTTCTTGGCCTTGCTGGATTTGAGGACCTCCATCATCAGATGAAGCTTGGAGGTGAACGGCTCGGTCGTGGCACCGCGAGGGTCACGAGCAATGTCACGCTGATAAGCGAACGCAGACTGCACTGCCTTGGCATATTCTCGCTCGAGGACGGTTTCGTATTTGTCGTGTAAAGCGCGGTGCTCATGGAAAGCAAGCTCTGAAATCTTGGTGACTGAAGAGGTCTCCAATGTGATCAGGGTGACGCCGGTCTCCTTTGGGTGTACCAGACCTTGGCGGTTGATGCTCGCCAGCACTTCAACAGCCAGAAATGCATGCTCATCCTGAGTAGCGAGCGATATTCGTGTGATGTCCGAAAGGAAACGCTGTGTCGTGGCGCTGGAGACATCGTCATAAGTGGTTCCTCCCATAACTTTGAGATTCAACTTCTCTCCCTTGTCGTCTTTCGCAGTGCCTTCCGAAGCTGCTAGTTCAGAGCGCTGCTCCTCCGTAAAGAGGAACTCCTTCATAGACCCCAGAATCATCGATTCCAGGACGGAGGCTTGCTCGTCGAAAACTTGCTGAAATGTTGTATACACGTTCGCGGAGACGTAATTTCTTGGCCACGATTGACATATGAGCCCGACGGCATCAAGTGCGGATTTCCTCACGTCGAGAGGCTGTGATGGGCTGGCAAAAGGTATCACCACGTCTACCATGAGCTTCGACACTGTGTTGCCTTTGAAAGCTGGGAATGCAGCCTTGAACGAGGCCAGTTTGTTCTCGAGATCGCAATGCTTTCCCACCATTCCCACGATGAGCGAATAGCGATCGAACGTCCGCATAGTCTTGTCGTCGAGGGGCCTGCCCTGTGTCGCTGCCCGGATCTTTTGTATCCCCTGTAACGCCGAGAGCGCCAATCGCGACAGCTTCTCTATGCTTCCAAGCAAGCCGCTGATGATCCACAGGCATCCAACCACATCGTCGAGGAGTGCTCGGGTCACCTTGGGTACGGCTTGCATTAACGGGTTCAATATGTCAGTGAGGAACGACTCATGAACGTTGGATAACTGCGGTAGGACGCGACGGTAGATTACTACCACAGCTCGAGAAATGGCCAAGTCTTCGTTGGTAGCAATGCTCGCGACTGTGGATTGCAGTATCTTGATTTGCTCGAAGGTGAAGAGCTTTGCGTCTGCCTTGGCGAAGATCATCAGAAGCTGCAATGCTTCTCTTTCCGAGTCCGAGTGATGGAAGAGCTCGAATATGCTGCCGACGAGGATCTGCCCGACCTTGAAGTTGGTTTCTTTGGATCCCAGTATCGATTGAAAGACTTTGTCCAGGACCGGGGTCACATTCCCTTGCTTCACTGTCTGCATCATGAGGGAGACGTGGTCCGTGAGAGAGGTCTTATATGCTGCGGAACCCTCCGCAGACGAGTAAGGAGCGATCCAGATTTCCTCGATCATCTGTCGCGCAACGTCTCGGACGCCTTCGTCGGGATCCTGCACACGATGGAGTAGGCCATTCGCAATGTTGCTCCGGATGTTCTTGTCCAAATTGCGAAGATAAATATCCCTGGCGAGCTTCATCGCACGCTTTCGAACTCCGACGCCGGTGTCTATGAAACGGTCGACAACAGTCGGTATCAGCTTCTCCTCCAGAGCTGGCCTCATGTCGATGCATTTTCCGATTAGACCAAGTGCTGAGTCCCGCACCTGAGGTGAGGAGTCACTTGAGCACTGAAGAATAAGTTGGATGAAAGTCGAGTCTCCATCGAGTATAGTGGGATCCGTCTCCAAAACATCATTCACACTCTTCAGGCTCTTGCTGCGGACTGTGGCCTGATCGGTCGTCATAAAGCGAAGCAGAATATTGAGGATGTGCCTGTATGACTCGCAGAATTGAGAACGAATAAGGATGATCTGGTATGAGAGCTTAGCAAGAATGGGAGAGACTTGCGCGAAGCTGTATTCGGTAGACAGCCAACGGCGGTCCTCGCTCATCATTCTCAGACGGTAAGCAAGCCTTCCAAACTCCGGCAGCCGCTCGTCGTCATCCGCATTACTCAAGTTTTCATAGGTTGCATCCACCTTGCTCGCCCAGTCTGTGATCAGAAAGGATACCGCGCTGGACAGATGCGGGTCTTCGGAGCATCGCTGGTCAAGATACTCAAGGCTTGCACGGTAAGGTCCAGACCATGACAGCAGCTGTTCTGGGCGTGACCGTAGTTCCAGAGCCGAGGCAGCAAGTTCTGAGAGGTAAACACCTAGCTCGGTAGCCTCCACAGCATCCAGCGAATTCGCAGTCCGCCGAACGAGCGACCTCAGCTTTGAGATCGCAGCTCCCATAGAACCGAGAACTTCCAAGGCCATGTTCTTCGCTGGAGCTGCCGTTCTTTCGCCGTCCACAAGATTCATCATCCTGCCCATTAGTATCCGAAGGAGAAGCTCAGAAGCAGGCCAATCTGCCGAGTCCAAGCAGATAACGAGGTCCTCGACGAAATTCTCAAGGATTCTGCGGAAGGGGGACTCGCCGGTCTTCGTGGATGTTTGCGCCCGGAGGACCATATAATTGATAACATTGGACGCACTGGTCCTCGTAGTCTCTGCCAGCGGCGCCGAAATTCCATGGAGCTCGACAGCAGATCGCCCATGCTGAGAAGCGGCTTGGTCTTCGCTTTGGATGGACATATTTCGCAACGCGGGGGGGACTGAAGCATCGACGCCGTCCTGTTCGTGATTGTCATCCAGTGACTGGAGCAATTTGCTCTGAGCAGTCTTCACATCAGTGGCTTTGCCGGCGCTGGTTTGAATCAAACGTAGAATGAGGGCCGATACTGGCTGAATGCTTCTGCCATCGCTGAGCTTAAACTGACGGGCTTTCTGTTTCGTCTGAGGAACCTTCTCTATTTGAGAGAGGACGTCATCAATGATGCCGTTTCGACTCTGAGGGTTCTTCAGAAAGATCTGTGATAGCATGTCCATCGCCACCAGGCGAATGCCATCAAACTTCTGGACTCCAACGATTGAGTCGCGGTCTGTGTAGGCGTTCTCGACAAATATGAGGGTGGATGAGATGGTCTCCAGAGCCGTGGCAACAGATTCGGATAAATCTATGCTAGCGACCAGGATAGTAAAAACAGAATACAGCCTGGTGAAGCTAGTGAACAAGTTCTGGGCGATCTTCTTGTGCGGGAGCAGTTTCTCGAAGAGGTCTTTGCTACTGTCCTTGCCCCCGCCCTTACTTCCTTGCTTTTCTTCTTTCGTGATGCCGTAACGACGGGCCTTCTCTGTCAGCGGTACGATGATGTTACCTGTGACTTCCCGGAAGAGGTTCAAGCAATCCCGTATAAGGTCCTCTGAGTAAAGCTGTTTGTCTTCTCTGCCAGCAGACATTATCCTCAGTGCTGTCCGGGCGGCCCTGAGCGCAGCGTCGACGTCCTGAAGCTGTTGAGCCCAAATCTGTACTTCTGACTCGCCACAGGTTTCGTCGACCTTGAGGTCCAAGTCTTGGGTTTGTTTCAGCGCACCATCGCAGAGACGTTGCACACGCAGGATCTCTTCCACGGGGACGTGTACGAAAGACCCTAGGGATATGGCATTCTGTAGAAGAGGCTGTACTTTTTGATGGGCCGCTGTAGTCATGCTGGGCTCCTGATGGGAATTCAAGCAGACAAGTGGGTTTGACTCTGACTGAGTGGCCGTGACGCTATCTTCCGCCTCGAAGATCTCCGCGAAACAACGGCGGAGCTGATGATAGGCCGACTCAGCCCTCTGTTTCTGGTCACGACCTGCCCCGTAGACATCTTGACCGTCCTGGTACTCCTCTTGCCTCTGCTTCCGTTTCGACAGGTTTGAAGGCTCATCAGGTTCGTCCTGGACCACGAGGTACTCCTGCTTATTAAACGAGGGAGCAGGAGGCAGCTCAATCGAGAAGGTCCCACCCTTCTGCGAGCTAGTGAACGGCTGAGACGCCGCCTGAGGCGGTAATTGAGCGATTTCGTCCACATCACCTGGGATTGACGGCTGTGGAGAGGGGGGCGGCGGTGTCTTGACCCTGGGGCTGCTCGCTGGCGCGGCGGCTGGCACGGTGGCTGCCGTTGCGGCTTCGTACTGTTTCTTAGTCGGTATAAAGACGGCGAATCGAGGTTCTTTGTGCCCAGGAACCTGGCTGCTCGAGGCAGGTTTGCTTTCTCGCTTTTGTGGTCTGGCAGAGCCGGAGGTCGTGGAAGGGTGCTGACCGTTGACGCGTGGTGCTTCCGTTGTTGGGTATGTGTAGGAAACCGATGTCTTTTCAAAGACCATCCTCGAGAAAGGAGACAAGTTCATGGAAAGACTGTTCGTGGGGCCGTTAGGTGTAGCGACTTTGGGGCAGGTTATGAAGTTGCTAGAGCCCTTAATTAGCACATTGCGCCTCAACGTATACCAAGGCGATGCTTACAATTGTGCTATCCTGCTCGGATTCAATAGATTCTGCACATGCTCTAGGCTCTGTTCCAGGCGCCTCGACGTAGTTGACGGGTTGGCAGCGTCTCTGTTCAGATTATCGAAATCATGTCGAGGGACGAGATCGGCGAGACGGGACGAAGATGGGCCAGCACCAAGGTTCGGAGTCGGTATGATATCTGTAGGTTGATTAGGGGACCAGACATTTGATTGAAGGAATCCTCGGCCAGCCACGTACCCGACTCGAAAGGAATGACAGAGGTAAATGGAGAGAACGGAAGAGCCTCCTGCAGTGTGAACGGGCGCGAGAACCTGGGCTGGTGACCAGACGGTTGCGCAGGAGATTCGACTCCGTTTTGCGCACCGTTGGTACTCAGCGACCTTGGATGCGCCATATTGAAAGTCATCCAAGCCTCACGTCAATAGCCATGTATGAAGAGCCCTCGAAAGCCGCAGCCAGGCAGGGGACAGTTTCCAATTCGGACCGGAACAGCCTGGCCGTTGTCCAGGGAAATCGCCGCTCTCGCATTCGTGTTGAGCTGTACTGATCCGGAGACGATTCCGCAGGAACGGAGTGGGCGGTTCGATGGCGGACAGTCGAATCGTTCCGCGAGCGTGACCTGGAGGAAGTGGGCGAAGGAGGTTAGAGAGCGTACCCTTGAACGTTTGCGGGTAGGTATGATGGCAGACCAGGGTCCACAGCTGCCTGCCACAGCACAAGGTGGGTGGGTACCTGGGTACCTTACTACCGGGACTCGCTTATCGATTAGCCCCATAGTTGGTGAAGCTTCGGCCATGACCTTGCAGGCCAAAAAAAAAAAAATGCGACTGGTGACAAGAGGTCCTCTCTGCGGTCTCATCCACTTGGCTCTGAAAACACGACATATCTCAGCTCCGTTTCTGGTTTGGAATATTTCACAGTTTTGAACAACTCCAGGCATTCAAGATGTCTGCAATCGGGTCCCTTGTCTTTTGCACTGATTGCGGAAACCTTTTGCCAGCTTCCAAGGGCAGCTCAAAGAATATTCTGCAGTGCGAATGCTGTGGTGCTGAAAACCGAGGTGAGTGAGCTGGATTCAGAGACGGGTGATGAAGCGGAGCGCACTTTGGCTGATCTGGCTTTTTCAAGACACTGCTTCAAATACTATTGTGACACATTCTAAGCCTTCTGATTTTCCCTCATTCCTGCGCCAGAAATTGTCTACCACCCAGACAATAAAGCGTCATGAGGTGAATACGGAGGCAACGACGACTCAGACGTGTCCCAAGTGTGCAAGGACTGAGGTCAGGTTCTCGGCTGTTCAGCTTCGCAGTGCGGACGAAGGATCAACTATCTTCTATACGTGCGACTGTGGCTACAAGTAAGTCAAACAATTCGGAACGCTGCATGGGCGGCCACTTGCTAACAATCACCAGGTGGAGCGAGAACAACTGAGCTCCCAATGCTGAAGTCGATATCAAATTTATGTACAGTCTAAGATGGTGAATCGCCATTTAGATACGGTTCTAGTGAGTCTACTTCGCACACATCGGAAACCAGATCACAGCTCTTACTGACGCAGATTTTGAAGAAGCGCCGAATTAATGCCACCGGCGAACCTGTCGTCTCGGCCTCATGGATTTCATCAAGGATTTATTCCTGTTGTCCAAACCTGAGAGCCACGAGGCATCCTCGCTCGTTGACGGAGGGGATGGGTATGGCTAAGCCGTTGCGCTTTCTGGTATGAGCGCATATTCTGCCTGCTCTCCCTTCTCATACTCGGCCATGTCCAAGGCTACCATGACACTCTCCCGGACCACGCGCTCTGGGTCATTGAGGAAGCCTTTCAAGATGTCTTCGACGCCCTCTTCGTCGCCAAGACTCCCGAGAGCTTCGGCGGCTTCGTGTCTTACCATGCCGGCCTCCTTCTGATTGCCAAGCGCGGATGTTAGGGCAGGAATGGACGCTGGATGGGATAGTTGGCCGAACACGAAGGCGATCTCGTGGCGGAAGAGGTCGGAAGGGTCGTCGAATCCTCTTGCAAGAGCGTGTACGGCAGGGACTGCAGTTGGGAGGTCCGGGGGTGAAGCGAGATCTCGCAGAGCAAACATTGCCCGGTAGCGCATGAACAGAGGGATCTTGGTGTCCATCAACTCATTGCCGAGTTCTTCGACAGTCTTCGTGGATTCCGGCATCGGCGGTGCAGGGTCGATGGAGGCGAAATCACTGCAACAATGTTAAGTAAGGCACATTGCTTGCCCAAGTATAGAATATAGGCATTACCTCTGACGCAACTTCTCCTGCTTCCTCTCTTCTGAGTTCTCCCACTCGATACGGTCCAGGGCGATCTCACAAGTCTCCACGACTGCCACGTTCTCGCCTTTCCGGTCCCTGTACTTGCAGAGTATATCCACGTTGCTGGAGTGGCCAATCGCACCGAGAGCCTCGGCGGCCTCATGTCGGACCATGGGGTCTTCGTCGAGATCGGCTAGGCATTTTCGCAGGGGTGGGACAGCGTAGAGGTTGCGGGTCTGGCCGAGGCAGTAAGCCAGTTCGTGTTTGAGCAGGGCGGAAGGCGAGGCGAAAGCCTTTGCGATCGCATCCATGGCAGCCTCGGCGCTGGCATCTTGTGACTGGGTGGCCAGGTGCTTCAGTGAGAAGAGGGCGCGAAACCGCACGGGCAGTGGGGTGTCCTCGGAGCACAGCGACTCTCGCAGGGCGCTGATTGTGGGATCAACAGAATCTGCCGTGGGTGCCATGTTGACCGAGCAAGAGCCGAGTGCTATCAGACTGAGAAGAGAAAATGAATCGAGAAGACAAGAAAAAAAGTCGTTCTGTCTTGTTTAGTGGTGGTGGACTTGATTGTGACGCGATCGGCGCAGCTTCTTTTTAGAGGGGTACCACGCGACAGGGATAATTCCTTACTTAGATGGTGGGGTTGACATCAGCTAGACACTTTAATCGAGGCCAGACCCTTGGCCCACGGTAGGCTGCCGGACCAGGCGAAAATTTGTTCTCACGCAGGCTGGCCCACCTAGACCCGGGAGGTTGTCCTAGAACACATAGGTAGCTGGAGAATGAATTCAACGGTGGTCCTACATGGGAATCTCAGGAAAGGTTGTCCCGCAGTTCATGCCACAGGAGACGATTCCACAGCAGGTGATCCCATGCAGATGCTACAAAAGCAGCCAAATCCACAGAATCTTATCCCCCGGGCCATCTTGCAACTGGTCTAGACTTATAGACGATAGCAGACAATCATCAGTGGGTCCAGGCATTTCTTGTCCCCATTCTGTCTTCACTATCCAGCCAGCGTTGAAGACCAGGCAAGTGACTCTGTGCGTTTCCTTGAAGCTATGGCTTTCTGCCTCCCCGCAACGCCCATGTCTGGAAGGGTAACGCACCCTACACGCCTGCATGGACGAGGGCTGCTCTGCGAGGTCGCCTGCTTGCGATGAACATGCATGTGGCTGTACCTGAGGGTTTTCAGGGATACCTTGGAGTCTGTGTCGCCTGTGTGGGTGACCACTGGGTACATCGGTACCTGGTATGTCCAGACCAGAGTCAAAAGGCAGTGTGAAACCTCAGTGACAGCTTCCGTTTCTGTGTAAGCCGAGAGGTTGCAGCAAACCTCGGGAGGCGATGGATAGAGCTCCCAAGGTTCACGAGTGCCCCGGGTGCTTTTGGGTGACTGGCCCAGCTGCCCATGGCGTTTACCGAGTCAGCGGCGAGTTTTCGCCGTGGTGGTGTTAAGAGCGGGGAGGTACTGGTGCAAATACGTGTAGCCGCCTGCGGACCCAGGCAGTCCAAGCTGTAGCTGCCCAACTGTGACCCATGTCGCACTGCGCAGCCGTGGCTCGGCGCCAATTAGAGGCCTGGTAAAGGGGGGCAGAAGGGGGGAGAGGGGAGGAGAGGGGCGAGACCTCTTCCTATTTTCACCTCCCTTGTGTTGTGGCTTTCTCTCCTGTCGAAAATTTAGCTCCGCAACTCGATCCAAAACCACAAAATCCCTTTCTTTTGGACGCTTCCTTTCCTCGGCCTTGTTGTCGCATCCATTCCCCTCCATCCTCCATCCCATTAGGCAGCCTCACCCGTCAAACTTCATCAAGATGGCCGACGACGCTCAGGTAAGCAAGCAACCCGTCTGACCGTCGCCTTCGCTCGTGTTGTGGCGGGCGGAGGAGGGCACCCCGCACCGCACCCACGTACGACGGCCACGATACACTCGCCTCTCGCTCGTGACCACACAGCACACACACTCTCTGTCTCTGTCTCTCTCCCTCGCGCGCCTCGCAAGCTGACAATGGCCCCGTAGCATGAACACACCTTCGACTCGGCTGACGCCGGTGCGTCGCTGACCTTCCCGATGCAATGCTCTTCCCTCCGGAAGAACGGCTTCGTTGTCATCAAGAGCCGTCCCTGCAAGATCGTCGACATGTCTACCTCCAAGACTGGCAAGCACGGTCACGCCAAGGTCCACTTGGTCGCCATTGACATCTTCACTGGCAAGAAGCTTGAGGAGCTCTGCCCTTCCACCCACAACATGGACGTCCCCAACGTCTCCCGCCGCGAGTACCAGCTTGTAAGTTGATGTTTGAGCGATCATGGGGCACGTGAGCTGCGCTTGCTAACAAATTGCCTTGTCAGCTTGACATCTCCGACGATGACTACCTCTCCCTCATGACCGATGATGGTGACACCAAGGATGATGTCAAGGTCCCCGACGGAGAGATTGGCGAGAAGATTCTCCGCCTCTTCAAGACCGAGGAGAAGGACACCAGTGAGTACAGCCCAGATGCTTGGGGATAAACTACATGTGCTGACAGCTTCAACCAGACGTTGTCATTCTGACTGCCATGGGTGAGGAGGCTGCCGTCGAGGCCAAGGAGGCTCCCAAGCAGGGCTAAATGCCCACCTCAAAAGGCGAAGACGAGCTCGGGAAACGACCGGATTCTGAACAGTAGCGCTTACGATCGGTTGAGGCAAAGCCCATGTTGAGGATACCTCGTCTTGACATATTGTGGGCCTGCCACTCATTTCTCTGATCGATGGACTTGATAGTTTTATTTGACAGCACGTGAAAGACGGGCTCGCGCGAAATCCAATCTGCGGTTTTCCCATCTAATTGGCATGCGATAAACATTCCTAGCCGGGGAGAAGATGGGGTGTCCATGGGAGTAAGAGTCCACTTGAAATGAGACTATACAAAGGATGCTCACATTACGAACATATGACATGCTGGTGATTCGTAAATGTGACTGGTCCCCACGACTGACACACAGGCGCCACGGGTGCACTCTTGGGCGTCTGCTTGCTCTGTCATAGGCCACGGCCGAGAAAGTGCCTACGTATGTTTCTTCCATGCGTAATGATGTTGAAATCACACTTTCCAGTAGCTGCCACATGATTTCGGAAGCATCTACCGTCACCTCCGTTGCTGATAATTTGAAGTCGGATATTCATACCCGCACTCTCTCCGCACCATAGCTATACAGAACCAGAAAGTATCACCCAGGCCCAATTCACACTCTAAATTCAAACGTCCAATTCACATGACCAAGGCAAACTCACACCTTATAGCTTATTCAAATGCTCAATGCTAGTTCAAAGTGTAATTCAGACGGGCGAATTGGACGTGGGTGTCGTGTGTGGGTATTGTAGGCGTGGGTGTTGTAGCTGTCGGTGCTGCAGGGAGTGGGTGTTAGGTGTAGGGGGTAGGGTGTTTGAATTTCTTCATGGGCAGCCACTGTCTGTCTTAAGCAAAGTAATGCCCCCCCCCTTATCGTTTTAGTTAGCTATCCCCCCCTATATTAAAATTTAGCTATAAACGCGGAATACATACCAAGATCATCTAGGATACCCTTATTAATATTATTAATGCACTTAATTTAGCAAAAGAAAGGTCATTATAATAGCTAGCCATTGCTTAACTTATATAAAACTGCAAATATTAAAGTTTTATTTGCATTTAAACTCATTACTATTAAATAAATAGCTATAGGCTGAATTTAAATATAATAAAGCAATAATTTAATGATATAAAAGGAGGGTTACTATTATAAATATTATAGCCCTTAATATGCCCTTATATTATGGGCTAGCCTTGGGTTGTTTGCTATAAGGTATTTAAATGGGGTTTATATTTAAAGTGCAAAGGAGAAGATTTACTCCCCATTTACACCCACGCTAAAGCCTATTCTTATAAGGCCAAAGCCCACTAATTAATTATAATGAGCAAAGCTTAAATTATAATATATCCTCCTTCTTTAAGTTTTTATAATAAGCCTTAAAGGGTAGCTATATAATAAAAAATAAAGGACATTATAATTTAATTGCAAATTAAACATTGCTCTTTACCCAGCCATTTAATTATACCCTGGCGCCTCCTAACTACGCTAAAGGCCCAGCCTATTATTTATAATTAACATGCCCCAGCCCTTATAATTTAATATATTAATTAAAATAAGCTAATAAAAAATAATTATTTAAGCATAAGTTAACGGCTAAACTAATAGCATTTTTATAATTCTTTAATATAAGCTTTTTATATAAGCTTCCTTACTTAAAACCTTAAAACCGCGGATTTATTATATAATTCATAATTAATTAATGCTTAATCATAAGTAATTTACTTTATTAGCAGGAATTTTCTAAATTTTAAGCATTTTTATAAAGCTAAATTAGCTAGCATGCAGTTAATTTACTTTAAGTTTAAGTTAGCGCTAAGCTAGCATTACTTTTAAGCCTTACCTTATAGAAAAAATTTTATACCCCCTTAAATAAACTCCTCCCCCTTACTAGCCTTAATTAATAAAAGTTACACCCTTATTTTTTTATAATGATTAAGGTAGTTATGCTTATAATAGCTAAGTTAGCTATATATAAAGTACTTAACTTTACTTATTAAAACCATTATAATATTAATATTCATTGCTTTATTATTTTAAGGTTAAGTATTATTCTTCCTTATTATAATATTAAAAACACCCTTATATTATTATAAGGTAAAGCAAAAAACTTTAAATATATTTAATTATTCCTTATAATTAAGCTAAGCTTTTATTATAAAGGTTAAGCTATTAATTATTAATAGTATTTTATATTTATTTAGCTAACTTTAAGCCTTTGCTATATAAGTTAATTAATTAAATTAAATAAGAAATTTTATTATCTCCTTCCCGCGGCGCTATTGCAGCGTAATTAAGCTAAGCTTAGCATACCTTTGCTTAAAAGGATCCTTAAGCGCAAAATAAATCTTTTTTAAGAAGCTTTTTAACTACTCCTTAAATGTTTTTATAGAATTAACGTAAAGTAAAAAGTAATTCCAGAAAGTTTTTAGCTAATTAAATATATAAAAGAATTAAGCCCTTTTAACGCTAATCACCTTTCCATTCATTGCAAACTTAGTGTAATGGGCTTAGGCTATTGCCCAAGCCATAATGCATGCTCATGCCGGGCTTATATTGCATTTAACCCTTTTATATAATAAAGCATATACTTAAAAGATAAATTTAAAGTTAGGCCCTTTTAAGGCTTAATTTACTTTTTAAATATTACAATTCATAACTCCTTTTAAATACCTTTTAACAAACGCTTAAGGCTAATTCATAATATTAAATTATAATTTCTAAATTATATTAAGGAAAATATTTATATTATAAAGGTAAATAACCTTATACCTAAGATATTAACTTTTTTATAAAATATATAATTAAAAATTCCTTAACTTACTTTAATATTAAGTTATAAAAATGCTTAAAAAGCGCCTTAGCCCCCTTAACTATTTATAATAATACCTATTAACGTTAATAGCAATGCTATTATATCTCTCCTTATAATAATGCTTTATTAACTTGCAAAGCTTAAAGCATATATAAACCTTTTTAACCTACCCTTAATTTAATGTAAGTTGCTTTTAATTAAGCCCTTATTTAATAATATTTAAGATAGCTTCTTAGCTTAAAAGATAATAATATAATATAAGCTATAAATTAATATAAACTTTATTAAAGATCTTTAAAAATATTAAATCTTTTTATAAAGTTAGCTATTTATTAAAATATAATTATGCATTATAATATTTTATAAGCAAGGCGGGCTTTAAAATAGCTTTAACATAAATAAGTTCTTTAAATACTTAAAATGCTATTATAAAAACCTATATTAATAAGCAGCTGCTTTAGCTAAGCTTAAAATATTTTAAATATAAAATTATAATAACTTTACTTAGTTTTATATTTAATTTAAATAATTAATAATATAAGTTAAAAGCTTTAAGTAATTAAGTAAAGTAAAGTTAAATTACTTTTATAATTAACTTTTTTCATAGCTTTATAATAAGGCTATTAAGGCATTAATTTTATATATAAATTATAATAAGGTAATAAATATATATTATTAAATTGCTTATAAGTTAAAGATATAAAACCTTAAGCATTAATAATATATAAGCTTATTCTTATACTTTTAAAGCTTTTAACCTAAGGGTAATAAGTAATAAATTAAGATATAGCAATAATAAATATAATTATAGTAAGTATAATAAGGGGTTAAGGCATTAGGAATAAGGGGCTATAAGGGTAGTAAGGCGCCTTTTCCTCCTAGCTAACTAGCGGCTAAGCTAAAGCACCCTAAGTTTTTAAGTTTAAAAAGAAGGCTTAACAAGGGCGCAAAACATACTTATATTATAGCTAATAAGGGTACTTTATAATAAATTACAAACTCTTTCTTATAGCTATGTTAATTTAAATTTAAGTTATAAAGCTAGTTATACCTTATAAAGAAAACCTTATTAACTTTAAGGGAAAAAACTAGCTTTTAAGTAAAGTTTTATTTAAAAGCATAAGCCCTTTTTATAAGCTTAATTTATATAAAAATAATATTAATAAATATAAAATAAATTAAATAAGCTTCCTTTCTTAATTTTTATTATTATAAATTATAAGCATATTATTATTATTTAACTAAATAATAAGTATAATTATTATGCTATTATAAATAAATAATAAATATAAAAGGTAAAATTAAAACTAATAACTTTACTTACTTTAAGAAACTTAAGAATAATTATTAACTTATTATAAAGTTAATATATTATATATATAATATAACTTTCCTTAAATATTAATGCATAATAAGCCTTTATTTTAACTTATATAATTTTAAGCATAGCTTATCCCCTTTTATTAAGCTTACCTTAATTACGCTATTATAATATTTTATTAAACTTAGCTTGCAGCTATATAGTAATTAATGCGGCTTAAAAGATAATTATAAAGAAGGAGGGTTGGCAAGATATAAGTAATTTAACCTAGTTAATTTCCAGGGTAATTATAAAGGCGTAAATAAATTGCTTATCTTGCAATAAGATAATAAATATTACCTTAATAAGAATAAGCCTAAGTAAGATTATATAAATTCTTTAAATTATAGCTCTTTAAAAAAAAGATAATAATAATATAAAGCGGCGTAAAACTAAGCCCTTGCTAAAGAAAATGCAGAACTTTGCCAGCTTTTTTAATAAAGATTAAGCTTTTACCCTTTTATTATATTAAGGTTAGTTTAATTATTATATTTATTTATTATTAATAGAAAATAGGTTTATATTAATATTATTATAAAGCTTATTATATAATATGCTTTAAAATTAATTATTTAAGCTATGGAAATAAGTTATAAAACTTTATAATAAGGGCTAAATAAGGGTTAGCTTTTTACTTATGGTAGCCTTAATCCTTTTAATGCATAAGGTAAGTAAGGGGTGGCGGTTTTATATAAATTATTATGCTTTAAATAAAATTACTTAATAAGATTATTACCCCTTCCCTTTTATTAAAAAAATATTACGCTCCTTCTTTAATACTTAATAGTTTATAAAGTTAAATATTTATGCAGCTTTTTATTAAAT